AACACAAGCAGCGAGCGACCTTGCGCCCTCGCAGCTTTTTTGAAGACTCACGGGGGCAGCCCGTTGCCTCCGACAATGGCAGTCGCAACAAGCTAAGCGCGCTAGCAAAAGCAAGCAACCAAGCAGACAGCCGCGAAGTATATGCGTCTCCGTTAGTTGTAGCTCTCCGAAGCTTAGAAAGCTCTCGCTCTTCACTCGGTGAGCTTAGCTTCGTCGAGTCTAAGTTAAGAACACAGAAAGCGTAGCGCCTTGCTCGGCTGAAAAAATACCAGAAGGGCGCACAATAGAAAAACAAGCGAAGCCAAACTCTGAAAATAAACCTACCCGCAAAAACCCACAGCACCCAGCTGCACGATAAGCGAAAACCTAACACAAAAAACCCCACCGAGCAGCCACCACCCTCACGAACCAAAAAGACCACCGAACACACAAGACCACAGGCGTCCACACTACCACGATAGAAAAACCCACCACGCCGCAGCCCTCTCAAGAGAGACAGCCAACACTCTCTCCGAGCTGGCCGCGCGCCAGAACTAGACGGAGGAGCCGCCGAAGGCTGCCAGTGGCCACAGCGGTCGCCACCCGCACGCAATGACTGCGCCACGCTGCCAACTCACAGCCACACCGAGCGCACACAAACCCAGCGCAAAAACACTACACAGAACCGCGCGCCGCTGTCTCCCTTGCGATCGATGTCGGGCCACGCTCGCGCCCTCTGTGTCTGCATCTGTTCAGCCCTTTCACTGGCCGCGACACAAGTGGCAGACGTGCTGGCACCCCTGGCAGCAGACACGACGGCCCGGCTCGACCATCCAAAAACAGCAGAGAACCTCAAAAGAGAAGACAACACAAGGACGCAGCGCGCCCACCTGTGCACCCACCTGACACCCCAGCAAGTCAAAAGAAAGAAACACCCACGCAACGCGACACAGAGAAGCAAAGCAGCCGCGGCAACTACATGACAGCCGACAAATCTGCGGAAGTCGTGCCGGCGGCTCGCCCCTGCCTCCATCTTCCGAGGGAAAACAGACACGCCCACCATGCCACGCACACATATATCCGAGGAACACAGCGAAGCCACGCAGCCAAGGCAGAAAGTTCACCGCGCGCTACGACGGAGCTCCCGCGCAGTAGGGCGGCAGCGCTGCCGGCCGCCTCCCTTTCTCGCTATCACGCACCCCCTGCGCCCAGCCCCTCCCCCTATTTTCTATCTTGTTCATTCTCCTCGCCGTGAACAAGCAGACTGCTGGAGGTCTAAAGCTCCAGCGTGTGCGCCCGCCGCGGGGCGAGCTCCAGCCACGCCCGCGGCCGTCGCTCGAGGCCCTGCCCGCCGGATGTCGACGACGAAGCGCAGGCCAGAACATCAGGAAAAGCACAAGCAGCCCCTGCCTCGCGAAATACTTGCGGCAGCCATCGCAGTCGCCTGCTCGCTGCGCACGGTCATGAAAGAGACACCGCGACGGAGCGCCCTGACCCTGCCAGAACTCCACACTGCGACAACAAAACAGACGAGACCAAAGCACGACGCCGAAACAGTCACGCACGACGATCACAAAGGCCCAAGGAAGCCCTAAACCAAGAAGGCCAGAACTAACAACCACGAACCGCCACAGACAAGCCGCCAAGTTAACACCTTAGCAGAATTGGGCCAGGAAGCGCCTGCGATGTGCGACAAGAAACACGACGAACCAAAGCAAACAAATAAACAAACAAACAAACAAAACGAAGCGCCAAAAAACGACAGCCCCACGATGGCAGCGCCATAAACTGAACAACAGGAAGCAAGCTCCTCACTCTTGCGGGAGCGCTCCGCGAGCTGATAAGCTAGACTCTTCAAAGCAGAGACGAGACTCTTCACGGATCATTTGAGACTCTTCAAACAAACCTCCAACCGACAGCCCCATCAAATGAGGTCAGCAAAGTGAGCCGCTTAGCGACTTCTCTGACGCCCGGAGGAAATTACTTTTCTATGCGCTGGGCCTGTCGTTTTCCTCTCCGATCGGTTTGAAGAGTCTCACTTCTGGGAATTTTTTCACTGTTTAACTTTGTTTCTCAAATTTTTGGGCAGTCTGCTCAATTTTTTCCAAGGTACCAAAAAACCGACAGCCCCACGAAAACAAGTTAAAGAATCGGACCGGTTAGCGAGTTGTCCGGCGCACTGGTTTCCGTGGTTTTCATATGGTGGTGCTGTCGTTTTTCCATTTAATTCCTTTAAGGACGAAAACAGAGAAAAACAGAAAAGAAAAACAGAGAAAAAGCGGCAAGCGTTAGAAGGAACCGACAGCACCACCACTTCCAAGCGCTGCACCAAGCTCAGCGACCTCGACAAGCCGAATCCTTCCCGCAGAATAGTGTCAGTCGCTGGCCTCTCTGCTTCTCTCGCTGCCACTCTTGCACAAACCAAGAGAGAGCGCCGGGCTTCTAAAATTATAACACGACGAGGAACACCAACACCAACAAAGCGCACAGCACTCAGCAGGCGCCCCATCCTCCTAGCCCTAAAATTCTAACGCGGCGAGGGAGCGGCAGCGCGCTGTACTTTATGAGCCGAGCAACGCTCTACGTAGAAAACGAACACGACACCCGACAAAGCAAGTCTCCTCAAGGTCTCTCGTTCTGTCTTCTCTCCTCTTGATAGACACTACGAACACCGCGAGACCCTAGCTGGCGCCAGTCTGGTCACTGTAAGGTCTCGGCGCTATTCCAGCGCAGTTCGATGCCAGAAAAAGCATGAACTTGAGCCAGAAGGCATAGAGATAAGGTCTAGCTGTAGCACCTGCAAGCGGCTTCGACCGTATGTCCCGCATCACCTTTTTGAGGCTTCTCTCGATGCGCTCCGCCAAAAATTCGAGAAGCTCGCCGCACGATGGTTCCGATTCGCCACCTAGGCCAACTGCTACGCTGATGAGCGTCGCGCCTGGGTTATCTCGCAGCTTCGTAGCCAAAAAGCCCACAAAGTGTTCCGGAGTGGACGCTTCTGCCCCTGTTTGCTCGGAATCGCTTGAGTCCAAGTCCCCACTTGTCTCTTGCCAAGCTTCAAACATTTCCACGCACGCCTCCCTTGCCGATTCCTCGTCCAAAAACATAGCGTTAGCAGCAGTGCGCCCAAAGAGGTTTTCCGCTGAAACAAACGAGATCATTCCACTCACCCACGGAAAGGCCATGCCCACTTTCTCCGCCATGCGCTGCGAACTTGGTACTAGCGTTAGAGAGTGCGACTAGTCCGACGCATTCGAGGTACTCAATGGAAGCGAGATGAAGATTGGTCATACTCTTTGTTTATTACCAGTAAAGAAACACAAAATCCGCTACAGCGTTACTCAAAACAGCAGATTTAGCCAAATTTGAAGTTTGTCCCTATCAAAATCAATAGACTTATAGTTGCCATATGCTTTCCTTCTGCCGTCTGTATAGCTTCTTCGCGCCAACTACTCCTCGCGAACCTGCTGCCTTCACACGCCGAGGCAAAAAAACCATCCAAAACCATTTAAGCGGCACTTTATCGATGTCGAACGGTAGACTCGGTTTGGTTTTCTGCCCACCGCTAGTTTCAGCATCTTCATGTTCCTCAGCAAAAGCGTCAAGCTGTGTAGACTCTTCCTCGGCATTTCCCTCAGCATGTATGCGGGCAATAAGTCTGCGAAGAGTCTTCCTATAGGCTGTCGCAGTTCCTCCAGGTATCCCCTGCTTGCTAGTATTCGCCTTCTTCATCCCCCGCCCTCTCCCTTTCGCCTTCGGCATCCCCTCTTGTGAAGATTAGAAGGAAAGCAGGTCTGTCGGCTCTCAAATGTCCTTTTTTCAAGTGGTGCGCACGCAATGACATCAGTTTTTTCAAAATGAATCCTGGACAGTGTTGGAAGTAAGAATCGCAGTGCCAGTTGTAATTATGCATTGGCTGTAAACTTATGTCGCGTCTAGTATGATGCATCAAGCGACGCCATAAGGCTGCTCCGCTGCTAGCTTCAGCGATGGCGCGTGATCGTTGGTTGGACCACCACCAGGGTCATAAAATTTCAGCAATCCTCCGCCCAAGCCCAAAGGTATCCAGATTTTCCATCCATCATCGCAGAAGATGTACCTCAAAAAGCCACCGTCTGCAAAGCGTTTCTCGATGAAGGGGCATCCTTGTGGCGGATGGTCAGAAACCAATTGCTTTCGCGGCATTTTTTTCGTCTTTTATCTAGTATGTAGATATGCTTGCAGGTATAGCCTAATTCGTATTATGGAACTTGAACAATGTATACACGCATCTTCTAAGTAGTTGATCACTGCTCGGGCTTTTGCCTAGTAGCATCCATCAGGACTATCGAACCTATCCAATTGATTTGCTACCATTGATTCCACTATACTCGCTGTGCCAAGCTAGTCGTACTTACATGATGCATTTCATTAAAATCATTGATTGCCGATTTACTTCAAAGCCCCGCATCGTCCTCTTACGTATCTACTCCGCAGTGGCAGACGATTAAACTGCTCTTGTGAGACAGGTTGTGAATTTATGTTGATCCACCACGCGCTAGCTTTGCGTGCACGTGAGAGCCCATCGTGCTGCTTTGCCACCCACGCGTGCACAAGGAAGCACTAAGATCGTTTGCCCTTGCTGTCAGATATCACAAGAAGATCAGTACGCATGTTGGCAACTGACCTAATTTTAGCGGCATCAGCATCACTGATTTAATTCATTCACTCGAGCAGTAGACCCTGGCCACATTAAGCTTTCTCCTTCTCTGATGCTGATCCGTGCATTACAATTACAATTTTTTCGAAGGTTCGACGCACCAATGGAACTAACATTGATTATCAGCAAGTAGGAAGTTCTGCTCCTTCCATGGTTTGAGGAGATTGATCCGCACGCTATCAAAACTCGGCCTCCGCTGAGATGATGCTTGTTGCTGAAGGAGGCCTGAACACGTGTTCTTTCATCCAAGACAATCGCCTCCAAAAAGATTTCCAAATCACTGCAGATAGCGTCCTCCAGGACTTGAACAGGCAAAGCCGTGGCTGCTTTTTCGCATAATAACACGATGGGCACTTTTATCACTGTCATGTCATGACTATGATGCCTATATTCATACTGGTGGGGAAAACGACGCTGGGACTCGCGACTGTTCTGTTGGGTGAAGGAAAGGTTTTTCTTGCTGGATAGATATTGACAGCTGGAGAAGTAGCGCCCCCACAGCAACTCTGTGTTGGATTTTCCTTGGCATACCAGTTATTCAACCCGCCTGGCAACTAGTTGTACCATATGAGAAGCTAACACATTATGCGTGAGCTCGCTCGCTCCAGTCCATGCGGTTACGCAAAACACTGAATCCATCAAGGCTACAACTGAATTAGGAACGTATTCGATAAGATAACGAATAAGCTCTGTTTTGGTGACCGTAACTCCTAGCGATGTTGGCACCTGTCTAATCCATATAGCTAACGTTCGGGAGAGTCAAGAAATTTAAGAATTAGACGTGCTACAGAATAGATTAACTGAAGGGGTATCTCATGGGTAATATTAATAAATCACAGGAGACTTCTTTTCCACCTAAGTTGTTCATTATTAGTAATCCTATATAATGCACCTAGAAAACGAAATCTTTCAACTGCGTCTAGTAGGTGCAACTCCAGTTCGATAGCCCTCCTCTCATATCCTCCAGAGTCTTGTACTATGAACAGCTTTTACTTCCACAAAAAATCTGAAAATTTTATTCTTATCGTCAAACTTTAGCTTTCGCACCTACGAATGATACTGACTTGACAATTTTAAAATGCATCATCTTCGCTGCTTTTCTTGGTCGACATGTTGTTAACATAAATGATTACTACTTCGTTATCAGTTCGTTCCGTTCAATGAATAAAATTACCCAGCAAGGCAATTCTAGCACATTGTTCATCAGCAGGAGCAGCGGGAAGAAAATAATCAAACATGCGATAACTCACATACTCGAGGTAATTCATAATCAACAAGATACTGCATGAAACTGGACTTCATTTCAGATATTGAAGAGATTTCATTTCATCTACTATATTGAGTCAGAAGCTTTGAAAGCTCCTGCTCCGCATAATTTCACTGACAAATTAACGACAATAAAACATGCACGAAACACATAGAGGAACTACCTAAGCACTTGCCTGAGTATCAGATAGATGCGCGATAGCTGTACTAAAATTAACGCTCTTCTTCACAACAATACCACTTAAATTCTACTCCTATTGAATGATAGCAAGGGTTGCTTTATCAAAAGCAGACTTTTAGCAATTCTATGTATATGAAGAACGCTAACAAAGAAACAGCTACTTCTATCATCGAATAGGTAGAAGCATACTATGCTCAAGTTTTTCAGTTCCTACTATCTTTTATCTGCATACTTCCCCAGAATCCTTGCATTCCACCAACATCCACTGATATTACGCCTGTCCTACCTCATTCGTGCCTGAGAGTGAGGATCTAGATTGGGCATCGTCTGCAGTAAGGAACTGGGATCTTTAGTAGGATTGTATCAAGGTACCTATCTTTTTATATCTTAACAATGCAGCTACAAACACCTCCAGAAAGTTCATACGTCACAAACAAGTGATACCTACTCTCCCATTCGGCCATGCCTCTCCTTCCATCATATTGCGCACACTCCTCCTTAGATCTGCGACATTGGGGGCATGCCGGAAGTGCTGTCAACGTTCATTATATTTCCATTCAGTATACTTGAGCGCATTACTACCACTACTACTACTACTTATTTCGATTTCTCTTCATACGTTTCAAGCTCCTTTCATAATTTTTCTCCTTCTGGTAAACAAGAGCGGCTACTTCTGTGATCCGAGTTGTCCTTTGATCTTCTATTCTAGCACTCGCAAGAAAGCAAAAAGTGAGGTATACCCGTCAAATTCCTCCTCGTAGTTATCCTCATCAACATCTTGCTGCAATCCACGAAATTTTTCGGCAAGGCCTCCTCTCGGTGCTGCTCCTGCTGCTCCATACCTACATGTGTTGTATCATCGTGTCTTCATCAAAAAAGTCGACGATCTATTATAGTGGATGGGAGAAAAAAGAAAAAAGCTCGATCACTTAGAATCAACATTTGCAGCGAAATTGTGTACAACCTACTATCTAACAACTATGAATCTATTATTACGAAGAAGAGGACGATGATCCCCCCATGGTGGTGGTAGTCGTCTTCTGTTTTTTAGAAGCAGGTCCTGTGACAGTATCGACGTCCTCCTCGTTCTCATCATCATCGGACGACGCCACCGAGGAGACATCAGACATGCTGCCGAGACTGCCATCCGCGATAGATTCATCATCCTTGTTGGTGCTCACAGGAGAAGAAGACGGCGCCTTCTTGTCGATGGTGGTCTCCGAGTCCTTGGCCTTGGCTCCCACGGGCTCTCCGCGCTGGCGTTGCTGAGCCACCTCAGCCATCCGCTTCAGACGGTCCATCTTCTCCTTGATTTTCTGACGTCGTTGCTGCTGGCGAGCGCGGCGCTCAGCTTTGCGGCTTTCCTCAGCACGCTCGAGTCGATACTTCTCGTTCATCGCCTCCATTTCGCGGTCCCGCTGCTCTGTGATGTAAAGATTATGACTATCTCCCATAGGTACAGAGAATTGCTCTGAAGACAATTTCTTATGGTGCATTAATTACAGCTCCTTACTCATGATCGTAGATATCAGTCACGTCTTTTTCGCGAGTTGCTTGAGAAAGAGAAGAATGAACTTTTTAGTACCGTCTGAACACCATAAAGTTTTTAGTACCGTCTTCGAATTGAAACACCCAACTGATGAGTTCACTGTGTGCATTCGAAAATATCCTGGCAAAGGAATGCTTCCCAACATTATCTTCTCCGCGCAACGTGCGGTTTTTCATATTCGTCGAAGCCTGGGTAGATGCGAAAAGTAATTTTAAGATAAGGATACTGAGAGTAGAAGTAGTTGTAGGATGATAAAAAGCAAGTGCAAGTCGAGATATTATTAAACTTCACCACGCAGAAATGGAATAGTACACAAACAGTATTTTAAACAATAGAGCGAGCAATATAATATAACGCATGGTCTTACTAATGTGATAAACTTTACCGCGCGAATAAGCGTATCCACATCCACCTCGTTGACCGAATACATTGCCAGCGCACGCATGAGATCATCAAAGGTCTTCAAGGTTAGCTTCATCACGCTTCCCATTTTTGCCCAGTTTGCCGCTAGGCACTCGCCAATGAGGACCACGAAAAACTTGGCGTCCTCCGACATTAACATCAATTCGGCAACCTGAGAGCAAACGGTAATCTAACTTTTTAGCTCATCTTGATGAATGATGTACATTTTTTATATCATGCACAAGGAAGCCAAATACAGTTTGGCTAATGTACAGAAGAGAAGTTGGCACATTCGATGGATGTCATGTAGTGGGAAAAGGTCGTGCTTGCTAGTGAAACAGAAGATGCTCGCTGCCCAGATAGATTTTCTAACCACACGATACCCATCGCAAGAGATAGTCGATGTACCTTCCACTTGCCGGCACTGAATCCTGCCAGAATTCCGCATAGTTGCTCGCGCTCACACAAACGCAAATCCGCAACATGAAAGCGAGTGGGGCAATACTCGGGGAAAGCTGAGTACTTACGGTAAGGGCAACTTGGATAGTTCAACTCTACAAAGCATTGCTCGTATTGGGACATAAAACGGAGAACACCAACCTGACAACAACTGAAATTTAAAGTCACAGCATCGCATTCGAAACAAAAAGTCGATAGACCAGTGAGAGTGGAAGTATTGTGAGATAAGTTCTAACCCTTCATAATTCGTGTCGTTTATCTTGTTCGCGTTGCCCGACAGGGTAGTCTTAGAGCTCTTTTGCGCGTCCGTCATTTTGTAGTACTAGTAGTCTCAGGAGAGACAATGCGAGCACAACTCTTACTCTGACGAGTTAGAACTTATAAAGGCTACAAGACGACTTCTGCTTCCTTCAGTGGTAGTTAGTTTTTCTTCATGACCAAGGACAAAGGAGCGAAAGCGTATTAGAAGATGTCATCAAACAATGCTGGCAAGTTCAATCTCGGCACTTATGAAAATGATCATAGAGGAGCACAAGCGAAAACCTGGTAGGTGGCCACCCTCATCACGTTGCCCTAGATGAATAAACGCAGCGACTCTCCTAACAAAATGAAATCGCGGATCCTTCACTTACACAAGTTCTCAGCTAGTAGCTACGCTGGGCATGCCATTACTAGCTAAGGACAAGCTTGGCTCTCTAAAAAAACAGACCAAGAAAAGCTCTCAGATGGTTCACTAGAGTTCTCTCAATTCGGAAAGAGTATCTCTACTAAACTGTGTCTAGTTCTTGCTCGCTCCTGTGTTTATTGCCCAGCAAGTGACTTCCTTCTTCTGAGTTGTATTCTCAGCAGGTGCAAGGAGAATAAACTCCAGCAAAAAAATGCTTCATCATTATGATAGATTTACAACATCCGGTTTTTTTGAGAGGTATAAGCGCAGCTAATAGCTGTCTCTACGTCCTCAATTCAAAGAAGTCTAAGTACTAGATGAGTGTGCACGTAGGAAACAAAAGAAAGCGTCACAACCATACTCGTAGACCTCTAAACTCTGTAGATCTTCAAAGCGGAAATCTCTTAATAATCAAGTACAGACTCTATTTGAAAACAAGAAAAATAAAACATAATATCTTCTAGCAGACCTTGAAAGAACTTACAAAACAATACTTCTCAGAACAAAAATCTTGAGTGATAATATGAAAGACGATCTCGCTCCACATTCAAAACAAGACATAAAAATGCATCTGAATACTTGTGCTCTCTCTCCATCTTCAAACAAAAATGATAAAAATCAACCCTGAAACTAATAGTAAAAATTTTTCTAAAAATTCTAAATGATGCAAAAATAAGTCAAAACTTCAATGATGTGAAAGAGACACGACTTTCCCAAGAACAAAGATCCTCACGAACACTTCTTCGCCTCGCCTCTTTCGCGTGAAGTGGCCTGCTCTGGGGACAGCCCACGAACGAGCTTCCACAAGTGCAATATATCAGTTCTGGACAAGATCAGCGTGTGCTTGATACCTTTGTTGTGATTGATGCATGTTGACATCTTGTACTCTGATCTCCATAGATTCAAGAGAACCTTCCAGTTTTCAAGAACAATACTACAGTAAGGAAAATCGTGACTGAAGTCACCAATGACGTAAAACTTCGCTCCTGTAAAGTAAGATACTGATGCATCACATTGACGTCTGCCTACAGCGTGTATTTGTACATACGAAAAATCCCATCCGCTATCTTCCCCATCGCTACCATCATCTGCTTCGCTGAAGAATCTTTGGATTCTTTAGATGGTAAAGCGGTCCTCCTTGTCCTTCTTGTTGTTGTCGGTTCCGGTCTGGGATTCATCCTGTGTTGCAGTTACGTTAGCCATTAGTGAACGAATTTGATAATAAGTTAACGAGTCTAAAAGTATCTTCAATCTTTATCTTCACTGTGAGGGAGTAGTATTTGAGTAAAATAGGTCGCAGAGTATTAACCAAACCACCATAGCACTCTGTGCTTCGGTGTATCGGAAGACCATATTAGTTGTAGTACCGTCAGGCCGCGTTGTTCTCCGCACTGGCGCTTGGGAGCTGGTTCCTCAGCAGAGGAGGCACCAAAGAAAGAGTCCAGGGACAACATCATGGAAGATTCTAATCCAGTTGTCGAAACAGAAGAACTGCGTGGCGCGGCCGGCTGACGCTGCTCCGGAACCTGGTAAAGAATGTTCAGGGACGTTTCGTCAGTTGTAATGAGTTTAAGGCTACTTGGTGCGTCTTCTAAAACTCCACGCTATACGGTATAAGAAGAAGACTTCTAAAGCTCTATTAGGGGAAGAACAAGAAGGCTGTGATAAGAATGCCAGTCATGATAAGCCATGAAGTAAATTTAGTACCACAGTAGAAGCCAGACCATCTTTGCTCTCTTTCAAATCTTCCGCTTGCCCTTGCGCTTGCGCACCCGGCATTTGCCAGATTGGGATGTTGTTCACCATGATGACCTGTGAGAAGTAAAATGGAAAGATCAGGGTAGGAGAGTATCTTTACAGTGATGGTTGTCAAGTTGCAACAACTGTCAAGTTCTTTCTAAAAATCGAAAACGGTTGCTGATAATGATTATATCAGGAAGATTGTGAAGTGAAGCATACAATCTAAATATGAATATTACTGTGCTGCCAGACAAGGAGTCTCCACCTGGCGCGTTTCCTTTTCCATTGTTATTACCCTTACCGGAAGCGAACACGACCTCATTGTTATTGCCTGCACCAGCACCAGGGTCATTTCCATTGTTCGCGGCTGGACCGAGCACATTGCCAAGAATGTTGTTGTTGTTGTTGCTTCCAGCCGGAGGCGGTGGAGGCGGGTTGGCCTTGGCGGCGGCGACTGGGGCAGCGGTTGCAGCACCTACGCGCGGAGATCCACGTGCCGGGGACAAACGGCTGCGGCGGCCCATGGCTTCCCACTCTACCTGGTAAGAAGATAATTTGACGACGATCAAAATCATTACGAGATACATAACAGCGTCTTTTTCTAGTCTAGCTCTTATTAAAAGTCCCAAGCTTTGAAAAATAAATGACTTCATGCATTATCAGTTTCGTTTATTCTAAAACGGCGCAGAAACGCACCGATATCTCAATTATAGTCTGAAACTAAAAAATCTAAATGTTCTAAAAACAAGATCAGACATTACTCCTGACTCCTGTTGGAAGCATTTACTACGTACCTGTACCATACGGTGCCCGCCAAGTATAATGAACGGCTTCGCGTACCTGGGTGACGGTGTCTTAGAAGTTTGGACCCTAAACCTGTGACCCTCTTAGCAATGCCTCCTAGACTACAGTTAGCAAGAGCACTTCTTCTGAGAGGGTCTGCACTCCTCGAAACCTCAAGCTACATCATCTTCGCGCCATAATCATCCATCGCCAGCTTGACAATGCTCAGAGTCTTTTCGATCTTGCAGATTAGAGGAAGCTTGCCGATTTCCATGGTGAGTATGATAATGGTGATGATGACGATCAACGTTTCTACTTTGAAACCAAGAAAGACTAGATGCGACGCAGAGCTGAGACCACTACTAGTGTGGGATCAAAATGGAATCAGTTTTCGAATGTTTGTGCCATAATTCAATGCCGCCCATCAGCCCCAGCTTCAGCATTAGATAGGAGCCAGTCGTGGTGTCTGAGACAGACACTTACAGCAGGACCGTTGGTATAGGTAAGCGTCTGATCAGAATAGTTGCTCCTTTTTCGCTAAATGAGAAAGCTCAACTATGAGCTCTCTCTTCAAGAATGCGAGTACCTAAAGCATGCACTTGAACTAAACCAAATTCTTAAGGACGAAGTCGGTTGCTTGTCGTTGACCATGTGCTGGCAGACTTTGACCGTATTGCCAATTTCTTTGATTAGAAGGTTTTTCTTCGTATACTCCTGCTGTTATAATCATAACAGGCAGGCATCATAGACATCTAAAGATAGTGCGTTGCCTTAATTTGAACGCATCCAGCACGTCGCTCCGTTTGAAGTCGCTGTTTACACGCACGAATTTCGAGAACACCGGCATTTTCTTGAAGTCAAGCTAATTAGCTAAGGAAAGTAACAAAGTTCTTAAGACTTTAGGATACCTGAAATATTTTCTAAATTTCAGACCAACGATTTAGATTTCTAAGATTTAGGAAACAAATTCGAGCTCCAGCGATATAGTGCATCCATTCATGATTCGTAGAGAAGCTTAGAAATCAGACAGCGTAAAAAGCAGAGATCAAGCAACATGAAACCAAAGCGATGCCCATTATCAGAAAACAAGGTAAATAGATGCGCAGTAAGCACTTCTAAACTAATGTTATCTAAATCTAAAAATACCAGGATACTCATTCTTACTCTGAAGTATTACCCTACGTGCATAGCCCTACTAACATTCCGTCTATCCCTTCGGGGAGAATGGGGCAAAAAAAAGATGGCTTTTAATTACAACCGACTTGATTGACGATTTCTGCAAAACCGACTTGATGCTTATCAGAAATTTATAGTGAAGCTGCAAAATTTCTCTACTAGTGCAAGCACTCTCGGACTTTTCGCTCTTCATCTACCGGATGAAGGTAGTACTACATCGGGGCTGCAAAAAAAAAACCGATACTTAAATGCTCGAAATGCACACCGAAATCCGAATTAAAGACTTTGCGCAACTTCGTAAGCGGTCCCGGAAGCAATCTGCTTGCAGACCTTCATCTACAGCGGAGGAGTGGTCTCCTGGTTCGCCACCGCAATGCATACATCATGCAGCTTCAATGTCCACAGCGCAACTAGAATTATGGCGTTGTTCAGTTTCAGTTAGTGCGATAATATGGATAACGATGACAGCAATCTACGAAGCTCATCATGATGCCTAAGTCCGAGATGGTTGAACCATATGACAATCAAGGAGCAGAATCTTCTCAACCACATAAGCCTTGTTCTTGCAATGATCCATCTGAGTCTACAAGTTCATCACCGCAACAAGCGGCAGCTGTATTGTTCATAGCCCGGCTCTCAAGTATAACAATCACAGCCATGCGAAACGGTGGCACGCGTCTTCAAAATGTTATCATCCTCGCCTGCCTATGACACTAAGTATTGAACTAGGCCTACTCACGTGTCCTGCTGGCACGCATGGTTTTTCTAAACGAGGCTGCAGAGACGCGCTGCCCCATGGGAACGAAATCAAGAAACCTAGCCAACGTTGCGTGTACAAAAGAGCGCGACAGGAATGCAAAGAGTCATGCTGGTGGTAGCTAATGTATCTAAATCAATGGTAGCATAAACAGTCAAACTTTCCACGATTAGAAACCCATGGAGATCTCTGGCGCTTTTACTATACTTATATTAGTGACGGAAGAGCCACAACTACTTACTTGCCTCTACTTCTGCAATTGATTCTACTTACTTGCTTTCAATCAAGAAAGACTAGGATGTCTACTCAGAAGCTGCTACTAAATCAAGGATATTGGCAAAGCAGATGAGACAGATTTAGATGCTAGCATATGTTTCTTCTTATGGTACTGCAAAGGGCCGTAGGCTGTTTGCAAATGAAAAGCGTTATAGTCTTTGGTTGGCCCTAGATTTCGCCATACGTAATGCTGTGAAGCGCTTTTCAAATATTGCTAACTTTTTCTCAAAAGCCCCCCACCAGTCATCGCCAGTACTTAATTCCCAAAGTCCCACTTTTTGCATTTCTCGACGGTTCTGTTTTACTAGCTTCAACGTCTCTTCCTCAGCGGCGATGCGTCGAAGAATCTCTCGAGGCTCCACCTCAAGAAAGTCTGGTAATTTTCTGACTTTGTCTTCGTTGAATGTGTTAGAGCTCAATACTCAAATCCAGTGCGAAGGCCCCTTACGACTGTTTTCACGTTGAAACTGTTGTCAGTTTCCATTTTAAGTAGCCAGAGGCCTCCGAGGATGAAATGAGGACTGCCTTAAACGTAGATAGCCACTTTTTGACTTGCGGGTACAGCGCTGCAGCAGCCCGCTTCTCTAGTGCATGTCGCCGCTCGATTTCCCAATGCTCCTCGTCATCTAGACCATGCTCATCGAGGACGTCATAGGCGGAAAAACCCTGCTGCGCTGGCGCGAGCGCCATTTCTTCGTCAAGTAATAAGTCGTCCTCTTGGTCTTCTTCTCGTTGTGGCTTTTTCCTACTCATCTTCATCTTGCCAGCCTTGTTCCTTGATGCGCATGCTTTCTTCTTCTTGTCTAATACGCACAGCACGTTCTTCTTGTTCTTACTACTAGCACTTCCCCCGCCCTTCTTCACATTTATGATTCTGTTGCCGCTACTGCTTTTCGCTGTTCCTTTTCCTGCTGCTTTTGCTGGGTTGTTCACAGCAGGGCTCTTTGTAGATTTTCTGGAAGTTTGTGGCCCCTTCATCATCTCTTGCTCAGCGTCAGACTCAGGCGGAAGTAAACGCTCAGCGGCTTTCATGCTGGCCTTTGATGCCTTTTGTCTCTGACGACGACTTGATCTTTCTGCGTTGTCGTAAGGACCATCGTCAAATAAGTCGCCGTCCTCGCTCAGCTGTAACTGGTCTGACTTTTTCGTTTTCATTTTTTTGCTCCCAGCCTTAATTTGCTTTTTTACTTCAGGCTGTCTCTCTAGTGCAGCAGGTGTCGCTCTGCAGGATGTTTTGCAGGATGCAGCAGTTGTCGCTCTGGTGCTGCCCACTTTTGCAGCCCCTGGAGCGATGTTCTCATCATGATGATCTATTTGGTCGTCTACGGCAGACGCCCACGGGTCAAGAAGCTCGTAGTTGATGTCACTAGCTGATGGCTCATCACCACCACCACCAAGAATCCCTACTAAAAAGGAGTCCCTCTTCTCCTGCTCCTCTTCAGGATGGACTTGCTCGGACATCAGATCAGAGTTAGGCTCACGCCCTATCTCGGTGAGATTGCTGCAAGAGCATGGACTACGACGCAGCCCCCACTCCTCGAAAGTCTTCGCGTCTGTCTCAGGTGTGGCGGCAGCAAAGAAATTGCTCAGCGCTTGATAATCTTCGTCCTTTTCTCCATTTTTCTTCACCACCTGCCTGCCTCGAGATTTTGCGTGTTTTGGTGTTTTCGTCTTCATACTCTTGACCTGATGGAAGATTGCGATGGGTACATAAAAAGCCTTACATCTTCTCGCGCCAGGGTTGGAGATTTATTTATCTTCATACGCATCGTGAGGTAATGCTTTGTGTGTAAGTACGAACTAAATAACTAGAAAGAATTGATAGCCTAACGTGATAGATGCGTCGAGCTATATTCTGGAAATAGAAATCTTAGCACGAACCCGCAGTCCGCCCCCGCGCTCCTCCTACATACCCCCAAAAACGAGGAGCGCCGCTCGCCCCCAAACCTCGCCCCCGGTCCGTCCGATCCGGCAGCGCTAACGCCGAAAGACCAGCACAAAGAACCCCGCCAGTCGCCTGGACCCGCTCCGCCCGGGCACCCCCTCCGCCGGCGGCCCCGCCAAGGCCAGCCTGCTACGCTACCCCCTTCAGAAGCCCACGAAGGTCCCCCGCTTGCATAATTAAAACGAAGCGGAGACGCCAAAGCACCCGCAGGCGCAAACACCCCAGCGCGGCACGAAAGCGCGGCCCGTAAGAAATGACCCCAATAATTTGCGAAGAGCGGGGCCACCAAAGCCCCCCGCCCTTGTTTCACCAATGTCCGCAGAAGAATCCACGGAAAACCGGGCGCCCTGCTTCCTCCGCCATCCATCTCCCAAAGCGGCCCCCTTCCTCCGCGTCTTCTCTCGCCGCCACAGCTTCCCTCGTCATAGCTGCAGCAAATAACGCAACCCCCGCCGCCGTATGCGGCGGACCCGCTCGCCGAATGTCTACGACGACGCGCAGCCCGCCTCCCACAACGCGGCAGCCCTGCGCGGGCTTTGGCGGGTGGCGCGGTGAAGGCGGGAAAACAGAAAGAGCGCAAGCCTGCAACCTTCTCAAAGCGAAGAGCCAAGCGGCGCCACCCCGCCAAATCTGTCGGCGGCGAGCCCATTCCGCGGCATTGCTTCCCGGCCTCTGACGGCGCCCGCTTTGTTCTTGTTTCTGCTTAGTGCCTTCCTCTCCTCGAAGACGCGCCAAGCCGCAACTTCTTGGCAGCCAAGTCCCGCCGACTGCTCGCGCGGGTATCAACATACTGAATTCCGCCAACGACAACCCCGGGAGCGAATTCTTGCGGAAGCTCATCACCACGAAGAAGCGGGGCACCCAGCGACGTCAGCGGCGCAAAATGCTCCACGAAGGCGCTCGCCGGCGCTACGGCCTGGCCGATATTCACCAGCGAAAAAAAAAAATAAACCTTTCGTCTCTTCGCCTTCTTCATAGCCTTAGCTTTCTTCGCTCGCTTCATCGGCCCACGTGATCGGCGTCCTACGCCTACCAGTTCCAATTGCGAATGAAAATCCACCGGCGGACAGACCCGCCCAGCGTCCCGCCAGTTCTAGTTGCGTGATAAAAACTGCACCGCTCGACCCGACGCCGCTCAGTTAGCGCGATCCCACCGCAGCAGCATCCGATGGCTTTGGACTAAGAGCGCGGAGCCCGACAAGATGAACGGCATGACCGTGAGGCCGTTAAGAATTTAGAGCCCAAATCCGCGACGCCCCTCCTGCGTTTCAGCGTGGTCACCAAGACAACAGACGAAAGGGGTCCGCGCATCAGGCTGCGCCCGCTTTGCAGTCCCTGCCCCGAAAGCTTTGGCGCACCAAAGTGCGCGCACCCCCATCACCCGGCGCGTCTGCTCTCCATCGCGGCCCCCTTGCTTGGCATGGCCATCCGCTTGGAACAAAGCAAAACAAGCGCGCAACCCTGGGGCCGTGGATGACCCAACACACCCCGGACCGACGTCCCCGCGTCCTTCGGCTTCGGCCCATCAGAGCAAAGCCCAAAAAAATCGACAACGAAGGAAAGGCCTCGGGCAAAGCCCTTCCCCTGTTGCGTACTGAGCAGCCGACGCTCCGCCATCCGTTCAGCCGCTGCGACAAGTGAGGCCGGCCGCTGCATTGTAGAATCATCAGACATCCACACTAAATTATGAGTACCTTCGCTCTTGGTTCCAGACCACTCCCTTCCGCTTTGCAATTCAGCGCGGGAGCGATCGGCTTTTCGTCTACTGGGCTATGCTGGTCGAGCGCTGGACTTGTTTCCTGTGCCCTACTGTCAAGCAACCCACTCTCAGCCGTCTTCTTCTCCGGTGTAGACGTTTCCGCAAACGATGCCGGTAGCTCTTCTCCCCGAGCTGATGCTTCGCATGAATCTATAAGCATACCATGAAAATTCGGATGCTGAATGCTAGCCGCGCTAGATTTTGTGCCGCCACGACCTGAGAGCGATTGCCAAGTAATCAGGTCTACACACAGAAGGCGACTCCCATCTTCACGACAAAGACAGAAAATGAAAAGTAGATGCTCTTGCATAATTCGTAGTCCTGCAGTTCGACCTAGATGGCGATCACAATCAGAAAAGAACTGCTCAGATGTACTCTTTTTTTTGGAAAGATAAGAATTGAGTGACCATCTAGAGAACCAAGTACCAATGAGAGAGCACAGGCCCGCCATGCTATCACTCTGCGACCCTTCCGCATCCCCTTCCTCACTGAGTGTATCAAGCTCGCCGCGCTGATACGCACTCAGAAATTTCTGAAGATGCGATGGCATGTTCGGCCTCTGGACCTGCTTGTTTGCAATCGTTGGAAGCGGGCTGCTGCAAACTTCGACGCTACTAAATGGCGACTTTGTAGTTTCTTTTCCTAGATGGTCTCCGAGGGTAGCTGCGTCACCTTTTTCTCCTCCTAGAACTTTCACTCCGTCACAATGGCCTATCTTCGTCTGCTTCTGTCTGGTGCCTCGTCCACCTCCTCTTTCGATTTTACTGCTGGCGATAGGATTGACACGCGCAGAATGGCCTCTACGCTTTTTCGCTATTTTCGTGCCAAGATGTTGCTGCTTCGTCTTACTATCCTCCTGCAGTTCCCACTCTGCTAATATTTGAGCGACCTTCCGGTAGGCACGAGGCACGGCCGGACGCGCCGGCTCCCGCTGGAGTCAATAAGAGTGCTACACGTATGGAAAGCGATCACTTGGATCATCTTCAATAGAACGAGCTATGAACTCTCCTCCATCCTAAATCACAAGCTTCAGCTTCTAAAATGATCAATTTCGGTCTGGCCTTAACCTTGCCCCAAACAAGTAGCCGGTCTGATTGCAAAGTGAAAAAGTGGACGCCTCGATGGGTCAACTACATCATCGACGAGAAGCGGCAAGTCTGGATCCCCACAGTAAGAGTTGCTAATGCTGTCTCCTTGCTCTTGATGCTGTCTTTCGTCCGCAGTGAGAACCCCACTCCCTTTTGTCAATTTGCTACCAGTGCCATCGTTACTAGACACCTCTCCAAGACTCTTTATTGTCTGCTGTTGTACAGGACTGCAGTTCCGACTACTTGTGCTACAAGATGCTAGCAGATGCCGCGCGCCACTAATATCTGAAATCTGCCGTCCTCGCTCTTGGGCAGAGCCATCAGGTGACCATGGTAGAGACGCAACCGCAGATGCGCGAGTTCTCTGATCTGTTATAACCAGAGCAGATGGAGATCCTTTCTCGCCCGGTAGTGCAAGTAATGAAGAGCGACGCTTCTCCTCCTCCAGTCCCGTCAGCAAGTCGCGCTGACAAGAACTGCAAGGCTCTTGAGGTTGAGCTGCACCAAAATGATATGAGAGTAAAATTGCATGAAGAGAATATGGCGAATGGTGTATTATGATAATTAGCTGCACAATGGTGCATTATGATAATTAGCTGCACTGTTCAAAAAAAGAAAGAACATATACATTATACAAACGTGCGTTCTACGAGACCGATTACGGGGAAACTAGCTGACTCAACAAAACAAATTATTACCGGCGCGGAGGGATACTTTAACTTTTCGAGTTCTAGTTTGGTCGTAGGACTTAATTACTTTTATTAATCATGCTGCTGCAATAGGTTGTACATAATCATACCGATAAGCTACTGTCGCTACAGACCATCATGCGCATGGCGTCTACCAAGGTTCACTATAATGCAAATTATTACACTTTTACAGGTAACAGACTGTAGGCCAACACCATAAGCACATCGAAAAGCGTAACGCCTCATCTAGTACTCCTTACTTCTGGTGGAAGTGATCAGAGATTTCTCATATTTAGTAATTTCATATAAGTATATCTATGTCAAAGAAAAGTGGTAGCTGTTTTATGAGTATGTGGCTGTCGTGTGTAAATCAATTGCCTGTGCAAGTACATCTGAAACGAATTCTTACGTGGCAGAGATTCGAGCTTCATGGCAGGAGCTCATATCTTAAAGCCGAGGAGAACTAAAGTATAAGTATACATAATGCCTCATTTTCTGCGGATCGTAAACAATGACAGATATTGATACGCAGCCAGAGCAGACGCTTTCTGAATAAGAAGCAGAAAGCAGGTAAGTCCGTAGTCTACTTATACGCAAGGTATTTACATTAACCGACAGACACCACTTGCCAACTAAAAATTCTTACTCTATACTGAAGCACTGACTTCTTCTTTAGCAAAGCAACAGATTTCGGTGGCATGTCGAAAGTTGTCTTGACCTAAGATCGACGATTGAGGTTGTACTTGTAGTTGAAAATTGCTCCGCGCTGGAGCTGCAGATGTGAAGGCAATTGCTAAAGGGCTGCAGCAGCAATCACCAAGAAACTAAACTAATACGATTGAAAACCAAAATAGATTATCGTTATCAATACAGATAGCACTAATATGACGTAGATCCGTCTACTTACTGTGCACGAGACTACAACAGGCAAACTTACTCCTGAGCTCCTTCATCATGATCTACTTGAAGTACGATGTGACTATGTTAGACTGATTATGATCGATGTTTCTGTGGAGATGAAGTATGATAATTATAGCAAGAAAGTATATCACTGCTGAATAAAATTAGTTTACGGATTCTAAACTCCCCAAAATGCGAAAGGATGAAGAAGCTCGATGACCTACGTCGTCCTTATTCTATGTTAGTCCTACCCTCCCCGTTCTGTCGATCCTTTTCGCACTGTTTCCTATCGGTTGGGATGATGTTTCAGATTCGGATAGATGGACGCACATGATTGACGAGCATCAGTGGATGTCGATGAGTCACGATACGTTATTCCAGAGACTCCCTCGTCACACTTTCTTATAAGCTTTTCATCTACAATTTCAAAATCGACGCACTGACTAGATAAGACTAAAAAACACTCATTCCAAAAACGCCAGCAGCTTTCTGAGTTCAACGGTGCGGTGATTGAGAAGCACTATCCTTTCGTCATTGATGGTGGATTACGCGAGTGGCTTTTTGAGAAAAATAGAAATCAAAAGGCGAAGGCGTCATGATGAGAAAAGCAACGAATAAACACTGCAAATGAACCCCAGAACAGGCCAGGCAACTAGAAAAGCAAATATTAAACTTAAAGTCAAAATCAGCGGAGCAGATAGAAGAAGCAAGGCAAGCAGTTCATTATACCAGAGTAGGAAAATCTGCTGTGCCAGCAGAATCAGAGCCCCTCTCTCATTTAGAAGAGTCCCACACGAAAAGCAGCAAGTCCATATAGTATAAAGATTCAGGCAGCTAGAGCTAGCATCAAAAAAATTGGCAAGCAAAGCTATCAAAATGAATCGCGCCACCGTCTTCAAGATGAGTTATCACTGATGCAGAAGAAGCAGCCAGATGGATCCTATCGCCCTCAGTATTAATATCTTCAATTATGCACGACACGTAAATTACAGATCTGTTAGACAAAAATGATCATGAGAATCCACGCGCGCAAGCCCTTGCTTCGAAACAAAAAGGTAGAACCTACTTTGCATTTGGATTCTTCCAGCATTGGATCAACGTCTTTTCGGCTTTTATCGATTGCTAGACGCAAAGACTTTTTTTAGCAGGGTGCGACTTCTTCTAATCGAAGATCTCATCTAAAAAATTAACTCCCAGCCATAGACAGTTTCACCATTCTACGCACCCACATCAGATCAGAGTGCTGCTGCTGACTAACCACCATTGGTAATGGTATCATGCTGATTTTGCCGCATGCTGGAGATCAGCGCTCTATTAAAAATCGCGCTGGCGCTTCCTGAATTCACTCAATCCTGGAGACAGGGACGCACCAGGATGCCCGAGCAAATGCTAGGCGAAATAGATCATTTAGGTAGCACAGCAATGGCTATACTCCATGCCCATGGTTGTCAGAAATACGGAGACCATTCTGTCGAACAATATCAAGCAGAAAGCACCACTTGCGACATTACAGCACGCTAGTGCGCGCCCACTTTCAAGAACAGTAACACGATCTGCATCAAGCACGACAACTCTTCATCTTCTAGGACGCATCATCCTCGAACAGAACCCGTAGTAGTTATCATTTTGATGAAGCTGTCAAGGTTAGCACCAAGAACAGGAAGGTCATTGAATGATATAGCTTCTGAATGACCTAAAAGAACATGCTCGCCATGTCATCAAAACAGACTTAGTCCAGGCATTTGAAGATGGGCCTGCAGTCTCACATGAGAGAGATTTAGAAAGCTGCTCCATTTCATATAATGTTAATACCCCAGATGGAAAAGCAAAAATAGAAATACTAGTATAGAAAGCAAGCTCTTCTGTAAACTTTGTAATTTGCGACGGTCCAAAGATTGCCTGCTGACGATGATCTTTATTGATGTCTTGTCACTTCGGACGTCCATCAAAAAACTTTGCGGCCCACCATCTCAAGTACACAACGCCGTGGAACGTTGAAAGAGATAAAGTTGAAGCCCTCTTCTAGTGGGGGAATTCCTTGACCTTTTGTAATGCCCGCGCTGAGTACCCAGCTAAGCCTCCTCCCTCCCTCCATCACAGACAAATCTCAGGTAAATAAAAACAACAATGAAAAGATGGCCTCTGTCAACAGGAAGCTGTTCTTCAGTTTATTTATCAGACGAGACTCACAGTACCCGCCCGATCGTCCCCCAACGTATCCCCTTTCAGGTCGGAGGATCAGAATGCGCCACGTCAATTCAAGAAAATCCTACTGCTGCGAATGTCTTCCGCAACATTGTCAACGTCAAGACCCGACCTTGGTAGCATCTAATTCTAAAATGCTTAATCTAATACCTTCTTTTCATATTTCTACTTTATATACTTATTCGAAATGCTGGCAATAAAATACTCTGACACTTCGTGCTGATTCTTGTAGCTGGATCCCCGACTAGAAGAAGTTGTAGATTATAACACGCATTGTTCTTCATCTAGTTCATGCAAATAAAAACTACCCAAACAGAGAGTCTCGGAGATGAAGCACGACTTCCGCGTCGAGTAGTCAGAAGCATAGCATGAAACTACAACATTCACACTTTCACAAAAAGAAACGACGTATACGTGGTTAAGGGTACCTGAAAGCAATACTTTTGTTAATCTTTGCCAATATTATTTCTATCGCATACTGATGGGACGGTCAGTAGCACTGCTTGGACAGCAAGCGTTATCTTTTTACGTAATTAGCATTCGACTGCGATTTGTTTGCATGAAAGAAAGGACTTGCGCACTTCTGTGTCAGCACCTCACTCTTAATCCATAAAAAGTTAGAGTCATCTACTTCAAAGCACCATGGTGAATCAGTGCTGTGATGAGATTCTTCATCGAAAGGGCCCAAGCCTAGTTATTGAAGAACTTTCCTTGAGCTTGACGTACTGGCCATCTCGCTCGCCATCGGCTGCAACTACTCAAAGAAGATGTACTATTTTAGCAGAGGACTGGCCAGTCACGTTGAAGCAAGACTGAATCTTCAAAAATGAGATAAAAGGAACTACAACAAAATATATAAATTCGCACCAGAAAAAATATCTGAGGAGCGTCAGGCCATTCTTGGGCACAGTTAGCATATGGGAGGCACCCAGGATTACTAGACACCTTCTGCCAGGCATTTTTCTGCTTTCCTCAGGAGGAGCTAACGTTTTCTCGTGTCGTAGATAATACATGAGCCATCTGTTCTAGTACTACTACTAGTACTACTCGAAATTATTCTTACCCGTTTCTTAGTATGATTCATTATTGACGGATTGTATTTGTAAGGCACCTTTTAAAAGTGCGAGAATTAGTTACTTATCACCTTGTTAAAAAGCTTGAGTTGTGGCGCTAGATTAGTATAGAGATGCTGGCCCTGTTAATGCTACCCATCATGTTACGACTTCACTTTTGATTCTCCTGTAGCTTCCCACGCATCAAGAATCAGAAGTCATTCATATCGAAACTATCAAGCTGATACTAATATGTCAACGGATATAGTTGCTCGATAATATCTATTTGCAAAACGAGGACTAATTATAATTCTTAATTTAAGAAAGAAGCCAAGAAGCCCAGATCATACATCATGCTCTTTCCTCTGAAGCTCGCTCTGCGTCCCCAACGTCTCATATCTCTGCCAGGCTTTCTTCGCAAATGCCGGCGCATGATGGCGCAGAGCACTTACAGATGTTTTGCTACTAACGTCACTGGACTGAATTGCTGGCGCATAGGCAGACATCGTAGCAGGGGTGCCGTCTTCTAGAGATCCTCCAAGGAAAGAACGCTGACGAGAGTCCGCCACGCCCTCCACTACCTGCTCAGAATGTTGACAAGATGCTGGTTGTGGTTTTTCAGTTCTTGCGCTTTCTGTTTGTCGACAACGACATGAAGAAGATGGACACTTCACTACTTTTTCCTTATCTCCTGTTTTGCGTGCTCGTAGTGCTCGCAGTTCATCTAGCTCCTTTAGATACGCCCACAGCTCGTCGCGCTTCACGTCCAGTCTCGTATTCCATGCGTTCAGTTCTTCTATTGGAAGTTGTTTCGGAGGGTAATAACCGCCTGTTTCTTCGTACCAATCCATGATGATGGTATCCCTGTCCCTCGTTTCGCAGAGCGCTTTCTCCGAAAAAGTCTTTTCTTCATCGATGGTAGAGGTATGGTACTGCACCATTGTGAAGTAAGCATCACAGCGTGGAACTAAGGATGGAGCTAATGGTTAGGGGTCGCGGAATTACATTCTTCAGAACATCCTTGACCTCTTTTCCAGTAGGAAAAGAATTAGGGATGGTAGTGAGGAACGCCAGTCTGAAAGCCTTAAAATGGCTTGTCTTTCCACGGAGGAGTAGAGGAGTACCCTGCGATAAGTAGCTCCTGGCCCGCCTTCGACATTTCCGCAAAATTGATACAGATCGGCATGGCAAAGTTGTTCGAGTTAGAAACTGTAACTGTACTTGTCGCGCCGTCTGTGAGATTGAAAGATGCTGAACGGACGACAGGAGTTGCTTGACCCGGAGGCAGCGCCATCTTCAGATCAACCGCGATTCTCGTCTTCTGACCATCTCGAGGACTGGCCGGCGCAGGGCCTGCTGGAAGTACTCCTAGCCCCGTTGATTCACGATCTTTCGCAGAGTCTACGACTACTCCTTTTGCTCCCCTTGTAATTTTCACGGACCGACAACTAGTCGAAGAAGACGAGGGCTGAAGGTCATATCTGTAGACATGAAGATGGTCATTTCCGCCGCAGTGCTGCGGGACAGACCTTGCCTGAGTAGAACCGCTGGTAGTGTGATCTTTTGCTTGTAGACTTCCACTGGGAGGAGCTCCCTGGCAATCCGCAGAGACGTTGGCCTCGTCGTAGTCCCCAGAAACAGAATATCTTCTCGCATCCCGTGATCGATTGAGAACCGAAGATGGAGAAACGGATCGCCTTCGACTTTTATCTACGGTCGTGCTCGGCACCTCGCGGATGGCAGCGAGGGACGCATGAAAGTATCTGCCTGCTTTTATCTGTCGCGCGTGTCGTGGTTTCATGGTCCGCTCATTCGACGAAGTCGGTCTGCCAGAAAAACCCCGAGCAACACTCGCTTGGTCTTCAAGAAAACGGTCGCGCTCACGCTTACCCCGCAATAGGTTGCTTTTACTTGATGCTAGTAGATGAGTAAGCTTCGTCTCCTCCTCTTGGCGATGTCTTTGGTGCTGTTCATGAGGCGAGCGGCTGGATGCATAATCACGCTGAAAATCTACTCCCCAATGATCTGGAACTTGGCGCAGCTCTTGCTCTAGATCGTAGCCATCTGCTCGACCACCACGCACCTGCTTAGCATCTAATTGATCTTCACTCGTTTCTTCTACTAGTTGCTCTTGTAGCTCCGCATCGAGGCGCCGAGGTTGACAAACTTCTTCGTGCGTACGCAAATACTGGGTGCCAGACTGACTCTTCTCATGTCGTCTTCGAGAGGATGCGTCGTCGTGGACGCTTCTATCGCAAGATGCCGAGGAAAAAAACGTAGCTTCTCGCCTGCTACCCACATCTTTACCTGCTAGCCTCTTTTGCTTCTTTGATCTGCGCAAGCTCTCGTCTCTTCTTGGATTAAAGGATGAAGAAGCACTTTCCGCATGACACGTAGGCGCAGAGCGATCTAGTGCTGCTCTTTGTGTTGCTTGCCTGGATTTGCTGCGCGCGATCAAACTAGAAAACGTAGACGGCGACGAGCTCCAATCAACGGCTCCGTCCGTCTTCAACGATCGCAGCGCACAGTTGCTGCTGCCTGCTTCTCCGTACGGATGATGCTTTTCTGCCGCGCTGGGAGTGACTATAGATGATGCTGCAGACGCCCGATATTCATTTCTGCTAGAAGCAGGCTGCGAGCAAGACCCCGGGGCATCACTACTAGAAAGAGGCTCGCTGATCCTACGAGTCTCTTGCTGTGCTTCCGCCATCGATAGCGTTGATTTTTTCGGCGCAAAAATTCCTCGAATGTCGCTGTGCATATCAAGCACGTCCTGTAACGTTCGCATTTCCGACCAGTGTTAGAAGCATGACGCATAGCGATCGAAGAGAAAAGCAAGTCTATCACTCCTACTAGCAACATTGAGCAAGTTTGGAACCAAATGTAGTAGACCTTCTATCTTTTTTAGTTCTCCAACATTAGCAGTGGTTTCACTTAGCTGCTTCTAGAATTACTGACTACTTAATAATAGCTCGGCGCTTCAATTTAAATTTAATGACTCTAAGTACTAGAGGTAGACACTGTCTCAAAAATTCTGTACTGTTACTACACAAAGCAAGTAAGTATGATGCTTATCTGAAGACTAAGACCATGACCAAGCACTTACACCATTCTGATTGATGCACTCCAACTTCACGAGCGTACCAATCTGCATCAGAACAGACTCGTAAGTAGGAATTATTTCTAGAACTAGTTTAGAAAAACTTTTCCACCCGGCAGCCAGGAACTACAAGTCCACTTCTTAGTTAAAAAATCTGTAGTAGATCGACGACCGTGTTGGCGAATGATAATGAATCTCGATGGAAAGCAAAGAAGAAACAACTAGTACAACTTACTACTGATACAACTATCGTCCAAAGTCCCACTTTGAAGAAGTATAGACATAGCCGCCTTCTGATGTAGCTCAAGACAACGCATACGCAAATAAATGCTCCAAGACATGCGTGTTGTAACTAATGTCCTAGGTGTAGGAGTTATAATCAAAATGTGTCTGAGCATAAGGTATGAAAGCTTCCGGCTCAGCTTTCGGGCTGGAGACGGGTCGCTTCAGGAGCTCGTCCACGAGATTAATTCCTGGAAACTGACGCGCACGAGGACGAAAAGGACAAGGCGATGGCTCCGCTTGAGCTGGCAGCGTATCAGCTTCATTGTCCCAGTGCTGCCGCCGACGACGTCTTGATCTCTTCTTATTATGCTCGTCAAGTCCTAGCCCTGTTCCTTTTCGTCTGGTCAGCCCTTCTTTCGCCAAAGAAGCTGACGGCGACACATGACATTGCGAGTCCAAAGAACTTTCTGCGGTTACTTTAATATCATGTCTGCCTCGCCCGTCACAGCCATCGCGATCGACAAGTCCTCGCGCCGTCCGGTTTGCTGGCCTAGGCAGGCTGCTGCTGTGGGAGCTCTCCTCTGATACCAGCAGCATTCCTCTATCATGTTAGAAAAAATCTGCAGTAGCAACATCAATAGTTTGCGTTTCTACATCTACGCCATATCCTGCATCAGTATAACTCAGCCGGCTTTTTCTAGTGCTTTTTCCTCAACAGCAACAGCATCTTCTTCTAAAGCGAATAATTGAAGATGTCTCTCAGAACTAGTTTCAAATAATCAAGATTCAAGAAAGCCCCGATAGCATTTCTTCTTAGTTCTTGACTACGAAGAAGATTATTGAAGTTCCTTCTGCATGAGAGACCATGGAAAGATATTGTTTTTCCGTAAAAACTCAGTCCTGTGCTTCGTGAACGAGGTTCGGATACACCGCTGCCGATCGTTGCTTCCGCCATCTTTTTGCTTCTGGATTTTCTTCCAATGCAAGTCTTTGTCTTGCGCCTTCTCCTTCATTCAAACTAACCTACTCGCAGCACGATAAAAATCTAAAGTAAATAAATAAATAAAAGTGTTTGACTATTCTATTTCTATATAAGGTGTATGTGAATCGAGTAAATAGAGATTAACGCTAACTAAGATAATTAATTCTAGTGGAAAAAAAGACGCTTGCATCTCTCGTTCCTCATACTCTCGCTCTTCTTCCCGTGAAAAAAAAGGCTGCGACGCCATGCTCTTGCCAGAAAAAAACCCATGGACGCAGCACTTCTCTATCATTGTAGCAGAAACTCCAAGACAACATCACAGCAGATCTCTCTATTTGAATCCAGTAACCCTCCTCATTCCCCAGACGAAAGCAACCTTTCGAACCGGGACGCTACCAAGGACCAAAAATCAACCCTACCAATTGCCAAAGATCCGAAACTTGCGAAGTTCTGCTATCGCCATTCCGGGCTGTTATAATTATAACAGCCCGGAGTCAAGAAGAGCAGCATTAAGTTAAATCGACAGCCCCAGAAATACAAGACCAGAAAGTGGAACCATATATTGACGAAATATTACAGATCCAAATCCTATCCCCGGATCATAAGAGCACCACGAAATCCGCTTGCCAAGTGGTAGCCAATCGCATAGCTTCCAGTGGAATCGTGAAGGCGACATAGGTAGAGAGAACGAGCCCATAGTAAATCCAGCTAGTCGACAGACACCAGATCGTGAAAAGGGATGTCACTTGGTATTCCTTTGGAGCAAGAAGGTGAGGACCCTGTTCTCCGGCGTTTGACAGGGAAGCAGAAGAAAAATGGGGATCATGATTGACGTTCTTGATGTTGATGTCTTTCTTGTTGAAAAACTTGCTGTTCTTTTTAGGAGCTGTTATTTCTTGTCTACTGTGCTGTTCGTGTTTCAAAGTGGACAACGAAGTAGAAGCAGTTCCACCAGTGGGGGGGTTTCCTCGCTTCGTTTTTGTTGAAGGTTTTGCTATGGTTCTTGACCTCGTCGACGATGCTTGCAAGAGTGGACGACTTGCATGGGTTTCTTCTGGGTTTTCAGATTCTTCCCGCTGCTGTAGCTGTTGTATGTACCTGCCATCATGTTCATCATTTTGATATTCATCTGTCCCACTGTTTTGCACAACCTCAGGAGGCTGAATTCCGGGTAGAGGTTGTACGCTGCCGTAGTTTTCCGCCATTGTCGTTTTTTTGACTGCCGGGGGATAGTCGTGTCGAAGTCTGCGATGTTCTGGAGTTCTAGTGGTCCTCTCGCTGTCGAGAGTTCATGTACATGATGTAGGATGACGATTATATCTTTGTTTTCTTTGAAAGTAACAGATACTGTACCTGAACTAGGCAACTTTCGACTGCTCGGATGCACAGTCGCGTTGTGTTCGTCGTCACAATCTGAGGTTGTCCTTGTCCTATCTAGTTCTTCTGTACATTGATCTAGTAGAGTTGTTGTATCGTCCATAAATTATATGGTGGTCTTGACAAATAAATGTAAATTGATGTTGTATCAATCACACGCGAGGGAACGCGAGTGTCTCCCGTGGGGCGGAGCACTTCATCAGGGTAAAAATGGCTAAGTAGATACAGTACCGATCTCGCGCTCATTCGTCTCACGACTCGCAACAGATTTTGAAGCAGCAAAGCTCCACCTACTTGACCGATCAACGATGATAAGACCGCGATAAAGCGTAACCGAGTCTTAAGCCGTTGGTCATTGTAGATTGACATTCTTGCATCTACCAGGAACTCGATCTATTTCACTTGTTGAAATTGCTAGACTTTTTTTAGCAGCACTAGGAACTCGATCTATTTCACTTGTTGACGGCTACCGATCGCCTCCTACCACGCTGATTTCGAACACTTTCGTCAATGACTCTTGACCACTTCTATCCTGGCTTTTGTCGAAGGCTTTACTACAACTTTTGAAGAATTTCTCCTTGTTTTTGTGGTCTTCGTAGTTGGACGATAAATTACAAACAAGAAACTACAAATACTTAATTCGGACGTACAAAATCTATAAATCTGAAAAAGCTCATGACTAGTACGAGCAAATCCAAATTGTTCTTGTAAAAAGTTGTTGTACAACATCTCCACCACAAGTTCTGCTTCAGCTCAATTCAGTTCTCAAAAAATTTTCGAATGAAGTTAACTACTTCTTTCGTGTGTGTAGCATGAGGCCAATGGCCCGCACCCTCCACCGTTTCTACTTGCACCTGAGGAAAAAGTTTCCGGAATCGTTCTACATCGGTACCGAGACGGACGGGGGATTAGAAGACCAATGAAAAATGATGACTGGACTAGATTGTAGGTCGTGAAGTAAGCTAACTTCTGCACTGAGTATTTTGATTGGAGACGAGTGGAAGTTGTTTTCAGGGCGGTGGGTTTTCACTACAGTCAGGAAGAGATCTTGTATTATTTAGGGTGTTTATATATATAAGTATTACTCATCACAACTCAGTTGATCCGATAGGAGCCCTTACGACATCAATTTCAATGAACTTCGTAGTGAACAATAATGCGAATTGATACAATCGTCACAGTGCTGGATATAAGTAGCCACTGCCCACAAGAACAACATTGTCTTCATCTTAGATCTTGATCGACCAACTACACGAACACTCAAACTCATTATCTTATGCCATAATATTGCGACTCCCCACCCCGTACCACCAATACCGGCAAATTCTTCAATGCTTCCAACTTTTCTTCGTTTTCAACTTCGGGTAATAGAGACGCCAATTCGGCATCCTCGAAGCCAGACGCGAAGTGTGGACGATAGTTCCGCAGTAGGGCGCGCAGGTTGGGACGCCAGGACGCTCCTCCATCGCCCTTTGCCGTAGCTAGATTCTTCAATAAAAACGCACGAAAATGCTTGTCTGTTTTTGTTAGAACAAGAATACAACTCCTCGATAAAAAAAAGATTCTATTCTAGCTAAGTCATTTTGGATGAGGGCTGCTGCTGTTCGACGTGCTGAAGCTGATCAAGAATGCCAGTTCTTGCAGAAAACAGAAGTGCTACTAACTAGTACATTAAGATCTATATGGGCATAGGAATACAACTCCTCGATAAAAAGATTCTATAGGTGTACGTCATCTGATTCACCTAACTTCAGATCTCTCTGCAACTTCTCCAGCTCCTTGCCACAATCCGCAAGGAAAGCATCGCACGCTGCCGATGTCTGTCCATTGCTGGTCTCCAATTCGAAAGCCATTTCAAGAAAGTTGCGGTTCTTCTTCAGTCTTAGAAACAGGTGGGGTTAGAGGACTTACTTACTTCACTGTAGCATAAGTAAATACAAGCACAAAGTGGATAACTTCTGCTACAAAAGCTTCATCCTACACAGCCTCCATAACAACAAGTTCTCCTCGGAAGACCCGTCGACCATCCACTCCTCAACGCCGGCTCGACCCTTGGCAGCGAGCTCTTTGGGCGTCGCCAGGAGATGACTCAATAGCAGCACGAAGTAAGCGCCGGGAAACGTCCGTGGGGATATGTCTATGAAAGGAAAAAACGTAGTCCTCATCCAGCAGAGAGTCAGCTTCAATGCAGCTGCTTAGAACGTGCATAGTTTCCTATGAGTACAATTTAACTTCTTCCTTCCGTAATATCAACAACGACTAAGCGACTGACCAACTCCGGATACTGCAAGGCGAATCGCATGGAAGTTTTACCACCAAGAGAATGGCCAATAAGTGCCACTTTCTGGAGAAGCCGGCCACCGCTTTATGAAGGGTCGCTACTTCCTTGGCTGTGTAAAAATTGATTCTGGAGCAAAGAAGGACAGAAGGATAGAGTCAACAACAACAAGCCACCTTTTCCTATCAATCCTTAGAAGGACATCATATCTTCGGGCACGACAACGCGGACCTACTACGAACTGGAGATCACGAAGTCATAGAAGGTTTACAATTACCTCCAGTCACTACAGGCACAGCTTCAACCAGCAAGCTCCCCATAAATGTGATTTCCAATGTCCTCCAGTTCCTCCAGAGTCGCCGTTTCCCCGACTCGCGAATGCTAACCTATGCAAATCCCCAACCATCGATGCATAGCTATTCTCGTCATCGTGGAAACTCTTTCCATGGTTTCTTTGGTCCACGAGAAAAAAATCTCGTTCTGGAAGGTCTTCTAGGGTTAGAGAGTTCATTCATTCGCATTCAGAACAGCAAAGTGAGGACTCTGTTGTAGCTCCTACTTACAGTTCGTTACTTTTCGTGAACATCTCGGACAAGCGCCAAAAACTGGCAGCTTGATCCTTCTTCGTGTTTTTACCAGTTGTGTAGTTTCACAACCGCAGCACCCCTCTTCTCTACTTTCTCAAACTCCTACCACCACTAAGGATGACGTTTTTCCTTAACGACAATTTCCTTGCGGCAGGCACCCAGTTGTCCGTGGAACCTAGGAGACCTGGTAAGACGAAGACCCTCTCTGGATGACGGCGAAGGACTTGGTGCTGGATCAGAGGTGCTGGTATCGCATCTTGCTCCGTGTCTTGTGGTGCAATGCCACCTTGCCGATGACGTGAAAGAAAGAGCAAAAGGCCTTACTGAGCAGTATGAAAGAACTCAGTACCAGTAGTCAGTTGTACCGATACCGACTAGACAATAAATTAAAATTGTGTAGTCAACAGCACCGACTAGGACTAGACAATAAATTGTATGGATTGAGATTTAACTACTTAGTCTAGTATCCCATCAATCTGCTGCAAGAAAGAACAAAAATGAGTATCTTTTAGGAGTGGTGCTAAAACCATTATTGATGTCGTCCCATCCCCACCGGAACTCCAAGTTCTTAGAATGACCAACCCGTAACGGTATCGGTAACCAGAACATTCAACATAACCGCATCCTCCGCGTGAAGAGCAATCTGCTATCCCCTTCTGCCTGCGCTCCCGTTCCAAAAGTGCGAAAACCACAACCATTGCTTCTGCCACGTTGTTGTGACCTCGTAAGCAGCACTCGTCTGGACAGTTGTATGCGACTGCCTCTTGTCGCTGCCAGTCCAACGTGGCACGGTTGAAGATGACGACTCATCGTCACCAAGGTGGCTACGCGCTATATATGACGTCTCGCCTCGCCGCCGTCGAGGTCGAGTCGTTTGAGGCAATATTTTTATTGTGGTGAGGACTGTCAAGAATCATATGCTTATTTTCTTGTACTTATAGTTGGAGATCCAAATCTACTTGTCCTAGACAGAAAATACCAGTTTAGCCTCAAGTAGTGCTTAGTTGTTCTTTTTTTCCTTCTCCTATCATTCGCGTTTCCACAAAGACAGCGTCTAATTTTGCGAATATCATGCGTGATATTCCAGAAATTATAATATAAGCTTCTCACTTGCTTTTTAAAATCGGCCATGAACCACTCGATCTTCACAAAGAAGTCCCAAGTTGTAGTTGTTCATATGGGCTTTTATGGTGTTTACAAAGGGGTTGCTCACCTCCAGCTCCACTCACAACATGAACATGTACATGTACAACAATAAGTCATTTTGACATCGTCTTAGATAGCAGTTTTCCTTCTTGTAGTTCTTCTTGAAAGGTGGTACAGTGAGTCTCTCATATTTTGATCCGTATCCCTTTCCTTCTTGTGGGAAAGATTCATTCATTTCTTGCTGCAATACCGTGTTCCTCTCAACATCTTCGATGTTGTTTCTTCATATTTTACTTAATGCACTTCGTACGCACGACGGACCACAGGAGGAGGTGTCCGCTTGTAGAAAGCTTTCTTCAATCATTAATCGCTTCCGATATTACGCGTGAGCAGCCATCCATTTGCTGCACCTATGACCACAAAGAGCCCTGCAGATAGCAGAAACGGCGCATCTGCGAGTTTTAGAGCAAGATGAAAGCACGGATGAACTGGAAGAAGAAGAGCTATGATTCAACTACTGAAGTAGATCATGATGAACGACATTAGTTACAACATCAGGGAAAAGCAGGAGCAGTCAGACGGACTAGAAATACACAGCAGTGCTCATCGGCTTCTGATATCGCAATAAAATGGATGAAAATGGCTCCAGCCATATAAAAACTCGTCTAAATTGGTCATAACAGCAACAAAGAGTCTCCTTGATGCGCCGAAGACCATCTTGTGCCTACCAAATTTCCCAAGATCGTGCCAATTGAAGAGAGTACTGCTGTTATTAGAGGGAAAATGACAAACAATTATCTTCATAGGGAAATAAGTATACAAAAATAAAAATTCTAGTTCGCTTTCTAGAAGCGTATTATAAGTGGTCGTTGTAGCAAAGTGAAAATTCCAGATTGCCCTAAAGAACGAGAAGCTGCTCTGCAATTTGTTAGTTCCCCTTGAACGTCGACCACAGAACCAAAAAAAAAGAGCTACATCATCCATAACAAAGCAGAGAAGAGCCGACCTTGATACGCTGGAGGCGCTGCTAACGTTGCGACGTGCTGAAAGCAAACCTTCAGGATTGTAGACTTAGAGCGCAAAACGCTTCATTTCTTGCGTACCTTTCTCCCAATCCTGAGAAGGAAATAGGGAGGACTGGATTGCAGAAATGACTTGGTTTGAGCCTTAACCGAAGCTGCCAAGAACAGCAGGACGTTGACGGTGTGTAGCATCGAACATAGCTGCTTTGCGCTGAAAGTTTCTCGGAAAGGAAAAAGGAGGTTTTGGCTTTCAACATCTTCTTGAAGATGGGTAGATGTGGATTAGAAGGCCTCTAAATCTAAGAAGTGCTGCTCTAAATCTTCACTTTATCGCTATTCGGTCTTCCCCGCAGAAGAGAAATTCCACCCTAAAAGAGCCGGGCTTGTCCATTTCACCATGCTACGTGCTTCAGCGCCAGCCAAGAAGATTCCAATTCTTTATTACTAGACGTGAAGCTGTAGCAGAAAACACACCAAGAAATGTGTGGTTTGAGTTTGAGAGACACTACTCTATGAATCCAAATAATTCACGGCCATCTCGGACGTCCCATAAAATAGAACAAGTTGTGCTGGTTGTAAGAAGGCTGTCAACAAGGTGAAGCCTGCAAATAGCGGAAGTGCCGATGCTGTGCATTTGCGACCGAGGGAGGAGACCAAAGGCGGATAACTGACTGTTGCAAGGATTACTCGTATTAGAGGAAGCGAGGAGGAAGAATAAATGAGCACTACGGGGGGAGTGAGAGGGCCCATCACAGTGATCAGGATTACACCAAAAATTTCGTCAGTAGGCCATCAAACAATGTGATTGAAAAACTCCCTTCATGATCTTCTTGTTCACTCATTCATTCATCGTGTTCTGGAGGTATCTTTTGACGCCTGAGCGACTTTTAACTTAATTATTGCTTGAAGACGAAGTTATTCTGATAGATCATACTAGTACCTACCTCACATAGAAGTTGTGGTAGTGTTAGGAGATTCAGAATCTACCTTGTTTGAATGTTGGTTCTATCATTTTCTCATCAGTTGTCACAATGGCAATCAACAATTGCCGATCAATAGAGCCCACATCCTTTGTGGGTTCTCTCAAACCCTAGCTAGGCATCGCACATCAAAACAAGCCATAAGGCCACTTGCGAGCCGAGTTGTAGATAGGCTAGCTCATGACTGTCCCATCCGAATTGCTCTCGCACATGTAGTGGCCACAAGACCCGAGCAACCGTCTCCCCAAAGGCTTGGACAACCATGCCAACACAGAGGAGAGAAAGAACTATTCTCAGTCTCAGTCTGCTCGTGTGTCGTGGAGAATTCGTGCTAGTCGTAGTAGGTCTGTGGTCATCTTGATAGTTAGGTTTGGCGTTGTCGTTACCTGGATTATCTGGCTCTGATATTGCTGTACTTTCGATCGTTGTAGCTGCAGTCGTGGTGGATGTCGCAGCAAAGGGGGACGTTGTAAATAAAGGACCCTCTTCATATTGGACAAGGCCTTGCTCAACATTACTTTTTTCCCGTGTCCTTACTTCTTTCCCTGAAGTTACTTCTTTCCCTGTGTCCTTGACGACGTTGTCCTGCTCCTGTGCCACTTCTAGTTCTATTGCCTTTTTTGTATTAGAGGCGCAGGAAATTAATCTCCGGGATTATCTGGGTCCCGTGGTATTCGTCTTGTCTCATTCTATCTTCCAGATGACTTTGGAGATGAATTACCTTCACCCATAACTCTATTACGTTTGGTCTTCTCCTCTGCCTCACCACCGATATCCACTGGGCGAAAGCAGAAGAGCATGTAGAAGAAACCGAAGACGCAAAATATACTACAGACGCTCATGTGTATGCGGTCTCGCAGTAACCGATCTTCCTTCGTATTGAGGCCCAATCCATCTGCCTCGATCTTAGAACTTCATCTCGTGTGGAGCATTTCAATCCGATTTAGTTTTAGTTGTTCTTATCTTTGTCTTTCAAGCACGAAAAAGAAGAGAAGCATGATCAACGCAATGGGGTTTGTAGTTGATCTACACCTTTAGCTTTACGACCAGAAGTGGGCTCGCCCTGCTACCACGTTATTAAGGTTAAACAAATCTGACACAGGTAGGAAAACCCCAAGAATTCAAACGAACAAGGGCGCTAAAAAAACGGAGTCGCATTAGCCTTACCAATCCTTTGCAGTCTTACTTACTTCTATGGAGGGTCTTACTTACTTACTTGTAGCCCTACCAATGGTTTGCAGAGTCGTGTCAAATGCAGGGTAGAGAGACGTGCCGAGCAGCTTCAGGGACGCGACTTGAACTTGGAAGCCACTCACCGTTAGACTACGCAAATCCCGGGGCATGGCCAGAGCTACGTAAGATCCCACTACATTCCAGAAGTTCACCGCACCCAAGCCCATGACTATATGCGCCAGGTACAGGGGGAAGGCACCAGATGACAGCTTGTTCCTGGACGACGACAAGGTCGTGGAATTAGATAAAGCTGCTAATCTCGGAAGTACGGATCTACACCTTTTGTGAAATAATAGTGAGGGTAGAAGTTCTCCTCAGCTGAAGAAAACTTTTTGGATGCCTATGGAAGTGTTTTTTTGTACCTTGTAAAAAAGGATTTTTTTTTTTGTAAAAATTGAAGTGTTAAGTTCGGATGAAGTTCGGATCGTCCTCAGTACATAGTAGCCTCTATGAGTAGACGACGACAAGGTCGTAGAATTAGATAAAGCTGCTTGATGAGCGAATAACTATAAGTAGATGGATCTACAACTTTTGTGAAATAATAGTTTCGATGGATTCGACATCTACTTTCATAAGCATACTAGACATCGAAGTCGCACCCAGCTCTCTTGCTGCTGTTGTTGTTGTCGGAGGCAAGAAGCGTCGCATATCTTCTACTAGATCTTCTGGACTTTCTCCTGTAATCCAGCTCCCTAACAGTCGCACTTCGTCACGCAAAGGCTCTTTTCCACCGAATCCTGGTGCGGCCAAAGCTGGTTCTATTGATAGATTGAGAATTAAAGTGCTAAGAAGCAGTAGTAGTAGATTAGTTCTTACAACTAACAGATGGCCCTAGTAGTGATCATTGAGAGTGAAGTAGTGGATCGATTACTGAGACATGGTGCTACAGCTGGTTCAGTAGAAAGTAGTGGATTACTAAGAGACGAGTGGTGTTGGCTGATGAAAAGAGTGCTCTTATTGAGAGAGGCACGGCCTCCGTATCAGGCCCTAAAGCTAACTACTTATTGAAGATCAAGATGGAAGACGAGAATGACAAAGCTTGCTTCTACAGTTGTCCTTTTTTCGTTTACAAAAGCTACGAATACAACTTCACCCTAATATATAAAACTACGGTTGTGCTCGTGGTCTTTTCTCAATCTCATCTAAGTATCACATATTTTTTCACCATACAGCTGAATCAGAAACGCTGGTGACGTGACCACTCAGATCCACTTCTATGACAGGAAAAAGTGTACTCACTTGACCCAAGATGAAACTAGACACTTTCTAAGGATGAGTACACTGCCGCTTTTCTTGAGGGTGAGTACTACCCTTTATATTTCCTTTCAACATAACTTCTGGCGTGACCACAGGAGGTGCCAGTCCTCTGATCAAACAGCCAAATGCGCAACAAGCGGCGGAAAAACAACAAGCTAGGAAGGTATATTTTTTTTCACCCTTGTCCATCAAATACCCATACACTGGCGTCGCAAATATGCCACCCAAAATTAGAAGTTTTTCGTCGATGCTGCTTTTTTGTTGTAGTAAGGACAGAAAATACTGAAAGTAGTGTTGAGCTAGAGCTGCGAGCCATAAAAAAGTTGTAATGGCTCCAAAATTGCCCAGTTCAGCTGTTGAGGCGCCCAATTGCAGTAAGAAAAAGGTGGTTACAGGCTCATGCAAAGCGCCACCAAATGAGGCAGACCAGATCGCTAGCATAGGCACAAAAAGGTCCTTTCGTCTCCACATTTCCCGCAGAAGAAACCACTGCGAGGAAAGAACAGATTAGAGAGTGAATTGAGATACGACTGTACTAACCCTGTACTTGGAGCAAGAGCGGGGGTTAAAAGATACAGTATAAGAGGTGCGGACTTGATGAGTGAGAGACTACAGCAATACGAATGGATTGGCTGATGTTGAGAGCAGGAGTCAGGAGATAAAAAGAATGGGTTAGGTGTGGGTCCACTAGATAAACCAGCAGACTTTAGTGGCTACTGAAGAGCCAAAAACACGACTACGACCTACAGCTGGTAGCGCTACACTACTTTCTACCATGAAACGGCTCATAAAAAGACTTTTTCGACTCTGCATTTCGTGGGGGCTCTGCATTGCTTACTATTGATTCTGTGCCTCGAAAGCACTTTTCCAGCTTCTTGGAAGCAGGTTGTTCTGCAGGTGAGTCGGAAAGAGGAACGTCTGCGAGGCCTGCTCTTCTCTTCGAAGTAGAGACGTCGCAAGGAGCAGAGTCTTCTCTACTCCTGGTGGATGATGGGACGGCGGGCATCCTTTGTTGTAATACTAATAGAACTAATAGAACTCTTCGACAACTTGTGGTTATGAGCACCAGTTACTGATTTAAAGTAGAAAAAGATGATTTACAACTACACGCGGATGTCACTGGATGAACACAATTGCAAAAAGCAAGTCCTTACAAATAGATAACTGATTCTATATTTGTACTATGACGATGCAACAGAAACTCATAAGTACTCGCAAGAGGAAGTTGATGCTGAAAGATCAATATTAGAGTAGAATGAATAGATTTGGATTAGCGTACATATTCTAGTTAGGTTAGGTTAGGTTGGGGCCTACCATCCGATGTGGCAGACATTAGCGGCTGTTTCTAGTTGTAAATGAATAGGGATAACAGACAGGAGATTCTCTCGCTCGCGTTGCCAACTCAATACCACGCATCGCTCAAAACCACCACTTTGTTCAGCGCGACCGATTCGAAGAAGGACAGTTGAGGCTTACGCTTCATCTATACATCTTTTTCACAACCGCGGGAGAGGTGCATTTCACGAACAAAAAGATACTTACTCTGTGAAAAAACGCAGAGACCTCCGCCTAACCGGTCCTCCCCTTAAATAAGAGCTGAATGATTTATTCAGATGTACACGCACCACCTAATGCTTCGGCTAAATGTAGTTGTAGCACGTCCACATACTATCCACATCAATTTTAGTAAACTTGAACAGTAAATGAAAATCTCAAGTCAAGTGAGTTCTTTGTTCCTAGATAGTCTTTGCTCTAGGTGACTGGTGAGCTGACTGAGACTGTCTACATTTAGCTGCTTTGCAATCGAATCTACACTCTTAGCTTTCCAACATAGATATGAGTTCTTCTATCTTCAAGTGTACATATAGCTTTCCAACATGGATGTGAGTTCTTCAGCGGCCTCTACATGCCAGACCATTTACATTCTTATGCACTGTAGGGTTTCCAACCTCAATGGACGAGAAGATACATCAAGAAATAAGAATAACAATAAGTAAATACGTGCACTTACATGACAGTCAATCTGTCCTGAGTATTTTTTTGAAAGTCAGCGATGTTATTTGATATTGATTCGTTAGTCGTTGAATTTTGAACTTGAAAAGATGCAGATCATGGCCGCACATTTTGTTCCTACTATGATGTCGTGGGCACTTCATCTACTCCCTTCGGCAATCAATGGTAGTCTTGTGTTCCTTGTACATTAGAACTAGAGGAGGCCTCGACCTGGCTTTTCCTATTGGCGAACTGGTCGGCAAACCCCCTCCGCAGATGTTTTGTTCGTGGCGGCCATGAAGGCCGACTTTTTGGAGGACACTCCTGCGGAAGGGGTCTACAGATTGTTAGGCATCTTCATCTCACTTGTCATGGCATGTCATGGCGCCTCTGTTTCCGTCCTAACTAACGGCATTGAGGCCACTCAGCCTCCCTGTACCTTCTAAGTAATTAGAATAGCAAGGAAGCCGAGTGATTGTGATAGACTATCAAGAAGTATACCCAAAAGTAGCCACGGATGTTATTGGTAGAAGTCAAGAGTGTTTCCTTCCACAAGGTGGCTGGCGTCATCTCATGGGAACAACTAGAAGAACTACTACTACCACTGGCCATGATGATCTGATCCTCTTGTTCAAGTTCAATCTATAATCCTAATAAATTTCTTCAGATGACATATTTCTACTAATTGGATGATAATAAATGGATGATCATACTTGCGAATATTCATCTTTTTCAAGTGGGATGTATACACTGTTTTCATTTTTATTGTCAAATAAGTTGATTGCACTACGCTGAGATGCAGTTGAATAAATTCGAGTGATGAATGAAGATACTATGTTAAGAGGAAATTAATTCAATAAATATATTAGTCCAGTGAAATATGACATTGGCATTAGATATAATCGTAATCGTGACGTATATGGCGGAGAGAGACGTAACACAGGTTAGGAAACCAAGCAAGGACAAAAACAATAAGAGCTGAAATGCTGGCACTGCAAGGGAAATCAATGGAGAGAAGTGACCACGCAGAGAACTTGCGTCGAAGCCGCAAGTGAGCATATACCTCCAGGGCAATTTATAAGGTCACACAGCTCGCTCGGCATGGAGTGCATGGACCGCATGGAGTTGCATGGAGGCAAAGGGGGAGCTTCTTGCGTCCCTTATGGATCTGAGCTCCATGCACTCCATGTTACTCCATGCGCCACGCGCGCTATAAGCTACTCTATCTGCGATGTTCGTGGTGGACTTCGAGTGTTAGTAATTCCACTTGATCATTGTTCTTGTCTGCGATGGTCGTGGTCGTGGACTTCGAGTGCTTCTAGTAATTCTAAATCGCTGGCTATTCTATGAAGAAGTTCTTTGTTGCAATTGCACGAGGGCAAGTGCAATCTTTTTCTTCACACAATACAAATACTAAATATTAACATTTCAATCCAAAGAGCAGAAGTGTAAAGCATTGATTTACACGATCTTGAGCCAAAATGATCATCATACTAATACAACAACACTAGTACTAATACAATATTACTAGTATTTATCATACTTCTAATACAATTTTTTCTTCACGCAAATTCAAATTCTTACTCATCATACTTGCTGTCGTTTTTTTCTACAAACACGAGAATGCGTTTCCACAATCCCCACCATCTACTGCGTCGATCTTCTGATGTGTGCCCGTCGCGTCAGTTGCAAAGCCGCTGTTAACTTCGTCACCATGTGCGCAGACATTAGCGGTCTTAACCACAGCATTCATGATTCATCCTGGTACGATTTCAATTCTAATGCTCTCCTTCATCTTTGTAGTAACTTATTAGTATTACAGTTGGCCAGGATGAGTCATAATTTTTTGTGATTGTGGTGGAGCAGACCGAAATGGGGAAACACAAAAGAAAATTGAAGTTATAGTAATTGCATAGGGCTGGCAGTCTCCATTAGCAATAGTGAATTAGAAATAGTGGTAGTCTTCATAAGAGTGAGCGAGATTGTCGACAAGTGCTTTCCCATATTCTTTCTTTGCTGCTTCGGTTTGCCAGTTTGGTTGGCCAAAGAGTTGCGATCGTCGTTGTTGCCCACAGCGGTACTTCCCGCGCCGACCATAATATCCTTGCCGTGAGGTACCTTGGTTTGTTTTTTGGAAAAGTCGTAGCTTGTCAGCAACTTGCCGCAATGCGTTTGCTCTCTTTATTCTACCCTATCTTTTCCACATCAACATGGAAAAATAAAAAACCACACTAGAATCTCGAAGCTCAAAGTCACAAGAAGAGATATCAAAAAACAAATCGCTGCTAAAATAAATGTGATAAAAAACGATAATGAATATGAAAAACGAGTCTCCAGATCATAAATATCATCTATCTAATGCCATTTTCTGACAATCACCAGAACCATAATCCTTCTACTTAGTAGTACTATCTTTAAGTAATTATTATAGATACATAGTTTTACGATAGGGTTGTAATTCAGTACATTCATGATCCCCGAACAAGTGCCTTGCTCGTTGACGATACATCGGTCGAACGCCGAGTCTCGCTCAGCCGGATTCTGGTGCATTGGATAGGAATCGTGAGGATCGCACACAAGAGCAATATTCTTCACCACGTCCTTGCCGGAAAACGATACCTTAGTCATGTTTCGGAAAACGAAAAGTCATTGTGATAGTCATTCCTCATCAGTAATTGTTTCTGTATTTCTTGTATTTGATTATTCATGGAGATGGCATAGGCATGATGTTGTTGTAGCTGCTGCTGTTCTACATACAAATATGAATATAGTTTATCACGTTTCCCATAGCGAGAAGATGAAGACCAAAATGCATACGACGACGTTCTCAAGGAGGACATCAGCGGCGACTGAACGTCATCGATACTAGTATACCAACCTAAAAATTATCAATACACTCATCTCCTTATTGCTTTTCTCCTTGACGATATACGGGGCCACCATTTTGTTCCTGTTTGTATAGTCGTAGTGGTACTCATTTACACCAGGCGGGTCATCTGGCATAATCCTGGTTTTCCTTCCATTCTTGGCATAATCCGCGATATTGGTTGAAAACATCGTACTCGCACTGGCAGGACTGGAGTGCCCCGCATCACCCGAGATATTCGCACCGAAATCGGTCGTAGCAGCCTCATGCGCGCCCCCTTCAATGTCATCTACTGCATGATACTCAGAGCAGCGGTGGCTCGAGTGCTGTTTTCTGGAACGCTGACCTCTCTCAGCGCCAGCCGCGCCCGCGTCATTCGATATTATGAAAAAAGAAACGCTAGTAGAGAATATTTTGTCCAAAATCAAGGGGAGAAATCGTAACGAATCTACTTTCTTCATCGGGGATTTGAGGTTGCTCTACTCCTACTTCTCCTATCTGAAAGCGCTAGTGTTTCCGAATTATATTGCAAAAGAACCTACGCTCTATTCATCATCCATAAAAGCAGCAGTGCAAGCGCTTCGTAGCCCGCAAAACCACTTGCGCCGAAACATCCAGAAAGCGGCAAGAATGATAGCCAGCAAGAGGCTGCACACCAACATCGCCATCGGATCATGGCGACCAATTTTGGCCACAAGAGTAGAAGCGCCAGCAAAGGCTGTCCTCGGATCTCCCGACTCGAGGGAGGATCCCTGCGAGTCCTCCTCTTGCTTATCGACGTTGCTCGTACCATGTAGAGTCCGCGATTGCAGAAACGAGCCCGGTGGGCTTTTAATATTAGCTTGTTGCGTATTTTTTCCACCACTTCCTCTCAAAGATCTGCCGAACTGGTTTGTTTGTGAGTAGTTTTTTTGTCCTACGATGTCGAGCAGAACTCAAAAGACATTTATGATCGTACTTACTACAAAAAAACAAATTTCAAGTAGAAGAGGTGACCATGATGATGACCTATGCAAGGTATTACTTACAATGGGAGATAAGTACAACTTTCTTTATTCCCGTCCAGCCACCAGACCCCGCACGCTTGGCTTCCAGAGCAGCCTCTGTCTCAGCCTCCAGAGCAGCAGCCATCTTATTGAACCGAGCTTCAGCGACATCCAGGCGAGCCTCTGCCCCAGTGACCATTTCATTAGCCTTGCCCAGAGCAGTTTCGGTCCCACGGGACTCAATTGCAGCGCCTTGCAGGAGAGCATCTGCCTCAGCGGCCTTTGCAGTAGCCTCTTCCAGAGCAGCAGCTGTCTCCTTAGCCTGATTACTAACCTCTTCTAGAAGAGCAGCCGCCTCGGCCTTAGTATCTGCCACTGCCTTAGTAGCGGTTTTCTCAGCCTCTTCCAGAAACTCACGTGCCTTAGCCTGCGCCTCTTGCAGAGCAGCAGATGTCTCAGCTTCTGTCTTTTGCAGAAGAACATCTGCCTTGTCAGCCTTTACCTGCGCCTCTCGCCGAGCAGCAGATGTCTCAGCTTCTGTCTCTCGCAGAAGAGCATCTGCCTTGTCAGCCTTTACCTGCGCCTCTTGCAGAGCAGCATCTGTCTCAGTTCTTGTCTCTTGGAGAACCTTATCTGCTTCGGCACGCTTTGCCTTGACCTCTTTCAGAACAGCAGCTGCCTCATCAATCAGCGCCTTCGCTTCTGCCGGAAGAGCAGCTGCCTCAGAAGTTGTCTGCGCCTGCGCTTTTGCCGAAAGAGAAGCTGCCTCAAAAGTTGTCTGCGCCTGCGCTTTTGCCGGAAGAGAAGCTGCCTCAGAAGTTGTCTGCGCCTGTTTTTTTGCGAGTTGTTTTATCATAGAACTAACTTCCTCCGAAAATCAAATCAAAAAATTTCAGGTGGTCGTGAATACCTTCTGGCTCTGTGAATAAAGGTTAAGAACTCCACGTCAGCAAGTAAAAGAGGCGACTGCGTCATATACAAACAAAAAGAGAGTAAATATTTATTTAGAATGAGCCTTTGCCTCATCGCTTGCATTTGCAGATTCTGCAGCAGCCTTCTCGTCCTGAGCAGCCTTTTCTTCGATCTCCGACTCCGACCGATGCTTTTCCGCCCTAGAAAACTCCAACTTGGCAAGAGCAAGTTTTTTATCTGCCTCAACAGACTCCTTGTCAGCAGCTTGTAGCGCTTCCCTGACCTTCAAAGTTTCCTCTCTCGACTCGGCATAGATCCTATTCATAGCGGTCGTCTCGTCGTCTCTATTCTTCGATCGATCCTGACGACACCTCTCCCTCTCTGTCCCCAGCGTGTCCTGGATCCTCCGTATTTCTGCATAATAGCTCTCCCATGCCCTCCGCCCGTCTCTGATCCTGCTGATGTCATAGGAACTACGGCGATCAAACTCAGACGCCCTGTCCCGACTCTGTCTTGCACGTTCCCATGCGGCATCTGCCTTCGCTTCGGCGTAGCTTTTGCTGTTCGATATTCTTTCCTCCTCCGATGTGAATCTCGCTTTGACCCTGGCAATCCTGTCATCCCGTCTTCTATCTATATTCCTGATGTCCTCGTCCTCTTGAGCCCTGAGTGAATCGAGCCTCGCCTTTGCGCGCTTTGCCCGGCTTTCCGCTGTCCACAAGCTTGTGGGGTCAGGTTCCACCTTGGGCCCGCTAGCATCTCTGCTAGAAATAGAATTAGGATATCCACTCATCGTTTTCGTCCTTACTTTGCGTGTCTCAAAATATTATCAATATGTTAATCTTATCTCTTACCCTTTTTCTTTCTGGTCTAATAGTCAGAACATAATTAAGACAATCAAACTTCTCTGCTAAAATTGCAATCCACACAGGAGAGATCGTGTACATCCACGCCAGAGATAGCATGCAAAACAACAACTATGTCGGTGTGAAAACAATGGAGGTAATGCAAGGGTTGTATTTTTCTTGAAGAACGAGTAGTACGCGCAAGAGTATCACAACTTACGACACAACAAGCTATGTTGTAGTTCTTGAGCGAAAACTAACTATGTCGATTTTCTACTTATCTATGTACAACTGCGACGCAACGATTTTTACAAGTCATCTCTGTTCCTACGATCTCACGTAAAGGCAGTTTCGTATCGATGTGGAATATCGACAGCTTTTGAGATAACTCTCTCGTCTCGACGAGCTTTTGCTCTCTATTGTTGAACGACCGATGCAACTGAATCCTCCCAGATCATGTAGTGCTACTTGTGACAAAAACAATGCGCAGTAAAGTGTAGCCTTTTTTGAAGAACACACGAGTCACCTTGACTCTTTTAATACAGATTCCCTCACTCTCGTCACATTCCTTCACATTCTCGAAGCTCATTCATAAAAAGAAGGTCCTCGTCCTCGTCAAAGTTCAAAAAAAAAAAGGTTCAACCTGCCTTTTATATCATTCTTGAATGGTAGTCCACCTCAGAAGATGGGAGTCAATCGTCCCAGCGTATATCAGTATAAATATTTCTTGTCGATTTTTCTTGTGACAATATTCAATACCTTGGAAAGTCGGAAAAGTCTAAGTCATGAATTTCCCATTACCAATCAAAGAAATTGATTAACTTCCGTCGAGGAAGTAGAGGAACGAACTCTCATCGCCACAAATGGATAATTCTCCACAGCGTCATCATCTTCGAAACAAGATCAAAATCCGTGAGTCATCGTTAAAATCATCAATGCCCCATCGACATGGTTAGAGTGCATCTAAATCTATCACCCATCGACATGGCTAGAGTGAATCTATCACCCATCGACATGGTTAAAGTGAATCTATCATACATCGACCTTGGAGTGAATCTATCACCCATCGACATGGTTAGAGTGAATCTATCACCCATCGACATCGTCTTCCAAAAAAGCTACCGCAATTGTGATCGACAATGTCATGGTCAGGATGGCACAGAGCTGCATTGTCGCGAAAACCGTAGACATAGGTTTGACCAAGACACTTTGGGTCATGGAGACTAAAGTAATTGTTGTTAGAAGAGGTTCTTACTCTTTCTAAGATTAAGATGAGAGAGGATCATTCTTGGTTGTGGATTGCTTGTTGTTACAGCAAGAGGCTCTGCACATTGAGGCTCTAATTATAGTCGTGGCGGAGCCGACCTAACTAGAAAAAAGAAAGACCAGAGGGAGATAGAAAAGAGAAAAGTGCAACTATCAACAAGTATCCTGGAGCGTCCTGCTATCTGCTAGAACTAAGCAAGGGGCGGCGCTATCGTCGTCCTGTCAGCCCCATAGGTCTCACCTTCAAAGGCAGGCTGGAGCCCTGTGCAACGCCTCCGGTGAGTGCTCAGCTCTCTGGTAGTGTGCACAATAGTCAGTCTTGTCTTCAATAACGAAGTATCAAACTCTAGCCAATTACGATGCCACTTCGTAATTCATTGTAAGACCTGGACGTCCAATACGACGAGTGCTTGCAGCTAGGATTTTTAGACTCGTAAATGATATAAACGCCAAGCTTTGAAGAGTAAGTGAATAGCGACAAGACCTTTAGAAGTTTCAAAGCGCTACTGCAGCCATAAATTGGACGCGGCAGGGGCTGCGGACAGGACCGAAAGATACAGAGCGATCACCCGATTCGGAATCGTGAGAAAAGTGACGAGAAATAGTTTAGAGGAAGACGAACATGAACAACAAGTGTCGCACAACGTGATCTTCATAAATGATTATGCCATAGCTCCATAATTAATGTTCATAAACATGAGTCTTAGCTTATTGTCTGTCTTGTAAAAGTAAAAATCCAAATCGTAATGTCTCTAGTGTCCTCATAAGTCTCATGTCATAAAGCTCTTATCGTCTCGGTGGTAGTAGAGGAGGAGAATCAACGGAATCGACAGAGAATTTGCTACCACCAGTCTCAGAAAGACGATCAGAAAAGCGCCGCGCATCGTAAGAACCGCCTCTGAGGAACCGGCAGCGGCGTTGTTGTTCTGACGATGATGTAAGTCTTTTCTTAGAGTTGTGAACGTTCTTCTTGATAGAAGGTTAGGAGGTTAGGCCAATCAATCGGGTTGCTTCCGCAGGACGCCGACCTCCCCGCAATTAGATTGCACGCTTATCATTACTGAGCTCATGGGTATAGTCACTATACTCCCTTGCATTAATAAGTAAACACATTGGGTACGATCTGACTCTGAGCCTGCTGACTGATCACTTTTACTCCTACTTTCTAATTCTGACTCTTACTCTTACCGTATGGTTGATGTACCTATTCATGAGGTATAGGGGCTAAGTGATCTTAAATTCCCCACTGATGCCGCCGAAGAATGTTGGCCCTCCTTGAACAAGTGTATGTGCGCGTCATTGTTCTCGTCTCTATTCGTTCCAAACACGTTTTTCTTAGATCCTCATCATGAGATAAGTGCCAGAAGACTTAAAGGAAGAAGCAGAGAGAGAAGCTAAGAGGATACAATAGATTGATGAGAAGTTCGAGACGAATTACAGTTACTTAGAGTTGGCGTTAGTTATAAATCCTAATAATTTTCGATCCTGAAGACGTATCATTGTTGTCCCCTCCTCTTCCAAATTTCGATGATGATGGTGAGCGCCAGGACCTTTCACTTATGCGTCGGATTGGAGAGGTCACTGCTATTGTCACCACAGCCTGCATCGTCTCAGTTACGTGATCCATTAAGCGAGTTCCTAAAAGAGACGAACCCAATGCCACTATTAGAGCGGCGCATTCCTGGAGCCATCTTTGAGCCCTTTCTCCCTTTGGACAAAACACCCTGATTAGCCTTCTAGGCTAAAATGCTTTACTTTTAGCAGTTTCCAGTCTGGAAATTCATCCAAAAACTGAATTTGCTCGAAAAGCCTGAGCATCGATCAACGATCTTAGAATCGTTGAATGATAAAGGCCAAGAATGATACATATTGAGGATGGTCTTTTGCTTGCCTTAACACTAGCGTCAAAGGCAACAACGGACTGCCCAAAAAAACCGTTAAATCTAGCAGAATCGAGGAGCGGTAAAATTGTCGGAAAGCTGGGATCAAAGAGAGATTAGAACAAAAGGATCTGAGCGTAACGTCTAGTCAAGAATGGAGGTGGTCCTTTGAGGAAGTGAAAGAACTACTTACACTTTTCCTAGCTCCGCAAAAACGAGATAAAGTTAGTAGAAGAACTACACTTTTCCTAACTCCGTAAAGATGAAAAGCGCGATGCTTTGTGATATCGTCGCAGCGTTGATGCAATGGCATGTCTTCACACCTTCCCAGAGAGAGGCCAAACTCATATAATTAGCGCCAATCTTCCATCTCAAGACAGTGCACCCTGGAGGGTTCCTTTTCCCCTTGAAAAGCCTCTTAGTCTTACTTAGGGTGGGGTGCTTCGTCCGAAGATGTACGAGGGGAAGCCTTATTAATCATGCTGCGAATTCTTGAGAGTGTGTTTTTTTCCGACGAGTGTGATTCTTGATTGGTGTGCACAGTGCTTTCTACTCTTGATCTTCCCTTTGCTGTAGGAGTTTCATCCTTCGGTTTAGGTGAGCTTTCTGCTTTATCTTCACCGAGGATTAGAAGTAATATTGGAAGCGAAAGTAGTAGTTGTTACGCTGAGGCCGGTCATTAAGTAGTAGCAGCACCATTCTTTATTTAACATGGATCATCACCGCTTGTGTCCCTCCATGAATATCAACCCGTGTTCTAGTAGCACCGAACATGTATCACTGAGGACCACCATCAACACGCACCACGACGTGCTGCTGCACTCATGCATTTAAGTATCAACATCATACAATGATAGGGTATAAAGACACCTTAACGCGATAGGATATAGAAACACCTTAAGAACGAACCTCTAGTACTAGAACTTGTTCATTCAACTTCTACATCATCCATCCATTCGTGCATAAAGGTGTTTGCTTCTCTCCATGCAAGGCCTGCAAGCCGTTTAATACTGTCACCCCAAACGTCCATATTAGGGTGATGATTAGCGCACTCACCAAGATCGCGATTCCGGTTGCGAGAATTAGATGATATGAGACGAGGTATGCTGCACTAGAGAGGCTTTGAAAGGGAGGTGCGCACTAGAGCAGATACTGGCTATGGCTTTCTTGTCAGTTAGTAACTAGAGATACTGGCTATGGCTTTCCTTTAAGTTAGCAACAAGAGATACAACTGGTCCACGATTAGAGGGTCTCCTTGAAGATCTTCATCTATGACTATGTATCATGCAATTGATCTTAATTTGTATTTCCTCTATTTTCCTTCGAACAACCAACATGCATTTCTTCTCGTTAAGCAGGCTGTGACTTGTTTCAGTGTATCAATTGTAAGCCAAGACTAACCCAAAGAACCCACCCATACGTATTCTTGGTCTATCCATTTCCTTTGCCTGGCAAGGGCTATGATGAGGGGCACTGGTAATCCAAAGGGGTTTGGGAAGGCCACATTCAATGCTGCAAACTTTGGATACCATGCGCATCGAGCGAAAGGAGCAGCATATTTCCTGGGCACTCCTTGCGCCATGCACATCATGAATGACATTTTTTCTCCCCTCTAAGCGAAGACCATCGAGGCTCCTTCCCCTTAATCTAGTGTGCAGTTCTTTAAGAGGGAAAGTAGGTTCCTCCTTAACCTAGTCTACAGTTCTTTTAAGAACGAAAGTAGGCTCCCCCTTAACCTAGTCTACAGTTCTTTTAAGAACGAAGGTAGGCTCCCCCCTAACCTAGTCTACAGTTCTTTTAAGAGGGAAATTAGAGGCAGCCTAGATCTAGATGGTCTACTAATTGGTGGGAGAAAAAACATCATTCATATAGACCTCCGATCCCGATGTAGAAGTGCTCTCTTCGATCTCGATGAGGACCCAGCGCCCAGCATAATTAGAGCTCAAAACGTTTCGCTTCTTCAGCTGATTTCTTCAGATTCACCTGAGAAGGTGACTGAAGGACACAAAGAAAAGTGACAGAGAGACTCTGTTGAAAATGAATCGCTCTGGGCCTTAATACTAGGTAGAGAGGTTTGCTCTTGTCCATCTTGCTCCTGTGCGTCCCTCACCATCTCCTTTTCAACGTTCCCACCATGTCCTCGTCCATGCAAGACTCTTACTGCGATCCACGCGCCAAGGTATCCGATTGCATACCAGTAGCCAGCAAGGAGAGCGACCAAAAGTAGCACAACCCACACTTCGCCAAGCTCTTTTGTTGTATGAGAGGAGCATGAAACACCTCGCAAAGAAGCATGGTACCTCACGGGACTCTTTTGTTGTATGAAGGGATGTGCATGAATTGCGATGACATCGAAATGATGACGAAGCGAAACGAATATAGTTGTAGGTTGAAAAGGTCTCGTCTTACCGCAGGTAAATTTTCAACCATTCGCTCACAGCATGCAGTCTCATTCACAACCAGCCAGTATTCAGGTCACTTTTCCCTTGAAACTCTTTTCCAAATTCATTTTGCATGCACCCTACAAACCATACTTTTTCTTTTGAACTCGAGCACACCAGTGAGGATACGGTAGACATACATTGCTATTTTCTCCACGAAATGAGAGGGAGCTGAGAAATCGATTTTTAATTTCCTACACAAGCCGACCTGCTCCAAACCATCATACATACATCCCAATTTGCTCCACAAAAGTCGCAATAACGAAACAAGGATTGACGACGCGGACCAAGAATTTTGCAAGACCACCCCAAAACGCCTTCGCCTTGTCGGTAGTGGGACCACCATGCTCCAAGATATCGAACTTAGCGGTTGCTTGTAAATAAGCTAAAAATATTCCAATTCGAGGATGCGCTGGACGTGGACCATGTAAGTATCTTTACTACGTTACTTATCACATCAATCGGAATTGAACCACATCATCTGTTTTTTGTGCTCTAAGTATGAAGATCTAGATCAATTACGAGCCTTAACGAAACGTCGAACAAAATATCCCAACATGCAGCAGACCAAGACTTGCCCCACTGCGATCACTGCAGCAGAGAGAGACGTACTGATGACAGCGGTCATGGTGTTCAGGTCCAAGCGAAGAGTTGACTGCTGGTCCTCTTATAGTATGGGTGGAGCCAACCTAACTAGAAAAAGTAAAAAGAAATGAATGTAGATAAAAGATAATGTTGGTCCTCTTATAGGTGTCAAATTTGCTGGTTGGCTCCTTTGGTGGCTTGTGCTTGTTGTGCTTACTTTGCTGAAGATATATTAGATATCACGTCCAATAAAGAATAAGAATCTACATCAATCATGTTGTAGTGAGTGTTCGTAAAAATAGATAACCAACCAAATCGTTGTTTTTTTTTTTAAATTTTCGCATCGTTCAGCAGGTAACTGCTTCGAAACTTACTAGATCATTTCTTGGGGGATTCGACTTCGAGGAAGGAGGCAGAGTAAAAGAACTAGCATTACTCGCTGCACTGCTTAGCAATACAGGACTCGCTAGTACTGACTAAATCCCTCTGAACAATATCATTCACTCGAATAAAACCGACTGTAGTACATAAGCGGTACAAAATCAATGATCGTCCTCGAAAGGAGCTCGTCATTGATCAGAACAACGAACACGATCAGTAGCGTTGTGCCGCTACCTGCTGTTCATGATGCGTACCTTCTACACCCAACTATGCAACACGTGTTGTAAGTTGCATGCAGTTGGACTACCTGCGCCTTTGTGGGAAATCAAGAAGCTATTCTATTGTTCCAGCTCGTCTATGAAACTCGCTGTACTTGTACTTCGGTCTTTCAAAAGAAGTTTTTCGGCACTGTCGCCATGCACAAGAGAATAACATGGCCTCTCGTGTGAAAGATCCTTGTCAATCTTCGTGCAGTATTTGGACTATATTCTCTGGAGAGCATAAATAAAACTCTACGTCGTAAGAAGCGGGATAGCGGGAGCACGTAGCCATGATGAAAATCACGGATCACGACATCTACAAGAGTATCTAAACCGTCTACGAGGAAAAGAGGACACATGTGAACAAGTCCATGCCCTGGCCCATCAACGAGGACTCCTGGGTAAGAAAAAGAAATGCATAAAATGATCCATGATCCTCTCAAGGGAAAATGTCGAATGCAAACTCAAGTGTTGACCATGGCTGGTGCGTGTATGGTCCAAAGAAACGATCTAGTACTAAAAGTAAAAACGTTGCTGTTGTTGTTGTTCCGCAAAGATCTACTTTCGCTTTTGCAGTTGCTTCTCCAGTATAATAGTAATACCCGTCTCGTCATCGATGACCACGGTCGCCGTCTGATGTGTTGCTCTGCTTCTACTTCCATCTATTCAATATAAGTGTTGATGCCTCTCATCCAAATAGGAACGATCGACACCAGATAGATGTATAAGAATAAGTGTTGATGCCTCTCATCCAAATAGGAACGATCGACACCAGATGGAACGGGCCAGACGTAGCGAAGGCTAAAGACCCAGTCCCAGTCCTTCTCCTTCTAACACTTAGCCCATGCGCAGAATGCCTGCTCCCATGAGTTTCTGGATTGCGTTGGCGATCTTCGGGTCTTTATTAGAGGTCAGATTCCCACTGGGAAGAAGGTCAAGAATGGTAGTGCAGTAGGATGCAACTACTTCAATGTAAATTTGGTTGTAACCCTTAACTTTATTGATCATATCCTGGGCACTCTTGGGATCGTTCTGCATTTGCTGGAGGATGATGTTCATCTGTGGGTCCTTGAGGATGGCCTGAATCTCAGGATCCTTCATGGCTTCCTGGACCTGTTGTTAGAGCAGGTTGCGCAATTACATTCTTCAGATCATCCTTGACGCCTTTCCTAGTGGGGAAAGAAGAGTCAGGGATCTTAGTGCAGAATGCAACTTGATAACCCTTAATGTTGGGCGTCAGGTGCTGAGCCGCCGCCCATGGCGGACATTTGGATCTTCATTAGAGTCTCCTGTCGACCCTGCTTACATCCATCGTCATTGGGATCGATCTTCAAACCAGCTTCATACGCGGCCAGCGCTTTGTTGTAGCTGAGTGATGGATCGTTGGTAGGTTGTTTGAATGGTGATGGTACGTAGGTTTGTTGGGGGTAGTTGCTGAAGCTCACAAGCCCAAATTAGGTAAGTACGCTACTGCTTGATAGATTGCACGGTAATCAAGGAGCTTGCTGTTGTTGTTTTTGGATCCATACGATTTCGAGAATGCAAGAAAATTTCTGATATCAGAAAGGCTTCTGCCCCCGTCCAATCGCAGTCGTCACGCTGATACCCGATCACCATTGAGGTGCGTAAAACACGAAAAAACAGAACAGCGCTGGGCCCCGCACGGCTACGCAATGGGAGAACCCACCGCAGCCACAAGCAGCAAGACGGGCCGGCACTCTCCGTTTGTCCATGGCGATAGAGATGGAGCTGCGAAGGCTCGCCGGCCAGACGCACAAGGAAAGAACAAACACAATGACCCACGCTCGCTTGCTAAGAGAGAGCGGACAGCCAACGCAGCGGCCCGGCTGGCCGTCCAAGTTTACAGCTGCCCCCATCAAGGTCACAAACACAAACCCACAAAAAAGAACAACCCCGCGACCCTGGCGCGAACTTTCTCGCGAGCCGCCCGCGCTGGTCGACCCTGCTGCCCTTGGGAGTACTTGCCCAACCGATCCCGCAGCAGGCCCCTACTTCATGAAACAGCCAACCCAAGCAAGCCCCTCGCTTCGTTCACGGCCCGCATAGCGCTCACCTTTTTGCCCCCGACATTTTATAGACATGCCACGCCGGTGAAGCTAGCTGCCACGCATCTGGTCCGTGCCTCTGCATCACATTCATGGCCACGGCTCCCGCCTCCTCAGGGGCCACTAGCCCGCGCCTTTTTGCCGCGGTATTTACATGCGCGCACGCTCCTTATCTTATGCAGTCAGCGAGCCCCGACCGAAAAGAAGGCCGAAGGTGGAAGAGACTGACCCCCGCAAAGACGGGCCCCCACGGCCGACCCACCCGGCCGGCTTGCTCGCTGCCCCGCTTGGCTTGGCCCCATGACTTCGCCGCGACTACGCCAGCGCCTCGCCCTATGGTGCCGCGCGGGATGGGCTTGCAGATGAAGCGCAGGCCAGTGCTTCGCCTGGCTTCCGCTCAATTGTCAGACAAGGACGCCGCTGGGTGCTGACTGCCTGGCAAGTGCCCGCAGGTGTGCAGGCTCCTTTCCATATGGCTGAAGATGGAGCGGCTGCCGTAGATATGGGGGCGCGCTCCGTTTTTTTTCCCAGGCATGGCGCGTAAAATCCTTCGGGGTCTTGGTCTGCCGGCGGCGACGTCCGCGGCGCCTAGCCCTAGCAGACCCACAAGCCTGCGGAGGCGGAGGCGGGGCTTTGCCGCTTTCCTGCATCGCTTGCCCAAGCAGGGTCTGCCGCAGCCCTTGGCCCGTGCCTGAAGGTGGCGCGCCTTTTCTCGTTCCCCGCCGCTGCCGTCTCGTTTCCGGGCGCTCCTCATCGCTTAAAGCACTCACGCACCGCCGGGCACAGCGCGGCCGCGATCGCTGGAAAGCACCGCAACGGCCCACGCTGTGAGACGGGCGCCAAACAAGAACCTCCCACCCGCGCTGCACCACGCACGGGCAGCCCGCACCCTACCCAGTCCGCCGATCGGCTTCCACGAGTCACGTGCCCGCACCACGCGCAGGCGCATGGCAAACGATATCAGGCAGGGTGCGGGACATAGCAAGAGCACACGCAGGCGCCGCGTTCTACCTTGCCTTCTTCATCTCCCCACGAGGGTTCTCCGGGTAAACATTTTCAAACAAAAAAAAGTAGCAGGAGTACTCTTTCATGAAGAAGTGGCATGCGCCCTTTCTCGAGTATGCCTTCACGTAGTTGGGATCGAGCTTGACTGCTTCCTCCAGGTCCCTCAGGGCATCAGGGTGCGCCATTAATTTCGTCAAAGCCGCTGCACGATTACCGAAGAGTTTCGCGTCGCTTGGATTTCGCTTGCAGGCTTCATCATACTCCTTCTTTGCGTCTGCCCATTTCGATTCCTTGAAGAACGCATTACCTGGTAAAGTAAGATCATGAGGGTTCAATAGATGGAAATTCGAACATGATTGCGGAAAAGGTGCATGTCTGTAACTCATGTTCTTGCTGGTTTCAAAGAAAATCTAAATCATTGTACTTAAATGTTGACGTTGAGCCTCGCTACTTCTAACTCAACTTTTCTTATCTAGTAAATAGTGTCTTCATCATCTAACTCAACTTTTCTTATCTAGTAAATAGTGTCTTCATCTAACTCACCTTTTCTTATCTAGTAAATAGTGTCTTCGACATCTTTCTAAGTCTCTGAGTCAAAGTCCGTCTGTATGATCTATACCTTTCTCCTTATGTTCTTCCGCTAGGTCGACATTTATATATGCTTCCTTCTCGAACTTCGCTTTCTCTTTCTTCACATCTGCTATCGCTGTTCTGGTGTTTTTGTTGTTGTCTTCCGCCAGTGATCTCTCGTAGTACTCCATCGCTGCATCGAACTTCTTTTGCTTCATCATGCACGCACCCATTCGGTTCAGTACTTTTCCTACTTTTTCGAAACTGGCAGTTCCAGGATTCTTACTGTTGATCTCATATCGTCGCTCCAGTACGTCTTTGAGCAGGGCTTCGCACTTCTCAAACTCCTTCTGCTCTACTAGGACAGCCGCTTTATTGTTGTAGTAGGTGAGATCCTCAAAAGTCGCAATGGCCTTGTCATACTGCGCAATGGCTTCTTCGAATTTTCTAGCCTTGTACCTGTGGTGGTGGGGTTCTTGTAGGGTAGAAGGGCAAAGGGTACTGGGTAGTGGACATGACAAGAACAAGTCCGAGCTTCATTGGAAGCACCTGTATTACAAGTATGTACCTTTATCATGTGAAGTATGTGTTTGTGCGTAGCTACTTGTAGTAAACTTCGAAATCTAAAAGCTCAATGAAAAAAACTTGCTCTTTAAATACAATTTATTCCCCTCATCCTTAAAGGCGTCTGCCTCCTTTTGTTCGTCTGTTCGTTCGTCCTTTTTTTCTTCCACCTTATTAGAGCTCTCCGCGGTTCATCTTTCAACTGCATCCCTGAAGAGTACAACACGCAAATGTTCACGCTATTGCTTGTACGTGGGGACTTCCACCCATGCAAGCATTCTGTAGAGAGGAACCTGCGTAAGGCCTCATCGACAGCATATTGTTAAGGTGGATAATAGGTCGACCCTTACTGGCCGATTACTCGAGCATGCCATACTTCTACTCAATCAAGGATGCGGCAAAAGATGAAATATCAATCTAGAGCCTTAACCTTAGGTTTTTTGGGACTAGCGGAAGCGGCAGGCCTCTCATCTGGAGCAAATGGCTCCCGCTCTGCAGGCATCTCCATGCCCTGCATAGCCATGAAGAGCTCCAGAAGTCGTTGATCCTGCATCAAGGTGCCACTCATCGCCTGCATCATCTGCGGGTCCAACTTAGAAAAGAAATATATCTACAAATATGAGTACTTCTTTGAAGATGATGTATTAAAGAATGAATGAGTGACATACTAATTTCGAAGATGATGTATCAAAGGGACACTAATCGTAATGATAATCAGCATTTATAGCTATGAGGGTTTTGATTTCTTTTGCCTCCAACGTGATCATTGACTATAGGAATTATAAGAATCTTGTACTATAATTAAAAGTGCTACTCTTTGCACCATCAAACACTAATTTTTCATAATCTTCTGTGCTTGCATCAGCATCTGGAATTTCTGCATCAATTCTTTGTCCTGCAAATACGTCGCGATCTTCGGGTTCTTTTGCATGGCTGTCATGAGCCTTGACATATCCAAGCCGCCTAGGGGATCGGCTCCGGCGCCACCTTTTGATTTGTTTACGTTGATGAGAGTGGGGATTTTAGCTTGGGGAAGATGAGTGATGGAGGTATAGGTGAAATTTCTGAAATTGATTACGATTTTCGGAAAGCAATTATGCGAGTCCGTGTACCATGATCGATTCCAAAAAAAAAAACGTGCTACTTCTAGTCGTGCTTGTCCACTTTCATTAAATACCTCAATAATATACAGTAAGTTTTTTACATGCTGGTACAGAAATATTCAGTACTACCACCCGCTCCGCTGGCTTTGGCATTCTTTACTTTTTCAAGCCCCTCTTGCAACGACTTGTCTTCTGGTGCTAGCTTGAGACCAGCTGCGTAGGTCGCTTCGGCTTCGTCATATTTGCCCAAGAAATACTCCGCAAGCCCTTTTCGGGTGTAACTGTAATATGGGGACGTGGAACAAGTAGAGCAGGTATTACTATTTAAAAAAAGCTCCATGGTGATCAGCAGATGTTGGTAGACCTGAGAAGACGAGGGGATCAATGCGGAACCCGAATGGGTATATGCGACCCGTCACAACGGTCGATACACATTCATAAATATGCGAAAGGACTAGACGGTGATTAATCAAAGACTAAGAACCCACCTGCACTAAAACATAAACAATCTAAATGAGCACATAGTAGGAGCACATCCATGATACACATAAGTAAATTTATATCAAGTTTCTCATGCCCTCAAGATAAATCCACCAAGAAATTTCTCCCTAGTTGTATATGTGTTTAGAAAGTTGTCCGTAGAAATTGAATTCCCTAGAACTCCCTAGTAAATAATTAATAGGATTAATCTTTAATACTAGAACTCCCTAGTAAGTATGCTTAATTATGAATCATTACGGGGGCAGGGGGTCTTTCATCGTCATACGACTAGTAAGTGGAGATACTCCCTAGATTCTGTGAACTTGAACTTGACATCTCTCCACAGACTCTTACAACTTGAACTCCCTAGTAAGTATGTAAATTCATATTAATACCCTTTCGCCCAATCTGGTTTCAACTGAACGCATTTCTTCCCATCCGCTAGTGCCTTGTCGTATTCGTGAAGGGAACTGTAGCAGGCACTTCGGTTCGAAAAAAAGACGTGATCTGTATCATCCTCTGCGATTGCGTTCGTGAAGTGCTTGATGGCTTCAGCAAAATTTTGAGCCTGGAAATCCTTGTTCCCCAAGGCCTTATGCTCCAGCGCTTTTTCACGCGTCATTTTTGTGATATTCTTCTTCTTGTAGTTATCGACTGATGTTAATATTAATCGGATGAAAGTGGAAAGAAAGACTGTATTATCGACTGTTATTATTAGGATGAAAGAAAGACCGTCTTTTGTTGAAAAGAACCAATCTACTACTAGAACAAACTGTATGTCAGTAGTTCTTGTAATGCGGAACAAAAGATAATGACAAAGAAAAATTGAATCAAATATATAACCACCTGAAAAATGGAAAGCGGTAGAAATGAAATTTACGATGACGTTATCGTGGGAGCAGCACGCGGTAGTTTCCACGAAAGAGTAAGAAGATAAATTGAGGCTTTACAGCCAGAAAGCTGAACGCGGATCCTCAATTCGAAATCTACATATTTGGTCAAGGGAACATAAATTTCAATTTCCTAAAACTCGCGCATTGAGAAACTGCAAAGGATCGTTTCTTAGAAGAGGACCATGGATCATCTCTGAGCTGAACACCATCACCAGTTACTTCAACACCAGTTTGTTCGACAATCCTTCGCCTTTTCTGGAATCAGTGATGACTCTGGGTCGTCATTCATCATGGTAATCTTGGTCATTCATCATGGCACTACGAATTTTTCAATACTAGGATCGAAGATCTTTGCATTAGGAGTATCATCACGCATTTATCTGTTGGTTTGGAAATTCCCACTTTTGCGAATTTTACCTGGTGTCGTCCTCGTAATAGTTAGTCTCTGTTCAAAATTCAATTAAGAATAATTCTTGAGTATTATTGTAATTCTACCTTTCAGTTTCACTACGTTTGCTTTGAATTCACAATGACAAAAAAGAAAAGCACTTGCATGCTCTTCAGAAAAAAAAACAAAAGACCACACAACAAGAAGCCTTACTGTTCGTCAATTCATTACCTAAATCACAATGTACTACTAGATAAAATTTCAAAACGGTAACAGTCTTGTAGTTTCAAAATTAGACGAGTAAAGCTTCTCTTCGAAGCAATCGCAGTGCTCGACCAATATCATAAATCATCCTTCCGTCAAAGCTCCCCCCATCGTAGAGCTCTTACCCCCATCCAGAGCCAGGTCTCGCGCTCTAAAAGTCGTGTCTTCTGGCGCGACCATGCGTTGTTGCTGGACCATAGCATCCAAAGCTTGAGGTGGAATCCTACACACATACCAAAGGCCGAAGGCGATCAGGCCGAATAGATTAGAACCGTGCGACATGTAGTTGTTTAGGCTTAGCTAGTACGCTGTGACTTAAATAAGCAAGTAACTGAAATTTAAGCAAGTAACTAATCAGAATATTAACCGAGATACTGACGAGAAGGAAGGGTAGCCTTGATGTTACAAGCTACTGCTTCCCTTATTTCAGTCAGTAACTCGGTTATTTTCAGTTTTCGAATATATTGAATTACGTACAGTTTTGACCTCTTCAGGTACGTAATCTTTTGATAGTATTCGACGACGTGTCTACGCCTAGTTGTAAGCAGGTTAGATGATGAGTACATCCTGTTGGAGTACCAGGTTAGAGTCCAATCCTTAACTAGAGTGATCACGATGAGCACGATCAACACTGTTTCCGCTGTATTCGATGGGCAGACGACCTTCGCATCAGCGTAGGTACCCAGAAGGGCACCACCGGTAGTGTGGTAGTGCTCCATTATACCTGTAGCAAAGGAATTCAAGAAGTCACGGCAAGGTACTTAGACTTTGATTCGGCAAGAAAATTCATTGTGATCTACAAGGTCCTCGTTAAGGTCTTTTATTACTGTAAAGGTTTGCGTTTGAGTTTCTTCTACATGCATTTGCATATGGATTGTACTCTTCGGAAAAGAGAGTATTTCACAACTTGCTACCTGTCAAGTCCGCATCGGTGTTGCAACTTTCGGGTAGGCAAAAAGACTCTTTTAGTTGCAGCTCCCCTACGCTATCCTGATGAAGTTTTTGGATGAAGGGACTGACCCAGGATGCTATGTGAGGGAAAACTATCCTGATGAAGGAGTGCGATATCAATACGCGTTTTCAGTTTATTGGACGAAGCAACCACTTCCTCTCTTGTTCATTGTTAACGTTATTAAGGGGAAACAATGTTGAAAGTCTAGAAGTCTAAAACATCTTCAGGAAGAACATCAAGAGTACTTTCATCGGGCTCCTGCTCACAGTGCAGCTTAATCTTGGGAAGCTGAAGGCAGGTGAACCTTCACAAAACTCCTCATATTCACTGAAGAGACAAGATAAAGCGCAGGACTCTGTGCATCCTGCACCACGCTGCGTTGAGAAATCGAAGGAGTCACAGCACGTTGCCAGTCGATTCTGCGTGATCACTCCACAATATCGCCAGAAAGTCTCCCACTCGATTTGGTCTGTGGTTGAGGAGCGGGAAATCTAATGAGGCACAGTGGTCCTGAGAAGTTTTAACTAGTTTTAAGTAGTAACAGTAAGGTCATCATAGTCCATGATCAACATTCGTTTTATTCGTCAGAAGTTAGAAGTACATAGAATATTCGCATGCATGCTGTAGAAAGATAGTACAGAGAATATTCGCATGCATCGTATCGAATTCAGTTCGGCATTTATTGCTCAACCCCTGAGCCACGTCTACTGCGAGTGTGACAAAAAGAGCAAACGTTGTTCTCCATGACCATGACGAAGACGATTTAGTTACACTACTAGGACCACTAGTAGTTCTGGACTTGCTACTCATGCCCATCATGCTCCTCGAGGTCGATGAGGACCTTGATCCTGCTCTTGATTTACGTCTGGCGGTATAATTAGTGTCGTGGGCGGCACTACAAGATGCCAAATCTTGATCTTCACGAGACGAAGACGTTGTTGTAGGTATCAAGTCGCATCTGGATGTTGTTCTTGCGCACTCCTCTTTAGAACTCAAGGCTTTCTGTCTTCTGAGATTTGTGAGGAGTCGCGGTCGTTCTGCATGACGTGGTTGTGATCCTCGGTTCCTTTGCTCTTCTTGAACTTGATGAGACCTGCTAGTACTTGTTTTGCTCGTCCTCGATTTGGAGCCAAGTCCATATGCATGTGAATTCGGCGACGAGCCATTGCCTGACGCGGAACTAGACAATGAGCTACTGCTACTACAACAAGCAGGAATCGCGTCATTATCCAAACGAGCATCTCTCCTTGGACCTACGGGGTATCGTGAAGAAGGCGTAGCCGAGGATGCGAGCATTTCGCCCGCATCTCTATTCCCCCTACTCGAACTTGATGTTGATCCCGGCATCATCTTGCCAAACGAACCGTATTGTTCCCCTCGATTACTATGCAGAGGGGCGTACTGCTCAGGTTCCTCTATCGGACTTCGAAGTCGACTACTGCTAGAAGCCGTTGCGCCAGACCTTTGACAAGGATCTGTTAGCGGTGACCCTAGTGAATCGGCGTTCCGAACAGTGCTGGTCCTGGTGTGGTCGCGCGTCATATTTCAAATTCGTGTAGACTCTAGATCGTTCAGAAAACCTTTCTCGACAAAAACCAAAGATAGTTTCATTTTCAGACTTCAGGAGAGACATTTGATCAAACGCTGCTTGTCGTTTGTCGTATTACAATCCTGTTTTCTTTCGAATCCCCTATTTTCGAAGGAAGTACGCTCAATGTTTCAACATCCCGACTCGATCACGCTCATGTGACTCTTTTGTGACACAGTTGTTTTCCTCTCGACGAAGTTTGCGCGAAGTCTCGCGACGAAGTATTCGCGACGAAGTTTGTACGAAGATTTCCGTCTACAACAAGCTGCAAGCGTGCTCGTGCAGGTGAACATCTAAGAAGTAGATTCATCATCGCTAACTATCAATGTATCATCCGATTTGGCCTACTACATCGACCACAAACTTCAACACCCACATCCCTCCAAATAACTTTTGACGACATTCCTGTAGTCCCCGTGTATCTCCAAACCTTGGTTCTCAGAGACCGATACCCGTGCGCCACGGCAAACCACTTTGAGCTGATTTTTCAGATATTAGAGAATTTTCACTATGTTGACTACTGGCCAAAAGCAAAACCCTGGATGATGATAAAACTTCCGCAACTGTTAGACTCAAGCGCAGCAATAGTCTTGCCCGTTCATCAGTTTCCTTGCAATCAATTCTAGACTCTTTTAGTATAAAGACAAGAACTTCTTCGCATAAAGTTCCTCAATATCGCCACGAATTTTCCGTATCACCGTCAGTGCCAGAGATTTGTTGTTCCTTCGGAAAACGTAGATAGGCAGGTTTCCACTCGCCGTTCTCTTCACGTAGAAAGGCGGATGCCCATTTCGCGCGATCCGTGAGGACTGCCTGGACGTTGGACGACTTGATGAACTTGTTGAATGGGTTTCTTGGCCAGTAGTTGTTGATGAAAATTGTGCTTGTCCTTCTTCTTGGACTGCTGGATCGGTCGTCCTCGTTGTCTGTGAATCATCGATATGACGTGGGCAACTTTGCTGGTCATCTGGATCTTCTACTTGGAGGGAAAAATCAGGAGCGCCGTCGTGTCTTTCAAATTTAGTATGCTCGTCAAGATGGCCACGCAGCTCATTTCTTGATGAACGAGCACAGCTAGAAGATGTTGTTGCGGACGAAGCAGCGGAAAAGGTGCGCGTGCGTGATAATCTATTTTTGGGGGCACAGGAAATGCGCGTAGTCGAACTCATGCAAAGCTGTGCCCTTCCAACGCGAAGCGTTCCTGCTGTTCTGGCCCAAGTCGAGGTTGGACATGAACTTGAAGGAGCGCACCCACTTCGACATAAAGAGCTCGACAAGGAGTGAGAGACGACATGTGGTCCAGCACGCCTCGTTAAAACTTGAGTTGTTGCCGAAGCAGTCATGATGGTTCTTTGGCGTCTTGTGTTCGAAGATGTAAACACCACCAAGGCCCGCTGACTTAAAATAGTAAAATGAGTCGGTCGTGGTGTAATTGCTACGTCATCAATGTCTGTGCTAATGAGAAGAAGTACGGTAGATCTCTGTCAGAACATCGTTGATCCCTTGTTCGCGTGATCTACCGCTGATCCGTGTGTCAAGAATGGTCGTAGGTCAGTGAATTACAACCGACGCAGAACACTATTTAATGTCCTAGTCGAGTTGTAGAAGAACAAGAACACTATTCATAATGTTCCAGTCTTCGACCTTGGTGTCACACGAGCAACAAAGCAAAAGCTGTTCAGAGTAGCCGGCTCCGTAGCCTCGGTCAGAGCTATCAAGAGAAAGAACCAAGAGCTACAGTACATGTAGGCTGAATAAAGCCAAAATCAAAGTTGTCATGAAAACTAAATGTCTGTCACGAGCTCAATCCGTGTAGAGTCCTTCTCTACGAATGTAGTCAACGACTGAACGGGGCACCAAACCTGTAATTGAATGCAACGTTCTACTAGAAGTGCTTCCTGTAGTCTCCAGCACCTTTTCCTTCCACCCGCTCTCCATCTGTATCCTTTTCCTCACTTCTGATGAAGAGATATTCGACGTCGTCAGCGTTAACCTACTTGCTGCATGTCCTTCTGCTGCCAGTATCTTCGCTCGTTTCGGCATTTCACTGATCGATTCCAGACTCTGGTACCCGTCTCTGGAATAGAGCAGAAAAGGCACTTCAGTCCATGCCTGCGTAGCGTATTGCCATTTCTTGATTGTAGGAACCAGATCTGTCCCGATAATCATGGAAACTTCAACTAGACTAGAACTAGGACTACTAGAAGAACGAGAACGAGGACGCGCAGCTCCTGTGCCTGTGTGGCCGCCATGGTCCTCCAATCGTGCTTTTTTCAAGCCTTTCGCATCTACTTCAGAAACAGAACCATTTTCCTTGATCATACCGTCAGTGTATATTTTGTCCGTCCCACTCGCACTCGCACACCCACTGCTCTCTAACATTTTGTCCTTCCACATTTTTTTGTTCACTGCTCGTACAAGAGATAGAGAAGTTGAAGGTCCTCGTCCTGGCTTTGTACAAGTAGAATTAAAAGTACTGGTGCTAGAAGAAGATTGCTCGACTGTGATTCTCATCGTCATCTCTTCCTCCAGCAATCCTGTCAGGCCTTTCCACACTAGATAGGTTGGGACATATTCTTTCTGAAACAGTTCCAACTCGCACACATACACCGGAAAATCTGGCTGAAAGAACTCACTGACCGCCAGTTGTGTCATCAGGTATCGGTCTCTTACGGGTGTTTTCAGAGAAGGCTTATCCGGTCGTTCGCCGCATGGCATCAGCCACACTTCATCCACAGCGCCAGTTTGCACCGCTTCCGCGGCCAGAGTTAAGTGCGCATTCGTAATCGGGTCGAAGCTGCCACCTAAAATACCGATTCGAATGGGGGTAGAGGAGGAGGAGCTTGCTCCAGTATGCTGGCTCATCTTGCTGGATCCGTGGCTCATCTTGTACGAGGAGTTGTTCACGGCCATTTTGTTTGATGAAAATGATTGATGATATATACAACAGTGTTTCGGGAAAAAGAATGGCGTAGCACAGGCTATGAAACCAACACAGGGTTCTCCATATTAGTGAACAAGGATGCCGCACACAGTTATATCCAACTTTCGAATCTTGTTTTTAAAAACAGAGTCAGACGTCCTGAAAAAAAAAGGAAGAAAGGAATCCTCTTCAAAAGAGACGTCTACTCATCAAGGTGCTGGAGACTTGCTGCAGCAGTCACTGTAAAAATAGCATTAGAAGGACTTCACGAGGACAAAGCTCGTCCCACTATTTTCATAAAGGGTGGTCGCGAGCAGCATATGCATTAGATTTTCAGTCTTTTCCTTTTTTGATTGTCGGACTGGTCATCTTCCAGGAAGCCATGGTATACACACAGAACCTCTGAGAAGTGGTCCGTTGATACTCTCTGTACAAATGCGCTCTATCTGTCGGCCAATTCTGTAGCATTTTTTGCTCTGTCATCACTGTTACTATGGCCAAGACGATGGAGTTCAGCATCGTACCTACGGTGGTCCAGTATGCTCCCAGGCCAACGGCGAACAAGGCTATGCTCCACCAAAACAACTGCTCTCCGAAGTAATTTGGATGTCTACTACAGCGCCATACTAGACCAGTGCTTAGGAGAGGTGGCGGTGATGACGCATCTTGTTCTTGATCTGCAGTATCTCAATTCATTATCCGCTACCATAGCTATGCTCAAGCCGCTTACTGCGCCGATTGTGGCTAAGAGGACGTCGATGGCCGTAAAGCTTCCAGAATATGAACCATGATTTCCAGCTCGTCCACTAGTGGTACCAGTTCTATAAACATCTGATCTCCACTAATATCAGCATCACTGATGAAGACATACTACAAGGGCCACGTTATACGAGAGAGAAGTGGTTGCTGGGCTACTCCAGGATCGGCGGGAATTGGAACTACGAAAATAGTTATGAGTCAACCTCACCGCCCAAGCGTACATTAAAAGGGTGACGATGAGACCACGCGTTAGAGGAGTCAGCTTGTTTGTATTCATTTCGGTTCCCTCATCTCGACGTCTTGTCTTTTCCCAACGTGAAGGGTCTATCAACCACACTACATCCACCCAAGCCATCCGATGAGCCAAAATCCCACAGAAACGTTCAAGAAAAACAACAAGTTCAAGGTTAGGAAGGGGTTCTCGATCAGGTATTTTTCGAAAGCCGGAAGAAGTTGAGGTAGTACCAGCACTGGAAGCACCAGTGGAATACAATAAGTGTACCACATACATAACAGAAGGTAGACAAACGAACGTACAGAGTAGCCCATTCACGATAATTTTGAGACTCCAAGCAGAATGAGGTTTGTAGGCTCCGTGCCAGGAATGTTAGGATAATGTGGATCTAATGCGCTCAAGAGATCATGCAGCACGGCTTCTTGCATTCTTGCCCGTCCGCGACAGGGCAATCACATCGCCTGTAGCCATGCCGTGGCTGTGCCTTGTTCGTCAAAGTCGGTAATTGAGGTTGCCAAGAATGAAATATCTGTAGTTCACAACCTGTTCATCTCTGTGCATGTTCATTGTCACTATAGTTTTATGCTACGAGATCTCATCAGAAAGACTTGTACATAGTTTTTTCCATGATACTCTAAAAATGATTTTTTCTGCTAGGTAGTAGTACGATTTAAATTTATTCTGTAATTCTCGCTAGGTGTATCTCGAATTTGGAGAGGCCTTGTACAATGAAAATGACTTGTTACTTTTACAGGAGTACAACTGGTTCGGTACTTTTTGATGTTGAAATGTCTGAATTCGTTGATGTTGTGAAAGTGAAACGAATGAACGAAGGTCGAGTACATCGACCTCATCTTCTCCTTCATCTTCTGCTCTCGTGAGCATTCTACTTGTTACGCTGCAACAATCGCTGCACCCCAAATCGCCATAATCGCGGCAAACGCAAGCGTAAACAGGTTCACGCCTCTGGTAGTTGCGCTAGTAACTTAGAGGTGAAGTAGGTGATTGAAGATGGAAGAAGATACTATAAGTAGAATATTGCGCAAGAAAAAGAAAGATGGCCAATGTATCGTTTCTTTTTTTTTTGGATTTCTATTTCACTAATCACAATGAGGATAGCACTCCGACACGGACATATTCATTCCAAATCCATAATTTTCCGACACACCGCACGTGAGCATCTTCTTCTTCGAACATGCTGTCAGCGTCGCATTGTTGTAGCTTGCTGCAAGGTCCATAGACGAAACCTGGAAAAAGTACTGGTAGAGGCCCAAAGCGGATTAGAGCGCAGAGGGATTCATCTGCTACTGCTAAGTAGCGGTAGCCCATCTTCTCAGAATTCCGAGGGGGAAACGGAGAAGATCGTTGTCAAGATCATATAGATACATGAGTCGAAAGATGATGATGTTAGCCGGTTCGGATTTGACCTACGACTTCCCTGAGTCTTCTTTGAGTTCTACGAAATAGATCATATACATGAATCGATAGATATCTGTAAAGAACGCTGTACTAGTACACATCATGAAGTTCTACTGATAGATACGAGCCTTAAGAAAAACTGCCAGTGGTAATCGTGAAGAAGTTCTCCGCAGAGCAAGCGCATTGATCGGTGAAGATGAAATCGCAGACCGGCTTCAGGTTGTCCGCATCAACTGTGGTAGTCTCGTTGGTAGCGTTGTAACAATCCTTTAGCATGCGAGGTTAGAAGAGGTTGGGAGAGTTGTTTGGTTGGATGTAGCAAAAAAAAAACGTTGTAGTTTGGGAATTCTTTCAATGGAGTAGTAATATGCTAAGACTAAGTAGTACTATTACTATAAGGATGTTACGGATTTCCTAGATCTAATATCAGGCGTACGCTACTCCGGGATTTTTTTAGCTTTGCCTCACACAGGACTACCACTTCGAGACGCGAGTGTTGAAGGCAAGATTCATCGGAGTGAAAGTGATTTTTGGAAACATATTGCAATGGATCAATCAAGAACATCATGATCATGTTCATACTCTACAAACTATAACTCTACACACAATATCTTGCTCAACCCAGAGCAGTCATAAGCATAGCACGCTGCCTTTTCCGCTGTCACCGCATGATTTGCGCACAAATCCTCTGCCTTCTGAGGACCGAGCATTTCTTGCTCAATCGCATGCTTCTTCTTCTTGCCTCCTCTTCGTCTGCTCACTAAAGCTGATGAAGATTTGGTAGCTTTCTTCGTCTTTTGAGTAGTCTTGACGATGTTCATCCTACCAGTTTTGTGTGGCTGCATCTTCTCTACTTCTGATTTAGCGTCCTCTTCGTCTAAAGCACCTTCGTCATCGTCATTCCCCTCCACCTTGGCCTTATGCTGCTTGCTTTTGCTGGGAAATGAAAGGGTGAGTGGAAGAAGAACATTATAAGCTGCACATATGTTAGCTGAGTATTCATAGAAGAATATAAAAGTCTTCGACTACAATCTCAAAACTGTTATAAGATGTAGTATATTTCTCTATGGGGAGGTCTGGACTGCACTGTCAAAGTGGTTGATAACAGCGTTGTCACTAAGATTGACATTGTACTGATGCTCGTGTTTCACTGTTTGATCAAAAGGGCCCGCCAGAAAATGAAATCTACTTCCAGGCGATAAAAAACCAGATTTTCGAGGATTGGCATGAAATTTTCCCCCATCCTCGAAAAAATGGTTTTTTATCGCCTTGGATTGAAATTCAAGTTCGGGCGATCCCTTTCACTCAAACGTTGAAACAACTACTCGAATAGATACCTATTCTGCACGGAGGACATGAACATGACCAGCAGCGCGTGTGCATGACAAGTGAAAAATCATGGACAACTACACGAGTGAGGTCCGAATGTCTATATCTATTACACAAGGAGAGGTATTGGCTCCCATAACTTTCGAGGAATCTCCTCTATGTCTTGGTCTACTTCCTCGCTTACTTCTCTTGATGATTTCTCCTTTTCGGGGACCTCGACTCTCTTCTCACCCTTCTTCGACACCTTCTCAGCTTTCATCTTCGTCTGTGTGGCCTTCTCACTCTTCTCAGCGGTATACACCTTCGGCCCTTTCTGGTCCTCTTCCATCCTTGAGACCTTCTCCGCCTTCTTCAGCTGGGAAACTTTCTCAGAAGTCTCTGTCTCTACAGCCTTCGCTTCCATATTTGACGAGACCTTCTGTGCAGCTTTCTCCTCATGATTATGCACGATATCGTCCTTCTTCTTTGATATAGCCTTGTCCACCTCCGTATTCTTGGACTTAGTACCACGACCTTTCTGTGACTTGCTTTCTCTTGGTGCGACATCTTCTCCTACTTCTGTGCTTCCGTGCTCTGTCTCTTCTACCTTCTCTGGCGCCGTCACTTTTTCTTGATCCTCCGCGTATTAGAGGGCAAAACGTTTCATTTCTTGCGTTCATTTCTTCAGATGCCCAACAAGAAAATTGCGAGAAACGACTTATAGAAATGAAATATTGAGCCTTAAGCATATCCTAGGATTGCCTTGTCCTCCTCGTCATCTTCGTCTGACTCTAATCTGCGAAAGACAAGCTCTCCTTCGTCGTGGTTGACCTGATAAAAGGGATCAAGTATACTCGAACAACCTTCTATCACAGAAGGTGATGACAAAAAGAAGGTCAAGATTCCATTCGTCATACATAAACATATATGCCAGCCGTGGTCCGGACTGTCAAAAACAACCTGTACCCAAAAACACACAAGTACCTTATCAAGGACAGTTGTCTCTCGATCCCGTACCGTAAATGCGTCAGTTGACAGGTGCCACAGCAGCTGCGCACAAAAAGCCAAACGGGCAGCCATGTTTTCTTGGAAATTCTGATCAAACTACAGCATGAGGATATAATAGTCGTTTTTGTTCGAGGCCACCATGGAGCCCTGCTTTGTTTTGTGTTTCATTATGCTCGTGGTATTACCCTTATCTTATCTGATGCTTTTACACTATTGGAAGTGCGACGTTCCGGAGTCATCGCCATCCTTCGTTATACACGGTCGTTTTGGATTCCGTTCTTGCCATTTTGTACGGGTAAGTTTGCCGTAGGGTCCTGATACTATGTTGGTGTAGTTTTGAGGCTCTATATAAGGAAGAAGTCTAAATTTGCCTTCCAACAGGCCATTTGGATTTGGAGATTTCAGAAAAAGTTTTCTTTTTTTTTGTATCCTGGGGCTACTGAAAGAGCGGCCTCAGCTTTATCCAGTTCGCAAACCGGCGGCAGGCCACCAGTAGGGGCACAGTACGTTCCCTCCAACAGACATGCTGTCTCTGTCAAATGTACAACAGACTCTGGGCCCCTCATCTTTCTCCTCATACAGATTGTCTTTCGCAACATTGTCTCTTTCGTATAACACAGAATAAGCTTCAACACCGATACCAGATGAATGCAGTCATATATTTAGACTTTCAACACTTCGTTCTTTGCATCATACTCCACACAGTCACAGTGTCTCCTCAAACTCCTGAAGGAACATCACCCCATGACCTCTGAGGCCCTTTGCTGGTCCTCCTGTGGGAAAGAGGAGCCTCAACTACATAGAGTGAAACCGAAACGGTTGCTATCAGAAAAGTGCACCACGTTGGAAAGCCAGAAGTGTATCATCCACCCCTTCGATCATGTTCACCTTGGTCTGATAGACAACCCCAAGCGAAGACAGAGTTGAATTCAACGCTTGTCATCCTTCTTGTGCACAAGCCCAGGGATCAATAGCATAACTACTTGACCGTGGAAAAGTGTAAGGACCTAAGATGATATCCGTGTGGTGCTTGAACAGATGAAGCTACAACATGTTGTCTTGGACATAAAGATCTAAATTTTCTAAATCTGACAACAACAAATCTAAATCTTCACAACTACAGTAATGATCTTAAATCACTTTATTTACCGTCTCTAGTAGAAATACGATCTGCAGTAGATGTAGTTGTAGAAACAGATTTGAAGCTGTGACAAATCATCATACGACATTGGTGGAGAGGGATTCGATATAACAAGTGCATTTTTCTCAGAAGCATGTCTGGACAACGCTACTGACGAGTTGTTGTGAAACCTGTATGTGTTACGACGATCTTAGCGGTTTCAACGAACTTGTAATGCTGGACTTCTTATTTTAATGTAAAACGAAACTCACAGAAACTATGATATTGACCACTTGTAGTAACCCTTCGTAAATTTTGTGATAGAAATTGTAACAAATAGTACAATGTATTGCTGTTGTTCAGTGGAAAAAGAAAAACGAACTTTCTTGTAGCTAGTGAATCAATTTCACAGATCATTTCTTGCAGACAACAAAAAAAACATCAAAAATGACTGCTCATCATGTGGTGCTGTAGTGTTTATATCAGAAAGAACTACTACCTTTACGACTAGTTGTAGTAGCGTTTTCATTTTACTGATCGAACCCATCCAATGTCGAAAATCTCCATTAGGTGGGACAGAATATCGCTATCCATCTCCAACAAAACGAAAACTATCTCTCCCCTCCTCTCCATAGATCTGATGAAGAATGATGAAGACAACTCCTCAAGAAGAGTGCAGATGAAAAAAATCAAGAAGTCTAAATTTTCGAAATACTACCAACTAAATGGCTAGCAAGAAGGCAAGCAAACGAAAACAAGACTCAAGGACAACTCACATCTACAATCGAGAACTTCAACTTCCCCTGTTCTTCAACTCCTCAACTGCGACTCACCGACCAGCTTGTCTCCTTCACATCTGCATCAGCTCCACTCCGTCTCGATCACCTCCAGCTTGTAACCCATCACCTCCACCTATTCCGACTGGAGAATTCCGTCTAGAACAACAGCTGGACACCGGCATACACACCAGCAAGTGTGGTGGCGACCATGGAGGCAGTCACGCGAAGGGATCCGGACTTGGCTGGTGCAGCTGTAGTGGAGTTGCCTGGTGCAGCGGTGGTATCGTTGACGGCACGCGTCAGTCGCATCTCGCGTTGATAGGCTGCGTTGGTATGAAACAGAGAGGGGGATCCAAAGGGAACTCGGTTTAAAGGAGGAGGGGAAAGTTGAATAGAATACAAATCGGTTTATCATGAAACTGAGACTGACAAGCCCAAAATAAAAATCTAAATAATCTAAAGATTCACGGACTTCTAAGTATCAATGTCATATCGATGCGCTGCTTTCAAATTCGTATGATTGGAGTTGTACCTTGCTTCTTTAGAAAATTTAGAATTAGAAAACAAAGATCGATCACTAAAACTCTACTACAAAAAAAGAAAACACTCTGCGTCAACATGACACAAACCATAAAGGTAAGCCGCGGCACGCTGGCGGTGCTTTTCGTTGAAACGCTGTTCCTCCTCCTCCAGGTCTTTGAGGTCCTCCTCTTCGGCGTCCTCTTCCACCTTCTTCATCTCCTTCTTCGGTTCTTCATTCTTCGCCGCCTCTTCCTGTTGTTGGACCTGGTGCTGTTCCGTGCGAGCGACGCTGCGGATCATGAACTGGGGCTAGAGGAAGGGGGTTTGTTGAGTTGGGAAAGGAAGTGGTTTCACTTTTTCTGTGTGGTTGATCAGGGAAGATGAATCAGAAACACAATCACGTTGATATCCCACTAGTACTTTCAACTCGAAGATCATCATGCTTTTCTGGCAATCAAGAGAGAAATATTAGAACTTTGTTTTTCTTATCGCTATCAACTCAAACGGTTCATAGCTTTTCCTCGGCGGTTGTTGTCACCAACAGCAATGCCGCTGACGCCAGCAGCGGCGGCAATAACAGCCAAGGATCGGATGATAAGCTTCACCATTTTCCGTGCTTTTGGTACTGGTAGGTCTTTTTTACTACGTCTTTTTTTCGTATTTCTTCTTCTTGTTCGAGAGAGAGAGAGAACTCGTCTTGTTCTTGTTCTGTACTTCTGTTATTGTTGATTGTTCTTTGGAACAGTCTGTGGTACTAGCACAACTTGTGATACGGTACACTTCTTGTCCTGATTGTGCAGTGTAGTTGCTACGTATCCTTGAATGGATGTTGATCTTTGTCTCTCACCTATGGGTTGTGTTTGTGTTGGGAAGGATTTTTTCATTCAGTCATTCACGCTGCCACTGACAAACGCCAGAAGAAGCAACAATTTCTCCTACGAAGAGATGCGTATTGCCCGCAGACTGTGCGCAAAAGCTTTCTATAGCGGATTATTCTATTGGAGGACACTTTGATCATTACAGTCGCCCCCTTTAACATTCCCGCTATTTCTCGAAACAGATGAGATCTGTTGACACTCCGTCTTTTTTCTGTCGCCTCTTTCCGGCTCCCTCCTCTCGCTGTCCTCCACTCAACACCGATGCTCACACACAGAGGCACGTTATTTCCCACGAACATTACAAATCACAATATCAAAATCAGTTTTTCAGATCCCGATACCATCCACTCTGGTAGCCCTATTTTGGTTTCTTTCAAGCGCACGTCAAACCATATATTGCATGCCTGGCGGATCTGCCGTGCTCCCTGAACACACTTTTCCTACCGCACGAAATATAATTCCCACTATGCGCTTGTGTATGCGTCTTCTTGCGAATTCTAAAAAATCCTTCGTGAGTAGGAATAGGTTATCGGACGTTTCCGATGCAGGAACTGATTCTGAAAGCGAAGCATGCTACAACTTTCCGGATTTTACAAAAAGGACAGGAAAAACACATTATATATTTGTAATACTGTATTGAAGAGACCTTAGATAGACATTCATTTTAATCTTTTTATTTTGATGTACCCCAGAAACGGATGCGGTGACAGCGGGAATGGGAGACTAATCGACTCGGGATCAAAACTAACTGGTCATGAGAAAATTAGCTTCATTAGCAATCACATTCACACTAGATAATTTTTATTAGAGATACAGCCTGCCCCTGGTGCGACTGCGACTGCGTCATTTACAATCATAATTTCAGAAATTGAATCCAGCGATAGGGTACAGTTGAAGAACTATGTCATACTGGAAGCTTCTATTCCGCGAAGTTAGGTCGAAGCTTCTACTCCTCGAAATTGGTCGGTGGTCTCTGGCAGTATTCGCTTTCATAGTAGTGATTTAGGGCTTTGCTGACTTCAGTCGTGAATAGTCTCCAGTCCTCAGGTAGCCAATTCTCTGGTACGCGATCTGGTGTCTGCTTATCAGCTGAAAAATCTCGCAAAATTTTTAGGAAATCGCTTTTTCTTAGAGAGCAATTGCACGTGCAGAGCCGAATTCTCCGACTCACCCAAATATCCCTGTTCACCAACACATGATCGGATGAATTACATGCAACCATCCAAGGAGTACGTACGTCTACGTACGTAGGTACGTACGTACGTAAGATAACTACAGGTGTTCTTGTACACCCATAATGATGACGAAAGGACTAGACGGTGAGCGGTAGCGGACAACTAGTCTACCCCTGCGGATTGAATTCCTGATCTAAACGAACGAATTGATTAAGAGAACAGGTTGAAGGAGGTGAGAGGAGCGAGTAGAAAGAGATTACAATTGTTACAACTGATGTATTGACAGCCATAATTTACTCTCGCATTTCGGAGCACCGGTGTTTGAATCTTTTCGTGGATTGTAGTTCTCGTACAACCAAGTGGCCAGCCCTTTCTTTCCTGTTCGATTGGCTGTTTGCATTTTTTCGATGGGGATTCGGATGCGACGCAGCTGCTCTCTTCTTGTCGCCTCCCTGGTGCGTATCTTTTCGCGAGCCTCTTCACGGAGGTGTTTCACCGCGTCCACAAACCAAGGACGACGCGCCAATGGACCAGAGATGGAGGCTTCATCGTCGATCAGCGATGTCAGGCTCCAGTTCCTGGTCGTAGTTTGTGAATTTCGAGAAGATCACGCGTGCTGTACTCAAGCCTACACTAGCATAGCACTTGTCGCGAAGATATTAGTAGATCTGGACGTACAACGGCTTACAAACGATATAGTACTGAGAATCGAAAGTGTGATATGCTTGCCGCTACTGGTAGAGCATTATTACTATAGGATGTGAAAATTTACAACTACACAATAGTACTTCTCAGTGTCCAGAGAGAACCAGATCGTCAAGCGCATCGTGGTAGACCTCGGTCAGATCGCTGGTGTCCGAAGAGGCTTTCATTGCGTCGCGCAGTCTGCGCGTCGCGCGTGCGAGACCCAGGGCTGCGGCTGTACGGTGCGACAGAAATTTAGCGTCACTGAGAAGCTCTGGTGGCGGAAAATCGTCTTCCGCCAGGAGCAACCGACAAGCCTCTTGTACGAGCGACTCTGAGCGCACAAGGGCTGCTAAATCGTCGTCGTCGAAACACACACGCACCTGGCCCAGGTCGACCATCTCGAGCACGCGATGGCAGCACTGCAGCTGTCGAGCCACAAGCTCGCGCACGCACTCAGTCCGTAGGTGCTGCGCCAAATCATAGCTCTGCGTACTACCTCGTGATTGAGTTTGAGTTTGAACAGGACTTTGATGGATCCATGACATCCATGTGCAAAGAATTAAGTGAAACTCACAAATTGCATCGTCATACTATTCAAACCTGCTGTGCTCCTGCTCGCAACGGCTCCCAAAAACGTGTCCATGTCGACCACAACCTTCTTACACTCCTCGAGAAACGCTCGTAGCATGCGAAAGCGCGTTTCACCTGCGGACACTTCGTCCCGTACAGTTTCTGCGAAGTATCGAAAGATATCTGTCGCTTCGCCTTCTGCCATGTACTTTCGGGTGGCCAATCCTGCTACGTTTTTCACGTGGTAGCGCGCTCGTTCCACAGCAGAACCAGATGCTAGCGCGTTCAAAGCCACGCACGACAGCTGCGTCTCACATTTCGCTAGGTTTCGAGTGATCACCTTCGCGTCAGCCCAAAGGGAAGCCACATTAGTAGTGCTTCCTTGACCATCGGCACTCTTTGGTCGCCCATCCTTAGTTCCACACCGTTCCAGCGCAAGACGCCACATACGCGCGGCCTCCTGGAGGTCAGCCTGCCGGTTGCGCGCATCGTTCAACACGTGACCTTCTTGAGAATCCTCGTTATCCACAGCGCGCTTCCCGCTCTTGAAGAGCCTGGCAGCCTGTTGACACAAGTCTCGCCAATCTCGTCGCGGAGAGCGGCTACGCGAAGCGCTGTTGGAAGGCATCTTTCTGGTATTTGTTTTCGAATGAGAACAAGACTTTGTTCTTCGTGTTAATATATTTTTATTATGATGATCGACGATGCAAGAACTACAGAATCAATCATGAAAAAACGATGATGAATCTACCAAAAGAGCGTAAAAAATGATCACGTCCTTGTAAACGCGATGGAAATAACAAAGTAGAAAAGAGTCGGAAATTAATCACAAAGAAACGAGAAGGGAAATGGTTGGAAAATCCGAAAAATGAAAAACATCCAAAAAAGATCTGTTTTACACTGAGAGCGACGAGTCACAGCCATCACATGTAGAGGTCTCATAGATTTAGATAGTGTCCGCCTATAAGAAACCACATTATAGTGTCCACATTAGCTTCTCCATCTGCCTGCATCGTGTTTGGGCGCAAAATTTTTTCTTCGTATTTTCAGATCTTTTCTGCTTTCTGTAGTTTTTAGGCATCGTGGCGGAGACCAGGATCAGCGTTCAAGCATCTAGCAGTAGTGAATAGTACTGAACAAGAGCATTTCCGAACTTTATTGAAGACATATCACCGAAGAGCAAGCCACATCGTTGAAAGCAGCCAAGTCACAATGATCCAATAACTGCCTAGCACAGATGAAAAATCTTCTATGCGGTCATCCACAACGAGCACCGACGATAACCCCAAGGAAGCGGACTTGTTCGTTAGTTCTGTAAAGAACGACTACGACTTACAGACAAGCTCGAGTTCCTAAAACAGATTCATATCGATGCTTCCGTAGTGCTTATAAGTGCGCCAGTCAAAGCGCAGAAAGTCGGAAAAGTGCAAACAAGAGTCACTTCTCGTTCCGCAGGTAGACTCCATAGGTATCTGCTTGTCACATCTGAGTATCATCATGATTCAAGAAGCCGACCCTGACCTTGCATCAAAATCTTCATGTCGTCCTTATAATATCTTATAGCTGCTGTTGGCCAATCGATCAGTACCCACCAGAAAATAACCACGACTTGTTCTACTCAACACTAAGCAGAATATGCATACTAACTTACTCTACATTACTCTGTACCATGCTCATGTGGTCCACATGTAGCAAAAAGAAAAACTTCAAATTTTTTTATAATAGAGTAAGGCACTTTTTGACCCGTATCGGGTCGAGTTGCTCGGGTTGCTCGGGTTGCTCGAGTTGCCCACCCTAATTTTTTGCGCGGCGCCCTTCGGGCGCAGCTTTATGAGACTCCGCGAAACCTTAGCAGGAGCGTACGACACTGCGCGCCGCGTCTCTGATCCTTGATTTTCTTCGCAGTGCACCCTTGAGACAGGAGCGAGCGACCGTCTCGGGCTCGAGACTCATTGCAGCCACTTGCTTGGTCATCTAATTACTCACGACATCTAAAGAAGGACTACGCATCTAGTGTGATAATCCACTTCCAACTTCCGCCCCCAGCTGGTGCTTTCTCTAGTCTACTCACCCCCAAGCAAGGCTGGACGCGCCGCCCTATAAAGTATACGGGGGCTACTCGCTCTCACCCCCGAAGTAGATTTATTGGGAACACATCCGAAGAAAAAAGGGAGAGATCGCCACCACACGCCACAGCGACACTGACATCAAACAAAAACAACAACGGGCAGAGCCTTTCGCCCCCTTGGTTGTGCTTTAACAAGCGCGCGCTGGCAAGCTACAGAAAAAAAGGCATAAGGGCCCAGGAGCCCTTCGCACCCGATTGCCCCTTTCATGAGCAACAACAAACGCAGCACGCCCTCACACTTCGCCACTTCGACCAGCTGGGTTTGTGCTCGCGCCGCCCTGCTTCGCTCCATTTCGATGGAGCGGACACCTCCCGGCAACTCGTGGCAACTCGTTCCAGCAATGAAGCTCTTCGCTTCGGCAACTCGAGCAACTCGTGGCAACTCGAGCAACTCGAAACCCGTTATTGGCCTTACTCTATTATAAAAAGTCCAACTTACTTGTGAATAAAACATCTCTGGACGTACTTTGACCTATTCAGAAAGACTAGTACGTCATGAATAGGTGTAATCTGCCCTAACATGATTATATCCGGCACGACGCACCCCACCCTCAATCAGCGTTCTCAAAATCATCAGACCACCAAAAAGCACGACTCCGCTACCAGCGACAAAGAAACACGCAGCTGCTAGATGTGACATCTTGAATGGCATGGACGTGCTTTCTCCACCTCCGACGTCATCGCTCATTCCATACGTGCTCGGTGCACCTCCGCCATGTCCATCATCCCTCATGCCGTTCTTTCGGCCCCTGCAAAGAAGCACCAGACTCCTCCTCAAAAAAGTTCTCAAGGCTCCACTGTAGGCGTTAGGATTAGAGCTGGTGCGTTTGTCCTCCTCTTTCGTAGGGTTGCCTCCATCTTTTAGTTCTATTCTTGTGTGCCTGCGGATCCGGATGATATTGAAAAGTGAAGATAGCAATGCATCTTCATGGCCTTCGACTCGTAACGATTGATTCATCTCTACGTAAAGGTCTAGTTCGTTATGTTTAGTGAGGATCATGCCTTAACGAAAGGTGACACAGCTTCCTCCCTATATTTGCGCAGCTCTTGTTCAATCAGCTTGTCTAAATCTCCTTCGTTTACAGCCTTGACGTCCGCTTTATCGCCATAGAAAGACAGCTCCCTCCCGCGTTTTCGAGTCGCTGGCCTACTGCAAATTTCTTGTTCAGGGTCCGCTTCTTCACTGTTCAACAAGAGTGGCGGCTGGCGCGTTCTATCGCTGCCAGCTATGTCGTTCTTGTTTGGCAGCTCAAGAGAAGGAGCCGAAGAACCAGCAGTACTCGTTATGCTATCGCAAAGCCGCAACACTTGTTGTGCTAAAGATGTTGTAGGAGAAGCAGATTTCTTTCTAGTATCTCCTGCTTTTGATGAAATACAAATAAGCTCGTCCTCCTTCGTCACCTGACTATACAACTTGTGGTTGAACATTTTCCGCGTACACGCTTTCTCCTCCTTGAGCGCACGTCGGCAAAGATTCCGATAATTCTGAACTTTCTTCTGCAGAGTTTCATCGCAAGAAGAAGAAGGGGAAGAAGAAGATGAAGACGTACTAGAGAAGCTGTTGTGCAGCTTGTCCAAGTCCTCAAGTGCCAAGCCTGGTTCCCGCAGACGATAGTACGCAATTCCACGTCGTAAGAGGCACTTGCTATGCGCAGGATCGACGCCAAGGGCGAGAGTGCACAGGAGTATGAAAGACTGGCAGTGTTGATAGGGGAAGGATCTTCTTTTACTTGAAAGTGTCTACTATTTAAGATGTGCTGCTTTGTTGACTCAAGACCATTGGTGCTTTCAATTTCAGGAGAAAAAAAATTGAAACCGACTTCATAAGCTGTATGCAGTTTTCACACCGACCGAGTTCGAGCATACACGCAGCCAAGTTCGAAGTCACAAGGACTTGCAAATTGCCGTGCTGGTCTTCCTGGCGGTGATCCCCACATGCAGTCAGCTCTCCTTCTGCTGTCACTTCTTCCATGAAATTAGACGGAAGAATCACGCCAATTCTGGATCAAATCTGTACCACAACATAAATATACCTATTACTCTATCAGCATTTCGTCAGCGAAGAGTGGAAATATACTTAGAGAACTCACTGTAACACCCGATGTTCACCGTAAACGTCGCACTTCCTCTTTTGTTGCCCAGCTCTTCGACTCCCGCAAGACAGTCAACGTAAAGCAGCATCGCATTGTGAAAATCGCGGCTGTAATACAGTTCGTTCGCCTTCGCTTTGGGTCTTAGAGAACGACCTACGACTTTTTTCACGTACGCACAGCTGAATTCTCATGTCCTTAGTATTCTCGTAACCGTTTCTAGTCATAAAACCTTCTCTATCCACTCTGCAATTTCCGACCCGGATTTACCCGCCACCTGTGCAAGCATCGCCTTTCTTCTTTGTTCATTCATCATGCACTGTCCCATCTCTTCTGCAGAGGCATCTCCGATGACGTTGCGGTGGAAATTAGTGTTCTCTACCTAGCTGTAAAAATAGTGTTCTCTACCCCGATCTAAGATCACCTGTCGAGTACCACGACATCTCATACGCTAATCTTCTTGGCCGTAATCTTATCCACCCGTTTTACTTGGCACTGAGAACCAAGGATATTTCGAAACTTCTCTGCGAGATTTTCGTTTCCATCATCGACGCCAAGTTCCGATGGCGGATGAGGAACCGCCAGTCTTGAAGACGTCATGGTTTTTTCAGGCATATTTAGATGTTCAAATAAAATCACTCCTGGTAAAGCACACGCTCTTCACAGGTCTTCGATACGACTTCTCAGTTGTGATCTCATGAGACAAAAACGAGGAGGATTCACCATCACATCCATATTGAATACTAGGTCGAAGCGCGTACCATGCTTACTACTTTTTTCCACAGTACAAGGTATCAATGCACTGCTTCTTTCTAATCAACCTGGTTGATAGTTCAACCTGGAGTCTCATGCTAACATCAGGCACGCAAAAGAACCCCGAGGAGAAGAACAACCTGGCACAACTATGTAGAAGTGCAGCGACTTGCTCATGCATCTGTTTATGCTGCACACATTCAAAAAAATCGGTCACATTGAGGACGTTGTTTTGCCATCAAGAAACCGCAATCGGCCTTGAAACGAGGGTGCACGATGAAGCACCCCTCCCAGGATGCTATGACCCTGTTGGCCGTTCTACTGTTTGTACCTGAGCGCGGAGATGATTTTGAGTGTGTTGTGGCTGAGATAATCATGTCATTTTTTTCAATTTCATTAAATATCGGTACGAAATTTGTAGTATGCATGCAAATTTACCACCACCACCAACCAAAAAAAATACCAATTGCTGCACGTAGTCTTTGAGCACATCGTTCTCCTCTTTCAATTGCAGATTTTCTTGTCGGACAGCATCGACTTTCAGTGTGACGTCTGAGAGTGATTCTTGTAACGACATTATCCGTTGTATCAAGGCTTCTCTGGTTTCTCCACTACGGGAAGCTCCAGTGGTTGCGGAGGACATCTTATTTCTTCGTGGACGATTTGATGGATTTCTAGTTGAAAGTGACGCTTTTATCGTGGCGAAGTGCTTGATGACGCGAATGCATTCGGCCAGTTGCCTAAGATTTCCCGGGCGACTTCTGCCCGCTAATCTAGCTTGTTGTTGGATTGTCAGCGGTTTTTCGACTGTTCTTGCTGATCCTGGTTCGGAATGTCTAGCAGGCTTCTGGTTTGCTACTTGTGAAGTACCTTACTGTTACTCAAACTCAAACTGGGAAGCACTTACTCAAACGCAAACTCTACCAAACTGATACAGGAGGTCTTTTTGTTTTCTTCTGCTCGGAGAAGTACACCAAGAAGAAGAACACTTTTCATACGGGAAAACGAACATCTGGCTCTCACCACGGTAGACTAGTGTCGTTGACACGATACTAGACTAGTCATGTCCTCGTTGACAACGTACTAGTGTCGACGTTATCAAAGTGGTCTCAGTGATGAACTGATCAGCAATGTCCAGACAAGAAGAGGATGACACAAAAATAATTGGTTATTTGTGAGTGCGCACTTCCATAATTGAATGTCCAAAAGGAACAAAATGTGAAAGCATCGTTGTAGTTCACCTCACGAATAAGTAGATTCTCGTTCTTCACCCCCACCCTCCTACGCAGTCGCAGTCGTCGCTGGTTGCGCAGCTGGAGGCAGGATCCGACGGGGAATAACTTCCTTCACAACTGGCTGCTGTGCAGACTGATTCGTACTCGTTGCGGTAGGTGGATATGAAAGCGAAACCGAGAGAAGCTTAATAGTACTAGGAAGGTTGCTTGTATCACCAAAACATCAAAGATTGATAGTACAACTAGGAAGGTTGCTTGTAAGTTTCACGAAATCTTCAACATCAGATGATAACGCTTTCATTGACAGAAACTACTCCAGAGATAGTCAGAAGCAAATAATTGGGGGATCGGGCGGGTAACAGTAACGAAAGGACGGCTTCTGCAAGGATCCCGCCAACACCATCAATCACCCTGATTCTGCAGCAAACTAACAAGTGCAGTCATAACTGAATCTGTGGTTCTGGTTGTCCCGAGGCCAACGCCCGGTTCTTCTCTAGTTGGAACTCGCGCATTTCCATGAGTTCGTCGTAGTCCGTAGGTACCGGCGATTCCGAAGGTGCGAAGAGATAACTCAATTCACACTCGTCCACCTGGCGGACTCTCTTGTCGCGCGCAAACTCAGGCTCGACTTAGAGTCAGCTTTTAGTGTCCATCTCGGGGATCGGTCCCCCCATCTCGAGGACCCCTTTATAATATTTCTGTTCCCAACAAGAAAAGAATACAAGGGAACCCAAGAAAGGGGATCTTCGAGATGCTGAGAAAGACAGATAAAAAAAGCTGTCCTTAATCGATGTAGAACAAGATCGGCAAGTCGACTTCCTCTCCAGGGTTTACAAGTTGCTCATCAAAACAGAAACACTGGATCTTGTTAAAGTAAAGACCTGGATGGTTTTTGTTTAAAACATGAATACTGTTGAAGAAGAGACCTGGATGGTTTTTGGTAAAAACAATATGAATACTGTTGAAGAAGAGACCTGGATGGTTAAGGTGGACTTGTTGTTGTAGAGGATGAATGACAGGAGTCTAAGTCTTTTTGTTTTAAGGTTTAAGGCAGTCTGCACGAAATTTTGTGAGAGATTAATTGTATTGTACGACTATCGTACTTGGTATGGTTCTGGTATTCGGTAAACTGAATTGGATCACAAGGATTCTCCTCTGGTGATCAAAATGAAGCTACCAAATACCAGAACCGTTCATACTTATTGTCGTACATGGATGAGAGTGTAAGAAGTAGTAGAATACAAAATCATCTATAAATCACTTTTTAGAACAATTAGTGTCAGATGGAAATTGATGTTTGATTTCTTCAAGTGTTTGTTAGTACCAGCTTCTGGTGGAAAGATTGAGTAGACACTGGTTCCGATCACTTGTTAGTACCAGCTTCTGGTGGAAAGATTGAGTAGACACTGGTTCCGATCACTTGTTAGTACCAGCTTCTGGTGGAAAGATTGAGTAGACACTGGTTCCAATCACGGGTTTAGTTCCCACGTTCTTCGCTTTGAAGAAAGCTAAAGCCGTCTCGCCGGGAGCTACGTAAATCGCATGCTGCTGTGGTCCAAATTCCCAGTCTAGCTTGTGACTCACTGTCCCATTGAAATTCACTGAAAGTTAGAAGAAAACAAGAGCGTGAAGCAAAATACAACTTCTGATAGAAGATGGTGCTGTTGATGTAGTTTCATTCATAAAAACTAAAAAATGGACACAACGAACCCCAGCAGCAGCATTCAAGAATTTCGATGTTTTTGTAAAAACAAAAAGAATCAACATTGGTGTTAGCTCATAATTTACAATCCGATTCGCGCAGACCGGGTCATCCTTCTGGTCCAGGCAGTCATATTCCTTATGCCCAGTAAAGTTCCTATCCGCTCTGGCGCTATCGCCCGTGGAGACGATTAGAGGAGAAATATCGTTATGTATGGTTCTCTTCTTGTTTTCCCTGATGATCAAATTCAGGTGACCAAATACCGGAACCATTCACGTTAGCTGGGCACGACATTTACATCTCCTGATCATGTGAATCTATTCGGCAACTTCTTCTTCTACGTGCCTAGGAAGCTTTCACCTTTCCTATCTGAATTCATCTTCTACTTGAGACGATGAAGCATCTACTTAGAGGTCCTAGTGTCTTGTTCCCTTTAAAAAGATGAATGCCTTTCCGTCCCTTGATGAATTCATACCTTTTTTGTTACAATGTGCCTTTGCGCCTCCTTCTGGCTCTGAAGGTGATGAATTTAATTAGAACACTTTGAATGTGCTGGACATGAAGGGGACACGGACAAGCGAATATAACATACACCACAACAATAGTTTGGTGCACAAGTAGACAGCTCAAAGGTCTCATTGCCATAACATACACCACAGTTTGAACAGAGGTATGATTGCAAACATGGCGCCGAAGGCCATAAACCACATGCCAGCCCAAAAAAGCGCCATCTGCCCTTTCAATAATCTATCCTGTCTATCTGCAACTTCCGGTGTTAAGGATGCGAAATGGCGGATATCGGTGCCTAGCAGATTGAGAAGATGTCGGCCGCTGGAGGTCCCTAGAAGATGTCTCTGACTTGGTAGTAAGCCAACGTCAAAGGGCTGGTAAGGATTTTTCTGATGGCAATTCATGCCGAGGATTATCCTTGTTGCAATAGAAGAAGTTCTGTGAACGGAACTTGGAAAGTGGCATGCAGGTGTTGCTCGTGGTAAAAGTAATATCCTTGAAGAAGATGAAGAGAAGTGACGTGAAGGTGAAGAGAAGTGGCGTGAAGTTGTCGAGGTTCGAAAATCGAGCAACCACCTTGGATCAAATAACGCACCTCTCGCAAATGCTCGCGTCGATGAGCACGCGGGTGATGTTCCAACGCGTAGCATTTCTTTTCTCTAATGCACGTAGTTCTTCAAGTAAGTAGTAGTGAAGTGGAGTAAACAATCTAAGTGCCCACGTTTCTACAATCCGCTAATAACTGCTTGCATTCACGATCTTCTTCAGATCATCTAAAAAGAAATTAAATAATGATTTTCCGCGCTACAAAAGAACTTTAATCCCCCAATCCTAGCCAGCCTGTGATTAAAGTAAATTCAAATCTTCATCTTCTCTCAACATCCCAGAACACACAGGCATCCACGCAGACATTCTGAATCTCATCATACTTTATACACATCCCAAAGCACCTAAGTCTTTTGGCTCGATAAGTTTTCGAGCTGACCCCAAAAGGAGTTTCTTGAACGAATGCAGGGGATAGGGATACTGCTCCCTAAACACTGACCTTACAAAGGAGGTCCTTATAATAATGACTTGACACAACTAAGATTATACTTAGATAACATATAAAGGACCCGCAATTACTTCCACTCGCCTCCAACAGGGGAACGAAGCCCTGCAACGGGGACTGAGTGTGTTATAACTATGATCTTAGCTGGGGGTGGTGCACTTGCTAAGGTGCTCTATGCGAAAAAATCACAATCACGTCACAATCACATCACTCACAGTCACGCACGCATACCCTTACCTAGATTCTGAGAACAAGTTGATAATTTGAATTCTCATAATAAACTTTTGCTTTCTATTCCTTGCCGTTTTATTCTCTGCAGCTACGCCCACGCTCTTTTCATTATCAAAGTACTTTCTCAAGTCAAACTTGCGGCAGACCGACTCAAGAAGTTGAGTCCTGGACTCTCCGAGTCCGAGTATGTTGAGAGAGTAGCAAGAACTATTATTTATGTTGACCTGCTAATCACCAGCATCGTGACATCAACGTGACAAGAGCGTGAGGGATATTTCAGCTTATGTTGAAAATGACTGGCATCCGTGAGATGAGTTGCCCCCAGAACTTGCTAAAGGCATGAAGATGAATGTCTACTATCAGCTTCTTGATGCTATCGCGAAGCGAGTATCTTCAATAGGTTTCAGTTTTTATCCATTTCTTCTTTTCAACACTACCAGAGCTCTCCACTTCTTGTTATGAAAATAAGGAACTCTATTATGCATGCACACTCACGACCACTAGTTGTTGTGACGATGGCGTCTACTCGTATGACCACGCACCTTTCTGTATTATTCCCCTGATACTTAGAGCTGCCGCAGGAGTCGCATCCTTCGTCACATGATCACTGGCTCCTTCAACTTCCCCCTTAAGGAAATCAAAATCGCCAAAGATGATCATGCTGGGGATGGTCCCTTGGATGCCGTAATGTACGGAAAAGCTTGGTCGGGGACTAATATGAGAGGTTCTTCATGTCCAGAGCTGAAGGAAGCCGAAGCGGAGGAATTCGCAGATGTTCTCTCTGAAGCAAGCATATTCAGATTGGCTATTCTCGTTCCCCTGCCTCCTTGCTGTAGGAGCTGGCTTCTGATTGCGCAAAAAACTCTCCCACTTGCGTCCGTTGTCATGCATGTACTTCCCACTTCGCAAGCATCTTCTAATATCTGCAAGATCTCTTGCTTTTGGGAGGTGCGCTGCTCCTCCAGATCATCTTCAGAAGTGCTGACCGCTTCCTCCTCTTGAAGCTTTTTATAAGCCTCTCCCATACCATCAGAACAAAGACGCAGAGAAACCGGCTGCTCATGTGGAGGGCCCCACTCCTCTGCGAGACCCAGACAAATGGTCGCTCCAACCATAACGTCCACACGACCGTAGTACTGTGCCCGTTGCAACGAGCTTTTGAGAAATACCTGGGCACTAAGGTCGATTTCCATGTTCTGATGTCGTGGTGGCTGAGGGTGTGCTGTTTGGTCTTGGTGTTGCCCAGGCGACTCTTTGGCCTTCTTTTCAGACTTGAGAACAGTGATTGTTGCAACCAGGTAGGTCTTGCTTGCATTGTTTAGCGGTACATGGTTAATATGCCTCATTCTCACTTGATCATGAGACTCTATTATACGGTACATCATGGCTATGATGGATTTCAATATGACTTGATGAGAATATGACTAAAAGTAGTAACTTGTTCTTGTGGTGCAACCCATGATTCCCTTGATTATTTCTAAGTAAAATGTCTTCTCACCCTGAGCTAAAAGCACAACAATGTCAAAATTTCAATTAAGATGAAGATATTTCATAATCTCACCAAACTATCAGTGGATATGCAGTACTAGATGAAAAAATCCTGCAATCCCTAAGGCTTTTGATCGCTCCTGTTCTTTTTCGGCTTTGGTGAGATTGAGAAGCTCTGTAACGTCTACTACCTTCGTCGGATTCACTTCCGGAGACTGTCCAACCCCACCCTCGCGTTGTAGTTCCCATATTACTGCGCGTAGCATAATTAGAAGAGATACAGTGATTGTTGTTCAGTGTTTAACACTTTTAGTGTTCGTAGAGTCTTCACAGATAGAGTGAGTGATGTTCAGCATTGAATATGCCTGCTGACGAAGTACGTGTAGAGGAAGCATGGCCCTTAAATTTCGATCCTCTTCATCGCTCCTTCCCCTTGTGTTCGCATAATACGGAGTATCACACTCCTGGTAGTCCAGATGAACACGAATAAGTTGTTGAACTGCTTGGGAACAAGGTTGTCGTATATTACTCGACAAGTTCTTGTCGAGTACCGCGGTCTCATCAATTTCCAACGATACAATGTCAACAGACTTCGACAGCCCTCGTCTCCCGCTGAGAGAAAACGCTGCTTCTGATCTCAAACGGTTCAGCAGTACACGTGCTTCGTACACGTCACATTTTAGAACTATCCTCGCGTTCGCATCTTCGTGGAGACGAGCATGATCCTTGGGCGTTTCTTTGTTTTTCGAGTTCGAAAAACTGAAATAAGCGAGTCAATACTGAAAATATTAAGCGACATATTACTGAACAAGGAAGAGTAGCCCTGTCAAAGCTAGTACCTCCCTTATTTCAGTCAGTAACTCGGTTATTTTCGGTTTTCATCGAGTAGAAAAAAAAGAGCCTACAACAAGGATCATCTTGAAACTAAGGAGACACGCTTCCGCGGCAGCCTTACGTATAATTGGTGTTCTTGTTCTTGTTGTTTCGACGCTTCATCCTGCTTATTCTGGAGTACCGCAGAACAATCTACAACCGCTTGCCCTCCATCTCCACCGAGTGTGCCAACCGCGATGTTGAATTTTACTGGCACACCTCTCTTTAGGGGTTGAAAGTTGACGGATTATTCTCCCAGATCCATGGCTTTCCTACTTGAAAAGGAGGCCATAGATCTATGCTCATACGTGAGAGGTCAACTCGATGCATGATGCAGCCCGTAATGTTTGTTGGCTAAGTTTTCGTGCGCCAGCATTGACATCGTTCCTCTTCTTGGCGTCTACTTTTTTGTTCTCAGTAGCTGGTGCTAACTGATGATGGGCTGGTTCTGTTGCCATTCCCGTTCCTGTTGACGGTAGTCGCTCTATTATGGATGATGCGTTTTCCATCTAGCCAGGCCATCGCCGCGCCCCTCCACCTATACAGTTTGAAGGGGAAACAAGAGGCAGCCTCGTCGATGGCCGTAAGGATAGAATAAACATCATCCATATCTATGCCTACAGAGTCCACCGTTTCTTTGCAGTTTTGTTTTTCAGGTTCTTTTGCAGACGCTGTCCATTTGATTTTGTCACTCTCATCGTCGTACGAAGGTTCCCAAGAAAGCAAAGCGTTCTTTGCAACGCTCCATTAGAGAGCAGAGCATTCTTTGAGACAAGCTTGTCTTGGTAGTAGATCATGTCGTATTTTTCTATTGCAAGAATTGTTGTAACAAACTCTGGTGTGCCTTTCTGAGATAAAAACACTAGACAAAAAGGTACAGCACTACCTAGGTAGCATCCTGCCTGTAGCTGTACTACCCGCCTTAATCTTCATACAGTGTCGCGCTGCCTACCACCTAGGAACAAACTGTACTTAGCTCATTAGTCTGTAGTCGTGTACCTGCTACCTCGGAAATTGTAGTTCATTGGTCTGTAGTCGCGTCTTAATTGTAGTTCTCTTCTGCTTGTTTTCGGTATTTTTCACCAGGCGACACGCAGTTGTCATTTAGGACAGCTTCTTTCAGAAAAGCCCAGAATGAGATCGGCAATGGTATTCTTGCTTGCGGCCTAAAAAGTTGGTTAAAGATATCCCGCGGAGGCTCGAGGTACAGGTGATATGCAAATGCGGCAAAATAGAAATGCTCGAACAAACCCGTTTCCAGGGTCTGCAAAAGTCCTCTGAGAAAAGCCAACGTTTTCTGTCGGAATTCGGGAAAGTGTTCGTTTTCCAGAAGCAATGCAGTGGATGCAACATCATTTTCTACTTAGATGTCGCAGGTCTTGGTTGGTGTAATAAATTGTCTGCTTACTCTAGATAGTTGTACAACGAACTGCAAGAGCTTGTCATACATAAAACAAAAACAACTTTGTAAGCGTGAGATATGATGTGCCAGACATTGCAGGCAAAAGAAAGAAGAAGTACAAGTGTTGAATATCAGTCAAGTGGAGCTGGAGCGAAACGGAAACACTGGATGATAAAAAAACATACTAGCCTCGATGGTGTGAATCTATTCGGGAATCTGCCTAAGATTTCCCTGACGATTTCCAACCATACTAGCCTTAACTCGACGATTCTAGCACGAGGAACCTGACAACACGTTCAAGGATTACACGGCGCCCAGTGCGTTCCAGAAAAGTTTGCAGTTGTGATGCTGGCACAACGGCTGGCGGAGGTCGAGGTCCCTTTGTACTACTAGAATTTGATTTATCTGCAACTGTTACAACCAAGTCATCGACGATAAAGAGCAACAAGCTGAGAAACGACGTTCTCTGGTGGTGTTTGGCAGAAGTAGGAGCATTGGCATTTTTAACGTTGAAGGGTGATGAGAGGACGACCGTATGTTGCCAACGAGCAAGAAGGGAGCTGCAGAAACTATCGTCCTTGGAGCTGCAGAGACCGGTCTCGTCGTCATCTTCTACGCGGAGACAAAAAGCGCCATCATTTCCACCTTGCTCGGCAATCGCTGATGGGAACGACAAAAAAACATCTTCGCCTTGATCGTGAAGGTGGGGGCTCTCCTGCAACTTGGAGGAACAACTGGAAATGGTGCCACTGCTTCCTGGCTCTTCATCATTCTTCAATGATCGACAATTTTGATCATTAGAGCAGCTCGTCTACATGATCAAGATTTAATACATACGGATGCTTACCAAGGTGGGAAAAAACTGTTACTAAAGAAATAAAGGTACAAGTACAACGCAATGAAAACTCTAAAAGAAAAATGATAATTACCAATACTAAGAAAAGATACAAGTACAACCAACGCAATGAAAAGTCTAAAAGAAAAATGAATTACCAATAATGCAGGCCTTAAGTTTAGATTGCAGCGTTGTACTGAGACTAAACTCGATGACAGTTCTGCTCGTTTTCTGATTTGTATGGTTCGTGGAGTGATTCTCTTTGATGTTTTGCTGCTCCTGTTTCGTTGTTTTGAATCCATAGTAGCCTCTCACTTCTTCGAAGCCTACATATTTATGAGGTGGTAATCGCAAAACCGTTGGCTCGACGAGTTGTTCATCGTCCTCTTGTGCATTTTGGTTCCCGACGAGTTGTTCTGCTTGAGCAGCTTGTGTGTCTTTTGAACCCGCGACATCAATATCAGGAGCAGCAAGAGATTGCGCACTTTGTTTCGCGGCCTCTGGAAGAGGAGCAGCTTCCTCTTCCTCCTCTAGAACTTTTTCTATTTCCTGCAGATAGTGGTTCACTTGCTGACCCAAGTCTTGATTTGGATTTTTTCGTTTTTCGTATGCTGCTTTGCTTTTAGCTAAGTGAGCTTCACGCCCTTGCTCCGTTCGTAGATACCAACCTCGTGGTTGTCTGAATCTGAAAAATCCACTCATTTCTTTCAATCCTGGCAGTACTATGATATTACATTCTTCATGAAGCTACAAGTGATTTTGTTCCGTTTCGTTACAAGAGCGAGGACGAATTCAGCAAAACTTATCATTGCACTAGTAGTTAAACGGAATGTTGCTTTTAATTATCTCTACTTGTTTCTCAGTCGAGGATTTATCATTTTCACGTCTTCGTCTCGATATGGATATGACTCGTAGTCTCCATTTCTCTCGACTGTATGACAGACAAGACCTGCAAGAACGACGTTGAAGTTGGATTTTTCGCCAGCCACTACCGCTCAGAACATAGCTGTAGAAGTACCGATATTTTATTATAAAGTCGCTCTTCACGCATACTGAAAAATTGCCACTGTATGGCAATCGCAATGGCTATGGGTATGGATTGCCATTGATCCATAGATGAACGAAATACATACATTCATACATACATACATACGTAGTTCCGCTGCAGCAGCACTCGCTCCTGCTTTTGTATTGCATTCATGTAGTCTCTCCAATGTTCAGCATCGTGGTCACAAAGAGAAGTTTATTGCTGAAGCAAGCGTATAGGTATAGCACATTCACAATGAAATGTTGTCAAATTTGTGTTTGTCGCTTGCGCTGTGTAACTAATCATGCGTTCAAAATTCCGAGTCTTTGAGTGTGTGCTATCTTCTCTTCACAGAGTCAGAGATTCCCGCAGATATCAGTGGAAATACCGGTAATGCAAACAAAACCGTTCCTAGGTACTTCGGCGCAAGGACACTGACATTTTCGAAAAACGTCGCATCTGACGAGTCCCATTTTGCTCCCGCATGTATCGCCCACCAACCTAATGCCATGACACCAAGACTCGCCACATAGCATAGCTTTCCAGCGACTCGATGGAGTGAGGCAATGCTCCGCATGACGATTCCGAGACGGATCTTCAAGAAAGCAACTACTCTTGATGATGGTAGTTTCTGCGGATAGCCCCAGAGAAGGACGACGGAAGTTGCAGCGATCAGGGTGTAGCTGAGATTAGAACAACAAGTGGTATCTATTTTCTTACTGAAACTGTACGACCCGAAACTAACGCAAGTAGATGCAGACGGCGCGACGTTGAGCCCTACGTCCGCCACCACGCTCATCTGTTGTAAATCTAAATATTTATAGTAGCTTTAAGTTCTTGTAGGTAGACGTAGAGGTAGAAGAGTACAACTAAATGCTGTTAGTGTATCTATCCGTTCCATTTGTCTATCTGCATACATCATCGCCTTAACAACAACCACCATCAATCCGACTTTTCCGTGAATCGACGTAAAGTGCGGCTTGCCCATCCTCTCTTTATTCGTATAGATAGCTCCAAAGCTCACCAACATCGCTACGACAGCACACAGCATCAACACATTGTGCCAAATGTTCGGGAAAAAGAGGTATTTATTCAAAACGTCGCTCGATCCTGGTGCACCATCGCTGCCACTGTTAACTTGTCCCTTGTATGCACCCTTCAGCTTGTGATTGTGCATATTGATGAAAATCCCGGAAGTTCCAAGGGGCAGGACTCCGAGGATCGCGAAAAAAGGATGCCAAAAGAAGAGTTTGGAAGAATCTGGACCAGCGTATAGGGTTCCTAGGAAAAGTGTTATGCCGATAAGGGACACGATTCGAGCATAGAGCTGAGATAACGCTGGAACAACTGCAACTGGGGATGTGGATGCGCATGTTGTTGCTGAAGAGGACGTCGCGGCAGATGACGAGGATGTCGACGGGGTACTAGACCTTGGAGGAGGTATCATCTTGTTGATCTGGCTCCTAAGTAAAACAATTGATTAACAGTAAAAAATGATAATGAGGTTACTCTATTTAATTTTCAACTCGAATTTCTCAATGGTATCTATACGTCGTCACGATTTTAAAAAGGTCTGATACGAAAGCCTGATATTGAAGTGTTCTTGGAGCATGTCAATCAACAATTACGCATCAACAGTTTTTTAGTAGATGACTCAAGAAGTTACAGCATGTTCTTGTAGTACATTTGCCTCATCTTATCTCTTGTTCTTGAACAAACTACAAGCCATTTATCTCTTCTTGTTCTTGTAGAAGTACACTTGCTTCGTCTGCCCGAACATTAAGATTTCGTTTTCGACAAAGTAGTCATAATCTCAAGGTCATGACGCGAGCCTCTCTCAGGCAGCTACCAGGATCGATGCACGATCTTCATGTGTTCTTCCGTTTCTGTCTTGTTCTTGTGTGTTAAATAAACTTCTCAACTCGTCTAGCAGTATTATTTGTGGTCTTAGGTAGAGGTAGCACCAGTAGTTGCGCTATCTCGCAGCAGAAGTAGCAACAAGTTCTTTGTAAACGGGACAGGTAACCAGATGGTCGTTGACAAACCCAGTGCCAGAAATTAGAAGCGGGGCTCTCACTAAGAAAAAGCACCTCAACCTATTTTTCTTTGAAAGGTCTTATAATTATACGAGTAGTATCTATACCTTTGCGTTTGCAACTACTTTCTTCTTTCTACTAAAAGGAGAATAAAGAGACAGAGAGCAGGTGGAAAAGAATTCATAATAAATACATAGTTGTACTCAACAAACTTAACAGAGACAGCAAGAAGTAACAAGATCATAATTATAACTGTAAAGAATTGTTCATCTTAACTGTAAAAACGCATACACGACTGCGCTGCCCAGGAACTTCATGCCTTCCTTCTTCAACTCCTTCGCCAGACAATCGGATAAAGGAGTCGTGCTAGGAATGTCTTTTAAAGAGCGGCAATGTCCAATGATGGGCTGTAGAGAAAGCGTGGTCTTTGGCGATGAGCATGATGTTGTTCTCGGTAAAGAACAAGATTTGTTCCCTACGTCGAGCATGGGAACACGAGAACAGTAAGAAAGCATCTTCCACAGATAGGCGCAAAAACTTCCGTGTTGTTCCTGCAAACGTAGAACTACGCTCGCGTTCGCTATTGCAGCTTCGATTTTCTTCCTATTGCGGACGATAGTTGAAGCTGGTGTGATGCCAGGTTTTTGTTCGAGCAAGCGCAAGACGTCCGCTTCCGTGAATTTCGATACTTATTCTTAGATTTGTTCTTGCCATATAATCCAGCGCACCTTGACAAAAATTTCGACTTTTCAAGCAGTAGCATAGGCAGTCCTCTAGACGTTGACTCTTCATGTTCATCCTCTACAAAGTTGATTATGTAGAATGGTCTACATAGACTGATTCTTCACGTTCTAGCACTACAAGCGCCTTAATACCTACAAGAATCATCAGGTTCATGGTCTACTAAGTCTAAGACAGTCCTCTACTTGATTGTTCTGTAGGAATGTTGATCATCATTTTCATGGTCTACTAAGATAGTCCTCTAATTGATTCTGTAGGAATGTTGATCATCATGTTCATCACGGTCTGCAACGATATGCTAACTATTCATCGATTTGGCACCATCTTGAATAGCCATAATTCTCAATATGAAACCCGCAAAACGCCTTACGATAGGCAGACCGCTTATTCAATATCGTTGCCCAAGATAAACCTGCTTGGTTCAGTTCCAACACCAGCATCTCAAACAGGAACTGATCGTACCCACGCAAATCCTGCAGCGCGTTGCAAGGTCTACCCCATTCAGAGGCATGATATTCTCGGTAAGCAGCAGAGTCAGCTTGTGCATAGAAACCTGCCCAACCACAGTCAACTGGAGCACTAATAGGAGAAGAAGAGGATGATGCCTTTGACTGCTTCGTAGTAGAGGACGATGAAGCAGCTCGTTTTGGAGTTGCCTTCATTCCTGTGTTTGCTTTTGTGGTTGTACTCCTCGTAGAAACTACCTGCTTCTTCGTAGAAGTAGTACTGCTCTTGGTTTTCATGCGGTGGTGCTCTCCCCGCTTTATTTCTTGTGTAGTTTTCATACAACTGCTCTTCATGGCCGTTTTTGACACTCCTCGCTGCACGACGCTTTTCGCGATCATCCGCATCGCGGAGGTTTTCGCAGTCTTCATTGTGCCAGTCGAATTCGCAGTCTTCAGAAGACTCGAATTCGATTTCTTCATTTTTTTGTTCTTCTAGATATTCGCACCAAAAAATGATGATGAGGGTATAAATAATTGTCAGGCAACATACAATCTATCATGAACAGCATCGGAGTCTTCGTAAGATGAAACGCTATGTCAACATGTAGTTCATACGAATAACTGAAATTTTGTTTTTCGGTTGATGTTGCAGGCATAGAGTGGGAAAATTAAGGGTCCAGGGAACAAGGAATTATGGAAGGAACAAGTGCACTCACACTCAACAAATTGGCAAGTGGGAAAGGAGCCACTTTTTGAGTGTGAGTGCACTTTTTCCTTTCAAAGGAAAAATGGGTAAGATATTAGAGCTCTCTCTATGGAAATTCATACGTCGAATTTCACACACACGACGAGGATGAAACTTTCCAGCCTCTACTTTGCGTTTTCTTGCGTAGTCAGAATAGCATGAGCTTCAATTGGTTTTGGTCCTCTCATCTTCTATGATCATCAGGTGGACAATGGAGAGGACATCTAAGAGTAAGACATGACGATCGCAATCGCATATGACACACACAGAGATAGATTTGTAGCGAGCCCAACCGAAGCATGCACCTCAACAAAACTACGGGGTTAGTAGTCTTCAGTGCTTTCAATTGTAAGGGACTACGCAGCTGATGATTGAACTTGGGAAAGAAATCTTTCACAAAAAAATGGAAATCATTCACCAAATTTTGATTTGGACGTCCTTGAATCAGAATCTGCCAAAGTGATATAAATGGTTCTTTGATGCGCGGTTTGGGAATACGTCGATGTAAATGGTTCTTTGATGCGCGGTTTGGGAATACGTCGATGTAAATAGTTCTTACATGCGCGGTTTGGGAATACGTCGATGTAAGTGCTTTTTTCATGCATTTAGGGAATAGGTCGAGGGATGATCATTGTGAAGTAGGTCGTGAACCGGTCGCATCTACTTATCATGATCAAAGACAGAAGACAATCAAAGATACAAACGACGGGCTTCATGATAGTCATCTTGTTCCTTCTTTTTGAATGTATTATACATGGGAAGGCGGTAGCTGCGACAATCAGTCTAACTCGAAGCTCGTGGTAGTGCATTTTCTTCAGTTGTACAGTATTCATTCTGATGGAGATGGTCGGGCCATAGAAGAAACTACTTCCACAATACTGGTTTGATCTTTCTCTCCTGGCAGAATTTCGTTATGGAATTATCGATATAGCGAAGCCTTTCGTTTGGGGAACGGTTGGACTCGCCATTGTAGATGTTGATGGCAATTTCACCTTCTAAAAACAATAGCTCCCTCAGCCACACTGCGGCACACTGCCAAGACTTCCTTTCCTTTGCAGACAGGATTGAAGGTAGGCGATCGTTATCCATGATCGCGTAAGGTGCTGTCTCTTCCCTGGTTCCCTCTTCTTGGGACCAAGGGAGATCTCAGCCAGGATCGGACACACGTGATAATGATCGACTAACCTTAACAAGTCGCGTACGATATGAGCCCATGAATCAAAGCTAATCGTGTTCGTGAACGCGTGCAACCATAAGGAGGAGCCGCATTGTTCACGGCTGGACGAAACTGCCAAGACGAGCTGGATTATTGTTAGGACCCAAAATCCAAAGGAGACACACGCAGAGCCCCCATATTTCCGCGCGATCCTCTCAATTTCTCGCATACTCACAGGATTTCCGGTGCGACAGAGTCCATTATGCTTCGAAAAACTAGACAATTAGACATCTCCCGAATTCATCCCTGTCGTGGGGATCCCTCAAGAATATGCCCCGTCGAATCCCTTGTATTCGGGTAGATGCGACTCTTGAGGGAGCATTAGAGAGATTGAGGGGAAGCCGTAAGCCAAGTCTTCTGCGAAGGAGGCAGGAAAAGGACTATGCCACACTTTCCGAAGAACGCGGTATTGTATCAAAAGTCTCAGGCCGTAGCTCTTCGTACCAGATGCGAGCTCCATTATAGCTCCTGCAGCCGCTTTATCTTCCTCAAGATCCTCGTAACAATCATCTAGAGCGTTCAAGAGACGAGTCGGGGACTCAATTTCGACCTGTTTCATAAATTCCACGAAGGCAGAGTGCACGAGGTAGTGCTGCGTCGGACACTCCACACGAACAAACTCATCGAAGGATGCACATGCAGCCACCCAGCCTTCGGAGAGAAAAAAGCCTTCCAGCAAACGTTCTTTACATTGTACGTAACAGGACGGAAGCTCAAGAATATTTTGTTCTTGGCATCTTCCTAACCTTCGCAGGTGTTGAGCAAGGCCTTCGGGCTCTAAAAGGTATCGAAGGAATTCTTCTATCTCGTGCTTCCGGTCCAGGGGTTGCTCGTCCAACAAGTAGCTGTACAATGGAGCTAGCACCGCACTGTCGACGATCATTATCCATTCTACTTGTGGCGCCTTCTGGAGAAGCTCCCGCAGAAGTGTTTTGATCTGAGCGTAGACGACACCTGAAGCCACAGCACCGTCTTGCTCAGGCAGATCTTGTGTCTGTGCGCGAACTCTAGTACTCGCAGGCGTGGAGTCTCCATCACGCGCATGCCTAGCCTTGTCATTAAACCAAGGCAGAAACCAAAACACCAGGCAGCCGACAGCCACCCTGTGCGCCACGCTCTTGCGTTCTTGCGTTCTTCGGAAACGCGTGGCCTTCTCCCATTCGCCGACTTTCGTGTGCTCTGCCAAACCCAATCGGAGCAAGCCTTTGCGTCGCTGGTCGACAGAGCCGCCCCCTGCAGGCTTTCAATCCAAGGCCCCGTCCGTAGACCTTGAGGGCCAGCCGATGAAGCGCAGGCTTATCATTCCGCAGAAGCGCCGTCACCATAGAATCGTCCGCGATCGTGTCCATCAGGGGTTCCCGTTCCTCGGCCTTTTTTATGGACGCAGCAAATTTTTGCACAGTCTTGATATGTGCATCCACCAAGTCATCGAATTTCTTGTAGCATAAAGCCTTTCCGCTGGACATCTGTAAGTTCGGCTGTGGCTTCGTTGCGGAACATGTTTGCTTTTTGTCTTCTGCGTCGTCTGGTGGTTCGCCTTGCTTCGAAGAGGCAGAGCTGCTTTCAAGGATTCCGCTCCCAGCTGCGGCCGGATCTGACGGCTTAGCACTGCTCGTGCGGAGAGAGACATACTCCGATGTGGCGGATTGCTCGTCGCTGTTGGCAGCAGCTCTGTCCTCGACCTGCTTGATGATTTTGTATAGGTCCGGTGCAACTTCATTTAGCAAAAACACTAGGAAGACTGCTGGATAAGCAGACGGGATGCGCTTGGAAAATTTCAATTCGTGGTCCTTGTACAACTTTTACAATCGTGGCCGCAGCTTCTTGAGGTACTTGTCATCCTCTGCATTCTGAACATGATCAAACAAATGCTTGAACATGGTGTTATCCAAAAACCGGATGAGCTCCCTCAGTCCGTCGCGGTAGTTCTCACCCTCGAGAGCCTCAGCAGGTACAATTTCCAGAACTCTCGGATGCCAGCGCCAAGAAACGTCAGCATTCCACTTCATCTCATTGTAGTATTTGTTAGAACTCGTACTACTCAAGTAGAAAGCTCATAACTATATTATTGAAAGGGCTAGATCTCTAGAGGTAAAAACTAACCGGCTGTTTTATTTAGTGCTTTGAGCGCCGCTGGACCTAAGCCTCAACCTTATAGAAAGGGGGAAGCCAATCAAGATTTGCAGTCAGTAGCTCAAAAAAGTCTAGTAGAAAACTTATACTACCTATAAAAATATAGGGAAAGACAGTATCCAAAGCAGCAGCACTGTGCTTGATTCACCACGCACTTCTATGCTAGTCTTCACATTCGATCATCTCTAGCAACTTCTCATGCATGTTCGAAGATTCTAGCGAGTATAGAAGAAGAGCACACTCTAGTAGAATTGAATTCGTTGGATACATTAATTATCTTGTCCCACAAGCTTGAGGGTCATGTCTTAAATTTGTAGGAGGCTTTCTGCAATGTGCGTAGGCTTTGAATTCTCGTCAGTAGTGCGAGGACTTCGTTGGTTCGTGCCGTCCCGTGATCCTCCCCAAATATCTTGCTACACAACTGTGTGACAAAATTGACAGTCAGTTTTGACATTTCGACAGTCGCCCTAACAGTGTCTGATACGTTTTGTGTGGTGTTTTATGAGGAGAACTAAAAATTGATATTACGACACTAGTACTCAACTTGATGCAACCACTTGGGAAGCGAAGGATTTAACAAAAAAAGATATTTCGGAAACACCGACGTAAGGGTGGTTTACTTACTTCGGAAAAATCGTATTTGTAAGAGTGGTTTACTTTCTCTTGATGTGGGTCATCTGCTCAATGAACATACGATCAAACAATGACAAGATCGAGGATAATAAATGATATCGGGTAGACCTAGACACATCAGCAATAATTCGAAACTGAAACTATAGTACGTCAGTTCGGGATCATCATCTTTTACTCAGAAGTCCTCCTGTTGTGTGTCTTGTTCGTTTTTCAGCAGTACTGTCACGACACACTTTTTTTTCGATAGTTTTTGATCATGACAGAAGTTCCGGGTGAAAGACCATGAAAGAAGTTCCGGGTGAAGCTACTCGGTCCGGCGACGTGCGAGCAAACAGGACCAGCCGTCGGGGACATACAACACATAGGAAGACACTTGTCGCTTCATCTGTTTCTAGCGAGTCTCGACAGATCATGAAACACACGTCATCCAAGTCGAACCAGATGGGATCATGAACCTGTTTTCTGGGAGACGCAAACGATATGCTGAACATTCTTGTTCTTTACCCAGACTTTTTTTCCAAGTCATTGGTCGTGGTCTTCGTCTTTTCCACGAACTCCAGAAGCTTTTTATGTAGTTTTACTCTTCATTTCAGTACTCATGTTCATGAAACCCAAGCTAGATAGTCTCTCCGAAGCAAAAGCAATCCATGAAGAATTATAGATGAAATTCGAAAAAAAATTAAGCTCAAAAACTGCACACAATTCCTGTTACTATAAAATTTCGACATGGACGAGGAGACACGGAGTAGATTTGGATTTTGAATTTGGAGCTTTCAGAAAAAAATTTCTGGCCACCAGTAGGGGCACTATACGTTTTACCGGATCAAGCTTTTTGATGCTTTGTTTTTAGCTCTCCTCTTATTCTTGTTTTTCTAGTTGAACACGTGTTACTTGTTTTTGGTGCTGTTTCAGTGTTGCTAGCGCCTAGGTTACTGCTTCCTCATTTGCGGATGTACCTGTATCACTTCCAAAATAATCGATATCATCACAGACTTGAGCTTCCTCAAGGCATCCTTTCTCCCAAGAATTGTTGCAGCATGGAGTAGGGTGTCAGTCCACTTATGTCCGGCTCCAACCACGCACTAGCTTGTGATGGCAGAAACAGCGACAGAAATGTGTGGCCCATACGACCCAAACTAGTTCCTACTCCTGCTAGGGTGGACGCGCCCATCGAAGTGGAAGTGGATGAAGTGCCACTATCTGCGACAATAGCTTGCAAAAACAGAAAGTTTTTCGGTTGCAGAAGACAATGTAGCGCAGTCTCCTTACGAGCGTTTTTGTTTAGGAGACTAGCCGTCTCAAGAAGATCTTTTTTCTGTAGATTCCATCCCCTCAAAGTCCAAGCCAGGACTGGGAGCAAGCGGTGCTTCAGCAAAAGCACACTGCGGCTAGTAGAAGTTGGTGGTCTTATTTGGAGGTGGGCATTGATCAGAGCTGGAGAAGACACTGCGCTGCTTTCGTTATGCATGTCAGGTGAGGATGAGGAACCGGCGGCCGCACTTCTTGCGTGTGGAACGATTTGCATATTAGCTGCAAGCTTGCGAATTTCTTCTTTACTTACTGCGCCTGCTTGCTGATGACCTCCTACTTGCTGTAGTTGCCCTTGTCCACCTACGGGTACGTTAGTGATCTCTTTCTCTTGTTCATCTTGAATCTGAATTACTGGCAAGCAGCTGACAGAATTGTTTGGACTTATCGGCATCGCAAATGCGGCAAAGAAGGCGGCTTGTTTTAGAATTTGAACCTCCTCAGCGCTGATGACACCTACAGGCAATCCGCCTCTACGGCTGTCCTCGGCAGTCATCTGCAGAAAAGCGATGGCGGATTCTTTCGTGAAGAAAAACAAAGGACTCTTTATATTCTCGTTGTTCACAGCAACGGAGGAAGGAGCAGATGCTTGGAAGAGAAAACCGCGTAATGACAGAACACGCGCAACTTGACGAGTAACATGGAGCTCCGCATCAAGGTCGTCATGAGGGTCTTCTCGATCTTTTCCAGCACTACCTCCAAGTAAAAAGGCCACACGAGAAGTCGTCCCCGATGAAGCAGCTGCGCTATTTGGTCCACCCGAAGACGGAGAACTACTAGATGGATTTAAGCTGTCAATGTTCATTCCACTGGACATTCCGCTTGGATACGATGTCGCAAGATTCTCAACACTGCTTTTCTTGTTGTACGCCACTGCCAACGTGTTACTCATCCACGCATGTGGCGTGAAGGATTCCACCGACAAAGACAATAGTATTAGTTGCAGCAAGGAGTTGTTGCCACGCGTTTCGTCAGGACAGAGCATGACTTGTAGAAGGAGATTTTCTGAGACTGTTTTCGACTCGAGCAAGTCGCGAAACAAAACTTGCCAATCACGACTCTCAAGAGCGCTAGACAATTGGCAATAGAGTGCTTCCCGAAACTGGCAGATTGCAATGTCGAAGCTGCGTTTGGAGAGGTACTCAGCTTTTCGCAATTCGGCTTTGGTAGGAAGGAATAGATTCGATGTAGTTGTTTGTTGGGCACCTCCAGCAGTTGGACTTGGACTCCCGGTACCAGTACTTCCTTGACCTTGATGTTGTTGTGAATGTGAAACGGAGACCGACATGGAATTATCGGAATCCATAGAGTAGTTTCTTGAGACTTCTCGTTGCGCCATGGCTGGAAAGCCGGCGGCCGGTCCAGGTCCTAGTGGAGATGGTTGTAAACTTTTAGGCTTGACGAACTCGATTTCATGCGCGGACAACAACGCCTTGAAGAGGTCTGCTCCGTTGTAGATGCAAGGAGAGGTGAAAGAAGATAATCCTCCACCGCTGCCCATGAATAGAAAGACGTCTGCTCCGTGGGTCGCAACTGATGACCACATCTTAAAATCCGCAGATGGAGATGAAGATGTTGGCGAAGTCGCGCCCCCTCCCGCTCTTGTTGGCGGTGAAAACACTCCTCCTATAATCCCTATGCCTGTTTGCGATACACCTGCTCCACCTCGATGGTTCTGTGGCGAACTTGCACGTGCTGGAGGCGATGCTAAGCTGGAGTCATCCTGCGCTTCCCAGTAAGCCTCGAAGGCTACGTACAAGGGCGTCTGTCCAAAAGCGTTGGTCATTTCAGCAGGCCTGCACCTGGGATGAGCTAAGACCTCAGCAAAAGCAGCAAATACCCAAGGTTGGGAAGGCCTCATCATTTGCGCCGACGTTTGGTCCTTGCGTGCATTCATTTTGTCTTTACTTTCTGCACGTTCGCCCCTACCAGAAGAAGAAACACTACCGGTTGGACTCGAAGCACCGGAAGCAGAAGACCATCCTGGTAAACCAAGCTGCCCTAATGGATCATTACTAGCTCCACCTGTCACAAGTCTGCTTTGAGACGAATTCCCCAACATACTGTGTCGTAAACACGCAAATCTCTGTGAAGCAGGAAAGTGACTTGCCGGTCGACAGAATAAGCGACACATGCGCAGTAGTTCATGCAAAGGACTTTCCTCTTGAGAGCTACCTCCCGGTGGAGCTGTGGCGACTACGCGAGCAAGATCGAACCCGCCAAGGATTTTCTTCTTGCTAGAAGAAGTACCTGCCATAGTGCCGATACTGGTGATCTCTTGATCACCAAGACGATCTCCATCCTCCTCCTCTGCTTGACGGCGAAACATCTCGTCTAGCTCTGCTTCCTGCTCGTAGTTGTCGAGGAGGTCCTCGAACAACGGGTTGCGCAGCAACAGCAAGATGGCCGCTTGGCACTCGACGATGTGTCTGTCCAGTGTTTCGCGCCATTTGGATTAGAAGACAAAGTCAAACATTGATTTGGATAATTAGAAGACAAAGTAACTAAGTAGACTAAAAAAAAAAGCTTTGCTGTTCGATCGTGTTTGTGAGTTGAATCTACTTGATGCTGAGTCTGTTTGTGTGGGTGTGTCATGTCATGTAACCTCTTTGAGATGCGTCTTCCTGATGCCGTTGAGGCCTGTCAACTATCCTGTACCTTCTGTAGAAGAGCAGAATAACGATAACCGAAGTAATGAATCAATACGATAAAGCTGCATCTAAATGCTCGCTTACATGCTTACACCTAATCATTATCTTCCGTCATAATCTTCCGTTATCGGCTCAGCTGGGTACTTCTGGTACACAACGAAGATCATGTCCAACAGCATCGTCAGCAAAGACGGCTGAAAAGGTATGTCACTCTTCCGGTTCTTGTTCTGTAATGACTTAATGTATGTTGCGTTCATGTTCGCGTTATAAATGGGATGGTTCTTCAAACCATTCTGGCCATTGTAGACGCCCTTGAGATTCTTAGGATTCGGATTGCAACTATAAAATCTCCCATGGTCATCAGCGGCTTTGTGGTCGCCGAGAGTGGTTGAATCGTCGTTGGCTGGGGCGGTGGACCTGGTTGGGGCTTGAGAAGAACTTGAAGCTGTACTAGCGCCAGCTTCTGCAGAGGTAGAGGATGTAGAGGCAGATGCGGTAACAACATCCTTGGCGCCAGCCGGCATAGGTAGTCGAACAATCCGAGAATCATCTGCATTTGATTTTGGTGAAGCTGTTGTAGCCGGATCATGATTCTGAGACAGCATATCTACATCCATTCCTTCGTGGCCTTCTTCTTCTCCATTCTTCTTTGCCTTTTGCTTTCTCGCTTGTAGCCACTGTGAGCCATTCAGTTCTTCCGCGTCCGCCTGGTAGATCGCGATCGCCCACTCTTGAACGGTGTAAGACTTGCGACCGATGAGTTGTAAGCGGCCACCTGTTTCGATCAAGTCTTTCATCTTCTCCACCATGTTGCGCGCATCGAGGTTGGCATGGTGCTGGATCAGAAGCTGGAGATCGCCCATTCTGATCATGTAAGAGGAACGATCACTGTTTCCTGCTTGTCTTGTTCCTGTTTCATCAGCTACTAGTCCATCCATTTTAATGTCAACGTCATCAGCATCCTGAGGATCTTGCCCTTGTAGTCCGTCAACTTCTGCTTCTATCTCGTCATCGTGCGCATGCGGGTCTTCACTCCTGACCAAGGACACGACATCCTTCTCCGTATCGTACAGCAAATCGATTTTTCGTAAGTCCCAACATGCTGTTGCACCAAATGCAGAACTAGAAGCTTGATGAGAACTACCTTGTTCTTCGTGCTGTCCAAACAAATGCAGCACTACTTGTTCATCCTCAACTACGACTGGCAGATTCTGTAAAACTCGACGTTTGAGTGTCAGATTCGTGATTCGGCGAACTGGGTCTTCACGGAGAATCCGGACGCCCTTGGATTCTAGAAACGCCAATCTTGTGGGTGGGATGTCGTTGAAATTCCTCGCATTCAACAGCTGGTCGACCCAAGGACGCGGCACTGATCTTAGAGCGGCTTCGGCTTCAGGAGGAATCGTGATACGGAAGAAGTTTGATGCTGGTTTGGTCGTTGATGCTGATGTCGAGGGTGCGATTCCTACAGCTGCAGTACCTCCTGACGCAGCTGAAGTGGCATTCCCTGCAGGAGTCGTCGAACTTGATGAAGTCTTTGCTATTTCCGCCTCTGCAGCAACAGGTGCTGCCGCCGCAGCAGCAGCAGCAGCTGCCTCTTCTTCCAATGCCCTCTTTTTCTCATCTTCATCCTCCAACAGCTTCTTCAAATCAAAGAAATCATCGTCGTCAACACTCATACAATCGTCATCATCAACCATGCAACCTGGCGCGTGCACTATTTGCAACACTGACGTCGGCACCGGACGTCCCGCTTCCCGACTCAACGCTGGTAGAAGACATCGTCGCAACTGTTGCAACGTCAAATTGCCGTCGCCCGAAATGGGAACCACGGCTCCCGAGGATCCACCTAGGCCAGAAGAAACGCCTGAAAAGTCCCTTTGAACTGCTCCAGTAGGTGAACAAAAACCTCCTCCTTGTCCTCCGTTTCCTCCGCCGCGTCCAACACCAAGTTCTGGACCTAGAACAACGTCATCCCTATTCCCGAATCCAGTTAAGTTGACTTTAGCGTAATCCCCAGTGCAACTCTGAAGCTGTTGGAGAGAAGAACTGTTGGTGAGTTCCGTAGATAATTTGGTACCTGTGTCAGCATCTTCAACATAATAAGTCGTACTTTTGCCGCCGACCCATCTCAAGCGCAAATCCTCTCCGCATAATCGCTGGAGAGGCACGTCAGGGCGACTCGCATTGTCGGTGTTCATTTTATTTTCATCCACGTTAAGTAGTACAGTGTTTAGCTCTACTAGGTCTTTCGGATTAGGCTATTGTGAAACTTGAGGAAAGAGGAAACACTATCTACCTCCAACTCACTGTCAATTAGCATAGCCAATATCAAACAGGCACTGCTCAAACAACCTCAAAAAAAAAATCATGCAGGTTACCTAATGCATGGGAGTAACAGCAAGAACAGAAACAAGCTCAGAAACAAAGATCTATTGGCATCCATGCCTATGCGGAGATAAACAAACAAAAAGTGGGAGGTAGTGTCCAAATTGAAATGCCTATCCGGGAACAACTCATCGGCGGAGATAAACAAACATACTGAGTTGTTTACTGCGGACGCAGTCGCTACTCCATTCTGTGCTAGATGATAAAGTCAAGAATAAGCCATCAAATACTGGGAGTCTACTACGTGAAACTACTCAGAGACGAGGACAGGGTGGGTATCAAAAAGTAGGGATTGCAAATCATGATCGCAGACGATCCTTCGAGGTAGTTGGGAGTCCAAATTGAAATGGATGTTGGGGAACAACTCATCGACCAACAAAGAATTTCTACTTCTTAACAGTACCACGTCTCGCTCGTCTCGTCCCTTCATCACACTACAGTGCGCGAAGTTGTAACTTCTATGACACTTCTTTTCTAGTGGTGGAACACATGATCAACAACACTTCTGAGCAATCAGAATCGCTCAGAACAACTGCTACAACTAGCAGATGAAAGAACTGGTAGTTCTTGCAGCTTTTTTGCCTACTATGCTCCTCAAGCAGGACGTATATTATAATGATGTGAGTAAAATATGCTGGAGAGTTGGCGAGGAAGGTCGAGAAATAAAGAATGTTGTTGTTGAGCGCGCAAAGAAAGTGTGAAGTTCGTGACGTAATCTTCATATAGGAGGTGCAGTTTCAATCTTTTGGTTTGGGCCTGTTGCCTCTGGAGTCTTATAAAAATGCATGTGATCATCGTGATGCTCGTGCTAGTATCATTACCGTCATTGACCTAGCCTTTTGTTGCAGTACTACAGGAGAGAGAAGCATTCCAGTTACGAATATTAGCGCAGGTCGATGATATTGTCAATCGTGGTGACAATTTAGATGATGCAGGTGCAGGAGAGATGATAAAAAGTGAAGATCGAGGAGAAGATCAAGATGTTATCACATCAGATAACTAATACACATGTTGATCGCTGTCATTTCATACATGAAAACGGAGTGATGATCGAGAAGGAGAAGTAGGTCGTACTCAATCTACGTAGACACATGTAGTTGCACTAGCAGGAGAGACGAGTCTGAGTCTGATTCGCGAAGAGAAAAAAATATTCATGAACCACAGGAGACACACTTGCACCTTCACCTTCTTACTGTATGATCTGTATAAAACAGAGGCTACGTCAGCAGGAATAGAACAGCGTATGCGTATGACCTAGAAGAACCCTTGTTCACCAGTACGTAGAAGACCGTCTCGACTTAAAAGTCATTCCGAACAAGGAAGCTTTTAATCGCCTCGTACGAGGCCCAACTGATAGACAGACTCGGAACCACTGTCAGCACGCGCGCGACTGAGCCCTGTTATGATGGTGGTGGAGAGGTATTGTAGATGCATTGTAAGTGATGTGTGGAGTTCGAGTTGCACAGAAGAAATAAGAGAATTTCTTATAACTTAAATTGCTTGACGAGATTGTTGATACACTGCAAGAACTCATAATCATCTTGATCTACTTCTAGGTAAGTAGTACCTTGAAAAAAGCCCTCGCTCCTTCTTCCCGCAATATGCGAGCAGCACCGTCGACTAGTCCGTGATATCGGATGCTATTGCTACTGGCAGCGGTTTTTAAACTGCTAGCCTTTGCTGCGGAGGCCTGGGACAACAAGCAACTTTGTGTTTGAATCCTTGTCCTTATCACATCCAAAGGCTGCGTACACACTGCCGCAATACCGGAAGATACTCCGGCCAGAGACAAATACACTGGCAGTTTGGTGTAGAAATCTTCTCGAGACTGGCACACAGTGTTCACGTTGAAGGCTTGCTTCAGCGTCTCATTCGTTCCAACCATGATCATCGAAAAAGGCACGTTCGAAAGTAAGGCGACAGGGAAAGAACGCGGGATTAGAGAGGGGAGACGGAGGAGGAGACCTGGAATTGATCACTTTTTAAACGCATCTCTGTAAATACTGCAAAAGTTGATCTACGAGGACTATTGAGATGAAGTTTCAGCCTCATAAATATAACGCTCCGTATCCTTCCGTCCGGATGACATGTCTGACGCAGTCTGCACAGTTCTTCGTATGAGCGCTATTCAATTGCATCCTCTGTTTTGCTACATCCAACGGCGTGAGCACGAGATCGTGCATGAATGCTCCAGCTGCACCTGCTAGAGAGCCGATGACCCACGTTGTATCGGCAGAAAGACTCTGTTGACTCGAGGAGGGAACGACTACTTGTTCCTTGTCGGAGCTATTTGAGGATGAGAAGGATGGGCTTGAGGTGGAAGAAGAGGAAGAGGATGAGGAAGGGGAGGAGACTACTTCATCTGCGGCGAGTAAGGTGGTGCTAGATGAGTTGCTGAGATCTCTCCTCGAAATAGCTGAACTGCTTTCGCTGAGGACTTCAGTACTATGATCTTCACCTTTTTCTTTATTTTTGGTGCTACTTCTTCTGCGCACAAAAGCTCCTGCCGAGTCACTAGAAGATGATGAACTGCCACCAGGGCCCGCAGTGAGACTCGCCAAACGGGAAGCGCTTCCCCCTGCCGCAAGGTCAGAAAGCCTCTGACGAACTACCTCATACGCGCAGAAATACCCGATGTGCGCCGGGACACACCCTGCTGCCATAGCCGAAACTCCTCTGTAGAGACCTCGGATTCCCGCCTCATTTCTGATCGCCCGAAACGTATTGAGCGTCCCTGAATACTCCGCTGCTGCGGCACTACTAGATGGGGCTGTAGTTGTTCCTGGAGCAATAGCTGACGCAGCTGCTGTGCTGCATGAAGCCGCTCCTGCTGGTCCTCCCACTACGGTACCCATATTCGGAGCTCCGAGTACAGAGCCCATATTGAGACCGGAAAAGAAGCCTCCTGCTCGCGCTGCTGAACTACCGGGCATAGGCATAGCCGCCGTTGGTGTGACTGTGGAAAATGAGTGGCCTGCCGTCGACCTAGGACAAGCAACAGTTCTGGCGCCAGCTGAAGCACACGACGATGTTGAGCTGGAAGCTACTGATGAACCAGTTGAAACTCCTCCAGGGACTTTCACCGAGCTGCCGCAAGCAGTGGCACCACTAGGTCCACACTCGCTCGGTCGGGCAGCTTGGATGTTCGTCTGTTGTTGGACGATAGGTTTGTGATTTATGAAGACGATGGAAAGAGATACACTTCGATTTCGGTACTTCCTTGAGTTGCTGTCGTATGATTTTGATCAACCTGGTGGAAAAACACCGTCGAGGCTAGATCTACTCCTGGAAAGGGATTTTACATCACGAAACTCATCAAAATCAAAAACATTTAAAAATTGTAGAAAAGTACCTTGATCGTGTCGAACGGATACATCGCCAAGTGCTCACATATTCCTGCGGAAGCGCCGGCGAGGGCATGATGCCAGAATTTGCCGCCATGGGAGTTATGTTCCCAATCTGATAGATCGTCTAAATCCATCTTGTCGGATTTTTCGACTGCAACCGTCGTCTTCGTTGTGGATGGAAGTGAAGGCTTTAAGGAGATCCCCTGGGAAGAACTCTGATTTTCAAGTATAGAAGAAGACGAAGATCTTGATGCTCGCTGTGTCGTTGGTGTGTCGTCGCACGCATCAATACTTCTAGGCAGTAGGTACTACTAGGACTCCTCGAATAAGAACAAGAGTTCTACGGCATTTCTACTTATCTTGTTTCGTGATAGGATCCCATATCATGTTGTACATGTTACATACAACCACGACCGTTTAGATTATTTAGTGCATTGTCATTCAATATCTATATTGTTGTGTTCTAATCTTTTTATAAGTAGAAGTGCTCCTGGACTTTATCAAAATGATGTTCAACTTCAACGTATGGTATACAGGTTTTTACGGCTATGTTCTTAGGCGAGGAGTAGCCCAGCGGTTCCTAGCTCCGTCTAAAGCAACACCCACATAAGGTGGTGTTGGTGACGAGTCTTTTACTCTTCAATAAATGCTATGCGACTTGTTGTTATTCAACATACGAGTTAGTACTTAGAGGAAAATGATCCACTTCTATGCGCTCAAATCAAATTATATGTGTGTATCCTAAGAGTTGAACAGGTGAGACAGACCTATTCCTATATCTTTTGCGATTACGTTAGTGGATTTTTTTCGCCTGAAAAGCAGCCAGTGAAAAGAAGCGTATCACTGCTTAGAGTGAGTACGAGAACCGAACGCGTCGTAGGCACTGCGTTGGTCTAGCGCTGCCTGCTGTTGCGTTCTTCCTGACCATGTGATTATTGTGTTACACGATTCACACCTGTCAGCCTCACGCGGACAGCACTGAGAACTTTAAACTAGAACTTCTACTAACGTTTTGATCTAGAACAAGTAGGCCTATTGATGTCACAAATGGTAACAGTAGTTACATAAACAACAGTAGCAATAAACAAAATGCTAATTGTAAGATAGAATGCACCTAGATGTTAGCTCTGTTAAAAAAAAAAACGAAAAAATAACTTTCTATTAAAAAAGGCGCAAAAACAATGTCCCAAAAGAGATACGAATTCTTGCAGTTGGTTACATCTATTGCACCCACATAGTCACAAAATATATCTTAAAGTTGTTATTTTTGCAAGAAATACTAGACTCAATCGTCAAACAATGCAAGGTAGAAATATGAAGCTATGCAGCCGAATAAGCGATATCTCTAAACCGACTAATGCACCCTTTTCCTGTTTTGTGGCATAACAAAAGGATAAACAAAGTCTTTTTTTCTATCACGTTGATGTACTCAAATCTTCACACAAGAAAAGAGACCGCTTTGAAATTTTCAGCTGAGTAGAGGACGAGGCAGGATGCTATCTCACCTTTCCCTCTGTCGAAGATTTTCTGACTAAAAGAAACTTCTCAATTTCTAATTGACTTTTCTTCACACCACGCACACGGGCGCCATAAATTAGTGAACTTGAACTTTTTCTATTTTCCTCGTCTCATCATGATCATCCAGCATCGTGGTGGGGAACAAGATCGTGAACATCAACAAGGTTTATTTTTGTATCTCCTCGTACTCATTTTTAGGCAGTCAGTACTCGAACTCGTTGCCTCATTCGTTGTTGAAAACGTTTAGCTTTTATTGGTGCTCTTTTTTTGCTTTTCAAATTTCCAAATTATCTTTTTCATTTTGCGAATCATGATTATCTTTGACATCGTCTTCTTGCTTTTCAGAATCGCATGTATTTTTTCAAAAGCTTGCGGAAAATTAACTATGAGGGAAGAAATCCCGTCGTGTTCGTCGTGTTCTGAACTGAGGTGAGTTCTTACATGGTTTGTACCTTTAGAAGATCTAGCTGATTCTCTCAACATATTCATCGTTGTTATAAGAAAGCAAGGTAGTTACCTGTATGACAGTAGTCCAAAGACTGACTCTGTCTACGTAATTTGATATCAGGAGCGAGCAGGTGGATAAACGATTATCATAATCTACCAAGCGCGTAATTTTTTGCAATTTCAATTTTTCACCAAGCATGTTTTTCATCGTGTTCTGCCACGAAGGAAGTACCCGTTGGTCCTTGACCTTCTTCTCTCCTAGTCGTGATTTGTGCTCGCATCGCCGCTTTTTTCCTTTGTCTTTCTTCTTCGTCTAATCTCCGTTTTTCCTCTTCTTCGTTCTTTCTCTGAATTTGCTCCATCGCTTGCTGTTGGATATACAACGGTTCCCGCGTGTTGCTCGGCTCACTTACCAAAATCAACATATCTTGATCATTCGTCTCCGTAGCCCCCGTTGTGGTCGTTGCACAACCATCTGACTGTGTAAACATCACTTCCGACGCTGCTGCGAGTGTCTCGATGCACTTTTGCGGGAAAATTGAAGTGTATAAGCTATCATTGCTGGCGCCACCAGGAGCAATGTTGATCCCGCTCCCACCCCCACCAGGAACTAAATGATGACTCCTGTTGCTACGCGGTGATAGTATTTCCACGACAGGCTCAGCCCCTCTTGACTGTGGGCTTACCGCTACTTTCAAGGACGCGCTCATCCTCGGAGACTCCAACATTTGGTCAAATTCCTCGTTAAACTTGTGATCTCTAGTATCGTAACTTCCGTCTCGATCACGAGCATCTCGTTCTCGATAAGTAGCTTGTCGGCTGGCGTGCATTGCTTCGATTTCCGACATGGGCACAACGTATTCGTCCGCTGTCGACTGTGCCAACCGCCCAAACACTGGATTCGCACGCCCAAACACTGGCTCTCCTGCTCTCACTTGTTGACCGCCAACGTGCACGAAGGCTCTGCTCTCTCGCTGCTCTAGCATGGGATACAGAACCGTTCCATCTTCGATGGCCTCATAATGGTGACCACCTTCTAGACTGCCACAGTCTAGACTTGGAATTCTACTATCCTCATTGCCACCACAAGCTTCCATACACGAACCAAGGAAACCGAAGAAACGCTGTAGTTGTGGTTCTTGTGATATTTTTGCACAGACTATGAATCTTGTTTGCAGACATCTTCTCAGGAGATGCAAGCATGGATGGAAATATCAAAACACGTTTCATGCTCAACCGGAGACAAAAACAAGTCCCCACAACCTCATTGGCCTTAGAATTCAAGAAACTATTTTACTCAAGAGAATGAAACTGAATGCTTCCGTGCAGAGGAGCTAACAAAAACAATGACCACTGGTAAACGAATCATCAAACCAGACACAGACACAAAGGTTGTATGAGTGACTATCTATGCTAAGAAAAAAGACTTACCTTCGTAGCTTGTTTCTTGTGGGCTTCTCTTCGATCTCTTCTTGCTCGAAACGCAGCCTGCATATTTTTTGCTGCCCTTATTGCATCATGAAGGGCTACTTTTCTCGCGATCACCATTCCTACGCCGCCTTTCCGTTTCAATCGTATGATCTTCTCTTTCTGCTGTAGAGCGGAGAAGGGGGTGAAGCGCACCTTCTCGACTTTGCCAGAAACGGGAAGCTTGCGCTGTTATGGATTTTGGGATGTAGAAAGCTGCTTGCGTACTACTTGTGAAACAAATCATTTACTAGAATTGATGTTTGAACTGTTGCAGAGGAGATGCACAGGATGTCCAAGGAACCCACTTCTCGGGTACCAGTTCTTCTCCAAAGCTAGATAGACAGGTAAAACAAGATACATTTGAATGGACACGCAAGTGCATCTTGGGCATATCAAGAATAGACAACTGTTACGTCGTCAACACCAGACTTCGTGAGTGAGAGTGCTGGGGACGATACTTAGACGACCGCCTAAAACTACATCCATCAAAAATTGGTACCTCATACTCCTCCACAATCAGGTCTTGTTCCCAGTCCGTCTGGATGCACAGTATCTCATCCCCTACTCTCAACCCAACCGAGTCCGCCCATTTCCCTGGATCAATCCGCGTTATTCGCGTCTCTTTGAATGCAAATCCCATTCCCAATTTGCCGTCATAGAAATATTTGATATCCGTAAACTCTGCGACCAAATCTTGAGGGTTTTCTGGCACAATTACCTCGGAGACGAGAGCGAGCTGGAGATTGTTGGCGTTGTTCGGGCTTCCTGGTGGGAAGGCTTCTGCGTCGATGTCCACATCATTCGCGCGGGTCAATTTTGTGACATGATCCGTAAACAAGCCCATAAGCCCGCGGCCGGTTGGCCCGGAGCTGTTTTGCGCGGCAGTGGTACTCATCTTCTTCTTCTTGTAGTTTATGCGCACGTGGAGTCTAATATACTTCAAGAAAGTCTAGCTGCTAGTATGCAAGTCTCGATGAAAATAAACAAGTTAGTACAACAGATCACGAAAAACACTGGATCACACGTCTAGGTCTATAGTGCTTCGTTCGGGATACGACGAAATGGGCCTTCTACTTACTAAGAAATGGGTTCCAACAAGTCCAACAACTATGTTGTACCTATCATCAATTATTCACTAGAATATGCAAAGAAATCAGGAGACCTGGACAGGCAATTTGATCACATTCATGATGGGAACAGATTTTAGACATGAAGATGAGATGGAGAGCGAGACCACGATCTCTCGTGCGCGCTCAACACAGTAGAAGGCATCGCCAAGAACAGATCTACAGCCTCAAGTCTCGGATATTCTCTCCAACATCCCTGCTCTCAGATCACAGATGAGAACAACACGATCTACATCTCTCCTCAGGCTCAGACAGAATAGCAGATAACATGATTACTCTCGTCGGCCTATCAAAACACAGTAGATGCTGAACTTGTTGTTATCAAGAAAATAATGCGCACGGCTGTAGCTCAACAGATATGAAGTAGGTACCTCTAGACCTAGGTAAGCTAATGACGAACAGAGAGAATTTCGTTCGCGACTTTTATCATCTATCGGCTTATCCCTGAGTCTTTTTCTTGATAAAAGAACTTATTCGACATCATCAATGTGGCTGATCTCTGCACTGCAGAAAAATCACTGAAACTTGCAGTTTAGGTCTTTGGACGAAATTGACTCACTGTAGCCGACACCTGTGTTGACTCTGACTGACCTTGAAAAAATAATACTTCGGACACTTCTTTACACGCACTCCTTCATTCTATCCTGCAATTCTGCTCGCATTTCACAGAATTGCTTGTCTGCATTAAGTTTCGCCGCAGTGAGCCGAAACAGCAGTGCCTCTTTGTGTCGCACTTCACTCTCTGCTTGTCGACACGTTTTCTCCAACACCACATTGCTGGATTCTAGTTCCGCTACCCTGGATTCCAACGTGTCTACTTTTTTCTTCAAGTCTTGATTGTCCAAGACCTGCTGTCGAAACACTTTTGTCAAGAGAGCCGCATCGTTCAACAGCAGTTCCAATTTGCCTTCTGCTCTTTCCGCCAGGTCGACCACGACTTCTAGCTGACCGAATTTCTTCTTCACTTCCGCCACTTCAGTCGTCAATTCCCGCTTCTGATGGGAAAGGTCTTGCAAGTGCTCCTTTGCCACCGCTAATTCTTGAGCTAAATCGCCTTTTTCTCTGACAGCCTGTAGAAACAGTTCGTTCGTCTGTTCTACGAGATGCGCGGAAGCGGAGCTGGAAGCGGCTACAGTCGCTGCTCTGGTGGATCCGTGAGGACGACCGGAGGAGGAAGCGGAACGCCGATTAGAAGACCACATGATCAAGAGCAGACCCCTATGGAGGAGGAAGCGGAACGCCGATTAGAAGACCACATGATCAAGAGCAGACGCCTATGGAGGAGGAAGCGGAACGCCGATTAGAAGACCACGAGAAGACAACATCTATGTATCTATAAGTACATGGTGATTGAGATCATTTCAGATCATCAGTTGTACTAACTCTAACTGCGTTGAGAATCATAACTCCTCCGCCTCCCCGCCCATCATCTCCTCCACTTTTGCTGACAAGCATATGTTTCGCCTTCAATTCTTGGAGTTCTGTTTCTAATGCCTCTGACTTCCTGAAAAAATGCGCTGCTTCTCTCCGTAAATCTGCACAGGCCACTGAATGCCTCTCGATTTGCGTCGCTTTACCCAGGTGTTGTGTGCGTAAGTGGGTATCCAGATTCTCGGTTTCTTTGAGAAGAGAAACCAGGTACGACGGAAACGAGGGGAGCGCGGAGGAAGCTGGTGGTGAAGAAAAGGAGTTGGTGTCAAACCATCAAGAATAGAGAAGGAGAACCACGTTCAACAGAAGATGTAGTTAGACGACGAGAAGAATGAGCTGCGAATAACATCAATAGGATCATTAGAAACCACGGAATTAATACTACACGTAGCCACTTCCTCCGCTGTCCCAAAAGACGGCAATGCCACCTGAGGATACGCATCCAACACTGTGCCATGTTTCGAGTGATGCGCAGACAGCCCTTCCCGCAATTCATTCATGGTATTGTCGGAAAATTCCACCTCTACTCTCAAATCCCACAAAAGAACTGCATATCTGTACAGCTGAGCGTAGAGAATCGCGGAAAGCACCTTGTCACGGTAATTGACTAGGTGCAAAAGCTGTTCTACGTTGGCGGCTGTTTCGTGATGGTGGAGGTCAGAGGGGGTGCCGATGCCACTCGAACCTGGGAAATGTTGGTCCAAGAGCCCGCGGTCTGCTAGATTTCTCGTGGGATCGGCGTGGTCGTGAACGGCGTCTTGGTTTGAGGTTAGATAAAACGCGTGCAACGGTGGATAATCATGGGGACGAGACGAAACATTATTGTATAATATTTAAGCCCCGGAAGGCGACTCCGGAGAACGAAATGCGATGAGCCAAAAGTCACCGCGTTCTCGGGCCACAGAGAAATATTTTGTTATATATCCCTGCTCTTAACTTATTCCCACCACCGCTATTACCGGTAAGCGCTGCTAGGATGTTGGCTTCCTGCTGAACTTTGTGGGATCGTTTCCAAGCCAGAACCTGCTCACTAAATCGTTCTGGCGCCGTCACACCTTGTGGTAAAAAGATCCGCTCGGACTGGGACAGCAGAAATCGCACCTCTTTTTGTAGGCGCGACAAAGTCCTGTCGACGGAAGAGCGAGATGAAGGTGGGTGGGGATGATGAATTTTTAGCCTAGACTAGATTCTAGTCTAGGCTAATTAGCCTAGACTAGAATGATGATGTTAGTCGGTTCGGAATTGTCCTTCTTAGAATAGACTAGATATTAAGTAGCCTAGGCTAAACCCAGTTCAAATTGTCTACTGGTGCACCTCCATAACATCTTCTTCTTCCTCCCACCTCCACTGCCGCTACTCCCACTGCCATCCCAAGTAGAATCCCCCACCTTAATGTTGTTCTCCCCAAGCCCACTCATGTGATCTGAAGCCAGCAATTGTCCTTGCAAAGCATGCGCACCCTTTTTCTGCTCCTCGAAAACTTGACGCATGTGCTGGACAGTCGCGCCAAGCCTTTCCGCACAGTCCACCTGAGCATCCTTGCAGCCTTTGCCGCTGACGACTCTAGCATGAAAAGCAGACACGCTTTCTAGGTGCCTCTGCACGTCTACGACGCGAGAGGACGTGGGCGAGGTCATGACGAGTGTTTCTTGATTGGTACAGGGAGTCAAGCAGTCTAAATGGTCGAGTTGAAGAAGGGAGAGAACGAGAAGCGCTGGGCTAGCACGCGGCTGATGGTGCAGCACCTTCGCGACCAAAAAAAAAAAAATCTGATTAGTCCTGCTGTGCCCACAAGGGAAGTCGACGCCCAGACGTAATTTAAATTGCGAGTAGAATCTTACTGGTCCCTTGCTTCCTACACGACGTACGGGTATATATCAATCCTTCGTGTCTTGGAAGCGATTTTTAAATACAAACATCTTTTCTTGTCCACCTTTTCTTGTCCACCTCTTCCTCTAACCTTTCCTGATAAACACCCTTTCTTGTGCACCTCTTCCTCTAACCTTTCCTGGATCCCCCGGCAGGCCCGGCAGAACCGTCGAGGCGTCGACTTCCCTTGTGGGCACAGCAGGACTAATCGACGGTTCTTATTCGTGATTGTCGTTGACGCAAGTCGAATCAAACTTTTGTACACAAGCACGGTAGTCGTCTGCTGCATGGAGGCGAAATAAATCAAAAGCACAGCTGTGCGGATTGCTATGAAAATAAAAAAAATGGAAAACGGCATAACTTGTCATACGACTTCAAAAATGTCGCAGTGTGAAGATTTGTGCGTGTAGATCTTTTTGAGTAACTTTTTTACGATCGAACAAGACCTATGGCAAAACTAGAAGGATAGTAACGATGTCTATAGTAGATCTAGATTTTAAGTGGATAAAGCGAGAAAAATACTGTCGGAGCTCTAAAGAAAGATGGAAATGCAAGAAATAGATATTGTTCTTGGACACTACACTTCTGACAGCTCCCTATGGTAGAAGTCTTCATCTCATCAAAAATGATGTCGATGAGTGAAAATAATTCCGCAAATTGTACTTAGGTTTATCCTCAACCTCAAGTATGGCTATTGATATTGTGGGCCTCAGGCTCTAAAGATAACAGACGCTTACGTCTTGCAACAAGACCTTCTGAATGATCAAAGCTAGTGCTGGCTTCTGTCTCTCCATTTTTTGTACACTGAGTCTATCGATTCTGTAAGCAGTGACCACGATCGGCCCTTGCTCTCCTGTTGATGGCGCTCCCGCAGCAGTACTATTGGCACTATGAGCTCCTCCCGACTTCCGAGCGGACATTGACTGTTCCTGCACTCCTCCGACCGTTCCGCCTCCACCAACTGCCATCGCTTCGAAGCCATACCTCAGTCGTCGTTGAAAAGCCGCACTACCTAACAAACTTCCCGCACCACATAGGCTGGCGCTCATGGTCGTGGTACTCGAAGCCTTTGGCGTCCTGACTTCAACTGCTCCTCTGCCGATGAAGTACAGTGCGTCGCAGACGTCTTCTATGTTAAAGAACGCCTCCCCGTGTCTTAGGTCGATCCTAGCGGCATAGAATCTGGCGATTTCGCGTAGTTGTCTTCGAAAAGCTCCCAGACTTTCTAGCTCCACGCCAAATGGGCGTAAGGAAGCTTCGTAGTTTTCTTTGGATTTGGAGGTTGTAGCGGTTGCGATGGCCGCGTTCGGATGGGTACCGTTACTTTCGTTTGGATCCACAACTCCTCCACCCCTACCACGTTCGAGTTCATCTATCAGAAAGTACTCCTCTAGAATCTCCTCCAAAGGAAGCAGTCTCGCATTGAGCGATCTGGGGACGCTGCTTCTCCTATTAATCAGCGAACTCTGGTCCCGCAGGAAAGAAGACACCGACGATTCCCTGTCCTGCTTCAACTGTCGGAGAAACTGGTACTTCCGCAAGACTCTGTCCTCCACGTACACCAGACCGTCTTCTAAGGCAGCAACTTCCTCCCTCTCCTCTGGCAACCCCGTTTGTACCAGTACTAGAGGATCCGATGAGATATCAAACAAGGTCACAGGAGCTAAAATTTCCCTACTATTAAAGCTCAGCATTCAATGGTCACTGACTCTGAAAGAAATGGGCCCCATGCCTCTCCCTTTGCTTTTCCTTCATTTTCCCCTGTTCTCTCAAGAGGGATCTCACTGACCAACCCCAATGACCATTGAAAGCTGAGCCTTAATACTACTAGTGGTGCGTGTCGTAGTCCTCGTGGTGCGTAGTCTATTGGAATCTTGATGTAGGTCGACAGTCGCCACAGTTAGTCTCTGTCGTTCTTCAAGTGCTGGAAGCGCTTCAATATTTGTAGTTGCTGCATCAGCTGAAGGCGCGTCTGCTGCGCCTGCGTCCATCTCTCCAAGTGATCTATTCTGCTGTTCTTTTTCTCCAACTTCTTCTTCTTCACCATACCCATGCTCCTCCTCGTCGTCTTCTCCAGCGTCCCCCAACGCGTTATTCGCTCTCAACAAGTCCCGTATCGCCTCTGACTGAATCCCACTGTAGAGTATTTCCACTGGCAGGCCGCACGTTTTGAGCGACGTCTTCAATGCCGCAAGCGCTACACAAGCCGTTGAATCGATATTCACCACTTGTTCAAAATCCAAGATGACATAGTAACCTAGTGCCTCTTCCGAAGTAAACGGGAAATTCGATCTGACGCTTTCCCCTCCAGGACTTGGGAGAGACTTTCGGCTGCCAGCTCCACTGACGATGGGCGACGGTCTGCCAGTGGCGCCGCCTGACAAGAACGATGATGCTGGAGGACGATGAACCGCTAAACTCATCGGATTAGTATAGCTTCCTGGGGCACTTATGCTGCTTCTGAAGTCATCTCCGCCACCAGGATCTCCATTGTTCAGAGAGGTAGAAGCTTCCTCTATTAAAGGTTGCAGCAATACATTCTTCAGAACATCCCTCACTTCTTTCCTACTGGAAAAAAAAGCCAAGGATGGTAGTGAAGAATGCAATGTGAATGTGGTAACCCTTAACTCTAAACTAATCCGCACAGAAAAGTGCGCCTCACTTACTGTTGTTCCAGCTGGAGAAGGCAGACACGAAGAGGCGCCGGAGAGAGTAAAAGCCACGTCATCGTTGCTCCGCAGTTTGTCCAGATCTAGAGGTGGTAGAGAATTCACGTTAGGATTGAGATAATTTTCCTTACTAGCAGGCGCTGAATGAGTTTGCAGCTTCGAAGCCATCCATGGCTCAGCAGTCACTTCTCCTCCTTCTACCCCTATTGCGTCTCCAGTAGTACCCTTACTGGCACTCCTTCTAGCACTGTTATAGTGTCCCTGGAATTGTGCGAGAATTTCGTTCAATAACCGTGTCGAAAGGTCCATTGCTGAGCCAAAGAAGATGTACCCGGATAGTTGAGCCACGAAAATGCGTTCTTGCTGACCTTGCAGGACCTTGCGTTCTTTGTATCTTCGGAAAATCTTGGTTCTGACGTTGGACATCTTACGCCAGACGGGGAGACTGCTAGGGTTAGAAGACAGAAGGGCTGGAAAAAGTACGTAGCTAGAAGTTTTTACAAAAGTGATAGACAGCACAAACTCCAGTGGCTGTGGACAATACATTGAACTTGAACAAGTAATCTGTAGTATGTCTAATTCTTGTTCTCATCTGCTCTCGACAGCCATCATCTTCACACACCATAATGTAAAGCGCCACGAAAGTCAGCGCCGCAGTCACCGTCGACAGGGCCATCCCCTCGATAACGCCAAAGCTGTTCAACCCCTGCAACACCATGATGATGCCAAAACTCAACCAAACCAGGTAGTATTCCATTTGCGATAGCAGATTCCGACTCTTCCACAACCAATCCCTGAGGATGTCCACGCCAAATAGAGCAACTAAAGCTCCAATGTAGGGCTTTGGAAGAACGCAGCTCAGGTCTAGAGGCAGTGCCCACAAAGCTAACTCCAATCCGAACACTGTCCACCCACACAGAGCTGAGGTAACTTGAGATTTCAGGCTGAAATTAGAGGTCGCCACATTACAACACTCCTGAGAAGAACATGAGCCCCCACCTCTTTCCTACTAGAAAGAGCAGAGTGCGGGATGGTTGTGGAGGAATTTATGTAATAGTAACTGGTTAACGACGAGCCTTAATGAAAATCGTCTGCGAGAAAATGTAACTGCCAGTCATGCCTCCTGATATGCCGGCTAAGAGATTGCTGATGCCTATCATCCGCATTTCGCTGTTGAAGTCCAAGCGGTAGGGTATCTCAGCTTGGATTGCTGCTACGTCCAGCGAACTCCCGAAAGTGACCACGATGAGTAGGCCGAGCCAGTTGCCGGCCTGCCGGGGGATCCAGGAAAGGTTAGAGGAAGAGGTGCACAAGAAAGGGTGTTTATCAGGAAAGGTTAGAGGAAGAGGTGGACAAGAACAAAAGGTGTTTACCAAGAAAGGTTAGAGGAAGAGGTGGACAAGAACAAAAGGTAAATCTATTTTGGACAGTTTCTTGTTCTAGTAGTTATACTTGTTACTCAATATCGTGCTGGGAAAAATTTAGATAACGTCAAAAGTACAACACTCGGCCCACGGCAACAACTTCATGTCATAACCCAATGCACCAATCTTGGATCGTACAACTCGAATTGCGTCACTCCCCACACCAAGCCTCCCTTTGCAGGATAGGACAGCCACGCATCTTTGCGTAGATCGTCCAAGGAATCGTAGCCGAAATAGAGCTTCGCACAAAGCAGGAACAACACCGGAGAGAGAAGCAAAACGGCTGGCATCACGAAGACGTAATGTGACAAGCGGTAATGTACGAACAGGAAGCCGACAAGGAAGAGGGCGAAGACGAGCGGCTATTAGAAAAGGACGAGAAGCGTCGACTTATGAACCTGGGAAGATCGAGGAGTAGAAAGAGTATGCTTGACAGCTTACGACCTAGTCTTAAAGGTACGGCACTTGTTCTAGCGCAAACAAAGGTCCAATGCTCCAAGGCGTGTTGATCTGCTCGCCAGAGATGATCGTCAGACCCGCAGCTACGCAAAACCAGCCAATGTAGCCCAGATACCCTCCAACAACAGGCAGAGGCAGCAGAGCTACATAGTCTACCAACTCCTTGTAGCCAACCAGGTAGACGACGACTCCTGTTATCGCAGTTCCAATCCCTCCAGCCCAGAGTGAGGTAGCCACTAACTCCTCCACCGGAACCGGAACTCCTGTTTCAGCCTGTGCCTGTGCCCCTAGCTCTAAGACGTTTTTGGTGATGGCAGCGAGGAAGATGAGTCCGACGTCTTGAACCTTGATGTGGAGGTAAGGAAGATATAGTTCTTGAAGGAATGCGTCCCACATTCACCCATCTAGAGAAGACAGCTGTACCCGTATGTCGAGTAGGACGCGAGGGACCAGTAAGATTCTACTCGCAATTTAAATTACGTCTGAAGTTGTAGATGTCATGCATATTCATCGACTCCTCTAGTGGTCGTTATCCTTCACGCTAAATCAAAAACCCAGTAGTACCTGTCCAATCGCAAATGGCAATCTCGAAGCGTAGGAGAACAGCGCTTGGTGTACCAGTGAGCTCAAGACTACGACTTTCAAGATGTAAGGCATCACAGGTTCGAACTCAGGACTCATGTAGACGATTCGGCTGTAAGCGACTAAGGTCGGCAGCATGCATACGAAGTTAATCACGCCGTAGGAGACTGCAATAGAAACGGCACGCGAGTCTAGACCGGAAGCGGTGCTTTGAGGAGGAGTGTCGGCTGTGGGCGGTACGACGAGGGCTTCTTGGGTTAAAGAGGTGACATGTTTCTTTGAAACGTAAGCATAATAAATTAGCTTGTGACTACGTGAATTTGCTGACGAGAGTTCATCACGCGTGATACGCCAGTCCAGTAGATAGTAGATCCTCATTTCAAATCCATAGAGATGTTGGCGATTGTCCTCTTTCGGGTATCCCGTCTTCGAGTAGTGGCGCTACCAGTTGCAGCTTCTTCTCATCGACTTCGGAACTGTAACTTGGCAGGCATTTAGCCAAGATTTTCTGCAAAATTGATGCGTCGGAGGGTCGCTTCACAGTATCTTCGAGCGCTGGAGGCAGATCTTAGAGACTGAAGAGATGCACTAGAGGTGGTGGAGTTCTTTATCAAGTAGTACTAGGACGGTTCAAGGTAAGTACTAGAAAAGAACCTACTTTCATCATATCTCATATCAGCCGGTGGTGGCAACTCCCTTGATGACAAGCGAGACGATGCTGCGAGATCCACCTCACCTGCGGGATGAGTGTGATAGAAGATTGAATTGAGGACCGACTGGAAATCCAAGAATATCAAAAGAGACTACAACATCCCATGATTTTTCCCATCTCGTCTGCTCTGTACAACTTCTAGGTAGTACCTCCCGCAAACTGCGTCACTGGAGGACTCTGCAATGGTCCACTCCGCCTCGCCCTTGCAAGCAAAGGCGACGCCGCGCCACTGTGCACAGACATGCGTCGACTTTTCGCATCGACGCCGTAGACTTTCAGGTGTTTTCCGAAATTGAAGGCTACTTGTCTCGGCGACGGCCCCGACGATGGATCCATTGTAGCAGTTGCAGCAGAGCCTGCATACACACTGGATGCGCCACGTGACGCAGTCGATCGCCGTGGAGCGCTCAGAAACATAGGTGGCCATTGCGTACTCGTCCCCGAAGATGGGCCGTAAGTGGTGCATGGCGATGGCGTTCCTACCAAACCGTAAGAACCTGCAGACGGCGCTGACTTACCCCCAGTAACTCCTGCACCAGGTCTTCCGCTGTTCGATAGTGCATCCTCAAGCTCAGCTTCTCCGATCAATAGGTCGCTATCGATGGACAGCAATGAGCTCGCACCAGAACCGGATCGGCCTCGTCGGATCTGTGGTAAGAGGTCAGGATCTGGTGCATGAGCTGGTCCGAAATTGTCATGATCTGCATTTGGTCGATGCCCTTGACCTTGTTGAGGCCGCTCCGTCGCTCCGTCGGAGACGGATGACGCGACCATTATATTTGCTGTCCGTGGTGACGTTTTGTGAACATCGATGAAGACGGATGAGTGATGGTTTCAGGCCATGTTGGCGTTTTACTAAATCAAACAATCTAGCTACTCGCAAATTGATGATGCGCACGTCCACGTAGTGGCCAAAATCAAATGTCGGTGTGTGCCGATGAAAGAAGAAAGTACTACTCAACCAGACGACAACACTTTTCCTTGCCCCGCAGATTGATAGGGCACATACCCATTCTTGTTCCTTGCAGGTTTTTACTCCAACTCTAACAGCTCGAGTAACAAAGAACAGAATCCAGGAATGTTAAAAATTGCTCTCCCTCGCCCACCTAGATGTCAAAAAACCGATGGGCCACTTACGGTTCTCGTATCATGACTCACGATCTTTTGATCTTGGGAAACAACAGGAACCAGTTCTAACGTGAGCGGAGTTGACGACAGATCCATTTTCTGCTGTTTGTGTTGTGGTATAAAACTTTCGTCCACAGTTTCTTCGCAGACAGATTGTTGTTGACATCTTCTTAGCCACAGACGGATTCCACAACAACATGAAACAAGAACATGGACAAAAACGACGCAGTTTCGAGGCGCCCCGATTCAGAGCGGGAATCGGCAACAAGTTTTGCTTTGCTTGTTAGCAGAATATGAGTACTTAAGTGAATCTATCGCATCAAGCTACTTGCTCAGGTAGGACGGGAGGAAAAAATATCACTGTACATCAACAACATTCTGACATCATGATGCATCTTTATCGTCAAGTATCTGTTGAAAAAACAATCTTGCATTTCTAGAAATCTCGACAAGGGCAAAAACAATTGCAGGCACCCACTTCAGGGCAGCCACTCCTATCCACAGGTGGCGGTACCTGTCGCTTTTGCAGGAAACTGCCATGAGGAGAGTCTGAAGATGCTTCTCGCTCGCGCACGTCTTCTACTGCAGTCCGAGCGCCGCCAGAAATAGAAGCTTCTTCCCCTTCCTGCATGAAAGCAGGCGGCGGCGCTGGTGTGCCGTAGGTCACAGCATCGCACTCGCATTGACAGTTGCACGGCTGGGGTGGAGGACAGGCGTCCAGTGCTTTTGAGAGTGCTGTTGTAGAAACGGAGAGTTCTGTTGCCCATACGAAGAACGTTGTGGAGCTGCAAATCGACAAGAACGCGGTCCACAATGGAGACGGTCGGAGTCCCGTTCTCGGTCTCCGCGAGGGCGAAGTGAATGACATGTTTTTGCTTGTTCCACGTTGGTGGTCACTTCTCAGTACTACGACTCATTTTATTTTTCTGTGTGTGTTTTTTTTGCCAGTTTTATCAAGGTGGAGAGACTTTCACAGAACCAGTAATCATTTTCTCTTCGTCTTTCTCAAGACGAGGTTAGAGTTTCACGACCTGTCAATTTGAAAGGCCAAGACGACTGAGTGAGTACACACCGTTGCGAAGGAACACTCGATGGCCGTGACGTATACACGCATGCGCAATGTGGCCAGAAGGAACCAGAAAGTTTGCGGAAACACGCGCGAGAAAAAGCCATGATCAATACTAGAAGACAACCTTCCAAAATCCATCATTTTGAAATCCCCCCACTAGTCATTGTTGAACTCCCCACAACATGATCCCCAGCCACAGGAGGAGCGGCAGCAGGAGTAACCTTCTCCTGGTTTTCTTGAATTTTCCGCAGATTTTGCTCTATGATAGCGTCAATATTCTTTTGCTTCCAATGATGGACTTTTTTCATCTGCGTATCGGTCTCTAGAGTCCTCTGCTCTTGGAGGATTTCGTCCCGTTTCCGCCTTTCGTATTGCCGTTCGAGAGTTGTTTTTCGTTCCTTCCACATCTGGTCGAGTCTCAATTGCACTTGCGCCTCTACGTCTCTGGCTATCCTCGCAGGCTCGTCCTTCAGTATTTGCTCCACCCGTTCTTTCATCTCTTCGGTTACTGGGGATTAGAAGTACTAACTATGAAATCTATGTGCTTAGGCTTACAGTGAAATGTGAAAGAAACAGAAGCCATAATCTATTTTTACAATCGGCGCAGGTACTGGTCTCGAACGTGGTTTGGACGCTTTTTTGCTTCTCCTCTCTTGATGCCTGTTCGTTCCGCTCTCCCCTCTTCGCCGCTTCGGAGGCAAAACTTCGTCTTCGTCAGACAACATTTTTTTGATTCTAATTGAGAAAAGACAACAATGTGTATTTTTCTGACTTGTACTTCTCAGTCAGTACGCGGAGGATTGTTACAAGAGCGCCAATTTCTTGTCTTGCTAGATTGACCAAGAACGATAGGACGTATTCGTAGTTGTATTGCAACCCGTACCTGCTAACTCATGCATGCAATGTACGAAGAGTCTCGATTCGGGACGCATATACAAGTGCTAATATGTATAATTGATCGGCACATCTAATATGCAGGAGATATTGATCGAAGACGACATTCGTCCGCACCTAGGTTGTAACGCGGATCTGGAACCAGCTTAGGTCTCGTCGAAGACGTTTACGTTCGTACACCAGTGACAAAATATCCAAAAGACCTCACACGAATCTTCAATCGCGACCATGGTCCATTCTCTCTTCCAGGACATTGCGTGCATGCATTGTAGAAGTTGTAGCACTGTTCAAGAACTGCGAATGTGATAATATCCATCAAACAGAGGACTTGAAAATATCGTCAAAAAATGAACCTGTCTAGAAGGTAGATTCTTTATCTGTGCAAAAATCTAGAGCATCAAATTTCCTCCATTGATGTCTAGGCAAGCCCCCGTTATGAAACTGCTCTCTGGAGATGCCAGAAAATTTGCCAGAGACGCCACATCACTAGGCGTTCCCACACGTCCTACAGGAATATTCGCGCCAAAATCCTCGATTTTTGTCGGAGAAGAGTCTCCTCCTGAGGGACGTTAGACGATGATTTTGATTGAATGGACGTTTACGTTCTGTTTCTGATCCATCGATGTAGTTGACGCCCGTTGTACTAGACTAAGTAATCGAAAAGAACAGCTCAAACGATAATATAATTAAAATGGATGTCAATTTTTATGTCTAGAAATCATTATCTTCCATAACCTCCTCCCAGTTTGGAAATCGCGCCTCTCGACATATCGGAATCGATGACGCCAGGACAGACTGCATTGGCTGTTATGCCTCTTCGTCCAAACTCCCCAGCGATAGACCGGGTGAGACCTATGACGCCAGCTTTACTCGCCATGTAATGCGCACCACCTAGCTTCGACTGCGAACGACCTGGTTTTTCTACTTCTACTAGGTGTTTTTGTGAACTAGATTTGAGAGTTTGTGTTTGTTTTGTTGTCTTCAGAGGCATCATGGGAAAAACCTTGCCAGAAATAAGGAGCGGGTAGGTACGCAACGGGAACGTCTGAAAAAATAGGAATACCTGCCTGACTCGCCAGGACAATGACCCTGCCATAAAACGAGGAGTCTGCAGGAGGATCTTGTGCGAGCATCCTTTTAATCCCTATCTGCGCCGTGTTGAAGACTCCATCCAAGTTTACACCCAGCAGCTTGCTCCATTCCCCTGGTTCTATATCCAAGAATCTTGTACCCGACAACAACCCAGCACAGCAAACCAATATCTGCGCTGGCGCACCGAAATAGCCTTCTGTATCGGCAAACGCTGTTTCAAGGGAGGCTCGGTCTGTGACGTCGCAGACTAGGTCTAAGACTTGTAATTTTCGCTGATCGTCCTTCAGCTTGTTCTCCTCATACACAGCTCGATCAGCAAAGGCAACACGGTAGCCGGATGCAATCAGGCGCTCACCAATTGCCCGGCCAATCCCACGACCCCCACCCGTTATGAACGCAACCACGCCTGCACCTCCGGACGAAGGTGAAGAACCAGTGGCAGGCATCGAAGGCGATGCAGCCGCCGGCGGAGATGGCATAGTCTTGGTCGATGGACGATAGATTGCCTCGCACCTTCTACTTTCGGTTTTCTTACTTGTTCACAGTCTCTTGATTGACTTACGTAAGGATGTAGAAGTCTTCAGTACTTGTTCACAGTCTCTTGATTGACTTACGTAAGGATAGAAGTCTGTTTCATCTGAATGATTGCATCAGTTTTAGTGTACCTAATTAGAGGAGCTGGAGCACCAGGAGATCCTCTTCTAATCGACAGGATAAGTCCATGCTCAACGGCAGAAGCTCAAGGGTTTGCTGCCGATTGAGCAGCATCTCTGTACAATGAAATTCACATCTTCACAGTTTTCCTATACCAGTCGTTATTTTCCCTGTCCCATATCCTTGTGCCCAAGCCAGAAGGTCTTTGGCTGTCCGACCTTCATCACCCTTTCCCGCCCCTGACAAAGCCTCTGACCGTCTCAACTTATCATATTTCACAAATTGCCCTTTAGGCATATCAAGGAGAACAAAGAGTAAGTCATCTTCTCCACCTACTTGGCCTTCGTGGCTCAGTAACTGCCGTATCTGCCCAACTGCCCCTGCACTGGAAACAGCACAGTAGACTGGGAAAGTTGACGCATTGTTACCAACATCATCCTGCATTGCTGCAAATTCGGCTGCCAAAGTGGCCATTTCACGCTTCACCTTCCCAACCACAGCTGCATCTACTTGCCCAGAAGCGTCAAGGTTGTCCAGAAACAACAGTAAACACGGCTGTCGATTAATCCGTTCGTCAGGCATGGACAAGTTTCCGACTGGAGGTCGTTTTTGCTGCTCAGTACCTTGTTGGCGCACGTGTTGTTGCAATAGTCTAGAAGCTGGATCGGCTACGGAATAGCCCAGTGGAATAGACGAGGCAGATGTCGTCCCTAGTCCTCCTGAAGAGAGTGCCGATATCGATCTAAAGAATGCACCCCAGTTTTCACGAATATCGTACAAGACATCTGTCCGGATCACGTACTTAGACCCATTTTGGACTTTAGACCCTTCATGAAGCGGCGACAAAGGATGCTGACCATGCCAGAAGACCAAAGCGGCTCCTTTTTTGGGTCGGACGGAGACACGGCATAAGTCTACCTGTCCAGAAGAGGTAGTTGAAGCAGATGGGGTACTAGAAGATGTCGTTCCAGTAGTTGCTGTTGGGTCTTTCGCCCAAAGCTTTTCCGATAAGTGCCTAAAAGCGTCGTCTTTTGCATAGTAAAACGTTGTTTCGCCTCCTTCGCAGTCGTCGTTCAGATACAGCAAGAAAGTGAGCATCGAATGCTGAGCACCGTCGTACAGATCTTGAACCAGTGACTTTTTATCGCTAGTTAAACCACTCCCAGGCCAACTGCCATCTGTGTGCGGACGAAAAATATCGGATTCATTGTAACGGTACAGACGCCATCGTTGGTTGAGACCAGTGACTGGTCCTAGACGTGGCACTGCTGTTGTAGTGCTGGTGTCGGCGGGTTTTTCTGCATTATTTTTTTCGTCAGGTTTCTCCACTGTACTAGCAGTGTCTTTCTTCGCAAATACCTCTTCACCTCCATACACGTACTCCGGCAACAAGTCCCGACACCTATGGAACACCACTTTGTTCAGGCTGTTCTGATCCGCGATCCAGACACAGTTGTCGTTCTGCCTGACATCGCGACTCAAGCTGACAGGTGCATCCGGACAGTACCCCATAGCTTCAGACACGGCGATCAATTGCTTGCATTCTGCATCCGTCAAAACATCGCTCAGGAGAAAAACACCGGGAGCGCCAGGAACGTGCTCTTTGGTTACAACAGCAACGTTGCCTTTTGCTGATGTACCCTGCGGACCAGACATCTGCACAGCACCCTCTTTCGCCGTGAAAACAGGAATGTCGCTTCGCACAGAGCCACATTCTCGGTTCACTATCCAGAAATCTTTTTCGGCCACTGGCGGCTTCGCCGAGGACGAGGTTGGTGCACTAGAAGCAGGAGGCGCTCCACTTGAAGATGCCCACTCAGTGCTGACCAAACGAATTGATGAGTTTGACATTTTTCTGTGCTGGGAATGGTTGGCTGATGTATGGAAATTGAAACGAAATTTCAGTCCTTTGTGCAGTCTTGATGTTCGGATGCAGAACATAATCTCACATGCGCTGATGATGTAAAAGAGTAGCCTTGAGTCCTACGTCTAACCTAACTACGCTAAAGTCGTCTTATCAAGTTTCGAATTGAAGATTGAACATGAAGAATGAGAGGAAGCTACGGGAGAGGAAGCACAAGCTGGAGCACGACTTACTTTTTTCACCTTTATTCGGCTTCTCCTGAGACACCCATCTTCGATGGGTGGATTCTTGGTCTTGCTCTTGCGGTTTAAAAAGAACGTACTAACTTATCGTTATATATAATACCTCGTGACTGAAGTCGTATTACATCACTCGGGTGGTTTATTGTTCAAGAAACCGCATCGAGGAAGAACACCATCACCATCACGACTCCACTTTAAGGTATTAGAGCTACCGCGTCGCATCCCTGAGCCCATCCCTGTGCCCTTTTCTCCCTTGAAAAAGGGGCTAGGGATGGTGCTGAGGATGCTCCAGCGGTTGCCTTAAAGGTAGTTGAATTTGCGTCGTTCCTTACATCGGCGGCGTGCGACAAAACAGTGGTCAATGACATTTTCTTCAGAACAGCGCTCCGCTCTTTGGCGTGCGCGTGAGTGTGAAGTGGAATACGAAGATTTGCTGGAACACGTACGAACAAGAAAATGATAAACACGAGAAATAATCACGGTAAAGAAAAAGATGAAGATCACATCGACATCATTTACAACTAAGATCATATAATATATTTAAGTACTCTAGTACAGCATCTCGACATCATTTACAACTAAGATCATATATATTTAAGTACTCTGTAGTACAGCATTATAGAGTCCAATCATCCTAATGCCCACACGCCCTCTCCTTCCTCCACGTTCTCCTAAAGTAGTCCGTCAATGCTACATCTGCCTTGTGGATTACGGCAGGAGGGTCTCTTTGGAACGAGCAACGGGCGGTGCTTAGACCGGCATTGAGCTGTGGGGATTCGAGTGGCCATTGCACACACCTCTTGTACACTGATTCCACCACATTGCCGTGAGCATCGACGTAGGAATTCTGACTTGCTAAGTCGGATTCACTCCATAGACGGAAAGGGCAAGAGGCATCTTCCCAGGGAGGTTGTTCTTGAAGTCGGGGAATCTGATTCAGAGTGTCATTAGTCCTGTTCATGGTCAACATCGAGAAGTTCATCGGGCGAGTCGTGCCCCACTCACCCCGCGTTACCATATACTTCGCCCATTCCCGTGGACCCCTCAAGTGCCAGTCATCTTCGTGAACGTAACCGGGCTCCTCGAGTACGTTCTGATTACCTGCTCTGGAAGCATGGCCTTTCTTCGACGATGAATACCTGCTCTTGTTCTTTGCCCTTCTGGACCTCATTCTCATAGGCGCTGTTGTATTCGACAAGTGGTGAGCGAGTCCCTTATTCCATCGCCTTCCAAAAGCCCGGCGATTCTCAGGATGCAACATCGTGATCCCAGTTTTCTGCCCTCTCAGTTGCTGTTCTCCTAGATAGCCGAAAAAGCAACGGTCCAATTGATAGGTGTTGAGAAGCTTGTACTTCCTCACAAGATGATGAAACGTATTCACGGCACCAGTGTACCAAGCTTTGTACCCTTGAGTTCTCGACAAAAGGTCGAACGGGGAATGGGCTCTTTCGTTGTTGATAAGGACTTCGTACTGGAGTAGAGGTTGAAAGTTGGCATCTCTAGCTCACATACCTATGGCTTTCCTGCTTGAGATAGCCGTAGAGACGCGCATAGAGATGTCAACTCCCAAGCTTTAACTGGAGTTTTTGCCTCTCTCCCGCAGCTGACATCCACATCTGTTCACTCAGATTGGGGAAGGCTTTGCTGTTAATTCCTTGACGATCATGCTCTGCGTGTTCGGCTTCCGAAAAGTCTAGATATTTGAACCCGAAATAACGTAGAAACATGCTTCTGCTTGTCGCAGATCGTGATGAAGTCAAGCTGAAGGTACTAGATGTTGAAGGTGCTAGAGATTTTGGCTTTCCATTGGTCTTTCCCACATAGCTCGTAGCTATTTTCATTTGTCCATCTACTGGGTCTTTCACCCTGCGAAGAGTCATTAAGTGCGTTAAATTGTGATGTTGTTCGCCTTCGGGTGAACGGGGCATGGCTTCTAAAGAGATTCGGATCTCGTCATCAAGAGTGTCAGGATTGTAGTGTTTGGGAGTGTCTAACTCTACGTTACCCTCACTCGTTCCTATTCTTTTTCCTTCAAACGTTGATCCCGCGTCGGATTGAAACAAGCCTTGAACTCCCATCTTCGCCGCAACTGCTTTGTCTTCCAAGAAGGGTCCCGGCATCTGGATTCCTTCTCTTATTGAAAACAGCACATCATCTTCGAGATCATTGTCCAGGTCTAAGAGCCACAAGTCAGGGCCTGACTGGAGGTCGAGGATCATGTAATTGTCAGGCAAGATCTCAGCTGACGAAGAAGTGGGTGTAGGTCGTGCTATAGACTGCGTATTCTTTCCGTTCGTGTCTCTTGTGTGACGTTTTCCAAGTTGTAGCAGCATCCTCTTCAAACCATTTCGGAGTGCCTCTCGTTGTTGATAGCGCTGCAAATCCTCCTGGTTCCGTCTGGGTGTCTCTACGGGATCGAGATCTGGAATGTACATAATTTCAGTTGTCGTGCCTGCACTTCTGCCTCCAGTTGCTCGACCTTCACCACATTCGATGTCCGCGTTGGTCGACTTGGTTAATCCAACCAGCCATTCGCGAAATAGCTTCACGAAAATGCAAGAGGTCGTAGAGCTTTCGCCGGTTCCACTTTGATAGATAGTACGGTTTTCTTTATCTTTTCTATCACGCAGAATCGCAAACCATTTCTGAAACTGACTTCGAACAACCTCTACCAGGCTTTCCAAATCCTGCGTCGTCAAGGTCTTAATGTCTTCCGGCTTTGACAGGACATCCCCGTCCTCGTAGCTCGAATCGAAATTGCGGACTAGCCACCGGTAAACGAATTTATGAAAGACTTGTTGTTGTTGTTCTACTGCCTCATCTTGTTTTTGCTTGCCCGCATCATTAGTTTCATCTTCAACACGTCCAGCCAAGGACAGCACATCCAACACTTCCTTCATTGCGTTTTCTTTTCTTTGCTTTAGCTCTACTCGCTTTGTCTTCACAGCTTTTTTCTCTGCAACTTCTGCGTCAGCAATGCGAACGACGTGTAGCTCTACATTCAGAAAAGCATGAACCAACTGTCGCTTTTTCTCCTCTGAGATGCGGGTTACCATCAGCAAACTCGTTTGGACCTGATTCGCACTAGATGGAAGAAAAAAAAGGCTGTTTTGACTATACTTGTTGCTTCTTTTCTCGGAGCTCATGGTCTGGAAGTTCTCCTGGATGTCCCTCTCCTTGATGTCCCTCTCCTTGATGTCCTTCTCGTTGATGTCCTTGCCTACTTGTTCATGACTTCTAGGTTCCATTGAGTCCTCTGAAGGCATCAGAATGCCTCTCCACAACCCCAACAATTTCGACGGATGAGGAATCAGATAATCCGTGTCCATGTGCACCGTTAAATCGTAGACAACCGCTAGTTCGAAGATGAGAATCCTAGCGAACTCAGAAAGTCCCATATTTCCGTGTGCAGAATCGTGTCTCCCAGGTAAAGTAGCATGGGAGGGCTTCAACTTCGTCGCGAAGTCCCCACACAGCCTGACAGGCACGACTGTGACACCCAGATCGCGGAAATAGCGCTCAGTCGCAGCATTGTGAAAAGCGTATTTGACGTTTTTCTTGTCACGTTCACGAGGATCAGTGGCGTCGTAAGCATAAACTTCCTCTACCTCTAGTAGATCTCCTCGTATCACTGGACGCGCACAGATCTTCGATTCCATGTCCGGTTGGACTTGAACGTACTCGTACGGTGGACGTGCTGGATCCTCAGTTGTAGAAGTAGAGGAAATAAGAGATGACTGCATCTGTTCATTTGAGATCGCAGATGACTGCTCGTCCTGTTGCATCTGTTCATTTGAGATCACACCAGTATCAGGAACAGTACGACCACTATTCACTTCAGCGACCCCACCAGTATCAGGAACGACCCCTTTATCATCATCTTAAAGCTCGACACTCATTGGCCACTGACTCTGAACGGAAGAGACCCCCTTCAAAGCTCTCCCCTTTCCCTTCGTTTTCCCCTGTTCTACTTTCAAGGGAAGGTCGCCTCTTCGATCTCAGTGACTCCAGTCTAAATGGTGACCATTGAAAGTTGAGCCTTAATCATCTCTACGCAGGTTTCGCTTCTTCTTCTCCACTACCAGATGCAGATCTCCATCATCCGGAGCTCCTATGATCTGAAACAAGTCCAAATCGACCTGATTTTCACGCAAGAATCGAAACGCAGGTGCGTTCCACTTCCAGAAGTGTACGTGGCACCAATCCACGAAATGCCTCCCGTCTATGAAATAGCTGTTTCGTTTTGCGCGTTTGTCTACTCTTAAACTCGGGTCCTTGGCGCAATCCATCAAAATCTTGTGGACGAGGGCGAAAAGGGCTATGCGAAGAGGTGGCCGATGATGTTCTTGTTGGGGCTTGTTGCTTGTGGTGGGAGATATGCTAGAACTTCGTTGTTGTAGTTGTTTTTCCTTTCTTCGACGAAGTTTCTCACGTCCCCGCTCAAGGACATCTTGCAGCGTCGAGATTGCAGGCCGCCGTTCTTGAGATTGCATTTCGTGACCTGGAGTCGGAATCTTTTCAAACTTTGTCCAATCAATCTCACGGTGATCAGCTACAGGTTTAAAGCACGGATGTGCGCGACCTCTCACATTTCGACAGAAAGGCTCAAAAGCTCTTGGATGCAGGATCTTTTTCGCTTTGATACCAATCTCACTTCCTCTGTCGTAGGGTACGGAAAAAGCAGGTCTAGAGTAAAAGCCTGAAGCTCCGTTGATTTTGTTTGCAACACCGACACCCGTGGCAGCCTGCTGCTCTATCACATTGACATGAGCAACCCCAGAGTTTAATATTGTTGAACTCGCAGTTCTTCCAGTTTCGTTATCATGACCTTGTTCCCTAGCTTTGTTCCACTCCCTAATCGCATCACAAACATAGTCCGAAGATGTTTTTTCCGAAGATGTTTTTAATTGCACAACAGCCCGCCGAAACTCAAAGAGCTCATCCTTGTTTTTGATTGTGTGCAAAGAGCTCGACAAAGGGGAAAGAATCGACAGGTCACCTAGTTGTGCGATAGAGGATGCGCGTTGAAGATCGGAAGAAGTAGTAGTGTTATTCGTGTTCTTCTTCTTTCTAGAGGGGAGGATTGTGAGATCTCGTGCTAGACAGAGCTGTCGAGCACTGGAGTCCATTCGCTGCGCTGGCACGACAAGGCTCAGGGAATTAACTACTACGTCTTCTTCACGTAGTAGTTCTCTTGAATCTACTGGGGATGCGATTCTCTTAGACCAAAATGTTCTTGGAACCTCCATATTTTCCGAAGCACTAGGGTATTTCCACGCAACCCATCGCATCGCTTCCAACACAAAGCGTACCAACTGAGTCCAAAACTGTGTGTCTCCTCTCTCTTCGCAGCTTTTTGGTAGACAGAGATAGACCTTTGTTGATGTTTGCTCGAAGTTCACGGCATGCACATCACCATACCAGGACTCCGAGCAATACTCGACTGCATCAGCTAAAGAGAACAATCCGTTGTTCGTCGTGGAGCTACACGTTGTTGACGACGAAGCATCAGAAGTTGTCTGAGTCCTCAGGGGGCATGACCCATGTAGAAGCAGTAGTGCCTGAAGAGCATCGGAGTGCGAGCGCTTCTCCTTCTCATCATCGATATTAATTAGATCTCGCATATATTCATCTTTGAGTGCATCTTTGACGTGGTCTCCCCTTAAGACAGGGCTCACAGATGCTTCTTAAGATGAATTGTTGTGAGCCTTAAATTAACCAGGGCTTCTTCACCACCACTGGACGCAGAAAAATAAGCCAAGTCCGGCAACAACACCTTCGCTCCTAAGGGATGTTCAGTCGACCACCGTGTCAAGTCTCGTATGCAAGAATCTTTCCCCCAATAAACCGCCTGACTCCCGTACGCAGGACACCCTGAGGGCTCTGCACTATGACTTCTGGCGAAGTTATGGAGCAAAAACGCACGCCACCTGTATTCTAGAGTTTTGTTCACCCTATACAGTACTGAAGGGAAGAATCCAGAAGAAGAAGCGTTCTGCAGAGCCTCATAGTCTCGCAATTCGTCGTACAGCATGTCCACGTCATTCGGAGCCAAGAATTCGAGCATCATCTGTTCGGCATTCACGCGATTGGCACGGTGTAAAAGTGGTGCTGGGGATGCATCGGCATCGCTGATTGTTCCACCAAATGCTGCTAGCAGGCTCAGGCAACATGTCGATGCGACTGCTGCATAATAAAGGTGTGGCAGTGTGCCTCTGCGTCTGCGGTAGTTCTGCATCTTCCTCCTGGATGAGGTGACGGGGTTGCAGCAGCACACCAACCAGAGCCACAGGCTGCTACACATTTTCTTGGTCCTCCCTGGCTTATCTCATTTCGAAGAAGCAGTACTACACTTTTCATCCCCAGGAGGGAAAGTGGCCCAGAACGGCCATGGGGGTCCACCCTCCATGGTGATCAGAGTCGTTTTATCTTTCTTAATAACTTCGCTCTGGAGGAGACGAGTAGGGGTTGTAACTGTTTGTGACAGTGATATTAAGAGCAGAAAGACCCTATTCCAATGTTGAGTAGACTCAGTTAACCTTAATAACGCTTACGCTTTCATATTTTACTTCGTAATACGAAACTCTTTCCTGATGATGCACGTCGGCATCCCTCAAAGGTTTTCTCTCACATATGGGCTCCTTCGTTAAGTCTCATAGCGAAGCCCAGTCCGCACGACACGACCATCTTTACGATCTTGCTGTTAGTCGGACGGCTATCGAAGAATTTTCTTCATACATACTTTTACCAGCAGTGTAGTCATTGTAAAGATCACTAGCGCGTTGATGTTGACCATCGTAAAGTGGTAGTTGGACGTTTTCTGTGGGAGAGTTGTCAGGAAACTCAATTTCATCCTAAAGAACATCAAAGGAACGCAGATCTTAAGCTGCCCTATATGTGAGTTGGTTCTCAGTTCAAATTAGATAGCCCTGAATATCCATATCAACCACAACATCAAAATCTATCTCAAATAAGACACGAAAATCATGATGAAGATGTTGATGGCTCCTGCAGTGTTGGTCTGAGTTCGTCTTTGAATATAACAGGATGCACGATCAACTACTACAGCTCAACATTTTTCTTTGGATGGAATCTTTTGAAAATTTAGAGCAGAAACCCGGACCTTACTTTCTGAAGATAATCGTTCACAATCCATCTTTGTTTTCCTCCGATAGTCACTGAGTGTTTTCCTCCGATAGTCACTGAGTGTTTTCCTCCGATAGTCACTGAGTGTTTTCCTCCCATCATCTTGTTCTCCAAAAAAGTCGCCACCTGCCTACGCCAGATGTTCTCCACAACTCTCTCCAAGAATGGGTGGAGAATGTATACCCGCCAGATGTTCAATGAACACTCTCAAGTGTTCAGATCACTTCTGGTGCTTTCCCTTGATTCTAATATTGTTGTTCTTTTTCCCAGAGGGACCTGGACCTCCAGGCGGACGACTTGGTGGCGGACCCAGTCCTCCAGCATTTGGCATCAGTGCGAAGATCGTGGCTGGCGCAGCATACGGTGGAGGCGCAGGCATACACCCAGACGAGTATGCTGCTGCTGCGACTGCTTGGGTGTATGAAGATGATGATCGTGATCGATGCTCTTGAAACAATGCCTTGTTGGTCATCTAGCAGTCCTCTGAAGATGACTGTGAAAATACAACACCAGTACCAGAACAAGTGCTTTCTTATTATACGTATTCTGATGCGGATTGGAACCTCTGAGCACCACCACCATCAAAATCTACTTTACTAATACGAAAATGTCATGTCATGTCATGGTGCCTCGTTTGTAGCCATTACTGTCTACTTATGCGGCCTTCCAGTACCATAGTACCTCCGTAGGAGAGCTAGGACAGCGGCATATTCATTTGCTCATAACTGAGTATAACAAGCCATCATTTGCATTGCGCACGCCTGTTGCGCAAGCGCCGCAGCCTGTGCGGCTGCTGCTGCCGCATTCTTTGCTGCCTGCTCTTTCTTCAGAATTTCTCTTGCTGCTTTCAGATTTGCAAGTTGGTTTTCACGACTGAACTGTTTCCTTACTTTTTCCCTTGTCTCCTCAAACGTTTTTCCACCAAGAACAGTGCCTTGATGGTACTCCTCAGCTAGTTCGTCCCAGAGCAGATTCTCCAGGGTTTTGGAGAAGATTAGAATGGGAGTTCAAGATTCTTCAGTGTTTCAAGATTCTTCAGTGTTTTCATCATAAGGAACTAGGTGCTAATGCAAGATGCTCTAGGTACTATAATGCAAGATTTGCATATTATCGGTGGAGCACACCTAACTAGGAAACAAAAAACAAAAGAGTTAATTAATCCAATTATTTAAAAAAGAACTAGAGTGGCCACGTTTATATTAGGATCCGTTTATGCAAGATTTTCACATTGATATTTCTTGGTAAAAAGCTGGTAGCTGCATTCCTATTGGCTTTCTTTTGAGAAAGGATCATGAAACATGCTTCTTGGACTCTTGGTATATTTTCACAGACCGACGCCATAAGATAACCTCACTTTCAGTCGTCGGTTCTCTCTCCAAAGCAGAATCGTCTTCGTCGTCTTTTCGAGTATCGGCGATTTCCACTGTTAGAGGACGACTCTAAAGGTGATAACGAAGACGGGTAGAAGATGATGCAAATTGTTCTTGTATTGTTCTTGTGGTTGTGATAGAGAGAACTTCTCTAGATGATACAGATAGATTAGTGTTTTTGGTGGTCAAGGTCATGGAAGATCTTCTACCCTAAGAGCATAAGCCGCGAGAAAACTAACGCTGCTTTTTACGAAACTAAATCTTATGTTACAGAACTGAAATAGCCATAATGGAGTAGTTGTAGTCGAAGGAGTCTTGTCGGACACAGGATCTCCACTCGCTTCTGCTCCTTCCGTCTTCTGCTGTGCAGCACCATCGTCTGCCGGCGTCCCCTGCTCCTCAGAATGACCGTGTTTACCGATAGATTCCTCAGACTGCCTTCGCCATTTCTCAAATTCTTCGTGACTCCCAATGATGCTTGTTCCTGCTTTCGCTGTGGTATGAATGTGAATGATATGAAGAACCTAAAATTCTCGTTACAACAGAGGACACAGAGTTGTTGTGGTGGACAGAATCAATATCAAGGTCACAAAAGTTAGGAGCTGAATATTCCATCTCTCCTTCTCGAGACCTTCTGAAGGAGAGAAGGAGAGCCGGAATATTCAGCTTGTCCGAGAAGAGAGAATATCTTCTCAAGATATTCTTGTCCGAGACTGCATTAAGAGAATATCTTGTCCGAGAAGAGAATATCTTGTCCGAGTCTCCTTCTCAAGAGATTCTCCTTCTCGATATTCCATCTCTCCTCTTTCTAGTGGCCAACAAGACAGCTTTCGCTCTATGAACCACTTACCATCATCATCCTTGGTTTCCGCGCATCCGCCTCCCGCTATTCGACTAAGCCAGTTTTTCAAGCCGCCGCCCAATTCTCTGGCGATGCGAGGACCCTTTTTTCGTTGGAATTCCGCTAACGCCTCTTTCACAGCAGCGTCTTCCTTCGCTTGTCGTGCGCCCACCATTAGATGATGAGCTGAACTAACAGTAGTTGTGTTGTGTTTATAAATCAGAAAACCTAGTAGAACGACGATATTTATTTTCCACGAGGGTTTAATACAGTGGTCTCAGATGTGTGTCGGTCCACATGATGAAAAAATCAAAAAATATATAGACAATTGCCGCAGACGCAGCTACTACTACCATTAGAATCAAAAAAATCAAAAAAAAATTACTCAGAAGTAGATGCTGACCCTCGTAACACAATGCTCGCTGCGTCAGGTTCACTCCTGCATCCTTTTCGTGGACGCATGTCCAAACCAAAAACGTGTTGTAGATGATCCGGTAGTGTCCACCACGTTATGATTAGACCTATTAGAAATCCATACCCGGATGGAAACATCTTGGTCCACCCTGCCGACAAGCGAGTAGACTGGTGAGGATGAATAGTTCTTTATTTGAAGAGATGCCATCTCTCCATCTTTTTCAAAAGCGGGTGCTAGCTAGTGCCAAGATGTTCTGAAAGATGGATTTGCGGATGCCTTAACGTGGATTCCTCGTTTTCGTCAACGGATTTGGAGAGTTGTAGCAGTCGAGCCTTTGCCGCAGCCTTATCCATGATTGGATTGGGAGCTGCTCGTCCTTTGGCTTTGTTAGAGGTTGCGACATTGCATTCTTCAGATCATCCCTGACCCTTTTCCTACTGGAAAAAAAGTCAAGGATGCTAGTGAAGAAAGAATGCACCAATGCGGTAAAAACCCTTAACTTTGGCTGTAGTACAACCAGGAGGAGTCTGTACTAGTTTCTGGTCGACCATCCGCTTTCGAGTGAAACCAAATGCCTCTGACGCAGTGTGGAAGAGCTGGAGATGACCGAGGAAGGCCCACCACAGGTGGTAGAATGCTCCCGTCCACAGGTAGGATGCACCAGCATGATGGCGAGAGGTCATCCTGTTCATGCTCCTGTAAGTTGTTCGTGCTGCCATCTTCGAATCACAAATTCTGTTCCTGGTGAAGGTGATGAAGCTGACTATGCCTATTATTTCGTGCGCAGGATCTTCTTTTTCAACGATTTCTATCTGGTGAAAAGACGAGCCTGAAGAACGGATCTTCCATGAGTGGAATACACTGTGTAGTTCCGCTTCCGACGTCATACATCATTACCGTATCATGTCAACGTAGAACACACGGCTGTCCTTTCGGGGACATACGATGCTTTTTGTGGTCCTTGTCATGCTGGAGGGAGCAAGTAAAAAGTTCCTGTGCCAGTTGTACAAAGTAGAAGCAGCCTGGTGCTTGCTGCACATGCACAACATGAGTATCTCATTATTCTATTGCACATTCTCATCTGCATCAGGTGGATCTTGTGGTTTCTCGCTGACGAGTACTTGGTACGACTTGCATCTTGTTTGTCCTAGTAGGATCCTACTTCTTCATTTAGAATCACTACTTCTACTAGTACTAGGAGGGTTTGTTACTACTTGGTACTCTTCAAGATCAAGGTACTGCTTTGTTCACATACTATCTATTACTTGGCAGTTACGAATTGCAGTGCATCTGCGGTATTCTTGGCAAATTAGAGAGTAAAGTTCGTCTTGATGACAGGTTCGTTGTTGAGTTTGAGATTTGAGAAGATTCATTGAGACTACTGTTCTTATGATGTTCTATGATATCCTTGTGAGAGTGAAGTAACGTGAAGATGGTGATTGAGTGCAATAATATTCAGGAGACTTTGATTGTAGTTGTGTAATTGACTCAGGCAGCTGAACATCATACTGCTTCTATACATTTTGTCACGACTATGCACAATAGGTTCAAGTTCTTGTTATGAAAATGAAATGCACTGTAGAAATATTGATTTTGAACCGAAGAAGACCAAGGCGTTACATCTTTTTTAACAAAAAAGTATATCATTATTCGCGTCACCTTAACGATGATTATTTTAACGACAACTTAGTTGAACTATGTAGTCAAGTTGAACTCCTGATAGATTGTGGCCTTGAATTTCATTCAGGTCTTGATTGTGAGGAATCTTCACTATCGACATGTCTTTGTCTACTAGACTAATTTTTTACCTACATGCACACCTCTAACACCTCTAAGCGTAACAACAAGTACGTCTTGATTCATCATGTCATCATGGTGTCAACACAGCCTCTTTCATATAGACATCCGTGGCCATGGTAGCAGCTGCAGAGAGGAACGCAAGCAAAGCCCACACAGCTGGCCATCCGAGGACGTAGTGGATCGCTAACAGGAACGGCATTGCGAGGAATGCGATTTCGAAGGCGTATGTTAGAGGCTGTGGGAACGAGAGATCGGGCATGAGGGTCATTTTCTGAATCAACAGTCTGCCTTGACACATAGATAATGCTTTTTAGGCATAGCGATCAAGGTGAAAGGGCTCAAAAGATCACTCGCGAGCGCGACCGACGTGCTGGCTAAGTAAAGTAAGTACGCCTAAGTTGAAAAGAAGATGAATATGGTTGCTCACCTTTCTTTAGCAACACTACAGCAAGATGTCATAAGATCCTCTCTGTGATCGAGACAATCGCCACTGCGCGGACGCGATGAGTCAAGGCGAACATGACGGGAGGTTGAGAGAGCATGATGCCACTCGCCAGGCCTACAGCGTAGATCGATAAAGCTGCTATTGGGACACTAGGTCCATTGTCGGTTCTGGATTCTTTGAGGCCCTTGCCCTTCTCTCCACTAGCGCCAATGCTCATAGGCTCAGGTTCTCCTTCAGGCTCTACTGCTGCTAGGGATTGTGTTGTTCCTGATCCTGAAGTAGTAGATACTCTCCTAGTTTCCGCTGCTACTTGTTCATCAGCGAATGTAGCTGGAGGTGTTTCTGTTTTCTCTAGAGTACTTCTCTCTAGCACTTTCGCTGCACTGCCACTAGAGGACACTACTGCATTTCTACCGCCTTGTCCTGATAGTAGTAACACAGGATCTTCAGTGCTGCTGAGTAGTCGTTCTGCCACGAAGGTGTGAAATTCAGGAGATGTAGACCCAGCATCTTCTGTACTCAGAAGTCGCCCTGACGCAACGACCTGAGATTTTTGAGTACTAGACCTATAGTCTGCTGCCACTCGTTTCAATCCTTCGAGTCCTTGTCCTTGCTCGACTTGCGCGATGAAATCGCCTGCATTCCTCTGGACTCCGTCATGATCTATAATCAGGTTACTGTAATCGTTCATAGCCGCGTGTATGGCAAGGAGAGGATTAGAAAGGACGAAATTGAAATTCATATAATTGTTACACCTAGTAGAGGCTTGAAGGTGTTCTTCTTCTTACGAATATCAATTCAGTAAGTACGTCCTTCAAGTTCCTGTCGATCATGGAGCTGTATTTTTTTCATAAATAGCAACGCCCAACTCGAGATGAAACCGAAGAATCGTAGGGTCCACAACTTACCAAGGTTACCCGCATTCGAAAAGTGCCATCCTCCTACTAAGATGCCTAAAAAGCTTCCCAACACAAAGACACTGGACAAGGCATAGCTGTAGAATTCCATGTCTCGATAGTATGAATGGTGCGACTGAAGATTGAGAATTTCCTACTGAAGAAAAAAACGGAAGATGAATGTCGTTCTTCTTGTTTTCAGACTGGTGGCGCCCCCCTGTCTTATGCTCAAATCTAGGAGGTTGGAGAGAACGACATTCCCTTTTCTTGGTCCTCAATCTCAATCTCAGTGACTGTGGCATCATAAATAGTAAGGTTTTGGTTGTTCAATCAGTATCTTCGTGCTTGGCGGTGGAACTGTACTGGATATTGTAGCACTAGAGACCGGATCAACGTCGTCCACTACTGCAACGTGTACCCGGGGGGAGGACAGAGATGATGTTATTAGACGAGAGGGAACAACAACTTCTAAAAAATACGTACACAGTCAAAAGAAAAATGCCTTCGAAAAGCAGACTCATCGAAGAACTGTATTATAGTTATGCTGAGTTGATATAATTTTTACGTATGTCTAAATTTTTAGACTTTTTAGAGGGCCATAACAATCTCGGAGACTCCGCTGAGCCCACACCAGATGGTTGTACTAGGTCTTCCGGTCTCTGCTCTACTATGCCGAGAAGGAAACCGTGAGGCTCTAACGAGTGGATGTACAAGGGCAGCAGAATGCCTCTACAAAAGACCCGAAGGCAAGTGAAAATAGTAACCGCGACCGCTTGAATTCGAAAGGGTGCACTAGAATAGGGAAAGTCTTCATCCGCCTTTGACTCACTGCCCCAGACACGGAGCATGCTAAATAACGCACTCACCTCTCTCCATGAGCTAAGTCGGGCGATCGTCGCGCGTGTGGGGTGCGCGTTGAGTAAAGCGGTAGTGAATCGCCGAGGTATTAGAAATAAACGGCATGGGGATGACAAGGTGTTAGTTCACTTCTGATTCTGTTGAAGTGGTAGCAGTATTGAACACATTCTTGAGTGAAGCTACCACCAGCATTACTTGAGTGAAGCACCTGCAACTGCGTGCAAGATAAGAATGTCCAAGTCACGATCACTATAAATCAAAACCCTTCAACATAAAGAGAATGAAGTCTGCGTGGATCCTGTGGTTCTGCTTCCAGCTGATCCTGTGGTACCTCCTGCTGATCTTTCTTCTCCGCCGGCTACTATACTGCTCCAAGCTTTTGAAAAGTGGTCACTTTCTTTTTAGATTTTCCCGAGATTCATCTTGAAAGCCATCTTTCTTGACGTAAGTATCTATAATTTGTTTTCCCCTAAAAAAGCGGAGGGAGCAGTGGGACGAGCCAAAGAAGATGCTTCTGACCTAGACGAATTTGGGAAAACCTTAATCTTCATCTGCTGAGGTTGGCCGTTCTGACATCTCTACTTCTTGAGAGGGTCTAGTCCCTGCCGAACCCTGTCGCGGTTCTGCGGTTGATCTGACTACGTATTCGTAGTGTAGCTTTTCTTAGAGCTCCCCCTTATCCATCTTGAGATTCATCCTGGGCCCCTATTCACCTTGAAAAGCCTCTCTCCTAGGAAGGATGACTTCTCTGAAGAAAGATGGATCACTAGGAGAAGCCTTAACTTTCTCGCTCAGCACGTGCGGCCAGCAGTTCCTCGCTTCGCGAGAGACGAAACATCATCTGCAACGATATCACCACTAAAATCTCGGCAAAGAAGAGTAGAAAACCCAAGGTGGGATTAGAGTTGTGTGAAGGGTGTGCAGTAGGATATTTAGAACGCATAAGTAGAAAGTACTATCATGCTCAAGGAGCGCGTGGTAGTGTTTGTACTGCTCTTAAATAATAGTACTAAGTGTAGTACGTATGTACTACTTTCTAAGCAACCAATAGTACGCATGTACTATTTGCTAAGCAACATCTTCGACGTATCAATCTAGCAAACAAAACCACCTCCACGTCGGAAATCATAAGGAGCAAAACGCTCAGAACGCCTATAGAGAGAATGGACATGTACGAGGCCACCTGACTGGCCACCGCCAAAGTCCAGAAGCTTTCCTCAGCTGAGGCCTTCATTTTCTCCTCACCGGCAACGAGCCGCGTTGAAGGTGTCCGACTTGAAGATGAGGTGTTGAGACCACGCGTAGATCTAGATCGGTTGTTCGCGGCTGTTAATAATGATGAGAGGACTGGATTGATGTAGGTCATAGAGTTGTATACTAGAAGAACCATGACTAAAACGAGAGGAAGTTGATTGGAGGGATTGGGATTAGCCGGAGGACTTGTAATATTATGTTATTTAACCGATGAAGCAGAGGGTTTTTTTAGGGCTAGGGTCTAGGGCAGATCTAGATCAGGGACCAAGAGAAGGCCTGGAAAGGAACCAAAGCCACTTCATACATACACGCTCCAGCAACTGCGGTAAAACAGATTATAAAAACCAAGTGATTTTATTAAAGCAGACGTTAGTATTGTGTGAGTCCATTCGAAGGTCTATTGTTCATCACTAACGTAGGACTAGGGTTAGACGGCGATTAGTCTGGTTCAACACAAAAAGTACCCATCAACGCTCCTTGATCAGCCATCTCGATCCCACCCTGCTCGCTAGGCCTTGTGTTGTCCTCCTCTTGTATGCCACCAAAAGCTTCTGAGAGGAGCCCCAACTGTGTCAATTCTTGGACTACTGCGCTTCTTAGAGACGGTGACTCATCTGGAAAATGACTCAGTGGTCGTGTCAAGTACTGAAGTCTGGACGTACTATAGTACTGCAACGTGTCTGCAGCGGCGATCATTCGTTCTGATTCTAAAAATGTTGCACCACCATACAGCACTAGAGTCTGGTACAGTACTCTGCCAGTACTATAAAAGTTGAAATCCATCCTGTTTCAACCCATCAGGTCAAAAATAAGCAATAAGGACATTACTCACGACTGTGATCATAAATTAGCAATCGGTAGAAACGCCGCCAACCCTGCTTCCACGAAGAAGACGGCGAAGATAAAGAAATTCTGCGAAGATGAAAAGATCATCAGACCGTAGCCAAACATCAGAGAGGCACAGGCAACGCGATGTGGTATCACAAAATCTGGAAACTTTTTCAGTTCCTCATCCTCTGGGTCGACTGGTGGTTAGAAGGTAAAGATGAGCTTGCCCCTTGAAGAGCAGCAGAATGTATCTGTATCTACTGTATGAAGATTTTCTGTACATAATAGAGTAAGCATATGTTGTAGTTGTAGGAGTTCGACTCTTGTTGAAGTTCGTCTGGCAATGGAAAACTTCGAAGTGCTCTTGTTGGTAAGAGATGAACATGTTGTTGGAAAAGAGCCATTCACCCTCATGGCATCGAGCAGTTGCAGTTGTTCTAAAACACTAACCACGAAAGTAAGCCATATGCAAAGGTTCCACCAATTTCCATGTCCTCTCCTCCTTCCACCTGTGCTATTATATCTTCACTTGCTTCCGCCTCCCCTTCACCTCTGACGTCTGCTATCTTGGTACTCCGTGAAAATCGGTCTGGTTCTGGTTGTTCTTCTCTTTGAGCATAATTGCTTTGTCGACGAGAGGACTCCTCTCGTCTACTACTCGAAGACGCGAGATCTCTTCTAGATGAGGAAGAAGATTTTTGTTGGCCTCTAGTGGTGGAAGAAGGTCGACTCGTTGTGGCCCTACGTGAAGATGTAGAAGAAAGCCTTCTTGTCGTGGTGCTGGAATCTCTTTCGTAGACACTAGCATCTCTTCTAATTAGACCGCTGCGCACTTCATCTTTCAACTGCGTCGTCCTTGAGGAATAATAGCGAAGGGATAGGGAGATGCAGCTCCGATGGATACGTCACTTACAAGTACTACAGCTTTTTTAACTTGTTCCTAGTATACTATTCAAGGACGCAGTCAAGAAAGATGCACCAACGCCTTAATCTAATGTTCTGCTCATCGACTGTCAAGATGCGTTCAGCTAAAAGCTTACCAAACAGCTTTCCAGCGCACTCAGCGACCAGCAAGTCGAAAATTAGAGCCCACATATAGAAAAATTCCGGTTTTGGTCATACCTCCATGAAGATCCCCACATATAGATACATTCCGGTTTTGGTCATCGTCATACCTCCATGAAGAGCAACATTATACTTATCCATGATTGGAAAAAGCACATTAGTAATAATCGATCTACTTCTGAGATGAGATGCATCTTTTCAGTAGTCTATGGACGGAGAACAAAAGTAGGAGAGTTACTCTTCATAAGAGAAAAAAATGGAAAGGGGCGTCTGGAGCGACCCTTTGCTGTACCGAGAATGCGCATGGAAGGTACACCGTAGCACCAGCAACTCCCGTGCCGTAGAGGGTTAGAACAGTTTTACAATCCATCGCGTTGAGGTAACTTACACGTGCACTAAGTAGAAATATTAGGTCCATAGTAGATCACTTTTTTCGCTATCTGAAGATGGCTGGGCTGGGCACTGTTTCAGCTATACGCAATGTTGAGTAATGGTCAATACCCTACCCAAGCACTATTGACCTTTCCAGATCCAACTCAACATTATGTTAGTACTATCAACCACTTCCCCACTAGTAAATCGAAATCCTTCCCATACAGCGAGTAGCAGCCACCGTAGTTGCGGGCTTTCCTGCATTTCTTCCGCAACCTTCGGAAAAAAGCAGTTTCCCAAAGCGGCCAAACACGTACCACTTGCGTACATCGTTGCCGCGATCAAACTGCCTAGAGACGAAAAGACGGAAGAGAGAGATGACATGTCTACGAAGTTAGAAGCATGAGTGTGGGATGGAGATGGGGACGAGGGCGAGAGAGATTGAATTTGAAAGAGAGAGAGAGTTAGAGAGAACAAGAAATTTTAAAACAATTCTTATTGAAAAACCATACACCCTTTACAACACGATAATTAATCCGGCGGACTATTACCGCCTCCACGCTTACAATCAAGATAACAGCATTGACACAGTCTTCTTCCTGCACCATAACTCTAACCCGCTCCCGACCTCCATCTTCTGCAAAGTTGACTCTTCTAGTAACCGTTGTGCCTCCAGGAGCGCCAGAGCCATCGTCATAGTGGTGACTGCTGATTGATTCGGCCTCTGAACTTCCGCTTCGCAGATCGAAGCCACGAGCTTCGAGAGCCCTAGAAGCACCAGCACTACGAGACATGTTGCTGTTGAGGGTTGTATTGCTGGACTTGATGCTTCTTGCGGGGGACTGTTGAGGGCTGTGTGTGCGTGTGCCGGACTTCTGCACGAATTGAGTCTGCTGTGTCTATGTAGTCGTGCCAGGAGTAGGAGTTATGACTGCATCTGAGATTGAGTGCGTGTGCGTGAAAGACACTCAAATCACAAGTCGTGGTCTGCCTTCTTGTCTTGAAAGCTTCACCACGTCAGCTACTTTTGTTGTTGAAGTTGATTTCTCTACATGTTCTTTCTGTTTCTACGTCTATAATATTGAAAGACAGGGGTGACATGGGCGGAAAAACAGCGATCATGAAGAGAAATCTGTTGTGCTGTGAAATGCAAAAGCAAGAAGTAGTGTTACATGTCAAAATGTTAATCTTCTTGTTGCGAAGTTTAAGAAGATCATGTTGGGTCGTGAGAAGACAGCGACATGTTCCAGCAGTTGTGGTTCACAGACAAATCAGGGCGTTTTCCCTGTTTTCGGGAAGTCATACCGAATCATAGTCATACCGCTTCGACAATACCGATCGGCATTAGGAAGATCACACCTTTATCTATTGTACTCTCCGAAGTGAACCGATGAAGATTCTGACGATACCGAAGATCCTAGAAGTATAAGTACAGATTTAATATTACTTACTCCTTTCGTGACAGAAGACGACTCCAGAACCACAATGTGGAGAATTTGTGTGTCTCCTTCATGTTCATCTAGTGGGGGGACCGTTGAGAGGTGTGTTATCTCAGACTCCGAGATCACAATCGTGGGTGTCTCTACTTCCTTGAGTCATTCGTAGCCATGCATCATTTTCAGAGGAGTCTAATTGTTGAATTTGGGTTGAATTTTGCGTTGTTCGATTGGGTGTATTTTTTACATTGGTTCGTTGTTTACTTGATATCTACCTCTATCGGGGGTTATACGACCTATGTACAAGTCATGATCGGTCGTCGTGACAATATCTGTAGGGAATGTTTCAGAGCTGCTGGGGTGAGTGCTGTGCTGGGTACATCTTTTTTAATACTAGACGAGGTTGGACATCATTAGCCGTGCGTTCGATTCTTATCGCTAGTTCTAGTTGTACTCTTTACCTATCAGATGACGATGTGTTCAATGGTGGAATGATGTCAGTGCCTGCTTATTTCTATTGGATTGTCGCCTTTGCAATTGAGTTGTAAATCAAATGTAATAAATCTTGTTCGTAGCTACTTCGTGTACAAGTCGTGTACAAATTTCATTTTCAATGCCGGTGGCGAAGTCATGTGCAAGTTCAATTTTCAATGCTGGTGGTAGTCGTTGTAATTCCTCTTCAATCAATATTCTTTGTGTCCTTACGCAATGGTTTGTCGATAAAAGCATGATGGTGAGAATGAGATTGATAAATAACGTGATCGTTTGATGATGTTGCGATTGAGCTTTTGGTTAGTTGCGGATGGAAAGAAAACAAAGTGCATGCTTTTTGCTTCGTGATATTTAGGTTCAGCGTTTCGATTTCGATGATAATACTATTGATGAGCTTCTTGATATTCATCACTTGATATTTTTGACTTGATTTTCATGACATTTTGTTTTACGATAACACGCTAGGTAGTACAGTAGCAAACTTATGAACATAACGGATAACTGTGGCTCCTTGTCCACAAAACCATTTGCTTGTGGTGTTAAGACTCGGTTCTAGGAACGTCGTTACTTAAATGCCACTACCTCATCATGCACGAGCACGACTGACCTACATCATGAGCATCACCGTAAACATGAAGAGGGTTATCGCAATTATGACAATACTACAGAGACCCCTTCTTGCCTCCGTACGAGGTAGCCTAACAGTAGGCCCTTATCCTATGAGGCAGCGTAGCACGTAACCTCCAACCCTATGAGGCTACCCTGTGCGGTAGCGTAACTATATTGGCCTTTTACCGTACGAGGTAGCGTAAACGTTGTAACGACCTCTTGTTGTCCTACTACGAATAGGTAGCCTTTGCTTTCCACACAGCAGGCACTGTGTGAATACGTCCTAAGAGTACACAAACCGAAGTTCCTTTGGGATGTGGGCAGTGTTCTCTACCTCAGAGTATCGAACTTCTACATTGAGTCTTGATGACATAAGAAATACTGATACTTCTTGATTTGTTAGCAAATAACCTATATTTCTACAGTGAGTCAACATATAGTCCCTGAACAAGGTCAACAACGCTCTTTTCTATACCTTTAGCCTCCTCCTGGCAAATCGAGAGTCCTTCGGATCTCGTCTAGATCACTCCCCATATTTTCTAGAATTTCTAGATAACTCCCCACTTTTTCTGAATTTCTTCTAGACAACTCCCCAAATTTGCCTCTCCCCAAATTTTCATCTAGTAGATTACCGCCTATTGACTTCTAGGCTTCTCTTCCTTGTCAACCACTAGAAATTTCCTTCTTCCAAAATTTCTTCCCCCTCCTCCATTTCTTCTAGATTCCTTCTCCCCATATAATCCTCTAGTAGATTCCTCCTCCCCATTTCTTCTAGTAGATTCCTCCCCATTTCTTCTAGTAGATTCCTCCTCCATTTCTTCCAGATTCCTCCTTCCCATATAATCTTCTAGCAGATTCCTCCTTCCCATATAATCTTCTAGTAGATTCCTCCCCATTTCTTCTAGTAGATTCCTCCCCATTTCTTCTAGATTCCTCCTCCCCATATAATCTTCTAGTAGATTCCTCCTCCCCATATAGTCTTCTAGTAGATTCCTCCTCCATTTCTTCTAGATTCCTTCTCCCCATATAATACTCTAGTAGATTCCTCCTTCACATATAATCCTCTAGTAGATTCCTCCCCATTTCTTCTAGATTCCTTCTCCCCATATAGTCCTCTAGTAGATTCCTCCCCATTTCTTCTAGAATCCTCCTCCCCATTCATATAATCTTCTAGTAGATCCAACCCCACTATGTAGAAGCTTCCCCCTCCTCCACCACATCCTATAGACACTTTAGACCATGACAAATTGGTTAAAAATATGTACATCGTCGTCGTGGTTATAGTACTCATTCTCATAGCCCCCATCTGCCACGTCCTCTGGCTGATCATTCGCAGCATCCGCCACGTCTGCTTCCTTCTGACCATCGCCATTCATCTCCGCACTCTTTTTAGAGAAGCTAGAATTCTTTCGACATTATCTTCATAGTTCCATACCCATAGATCTTCAAATTCAAATAGTAGTAGTAGTAATTTACCCATTCTAGGGGTAAGTAGACCAGAAAAGGGGGTAAAGGGGAAAAGAGGGGTGAGGAGAGGTTGACGTTCATGTTTACTAGAGACTAGTACTAGAGAATTCATTCCAACCTACTTACAAGGCTTACCGTTTAGGTCACCTAGGTCTACCTGTGAATTCTAAAAAGTGCAACTAGAGGAAAATCGGTTTCCTCACTGAATTAGGTAGAGTAGTTGTACATGAGATGACGAATTTGTACTGTATTAGTCTTAACATTTTCTGCGTTCGAAGCATCCATTTCAGGTTGGTCCGTCGCTTGAGTCTTCATCTCCGCACCAGTGCTCGTGGCAGTGTTCAGATTCGCAGAATCCACATTTTCCTCTTCCAGAAACGAAGGATTTGGCGCGGCATTGTCCTCTTCCACAAATTAGGGGTTTCAAATTGACCTATGGCATGGCACGGCATAAAGACACTACTGTGGAACCCATTTAGTTTGCATATCTGTGGCAAGATTAGTTTTGATTGTTTTTGAAAAAAGATCAGTGAGTTTGACATGTGCGAGCTTCCTTAATACTAACTAAGTAGAGTAGAAGATGGCTTTACTAGTTCATTTAGGCCGTCTATCTTTTTCGAAATTTTTCAACGGAACCATAAAGAAACGCTTCTGCTCTATTGGAATTCGCCGTGGTGTGCTTCGGACGAGGCGGGTTGGCGATCATGACCTTCAACTCGAATTGTTAGAAGAAGATAATGTCGGGGAAATTGCTTTTAGCAGGCATCTTCATTCATGACATCACGAAAAAATTTCAGCTGTTTGTTTGTTTCTATCTCCTATCACAAAAAACACAAAAACAACTTCTAGTATCTTTTTTCGTCCAGTTCGCATACCCTAGTATATTTATATACATTATCTGCTTCATTTCACAAAAAACTAAATAAACTGCCACTTTCTTCAATACTTATGATCGTCACAAAAAAAATTGCTGCTTCCTGTCCAAAAACATCATAAAAGAATGGTTCAATCTCATTGATATTCCTGAGTGGCTTGAGCTCTCCGTCCTCCGAATCCATTAGTACGTAGTCGTCGTCGCTCCCGTTTTCACGCGCGGATTCACATGGAGGAACTCCGCCAGACGCGCCAGATCCAGGCGTTCCACCATCACCCGCAATGGTTTTAGACGGTTTATCAGGCACAGGAGATACACCAGGCAATGGTCCAGACCACGTATGAGCAAATCGAGGTACTGCGGACGCTGCAGCACGCCGTGCAGGAGACCCAGATACTGCGGGCAGTGCAGGAGACCCAGATACTGCGGGCAGTGCAGGAGACCCAGATACTGCGGGCAGTGCAGGAGACCCAGCTACTGCGGGCGTTGCAGGAGACGCAGATACTTCGGACGTTGCATCAGACGTAGGAGACGAAGGTGCTGCGGCCGGCGCACCAGGCCCAGAAGCTACGGCCGGCGCACCAGGCCCAGAAGCTACGGCCGGCGCACCAGAACCATGATGAGACCCGACAGGTGCTGCATCGGTCAGTACATCGGGCCTTGCATGAGGACCAGGAGACAGAGGTGACGCGGACGGTGCAGGAGACCCAGATACTGCGGGCAGTGCAGCAGGCCGTGCAGGAGACCCAGATACTCCGGGCGTTGCAGCAGACGTAAGAGACGAAGGTGCTGCGGACGGCACACCAGGACCAGAAGCTACAGAAGTTTGGGACGTTGCAGCAGAAAGCGCAGATGTTTGGGACGTTGCAGCAGCCAGTGCAGCAGCTTCAGATGGTTCGGGCGGTGCAGGAGACGGCGGCGCAGCTGGTTCGGACGCTGCAGCACGCAGTGCAGCAGACTTAGGGTCTGCGGACGGTGCAGGCCCACCCGCGGCTGGAGTCGTTGGGCCTAGAAGAGGTCCGGAAACGTAAGTCTTAGAGATTGCATCCATCAAAATCAAACACGTCTATACAAATCATTCATAATCTGTCCCCTTTAAAATACAGTACGTCCTTGATAATCTAAATGGAAGACTACCGACCCAACTACCTTTTCACTGTCTTAGTAGAAGCTATCAAGTCTGCATGATTAGCCGGCTTCATTATTTCCATTCCATGACAGCAAGGACATCACATATATCCAGCATTAAGAAACTGATACTATGGTTTAGCTCTATTGAGGCTTGATTAGACGGCTTGACTCTGTTCATTCCATGACACTGACAGCTGGGAGGACATGATCAATAAATATAAATATGCAGCTGCAGTAAGAAATCGATATTATGGTAATATACTTCGATCGGGTCTTAACATTTCGTGCAGATGCAGTATCCGTCAAAGACAGCGGAGCAGAAGGCCCCACAGCAGCAGGAAGCGCAGACAGAGAACCATCAGACATAACAGGAGTTACAGGTGGACTACGAAGAGGTGCTGCAGCGGGAACTGCTCCAGATACACCAATGTCAGAGGCTGCTGTAGGCCCAGGTACGTCAGGCGCTCTGGGAGGCGCGACCTTGCCCAACGATTCACCAGCGTCAACAGTCGCAGGAGCTCCGAGTTCTCTGCCAGAACTAGTGGGTGCGCATGTCTTAGAATCTGGGCTAGCTACCTAGTGACCTAGTACTATTCGAAGTCCCTCTATGCTTTATCAAGGTCTAGTGCTAGAAACCCTTGTAAACTTACTGTACTGTACGTAAAACTTGTTAAGTAAATGTGTTAGAGATTGTATTCATCAAGATCAGACATGTCCAACCATGGTACTCTCTACGATAGAATACCTCCTTCATGATCTATGGAACACTACCGAAGAACCATGTACCTTTTTACTGTCTTGGTACGAGCCATCCAGTCTGCATTATTAGATGGCTCCAATTCATTCCATTACAGCAAGGACATCAAATAATATATCCAGAATTTAGGAATTGATATTATGGTATAGCTCTATTTAACAAATATAGTTATGTTGTAATTCTGTTGCAGCGTAACTACATCTATTAGTGGAGTATCCCGCGCCGGAATTTTAGCTGCAGCATCATCAGCAGGAGCAGGAGAGGCAGCATCAGCAGCAGCATCAGCAGCTGCAGCATCATCATCATCATCATCAGCAGCTGCAGCCGGAGGCGCAGAAGCAGAAGCCGCAGAAGCCGCAGCAGCCTCAGCGGTTCGATCTAGGTTTTTACCGGCATCTGCGGACCCGTAAGTCTTAGAGATTGTATCCAACAAGCTCTGGGTCAGTCACATCTAATCCAAATAACGAAATCCTGGTACAGCGAACTACTTGAGTACTACACATCACTATACTGCTTCACAATAGAAGCTATCAAAGAACTCTTCTGGCGCTATAGCTAGTTGTACAAAAGTAAAGTAGAAGTACCTCGTACTTGTTGATTTATGGAAGACTACCTTCTAGCATTAAGTGTTACTAATGATTACATCTTCTGTGATCTGCTTCGCGGATAAAAAGATGAGTCGAATCTCTAGCACACATCGATCATCAAAATCAAGTCCGTCTCCATCTAGTCTACGCTGTCGCACGAAGATCTCACTACTAATAAATATACGCAACTAATTAGACTAGTGCAAATCTTCAGCGACGTCCTTCACGTTTGTAGCGAATGCGAACTTCGTCGAAATCAAGATCTAGAGTCTTTATGTACTTACCCGGACAACTAGTATTCAAGATCAGTCAGGGCTAATCATCAACGAGCCCTACAATGAACCACACGACATCATTCAAGTGGCCTAACTCTCTCCAAGTTCGCAAATTTGATTCTACAGGTAGTTTCAACTAGAGAAACAAAGTAGTACAACAGTTACATCTCTGGAGGATTACCTTCATCTCAGGATAACCTCTCTTCAACTAGTCGTCAACGGACCCGTCCTCCAGTGTTGCACTATCATGCCATCAATACAAATCCTTCCAGTAATGAATACCAGTACAACATATCCGCTGGAGTTTCGCAATACTAATTTCTGATGACATATCTTCGTTGCTTATCTAATATAATAGAAGTGAAGGTCGCCAGCAAAGGGCCCCTAAAGCAATAAAAACCTAGTACAACTACACATCATTAAGCTGGTGAAGTTGACAAAGAAATTTTGCTTGCTTTATTCAAGCAGCTACAAGTAGTAGTACTACATTCAAGTAAAGTATAACTCTGCATCTGCATGATTAATAGACGGCTTCATTATTTCCATTCCATGACAGAAAGGACGTCAAATATAATATCCAGAATTTAGGAATTGATGCTATGGTTTAGCTCTGTTGGTGCTTAAGAGGCTGTGCCGCTCCTCCTGCAGCAGCATCGGCAGCAGTCGCAGAATCAGCAGCAGTCGCAGCAGGAGCATTAACAGCAATATTAGGAGCATCAGCAAACGAAGCATGAGAACCGGGTCTACCTGTTGCAGCAGGCTCGCCCGAACCTTCTGTACCCTGATTTCCGGAAACGCAAGTCTTAGGGATCTTATTCAACAAGATGAAGATCTAGATCAGTCAAGTCTAATCTAAATATAAGTAGTGTTGAAACCCTAGTACTAGTACAACTCAGCACACATGATTCTTACACTACTTCACATTCCTAGTTGTTCTTGTCTTGCTCTATATTGAATACAGAAAACAATACGTGGATCTGATGCATCAGGATCAGCATTCATTGTAACTACTTACACATCAGGAAGACTTCAGATCGATCCTTAACTGGGTGTACAACGTCATCTAGTTGTTCTGCAGGAGGATTGCCTCCAAGAGCCCAAGCAAAAAGCTCCTTCTCACTGGGAAGGAAAGCATTAGCGATTGTATCCAACATCTTCAAAATCAGTAAGGCAAAAGCTTACTACCTTAATAATGTTTAGGACTAGGTCTACGAGTTAGGAACAAAAATCATAAAAAGACTTTAAGCTCTATATCTATTCATCGATCAACATCAGCATAATCTGCGTCGGTCTATGTACTGTGGGAATATCATTAGATCGTCTTGTTAAGTAGTAATCTATTCCATATTCAGTGACCTTCTCCGCATTTTCAACAGACTTCTCTGGTGTCAAATACGGACCTAGACCTAGAGTTTTGATGTACATCTACAAAATCTCTATATTTTTGCTCGTTTTCGAAGGACTCTCCAGTCGTCATCTACAGGAGGCGTGAGCTATATCTCTGTAGGACGTGAGATATACCCACCACTTACAGCAATATGGATATGCTAACGCTGCTCATCGACCTTAACTCCGTTTCCACGATGATCCTCCTCTGGTTCGTCTCCGTCCGAATTCACCTCCGATGCACCACTAGTAGAGTTAGAGATTGTATCCAAAAGCAGAGTAGCTTCAAACTCAAATGCAGAAATAAAATAGGAATTAATAGATGGCACAGCAGGAAAATATGTTGGGAATCAATTTGAAAGGACAACCCCTCAACTTGTCATCAACAAAGCTTCTTATTGCAACTTAGCACGGGTCTTCAGCTCGTCACTAATGGAAACACATATCTATCTTTATATAGCAGCTAGTCGTACAGAAATAGAGGAAAGGCAAAAGTCTAGAAGACTACCGAATATGGACAGCCTCTTCACTGTCTCAGTGCGACCCATCAGACGTCTTCGTTCTTTCAGTGACACAAAGGACATCAAATTTCCCCAGGAATCAGAAAAAAGGTACTCTGTTATCGCTCATCTACTGAGGCTTAATTTTTGGTTCAGCTGGCAGCGATCCATCTCCTTCTTTACCCTGAAGACCGAGCGCACCTGGAAGACCCTCCATGAACTTCTCAACGGCCGTTTTAGAAATTGCCTATCATGTATCAAATAATGACGATTGGATTAGATTGTAGGTCGTTTAACTTCACCTACCCCGCAGTTTGATAAGCGAATCATAAACGCACACACTGGAGTGAGGAGGAGGAAGTTATTGGTAGTAATACATTATGTCAACCGGTGAGAATGAGGGATGAGGGATGTATCAGATAATTCTATAAGTAAAAGTAGGTTAAGGCCAGTCGTGAGGTCAACTAGCATGTTTGGTTGCATCGTCCAGGTCTACAAAGCAGTAGGTACGAGCTCTACCCATCCATCACCAGCATATTAGTTTCTGTCTAGGTCTACGTACCACGGAAATGCCAGTTGCATGGACAACTACTACACGTCTGTTAGGTGACCTGCTTCATTTCTTTATTTTGCAGAGAGTTTGCTTGGATGAAAGCACAGATCTAGAGTCTTGATGTATAAATCTAATACCTGTCTGGAAGAGCAGACAAGTCATCATCATCCGGAATGAGAGTGAAGCGTCTTGCATGACTTTGGGACACGCATGCAATTTCAGCGGAAAATCTTGAGTCAAGGAGACTGGAGCAAGTGAGCATGAGCTAGTTACAACGGTAGGCCAGAGTGCCGCGAGCCCGCAGCTCATTCATCTGGCATAATATCAACAAGCAGATCTTTTTTGGTCATGTCCACCATCTAAATAGTACATTTCTTCTGAGGCTTAAGTTTATTGGCACCTGGGGGCTGCCCGGATACGTCACGGTCACTGTCAACGAGATTAACGTCATCTGTGTGGTCCTCTCCTCGGAAACTAGAATCGGAGTTTATGTTAGAGAGTGTATCCAAGATCTTCAGCCACGTCTAATCATCAACGAACCCCATAACTACAGGACACCATTCAGGGAGGTGGTTTACACTTATCAATTCACTTCAAAAATTTCTAGAGAATAGACATCCGGAGGATTACTTTCTCTTGAGAGGCCCTTCAATAGACCTCTTCAGTGCTGCATAATGTCACAAATATCGTGAAAGTTGAATAGTACAACTCGCCTTCTGAGGTTTCATATACGTCTTTCTGACATATTGTTCATATGTCTTTTTCATTACCATTGACTATTGGGACTACACGAGAATCAGAAGTCAGTCGCGTCAAGAAGTAGGATTTACTAGAGCTACATCATGCAGACATAAGTGATTGCGGGGCCAACTCGACATCACTTTACAACTAGTCAAAAGAGCGCGTATCAAGAGTTTCAAATGGTATCGGTCCTTTATCAGACATTCGACTTACAATTACTTACATCACGAAGACATAACCTCTGAAGGATCTCCCACTTCATCTTGTGAATCGTTCTCGGCGTCAGAAGCCGACAACGATGAAAAGCCCCCTTCTCTCTTTGAATTTTGCGGCTCTCCAGAATCCGGCGCATCTCCAGGCGTCAGCTTAGAGTTTGTTGCATGCAGTATCGGTTCTGTGAAAGGTGCAAAGTGCTCTACTCAGTCTCCTCAAAAAGATTATCATGTTTCAAGCCTAAACAGAGTTGCGAATGCGATGAGAACAATTCGTCAAATTGTTTAACGTCTGTCTACGTGCTACATGAAGAGCACACATCATTCACTTGACTGGCGTTATTCGCCGCCAAAGTGCATTGATTCGAATTGTGAGTCACAGAAGATCTAGAATCTTGTACACCAAGTAAACCTCTGGAGCGGTACTTTCATATTCTACTGTGTCTGTGCTCGGCTTCATTTCAATGTTCTTATATGTTACTTGTAGCACATCTTTCAATATAGTAATAGAGCTACGACATCATTACCTAGAATCAGTGATATCGATCGGAAAAATACAATTGTAACTGCTTATAGATCATGATCAAGAAGACATAAGACCTTCGCTTAATCCCCCATCGGAGAGGTCCAACCCGAGGACTTTACCGAATTCTTCTCTCGAAGCATGATTAGACTCACGGTTTGCGGCCAAAAATTTTTCGTGTCTTATAATCGGAGATATACTATACTTTACGATCTCTCCAGTGTGGGTTTCTCAACATAATTTTTGATGCATCACTTTACTAGTAGATGCGCATGCCACTCGAACAATTGCTGGCGTACAGGCAAATCAATGCATGAGCATGTGCATCTTAATCTTTGTAGTAACTGTAATTATATATTACACGTCATGAAAACATAAAACGAGCGGAACTGCCCAAATCCGAATCAGTGCTAACCAGGGACGAAGAGTCTGTTTCGTCCGCATTCTGCTTGCGAGCCATTCGTGATGACACGTGGTTCACCCAACATACTAGCGCGGCGACCACGAGCAGCCTTCTTTTCTTGCACATGATTTGGATTATCACACCGCGTGTTAGCCCAGAATGAGTGAGAAACTTTACTAGCACTCCCAAAGGTCAATCGCGGTTACTGTACCAGCGGTTAGTGTGCCAAAAGGTACAATCAACGAAACCTAAATAGTAGAAAAAATCACCTCTGTACGTCCTGAACCTGATCGAGCATCAAACATATCAATATTTTGTTTACAAGTCCGCTATTAACCACGGGCAAATACACCTAAATGTTTAATGAAACACTCTGTCGGATGAAAAAAAGGTCGAGCGCAAGGAAAAGGGAAAACAAGAAGCACATCAATACAACGGGGAAAGGGAAACTATGGGAAACTATGGGGCTTTCTTGCAGACACAGAAGTTACAATTACAATTACAATTACAATTCATTGCCCTTCACCACCGCTTCAAGCCCGACCGGATATTTGTTTGAACCGAAGGAAGAGTGAATCCATGTACCGTCCACTTCTTTGGTGCAAAAAAGAGTTGTACCGAGAGACTAACAGAACTTGGTAGGTACCGAACCTCCTCTTTTGGGTTTCCAGATGTTGCCGTGACCGATTTTTATGAACACTTATCTTTGGTGTTCCCTATCATGACACGTCATTGTGAAGATGTAGTAGCTAAGTATCCGAAGTAGGACCATACTTTACCGACGAGCAGACTCGTGCATAAGGACAATCGAAGAAAGAGGACCGACAATAGGTAGTAGAAGCATTACATGGTTGAATGACGTGTAAACGTGGACATGGAATACCAGATATTTATAGATATTACATGAGAAGAATCACTAGCATGCATTAGATGTAGGTGATGTTGTTGGTCACGGTCGCTTTTCATTTTCTAAACTTACAAGCTAACCTCTTACTTTCCCAACATATTCAGTTCCTGCTTCGCACCGGTGGTGGTGGGAAAGGAAGTAAGGGTATGCTGTGAGTAAGACGAGGAAGTTCGTCGTAGCTTCTAGTTCTTGTCATGTCATGATACCTCGTGTCACGTTTTTCCTAACGTTGTTGAAGCCTTTCAGCCACCCTGTACCTTCTAAAAAGAAGAGCAAGGAGACCGAATGATAGACTATCAGGTATTCTAGTGCTAGAAGTTAACTCCTACAAAATAATACGATCATGAATGCTGTGAAGGTCATGGCCGCTCCCCAACTTCTAGCTTCCTACTAGTTCTTTTTCTAGCACACATCAATCTATGAGTTAAATGCAGCAATGAATCTTTACAATTTTTACTCTCAGACAGTCCCGGTTTTACTTAAAAGAATGCTCATGCTATTGCTTCCACGTGCGGATAAATAATATGATTTTGCACAAAGCACGGATAAGCACTGACATGTGGTGAAGGTGACACGATATTTAGTTGCACCGAACCCGCCACAGAAGCACCATCGACATTTGTACCTCTCAGAGGATCACCACTGTTCTCGCATTAGGGTGCTCATGATCTTTGTGTTGAGCACTGAAAGGAGACATATGGTGTAATTGTCCTCCGGGAGGGAGTAGACGACGCTTATAAGGCAACTGTATATCGATATGGGTGGGTGGGAGTGGATGTTGGTGTTATAATGAAGTCGGCTACGGGTGGGAGAAAAAGGCTGATAACATCCATTTGTGAACGTTCATGCATAAATTCCAACCTTGATTGAATGGTCATTATCACACCGACAGCCATGGACAACAGATCATCTTACTTCAAGACAGCATTCGTCACCACCGTGTCATTGTGCTCATCCATTATTTATCTTCTTAAATAATATGATTTTGCACAAAGCACGGATAAGCACTGACATGTGGTGAAGGTGACACGATATTTAGTTGCACCGAACCCGCCACAGAAGCACCATCGACATTTGTACCTCTCAGAGGAGAGATTGTTTTTGGTGTGGTTGATGTGATGTGACGTCTGTATATCGTCCTTCGTGAGATATATTTGGTTCCGATTGTTCTAGGTGTAGGTGGTGGGGCTTGGTTGTGTGGGGTAGTGATAGCTAGATGTAGGTGATAGTATTTTGCAGTGTTGAGGTCCGATAACTGCGACACTCCGATGATGGCCGACTGGTGTTAGAGGTTTGGATACCGAGGAGTCCGAGGGTATGGTCTTATGAATGAAGGTGTTCACACTCATTCTCTCCATTGAGCTTGGACATGACAGGGATGTGCACTGACCGATATGTGAGTAGATGAAGGTATGGTCCGCAAGATGACATCTTTGCGAGCAGGCTCCGGCCACTGCGGGTTACTTGTTGGCGTCGATTAATTTGCGTACATTTTGTCGAATGACTGACATTTTGCTAGCAAGTTGTGTTGAAGGTACATTGGTGCTCACATATGACGACATGTTTGACAAACTTGCTTTATGAAAAATACTCGTGGTCTCGGAGCTTAGTGATCATCTCTTGGAGGATTTAACAGATGAGACGTTTTTAATTTCATGGTGATTAGCGCTCTGGCTCTAATTTCATCGGTGATGGATTGATGTGAAAGTTAAAGTTTCTTCTTAGTTTTTGCATATTCGTTGGTAGTAGAGTGTTGTGGATCGCGACGGCAGTCATTGCCCCACTTACAAAATATGCAGTCGCCTTTATCGTTCTTGAGATCCAATCTTTCAGCAAGATGTGGTAGACATAACTTTGGAGTTTTCTTCAGTACATCGTGAGTGACATCTTCGTACAGCAGTTGTGACTCGAGGATCTTCCCCCGAGCTTCTTCAAGCATCATGACAAAGCTGGATTTCTGAGCTGGCGGCTGTTGTGAGTAGTTCTTCGGTGTCTTCTCTGGGCTGCTGCTGTACGATGATTCGTCGTTCTGTCGTTTGAATGAGGTACTTCCTAAGTTGATAAAACTGGTAGGGCCTTTCCCTTTGAAGTAACCTTGATCTTTGCCTTGTTTGTTCTTGCTCTTGCCATTCTTGTCGTAGTTGATGGGCTTTCCCTTGTGATTGAAGCCCTTGGTCTGGTTTTTGATAAACTGTGGATGCTGGACGAGTTGTTGAAAGATACTGTTGGGTGTGGTTTCGTTAATTGGAGAACCTTTGATGTTCATCGCGAAATCTACTAGAAAGAGCGCTGCATGTGGGGATGATTTTTGTAGGTAGTGGCTGGCGACGTTGTGCGATTTGAGTTTACTACGCAGTAGCTGGCAGTTCTGGATTTTGGAGACTGGGTCTTCGGTCCAAAGTTTCGCTATGCGAAAGATGATGCCGGTGATGATGTCCACTAGATAGAACTCAGAAACAAGTGCAGGCGCTGTTGTGATGTCTGCGTCTTGAGGGTCATGACCGAAGGCCGATCTACAAGTTTCTACTACTACCCGGACTTTTTCTATAGCTGAGAAGAGAGCTAGAAGCTCTGACGGTGACTTGTATTCAAAGATGAGATAGTCTGCGCCTTTGTCTGCTTTGGCTGCGTTGGTGATAGACTGGAACAGGGTGATGGCCCTGGACTTCTCCGTGAATTCGTTGGGCCACACAACTTCCTTGACTTCTAGTTTGGTGCCCTTGTCAGCCTCAGCTGCTCTCTCCCATCGTCTCTTGGTCAAAAGGCTGCTCATGATGCAGATGGTGATATCGAAGATAAATTCTTCAAAATACTCCTGGTCTTCATCCAATCTGGTAGCCGCCGTGCTTAGGAGAGCTTGAGACGCAAGACCTGAGAACCAGTCGTGGTCCAGGTGCGTTGGAGGAGGCCCTGATTTGGTGATTCGAAAGATGATAATATCGAACACCAGCCTCCTGAGACATCGAAATAGCCTGGGATTCAACACACCTGCCAGCATCTTGACTACCGGCCATTCTGTCACCGGAATCTCGTCTGTCTCTTGGTATGGTGCGACGTATAAGTGAAAAGCTCCTACTTCGAGATACTTTGATGAGCCTGTGGTGCCTGCGCCTATGGCTTGGAGGATGTTTCTGCCTTGCGGGTGGTGGATGTTGTCATTTGAGAGGTCTAGGCCGGGAGCGTAGTAGGATGCATTAATACTCTGTGCGGCTCCTCTTGGAGTGTAGCCCCCTCGCATGAACCCTGCGCTCTGGAACATGTGCTGGGGAACTGCACGCTCTGACATGTGACGATCATGATGTTCGAGGTCCTGGCCCTCTGCAATTGCTGCTAGGTCTACGAAGTTCGTCTTGCCTCCTCCTTTTCCTCCTTGGTGATTTGATCTCGCCGTGATGAAGGGGTCTGATTGTTGTGACTCGGCGTTCGATGTTGCCGATGAACCTGCTAACCTGCTGGCCGCGGATTCTTTGCATAGCTTGTCGTAGGCCTCTGTGAAGTTGCTAGTGTGGACCGGATTCTTAAAGGGCCATACCTTCGGAGTAGGTTGTTAGAGGGGGTAGTTCCTCGGACTCGTGGATAAAAGTCGATCAATAGACTTGGGAGGGTGTGTGAAGGTGTAATGCTCTTTCCTCGCACTGGGTTGCATGGTCTTCGCCTATAGCCTATATACATGAAATGTGAAGACCATGCTGATTAGTTGGCGAAGAAAGAGTAGAGATGGATGTAGCTTTGTTGTAGATGGATTCTCTCTTGTTGTTGAGAGAAGACCGTAAGAAAGTCCGGTAGGTGTGGTGTGTGATAACAGTTGCAGCTTGCCATCTGCCGTCATGTCTGCCCTGAGTGCTGAGGCCAACGTTGGGAGTTGCTTCCCTAAGATGTCAACTAAGGTCTCAACTGGGTTGAAGAAGGAGATAGTTTCCCTGAAAACTTGGAGTCCTGCAGCAGATGTCCCTGCTTGCATGAGAGTACGACTGCGGACATCTTGTAGTAGCAGGCAGTAATGTCCCAGCTTCGGCAAGTATGTCGGGCTCGCGAAGAAGGCTGTCTTCATTGCGAGTTCGAACTGAGTGTTGTCTGCAATCAAGATTTTGATGGTAGTCCTGATTTTGCCGATGAGTTCCCTCGTGGCCTCATCAGCGTTAAGAATGATCCACCGGATGATTGGAGGAGCTTGTGACTCTCCTCCCAGATGTGCGTAGAATGGAGCATGCGCCAACATGTGAGTAAAGAGGATAGCTGCTCGGGCGCATGATGCTGTATCAGTGATCGGTTCTTGAAGTAGTTTCGGCGTCATTCTCCATATGGAAGAGACTGGGGATGCTGCTTCGATTTTCTCGTTGATAAGAGGAAGTTGTGACTGAGATTCTGCAATTGCTTTTGATATCAGGAGCTGGAAGTCGCTGTTCTGGAAAGGTTTGCCCGTGGTAGCTGATGATGATGTAAGAGATATTGCTGGTGGTTCGTGGAATAAGTTCTCGTGTTTGTTCACCATCTTGAGAGTGTTCTGGACGATCTCTTCGACACTGGGCGGAGGATTCAGGGTCGTGGACCCCGTGGGGTCGATTGGGGTACCAACTGACGATACGGAGGCCATCATGAACCAAGTAATTGATGGGTGAGAAAATGAATTATGTCTGAATATGAGTCAAGTTGAAGATCACGAGCGCTAAGCTCTGGTGGGTATGTAGTGGAAAATGGATGGTGAATAATCTTTCTGAAGTCTTGTTGATCTAAATCATTCATGAAGCGGGGTGGTGGGTAAGATGAGCTGCTTTACTGGCTGTCGGGCACTAGACGAAGTTCCTGTCGTCGATTGTCTTCGAGCTCTCTCGACAGTAAAAGTTCTTGCTGTTGCTCTCGTGTTACTCTCTTTTATTGTTAGTGCGCAGTAGTCACGATGTGAAATAACTTAAGCCTATTCTTTTGGAATAGCTTCTCTCGGTTTTGTGACGATCGTGGGAGGATTGGAACACATAAAGTTTGTTCTTGTGCGAGATACTTTTATAAGCATGCGTCTGCGGGATATTGGAATATGTTGTGAAAAATTCTTATCGCCATCTATGGGATAGCGTTTGGGGTCGGGGGCATTGGTGAGTGGCAATATTGTATGTTCATGATTCGTGATGGTGAAACAGCGGTGGTATTCTTCATGTGATGACTGTCTTCAATGCAGATTGAATGCTTATGATTCTTCGATTGTGTGGTAGGCGACCTTGGTATGCCGCTGTGGAGCATTGTGTGTTGTGACTGCAAAGTGTCTAGGAGAACACTGGAGCAGCACTATTAAGCTTCACTTATGGCTGTGTGTGAGAGATGCAACTGTAGATCTTTTTTGTCATGGTGGCCCATGGGCTGATATATGGTGGTAGCGGATGTGGAGTGTGGTTTTGAGAAATGGATGTTACCTACCTTTCGTGAAAGGAGGTGGCGGTCCCGTAGGTTTGCCATACAGGAAAAATATGCTAAGATTGTTCGACTGAGGTAAACCGGACGAGTCCTATAACCAGAACAAATCCAGTAATACCAGTCTGAAGGCCCCCCTCAGGCTCCTTCCATCCCGTAGGATAAACATGTAGAATCTTGATGCACAGGATCGGGGATCCAGTCATAAGAAAAAACAGGCTCAGACATGTAGTGAACGTTCATGCATAAATTCCAACCTTGATTGAATGGTCATTATCACACCGACAGCCATGGACAACAGATCATCTTACTTCAAGACAGCATTCGTCACCACCGTGTCATTGTGCTCATCCATTATTTATCTTCTTAACCACGCACGCAAGCACTGTGTAGAGAAGAACCTGGGAAAGGCCTCATAAACAGCACATTATTGTGGCTAATATAAGTATCACAACCCCCCTGAAAGATGACAATTAGTACACTCTTTGATTCAACATCCCCAGATAGATTGTCCCTTCCATGTTAGTGTTGATCAACGATCAGCACCCGTCAACAATACGTATTCGATTCCGTCTCTTCTCATCACACTCCTGCATTGCTCTTCGTGAGCACGACACCTTTTATCGGTGATGCATTTTCCTTTAGTGGACCTTCGGAGTTTTGGTCACAAAAATAGGCGTGGAAGCAGAAAGCGACAGTGGTTAGAGGGCGAGCAGTCTCCCTGTCCGTGCTCTTTTATCTCTAGACCAAAACACAGCGCCGATTGAGATACAAGTTACCCTAGGGTAGAAATACCCGGTCCTCGTACTAGCGTATACTCGAGTAGATGACAAAATTCAAAATACTCCAGCTCCACGTCGTGAGTGAGAGGACAACAATATCTAATCCTATATGTAATCGATCCATAATATAGGCAACAGCGCAATGGCCCAACCGAATAACTCGAGCACCAGAGAGTGGTACTCCCGAAAAAAGCAGTCCGAGACGAAGGAAACCAGGAGTACTCCACCGCTCAGCAGAGGACAGGCGTTAGAAGATCTCAACGAACTTGAGTCAAGTGGTAGATAGCTATTTCTGTTTTCAAACGCTGCTGCTTTCAAATACTGATCCACTCTACATTGCGGCACCTATGATGATGAGAAGTCTCTCCATAACAACAAAGCGCAAACACAGATCGAATGTCCGCTTGTTCTTTGTCAAAAACCGCAAGACGAATCGCTGCAATGGTGTTGAAGAAGAAGTACTTCTTTCCGTACTACTACTATTTTCATCGTGTGTTGCTGTTCTGTCGGGAGGTCCACAAAGCTCTAGAACCAGAGCCCTCGTTCGTTCTGGTCCTACCACGTAGCCGAACAAAACGAACTCCAGGAAGGCACTAAACAACAAGCAATAGGTCGGACAGTAGTGGTCTACCACTTCTAACAGGTTAGAAGGTAGAGGTAAGAGAAGTAGAGTTGTACTATGCATAAGTACTTGGTCTTGACTGTTATTATCTTCTATGTTTCTTTTTACTAAAAGGGATGATTTTTTTTGACAAACCGACGACGATGTCAGTTTTCAGTGTCAATCTACTTACGATGTGTTTCAAGGTAAAAGGAGTAAAAGAGCCCAGTTTCTTGAAGATGCGCGCATCGAAATCGAACCTGCTTCACAATCATAAGAATATGGACGCCGTTTCGTGTGGCATACACCAAGCTCGTGAGACCCAAAGTGGCGCAGAGAATGAGAGTCACACGTTGTCGGAGTTGAGATTGGGAAGGAAACTCAGGATGTAGTTCTTCAGGTTGTGGTTGTCCAGTTCTCTCAGTTACCGGTGCTGTGGCTGCAGCTGGTAGTGCTGATGCAGCAGTACTTCTATTTGTGCTGGTACCAGTAACTACATTCTCCAGTCGTGCCGGTGGATCTAGTCTTGACGTTTTTGTGTCTGATCCTGATGGTAGAACCTGTGCTTCGGAACCTGATCCGGATACTTGTTCTCCACCACCACCACCACCACCAGATCCGGATACTTGTTCTGCACCACCACCACCACCACCAGACACGACAGCACCACCACCGGACCCGACACCACTAACCCCAGCATAGTAGTCCATTATGTATGTGATTAGCGTTTGCACCCATGCGAACGAGCTGTCGAGTCCTAGTAAAACTAAGGTGAAGAAGAAGAACCAGCTAAAGATAGTCGGCATGCTGGCTAAGGCTTTGGGGAAGACGACGAAGGTAAGCCCAGCACCCTCCTGTGCAACTGCGTCGAAAGAATTAGAGATGGAGAAAGAAGTTCGAAGTATTCGAACAAAAGAATTAGAATATTCGCTAAGCTGAAATAAGCGAGTAACTACTTAGAATAAGCGAGATACTGAAACAAGAGCAACGTAATGACTCTGATATTTCAGTTGGCTACTCGGCTATTTTGAGTTTTCGATTATTCGAAAGAGTTAGGGATAGTGGTGGAAAACATCAATTATGAGGCGGGTTAGTATGAGCTTATGCAGCTCCTTTTTGTGCGAAGTATGAATTATCAGAGAGAGGAGTTGAGATGAGAGAGAGGGAGGGGGGGAGACAAAAAGCGAGATCTTAAGAGGCTAGTACCACCGGTAACAGTATCTTAATTCAAAGTAAGTAACTTAACTCACTACCTTAACTCACAGTAACACTACCTTAACTCAAAGTAAACCATCACGACCTTCACACCATAACTGATAGACCTTCGCTGTGTGCCAGGTTTCCAACGACAGAAAAAACAACGAAACCACTGAGTATCGAGAACCCGCTGTTGGTAAGGGATATCGCCAAAGCATCCTGAAATAAATGCGGATAGTCCCGTTTATTATAGCTTGCCAGTGCAGTGGCGGCTCCTGTTCCTGGCGACAGCGAAAAGAGAATCTGACCACAAGCGGCTGACCACGTTGCTGGGTCAAAAACGTACTCGAGCCGCGGCTTCAGATAATAGACGATACCGGAGCCGGCGCCTAGATTCTTCTAGGGTGCTTGTTTCCAACACTTGTTGCTTGGCCACCTCACTCAGAGTTTCTTCCGCACAACATCAAGAACATCAAGTGTAAGTACCTACTCAAGAAAGAGAAAAAATGCCTCCAAATTCCAAAAGTACCTTCAAGTGCCGCAGTCTTGCAGAGTAGGACGAAAATGAGGACGAAGGGCGTGATCACCGTAAAATAAGCAACCCTGCCTGCACTGTGGATGCCTCTGACAAGACACAGATTAGATGCAGTCATTGCTCCTAATCATCAAATCTTGTAGCCTCATCGATTCATTACTCTGTATTGACAATGAAACCTCTATACGTTGCTCGTAAATTCAAGGTGCCATAAAAAGATATGTAATCACCCAACTAGCAACGACAGCTAGTAACAGATGAGCCGGCGCACTCCAATGATAAGCACCATGAGCGTTGAAGGAATCGGCACGATCCAATACCTTTTTCTCGAAGTACTCCTTGGTATCCGTATCAGCCCAGGGGACGTCGGAGAACCTGTACAGGTACCTCTTAACTGTCCATCTTCATGTTCTTAGAAGTTCGAGCAGACGCTTCAGAATGTTTCATTTTAGTAACTTCTGCATTCAGCACAAAATCATATGTAGAGGTAGCAAAAAAAAGACTGTATTTACCATCCAAAGCTCCGCACGAAGAAAACCAGGCCCCACGCAATGACCATTTGATAGTAACTCAGCACCCAAGTGTTCATATACGCCGCAATGTAGGCCAGGCCCTCGAACTTGAGATGTTAGAGTGGCACTACTTACAACTTCTTCATCTATTGCGTAGAGGTTTGCATGAGGAACTACACGGAGACTGACATGTATCTTCTTCGTACTGGAGCCCTGGCCGCTGCCTGTCGCAAGCCAGAAATCTCTTAATCTTAATCTTAACTTCAGAGCTTACGATGGTCTAAAGGATGCAACGTGGAATAGCCATAGCCTCAAGGATGCAATAGCCTTAAGGATGTAGTCTCCTGTAGCATTCCACTGGACCGGATTGGTAGTTCTGCCCTATCACCAATTCCAACAGGAACAGCGGAAACGCGCAAAAGGCTAGGCAGAAAGATATTAGAGTTTCCCTTTCCTTTTGGTACTTCACAAGCACCAGTGTGCGAAATTTCAAGTGTTTGATGTTCATCTTCAAATTAGTTGTAGCTACTTGCAAGACCATCTATTTTCTTCATAGACATCACAGAACTTCACAAAAACCACAGTAATTAGTATTAGATGGAACAGGTGAACGTAATTTAGTGAAAAGAAAGCCTATTTCAAACAGAACTTCACACCCATAAGAGATAAACAAACAGAAAAGCGCCTCCTCCATGTTTTCCGCAAAGGTATGGGAACCTCCACAAATTTCCAATCCCGATCGCATAACCCATCAGCACGAAGATAAAATCGTACCGAGATGTCCATTGGGGACGATCTTGCTTGTTTTCCGATCGTTCATCTGCTGCAGGCTTCATAGCAGCTGCTGCCGGTGTCTGTATTGGCATTGGCTGAAGTTGATGTTGCAACGCAGGTGTTGTCTTTTAGAGGTGGTAGAGTAGCTTTCTGATATCTCTGTGAAGTCGTGCTGTTTGTTACAGAACTTGAATTCTATAGCTTGTTTGTAATATTTTTGTTGTGGATAGCGAACCGCAACCGCCTTTCCGTTCTTTCACTATCAAACAAAATATCGACGAGAGACATCTAAGAGAGACGCCTACTCATACTCGTGTCCATAAACATCCCTTCCTCCATGCTTAACTGGAGATTGAAAGTTCGCCGCATGTTGATCTCCAACGGGAACCGTTACACCAACTACAACTGGCATGTTGTAGCTGCTTTTCGCTTCGGTTGGTGGCTGTTTGAGCGACACCATTTTCTTGATATGTTGAATCGTCTTCGTGATGTTTTAAATAATCACTATCATGGTGTTGATGTGATCGATATATCCGTTGATCTTTTTTAGTGTTCTCGTTAGATGTAGCTAGTTGTTGGTTGTACTAGTTGTTGTATTTGTATTGTCAAAATTTATTCATAGAATCCCGTAGCAAAATCGGCTGCTAGTTCTGTAGTAAGTTCGATGTGAATGTACTTTTTCAAGAGGTATCGAGTGTCATCTTTTGCCCCGAAGCACATTATTGAAGCCCTTAAGTGTCTTCACGTCATCGATGGAAGATATTTGAATTAGCAATTCTCACACTCTCAGACCGACAGCGACCACTCGTTCTGCGGAGGCGTAATTACATTGCTATATCAAAATCCATCGGGTCTTCCGTCGTCAGCAGCAGGCTGTCTCAACTCAATCACGCTGTCAGCAACAGCAGGCTGCCATGCAGCCGATCAACATACGGAGTTACCCGGTCGACGGAGCGAATCAATCATGCATACCCATAATGTAGAAAAACAAGGCCATGCCAGCATTGCCAGGTTTCATGAAAAGCGCGTAGAAAAGCAATGCATTTCGACAAGAACTCGGTGTCTACTACACCGTCGCATATAATGTAAAATGTTCCACTTGTTTGGCCAGTGCCAAGTTCTCCTCCCGCAACCGCCGTATCTCATCATCTTGGAGTGTGTAGGACGTCTTCTGCGCGTCTGCTGCGGTTGTTAGAAGATAATGGTGTGGTCGTTGACCCTATGAAGACAATCTTACTAGAATCGAGATGCAATTCACGACCATGAAGTCTTATCTTCTAGCAGGATCTCTTGCATTAATCTAAGCGACCCGAGGAGGAGATTTAGTTTTAGACACGCTCAAGGTGGACCAAAATGTACTCCTTCGTTCAACAAGAAGACGACATTTAGAAACGCTCAAGATGAATCAAAATGAAGAATGTACTCATTTCAAAAATCTCCTCAGCAGTACACCCATGCATAAATTCAATTTCGTATGCAGTAGTTCGATTTCGACGTTTTTGGCTTTTCTGAAGTCCTCATATTCCTGCCTCAGCATTTCATATTGCTCGCTGGCGTCATCTACAGACTCGAATCGGCTTCCTGCTGGTCGCATCTCCAGCACACTCCTGGCATTGCCTAGACGACTAGGCGAACCCAGCTCGTCTCCTTGAGGGTTGGTAGACTGGGTGGGGTATGAAAGGAGGAAGGCATAGAGGGAAAGGGATATGAAAAGATGAAAGAGTCCTTTTTGTCGACGTAGAACTACATCTTTTTTCTATGTGAAAGTCTTGCACAGCGTCTAACCGACATCAGAAGAAAACAGAATGACTTTATAAGTGATAAAAAGCTCATGCTGCATGTGCACCCTAACATTCCGCCTCTTGATCGCAGTTGCTCCCTCAACTGTCGGACCTCATTTTCGTGAAGGAGTTTAAGATCTGCGAAGCTTGACTCCCATTTTCCGATGACCTGCCACAATTGGTCTACCTCTTCCCACGTGGCGCCTGAGGAATTGCCTTCTTTTGATTTTGCTCTTGTTGGGATCTTAGAAGGGAAAGAGGTGGACGGAAGTATACTGTATGTCTAAACTAGGTTCTCTGATTCCATTCATAGTAGATTGTTGCTCGGGATAAGCCTAATACTGTCGAGGTGAAAACTAACCGGTTGTCTTACTTAGTGCTTTGTAAATGAATGCCTTGTAATCAACTTATTCTGGGCAGGTGGAATCAGACACGACCGACAAGAAAAAGAAATCTCGCCCTTAATAGAACGCTTTTCATGCCGTGGAAATGAAATCTTACTCAGAACAGAAGAGGCTTCTTGTCCTCAAATCTGAGAAGATGGACTGAGTCAAACTGAAACTTTTCCCATAACTGTCGCCGCAGCGGCGGGTTTGGAAGCACTACTTGTTGCTGCTGCAGTCGAAGACGAAGAGGTAGCGTTCGTCGTTGCAGTTCCTGGTGTATTGGTGTAATGAGAATAAGAAGATGATAAGCAGACGAGAGAAGACTAGAATATTATATTGAAGTTGTAAACTACCCTAGTTGTTCGTGATCATTATATTTTCTTGAAGGGGACATTGATCTTAATCTGCACATCGTGTAACACAAGAAGACTAGAAGAAAATAAAGTCATGGAGATGGATCTATCAATCTTCATCTTGATGAAGTTGCATAAGTAAGCATCAAACAAAAAAGAGGCCGAGTAAGAGCAGATCGGCGGTTGCGGCCGAGTAAGTATTGTATAAGGAAATTACCTCCCGCAACCGCCGATCCCGGTCGACTCCCTCTCGTTGGCGGTCTTGTAGAACTCGCCGCAGCTTTCGGACGTATAGTGGCTGTCGATGGTCGTGACGATGATGACGATGCTTTAGCTTTCGCAGAAGCTCCAGTCCCCGTACTGCCTGTAGTCGCTCTACTACCAGCACTCTTAGATGACGGTAGATCGGAAATAGTTTTATCCCCCTTATCGGGGCTTCGCATCCTTTGGGCTGTTGTACTCCTACCACCCGCTGTCGAGGCACTGCTTTTCGCCGACGCGCGTGATGCGGCCACTTTGCCTGCTGCGGTGGCGACTGAGGGAGGGGCTTGGGATTAGAAGAAGATGAGAACTGTTTCCGTTGCGATCATAGAAAATAACCATGTTTCTGTTGCTGCCTTTGTTCGAGCACGTTACACAATCAACTCATGATATGGCCTTTTTTGTCGTATATATCGGTGGAGCACGCCCCCTAACTAGGAAGCAAAAATACAAAAGATTCAAGAGCCTTTTTTGTCGTATATAGAAGAACAAGAATGTACATATTATGTACACGACACCCAACATCATAAGTTTTCCCCTTATTCGCAGCTCCCGTACTTCCTCCTCCTCCTACGCCAGTATTAAACGTCGACACTCATTCGTCACTGATGCTGAAAGAAAAGGGCCCTTTACCCCTCTACTTGTTCTCCCTCTGTTTTCCCCTGTTCTACTCTCAAGGGAGGGTCGCCCCTTCGATCTCAGTGACCAACCTCAGTGACCAATGAAAGCTGAGCCTTAACAGTGCTTCCTGCCGGCAGGTCGTCTGATGGTGAGCCTCCAGGAGGTGCGTCTTTACTATTTTCCCGACTCCTATCATCTACAATGGCTTCCTCCACTTCATCCGATCGCAAAGCTTATGAAACGAAAATCTGTTATCGTTATCAAGTTTCTTAAGTAGAAAAGTACGATAATGATAACAGATTTTGGTTTCATAAAGCTGGTGGCACTCGTCCTGGTGTTCGTGTTGTTGCCACCAATGCTGAAGAAGATCCTATCATTCCAGTAGATGTAGACTTAGAGGTAGGTTGTTGGTGCTCGCGGGTTCCCCCGCTTGTTATGCCTTTCTCATCCTAAGGGGGAGAGGCATAAAAAGCGGTAAGAAAAGCACCTTTAGCCTACCCTTAATAGACGTTGTGGCGGTGGAGGAAGATGAAGGCACTGTAGTAGCGGTGGAGGAAGATGAAGGCACTGTTGGACCTGCTAGAGAACCCAAGGATCCTGACGTTGTTGTTGTTGTTGTTGTTGTTGTTGAAGGGGATTCCTCTGGCGCTGTCCGTTCAGGCTCCATACCCGCTTTTTCAGGTGATAACTCTGCTTTTGCAGGAGACGTGGCTGTAGTAATGGCAGCGGCAGCACGTCCAGCTGTTGTAGAAGGTGGCGCTGGTCGTGTTGGAGGCGTCGTTGTGGAGGAACCAACTCCACCTCCAACTCCACGACCACTAGTAGGTCCACCACTAGTAGGTCCGCCACTAGTTGTAGTGGTAGTAGTGGATGTTGAAGAAACTCCTGCTGTTGCACTTGTACTCGTCTTCTGTCCTCCAAAGGTGAGTCCCGCAAGTGGATCATTTTTGAGACTTGGGCTTTTTTTCGAACTTCCACCTGCTAGGAAACGAGCTAGGGGGTCTTCTTCTCTACGACTACTAGATGAGCTAGAGCTCTGGAACCTTCGACCCGAACTGCCGGTTCGACTCAAAGAGCCTTGTTCGGTCTTCTTCTTGTCCTCTGAGGCTGTAGTGGCTTGGGATTAGAGGTGGGGTACAACGAAATGTTGTTCTCTAGAGAAGTGCAATCCATCAATCCTTCTGACTAGTGATTAGAAGTACAATCCATCAACACTAGAGAAACTGAAACCTCATCCGCCATAAGCCGAGCCTCCTCCGGCACCCTCCTTAGCACCCGGCTCACCATCTCGGACAAGGAAGTCTTTGTTTCCGCTAGCGCCTTTCTGCATGAAGTCCACAACCTTAGCCGCCCAACTCTTCACGCCGCTCTTTTCGGCGCACTCTACCACACAACTTTCTCCGAAATGTTCGTGTGCGGTACGCGCAGTTTGCTTGTTTACGCAGATGGCCACTGAGGTTAGAATGCGAAGGCTAGTACTGTTCGACGTTGCTTCGACAGTTACAACATAGTCGTAAATTTGGATGACCTCGCGGGCCTCAAATATTTACCTGGCCTATCATAACTTCACACCCACCCCACTCCATTGTGCTACACCCCTAACAGCAGTCGCCGAACCAAAGGTCCAGATGTCTATGTTATCGGGAGGCTTGTGAGCTGGCTCAGTCCGCGCTTGTATGCCATACACCTGCATAACAGTGACGTCGAACCCACGCTCTTCGAGGGTTGTTTTACCTGTGTTTGTTGAGGGTTTTTTGTTGTACATGTTCGCTAAATTTTAAGAGTTGGACAATCTACTACTTACATCAGAAATTACTTCTGGTACATTCATCTTTCTGCTGCACACTGCACAACAGTAGCAAGCGTGGGCCCATAGTTGACGGAAGATATTTGGCCAAGCCTGAGCCATCCTCACTCGCCTTTTCCGGGACTGGAGTTACGGTTTTTCGCTCTCGTTGTAATACTTCAGCTGTGCCTTTGCCGACTGCTATCAACCTGTAGTTGTAGCCTTTCTGCTATTTCTGTTACTTACGTGAAAAGTCTTGTCGTGTGTCAGAATCTACATGCTCCATAAGATTAAGAGTCTTCAATATGTGCATATTAAAGTACATTGGTACACTACAAAAACTTCACCCCTGCTACCCCTAAGTAGTACCTGGTAACCAGGTATCGCTATCGTAAGATGAAGTTGTAGAAGTACTCACCTCTCATAAGCAACACTTGTCTGATCGCAGAAGATTTTGGCTGCTTCAGTCCCTATCAAAACGCAAGAATCGAACTCATGCTTGTCCCATAGACGTGTGAGATTAGAACTAGAAGCGGAGCTCTGGTATGGCGGTGCAAGAGTTCAACAAATGTAACTCTAACGCAGAGGCTCACGGAGTTCTTTAAACTAAGCCTCTCACATTCTGTTTTGTTCATCAAATGAAGACACTGACACTCCTCATAAAAAGTCTGCCAAAGTCTGGTCCTCGAATTTGTTCTATCGCAGGCACTTCCTCATACGCCAAGTGGTCGTCGAAAACGGAGACGTATTTCATATAGTGCGCCCTAATCGCTTGCTCCAACGGGTCATTTAGACCATCCTCACGGGTAAGAGCAATGCGAACCATATTTTCGAGTCACTTATCGTTAAATGCAGTAGTTGTACTTCCTTAGTCCTAGTGGTCCTAGTAAGTACTAGTAGTACTTTGGCTTGTGTAGTAGTAGACACTTTGGCCGCTTGTGCTACACTGTAGGAACTACCAGTAGCACTAGTACAGTACTAGAAGTACTTTGGCTTGTGTAGTAAGTCACTCCATTTCAAAGTCAATTTCCTCTCGGTCTGTTCTCTCGGTGTATCTGAAGACGCTCCACTTCGCTCGGGAATATGTGCCAATCGCGTAGCATAGTACCAATCGCGTAGCTTGTTTGGAATGATAAAAAACCCATGTTTCAAAGTCAGGAGCCAATGCAGCTCAATTTTAGTGTTTTTGATGGTGTTTGAACCATGTTGATATCATTTTACACAATCGGAATTTTTACAGGATAATAAGAGTGTTCTTCATCGGACTTACGTAATAGATCAGCAGAGTTTAGTGAGGAACCCAAAACGAGTTTCACATTATTCATTTTAACTTATTCTTATCGGTGTACTAGTACATTAGATATTCATTGTTGTTCAGATCTTCTTCATAGAGTACTAAGAAATACTGGTTCTTAGAACGATCGAGTGTGTGTGTCAATGGAGTTCGTGGTCTTGGCGAAGTTAAACAATCAATACGCCCTGCTTCTATCTTTCGAATCAATGAGCATATTCACATACTTCTCTCGACATTATTCCATCAAAAAAAGCTTTCTTCCCTGAGATCACGATCTGGTCCAGTGTTCGAAACTGTCCTGCATGGGCCAACTCACACAAAACTTCTCCAAAAAGTGAGCCAACAATCCTAGGGTCATTCCCGTACACACCGCAGCCGATGTCACACAGCAATAGCGTTCGTACCAAGTCAATACCCGAAGCATTAGAGATGATTGATTGATTGATTGATGATCGCGACAGTAATATTACCAGTGGAGCACGTCTAACTAGGAAACCACATTACATAAAAAACAATAAGTCCAGCTATATATAAAAAAAAACTATAGTGGCCACGTTTATGCTAGGATCCGTCTATTCTAGGCGCCGCGAGCCATCCACTTAATAGTGTATGAAATACAAGAGCCGCCCCAGAACAAATGGATGATCCAAGTTCGATCATCTATTTGAGGAGGGATACTTCCTACATTACTTTGGCCTACTGAAAACAGATAGCCAACATAAAAGGACTTGTACGATTGTGTTCTTCCACACTGAGCAGTAGCGTGCGGAATTTCTTGCGCACTCCCTCGAAATACTCTGCATCTGATTCAGGCACGTCAACAGGCTGTCCGGAAACGTCAGTTAAAGGTCAGCAGTCAGTGGTCACTGCTTCTGAACGGAAGAGACCGTCTTCAAAGCTCTCCCCTTTTCCCTTCATTTTCCCCTGATTTCTAAAGACGGCCCCTCTGCGATCCCAGTGACCAACTCCAGTGACCAATGAAAGTTGAGCCTTAAGTCAGGGTTTCGATTGTACATACTCATCGTGAAAACCGTGACAGTTCGCGTTTCCTCTTCTCTACGCAGAAAGCGGTAGTCTCCACCAGCACGAAAGAACTCTACGCCAGGTGATACTACGACGTCAAAGTCGGACAAGTAGGCTTCGAGAGAATGAAGATTATCGGTTGTCCGTGAAGTAGACAGTGTTGAAGTTGTGGAAGTAGGAGTAGTGGAAGCAGAGCTCGAAGACGACGACGATGTTGTACTTGATCTTGAAGGTATCGATAACGATATCGTGTCGTGGTTCCTACTACTTTCCATGCTCCTCTTTCCTCGAAGCACCGCATCAGCCACCTTTTGCAGACTCGAAAATAATGTGCTCTGTGTACACAGAGCTTCTTCTAGCGCATGCCTGCCACCGCTTACAAACCCTCCACCCGGATGAAAGCGATTTCCAGGGTTCACAACACCCAAAGCGCCTCCACCTCGCACGTTGTTCCTTCCGCACGTGAAAACTAAATCTGTAACTAAGTGCTGAGAAGTGTCGTACCGCACGTTTGGAATTCTCGAAGGTCTCCTTCCAAGTCCACAACGCCACGACGGCCAAGAATATCTGTTGGAAAAATGAAAATCTCGATCGTAGTTATAAACTTTTGTCTGCTCGCGAGACCACTCTACGTTTTTCAGGTAAATGATCGCAGATCCTGGTTCCTTTTTCCGATACCCTCCATTCTCAGTCTCCTCATAGAAAACGTAGCCGCCAGCTTCTGAGACTTAGAGCAACGACGGCGCGATGTCTATGCTTTCTACTAATCCGCCACCCATAGTAGCTACAAGCAAGGGTTTATCTATCTCTCTGCCACCTTCTGGAGCTGCGATGCTAACAAGTACGTCTAAGCTATTACCTATGCAGAGAGACGTGTTTACAATTCAGTAGAAGAATAGCCATAAGCAACGGCTTGAGTGACAACCGCTATGTCTCGTCTCGCCCTGCGATGGCTAAAATCCACACTCGCACGTAGCCAATCCAAGTCACGAATCACCTGTGTCCTTCCCCTAGTCAGGTTGAAGTACTTTATTTCTGGCTCTGCGATTATACCACGCAAAGCTGCCACAGACGATGTGCTTGTAGTTGTACTATTCGACGATATAATTATCGGTAAAGAGATCAAGCCTTGTTGCGTAGAAGTCGTCCAGCTGAAGTTTTTTCGAACCCACTGAACGTTCGTATAGAAAGCAGTTTCTGAAAATGGAGACGGGAAAGGGACTGCGGTTGTCCAGTAAGAGGAGGAAGACGAAGACAGCCGAGGAATCAATGTGCTAGGAAAAATTCCACTGACGCAAGTAGTAGCGGCTTTCCAGGCTTTAGATGCGGTATCTCCTGTAGGTAGCTTGTTCGCCAGTCCACTTACATTATCAGTCAGTGCTTCTCGATAGCTTTTAGGCGTGACATTGCGACTCGTATCTTTTCTTGGCGCGACGGGAGCTTCGACGGGGCCAGGTCCTCTAGACTCGAAATCTTGACCAGTAACGCTCTGCGAGGACGGGCCGCACGAAAGAAAATCTGCGACACTCGCTTCATCTATCTTGTTACTAGAGGAAGACTGCTGACGCGACACTTTAGCCCTCTTAGATCGACCACGCCTTTCTTGCGATGCTGTGGACTTCGAACTTGATGTTCTCCTTGATCGCGTAGCGTTTATACTTGTGTTTACTCTATCATGAGGTTGCGAACCGTTTTCCTTGACGGCCTCAACGCCATAGCAATCTTCCAGATCACGTATACATCCTACACCATATTCGCGAGATGCAGGAGATGCTGTCGACCTTTTGCGACCCCTAGTCGAGGCCCGGTTTAGCTCCATTGTGCTTTCCGTGTCGAAACCAGGTGGGTACGCACAATGACTTGGACTAGGAGAGTTTTTACATCTGCTCTCGCTTGGGGCAGCTTCGTCAGGCAAACGGTGGAATTGCTGACTCCACACCCGCGGTGTGGGTCGTCTTCGAAAAATATCTGCAGTTTCTGTGCGACCGTCTGCGTCAGGTGACGTGTGGTATTCAGGGCGGCTGTTTCTTGCGCGATTTGGTGACGAAGGTAGCACTCTGGCTTCGCTGCAGTGATACTGGTTCTCAAGTCGTATCGGCGCCGACCTATCGGCCAAGGGGTCCGGAGTAGTTGTAGGTCCCATCAAGCGATAAGCTTTCATTCATTCAGGTTGGGTCTCCGGAGTAGTTGTAGGTCCCATCAAGCGATAAGCTTTCCATTGTAAAAATTTGTGATGATTGTTCTTCAGGTCTATATCGAATTAATGTTCTTCAGGAAGGATAGGACAGGAGTTGGCTCGCCGTCCACAGGCAGAAATGACTGTCCCGATTATTCAAATGGAATGACGGTCAAACATCTTCTATATCTAGGTGGCCCAAAACAAATTGAAGAGAAATTGTGCTTATGTATCAGGAACACGGTCTAAACTAACGCTGAATTTTTATCAGAAGTCTGTTCTTACTTCCCTTCCTGTCAAGTTTTTCTTTGTTCATACGGCTCAGTCGTTCTTCCATCTGCAAGTTCCTCGCAAGTAGAATTTGCTCAAGAACGATATGGCTGCACTAGCAGGGTCGTCGCTTTTATTCCATAATCTTTGACTTGACCGACAAGAGGTCATGTAGAGAGACGCAGATGAAGATTTTGATTTTCTAGTCTGGGATCAACATCCCACGACGCAGCGAAAAGCAAATTTAAAGAAGGTGCTACGTACTGCTTAGCACATCCACAAACCCAGCTGCACTGCGTTTGCTCCTCAATCTTTATCGGGAATGGGTAAGTACTACTCGTTTCGTTCTTTGTAGGACCAATGCAGTCCACATAGTACGCCTAGTAGAAGTCAAAGAACAAATTGAATGGATAATAAATAAGCAATTCGAAGTAGCGATAACGAGCAGAAAATTGTACGAAGAATCAACATTCAATCATTGATTCTAAGAGGAAAAAAATGTTTAACAGCCGGATATTCTAATTGTACAAGTAGTAGTGGATGAGTGGTCAAGTATTTTTCACAATCAAAAAGCAATGAGACATCAGATTGTAGGGTATCTGATGACGATGTTAGTCGGTTCGGAATTGTCCTACGACTTCCCTGAGTCTCTTCTGAGTTTTACGGATTTCCCTGATGTTAAAACTGTTGTGTTGAAAATGTTGACGTTCCTGATAAGGATAAGGATGCGGCGCTTCTACTTGCTCGCTATTTACTGATAGATTACGATCAGTTCACCCATCACGAATTGCAACATCGTCAGACTTCTCGAATGATTTCGACTTGATCGTAGTTGTACACTACGTAGACATCCGGACTCTGTCGAATCGAATCCTTGCCATTGTTTTGTAGGGAAATAAACTGAAGACTCGTATAGCTTCCGCGATTCGTCTCCACTGCTCCCAATTTTACTTTGCACTCGAAAACTACGGACGGACGTCCGAGTCCGGGGTGTGCATACCGAAGAGCAGCTTCCCGTGAGGTCGCAAAATAAATGCCACCTCCGGAAGCGCCACCTTGACCACGCAGAAACTTTTTGGTAGATCGGATTTGTTGCGCGGCTGTACTGTCAGTGGCATGATAGAGCGTCATCACATTATTGTCGAGACGCTGCTTTCGCGCAGCTTTGTCATACCGCAAGCGGTTCGTTCGTCCAGTATCAGCTGCGACTGGCATTTTGAATGCGAGATGGAGTAGTGGAGCTGTGAGTAATGAGATAATTTGATTATTTGACACAACGAACAGGTAAAAATATTCAGTCAACTATTCTCAGTACGACGAAAGCGAACAACCATAAACATCAATGCTCATGGGAACAAATTTAATTAGGATGTATGAATGAAATCAATGGAAAAAATATTCTTCAAGAACATACGATTACGATAAACGGAAAAACTCAGGTGAAGTAAAAACAGAACATGAAATTGAAGTTGAACGTTTCAAAGATCGATTTAAGTATACTCGTGGTCAGTCGCTTCCTGTTTCGAACGAAATAGGAAGAACTGTTCGTTGTCTACTGATATCCCAGCCAGTTTATCAGAAGTGAACTCCTACGATGCTAGTAAATTCATGACTCAGTCGCACCCGTACGCATGAAAGAATAGCATCCATTAGCATGGTGTTGAAGTACGAGCATTTTCATTTTCCTTCTTAGAGCATCGAAATGACAAAAACTTGTTGCTTCGCATAGAATAGCGCTGCACTAGATTCCTCGCTGCAACGTATCGGACAGCACGCGACAAAAAGCGTACCAGGTACAAGGTACGCCCCAGCCCGACATTGCCTGCATCGAATGTTGGCCTGAGTGTTCCTCGAATAGCAATTGATGCCAAACAATCCGAATTCTAAACGTAGAAAGAATAAGTCTTGTTCAAAGAATGGGCTCAATTGACATACGTACATTCACATGAAGTTAGGCCAATGCAGCCATGAGATATCACAAATCAATAGCTTCATCATACACGAACCAAACTATGCTTTATAGATTGAGGAAATTCTGCATCATCCGAGAAACAAATATTTTTGGTTACGCCTTGTTCCAATTCGCTCACCTAGAACAGAATCATTCGAGTTTTTGAACATTATCTTGCGTTACCAATTATATTTTTTTATCTGTCTATACGAGGCTTCATTTATCTGGCCTCCACCCCCCCCCCCCTTTTTTTATCTGAGTGGCTCTGTCTGACTTATGCTATAAGTTCGCACTCATGATCGACATCCTGTCTGACTTATGCTATAAGTTCGAGGTTAGAGCGTCATCACATTATTGTCGCGTCACCCCCTTGTACTGTAGCAGGAGGCCATCCACTCGTACCAGCTTTCTTAACCATTTACAGATTTTGATTTTCTAGACTGAGATCAACATCCTTTTAAGATTAATAATCACTTTTTAATCCTTTATTATATTTTATTTTATCCGAACCTGACATCAAACTGTAGAACCAGTTCCCAAAAGCCGCGCCATGTGGATTGGCGCCCGACACAAGGATCACACCGATGACGGAAAGACTGAACAGAACGACCACCCAATGGTACTTTGCGCCGGGTGGGACTTAGCGACGAACGACATCGGAATTGGATGAAGAACAATGGTGTGAGACCTGAGTCGGGACCGATCCTGGCGCTATTCTACAGCTCGATCTCGATTCGGAATAATTTTTATTTGCGTATCACTCTTTAGAAAATGTGACCGCTTCTCGTCTGAGGAACGAGTACATTCAGAACCTAGACATCTTCCTGTGTGACTAGTGTGCAAATGATGCTGAATGCTGACTGAATTATTTGAAAAAAAAAATTGTTCTGGACTAACCGCGACCAACCATGATGACAAAAAAAAACAGAATGTTCATTCGACATCGATTCCTACAATGTTATGAGAGATTCGACTTGAATTCGAGGAAGCAAAACCGTGAGGTGAGTGATCATGTTCATCGTTATCAGGAGGCAGAAAGAAAGAACTGTCAAGTTGAACTAGAGCTCCGGGAAAGACCGGGTTGAGCGCGAGCGCTCCTTTGCAAAAAGCGATGTCATCAGAAGAGAGAGGAACTTCCTCGAAAAGAGACGGAAAAAGGTGGAGCGCAAGCTCCATTTTGTCATTTCTACTAAAAATATCAGCAATGTTCAGTGCCGAGGGGATGCGTGAGAGCCACGCGCTGCCCCCGCACAAAGAAATGGATGACCAGAACAAGAAAGCCGAGAAGGCCATATGAGGTTTCTGTGAAGATTGATTAAGGAGACATGATTTTGCCGCTTCATTATCGACAGCAAAAGTGTGAAAAGAGTTGGACACAAAATTGTCAAAAATTCTAACAGCAAGAGATGGCGCGATGGCCTCGAGAAAGGATATAGGTTGACGACCTGTACAAGGATGAAGCTCCTCTTTGGAAACTGAATAAGAAAACCACAAGAACTTCATCTTTCCATCTTTCAAGATGACCACCTTTACACCTGAAAGCATTCCGCAGCCGTTGGCGAACGACGCATCGGTATAGATGACGTTCCCAACGTTGTGGTCTCCGCAGAATTTCGCAAACCGTTTCATCGGTTGTTGGACCAGGAACCGCACCACCTCGAGGCAGTGCTTTAGACGATGCGTTAGCGCCAACGTGCCATCAAGCTCCTCAGATCGATTAATGAGCGGCCTCAGCACGGGATTGACCGCACGATCCACCAAAGAGACGAAAATGAAAAACAGTTTCCCTTGCAACTTGCGCGCTGCCGCAGGTGCAAGTTGTCCTTCTGCAAAGATGGAATCAATTGCTTTAACAATTTGCAAGACGCGATCACGAGATACCTGGAAGAAAGGCTTACCCGAGAGGTTGAACAAAAGGCCCAGAACCTCGATGTCTGCCCCAATGTTGACCTTACGTTTGGCGTAAGGCATGCCCAATGTGTCCAAGAACAAGATGAAGCAGTCCAGGAGCTCTTGGGCAAGCCGAGCCGGAGCGATGCCAGAGAAGTCGTCCACGTAGAGTTCCAACAAGGCGAACAACATGCGGCGAAAAATGAGCCGAATGCCCCAAGAAACGCGGATCCAACAGGTCACACTATGGACGTTCCCAAAGGCACACACCAGACACTGGAACGCGAAGAATGCCAAGCGAGTGGGGCTCCACACTGCAATCCGATTGAAGATCAGATGGCTGTCCCTGATCGGAACGTTGTTGTACGCTTTGAGGATGTCTACTATGAACAAAAACACCGCAACCACGGCAAAGGAGAGAGTCTCGTCCGACTTTTGGGCGTCTGCCGCTGATCGTTTGCGAGAGGGTGGGAGATCGCTACTAGCGGGGACTTCCGAACTACTACGTGTAGGCGGCGTAGACTTGTGAAACCACTTTTCTGATGGAGGTGGTCCATCATTGCAGATGAAGCCGCAAACGTCCTTCTCGTACAACTTTTCTTCCTTCAGTGCTGCTTTGATGAACCTCCTGTTCATCTTACACACTGGCTGATCCACCAGATTCACATCATGCAGGGCCGAAGCCTGAGCGAGGATGTCCCCTGCCGACGTCATGGGTACGCTCTTCTCCAACGTAGAGACTTTGTTCTGCGGAACAAGTGGATCTATGAGGCGAACCTTGTTCGCTTGACGAGTTGGAAACCGGCGAGTTAAAAGCTTCCAACCTCGTTTTTCGGCTTCTTCGATGGAGAAAGGACCATCCAGCGAGTTGGTCCCTGGAGTCTCTCCCCAAAGGAATCGCAGTAGAAGGTTGGCGACGCAACCGCGGCAACGTAGTGGTAGAAGTTCGAGGATGTGACTCCAGCCCAGCTCGACGTGTTGTGGCTGCATCAAAAAGCTCACGTCTTCTTTTGCAGGCTCCAAGCACTCCATGAGCGACCCTTGCCACGTGAAGAGGGCGTCTTCTGGTAGCCAATCTGGGGCGCTCGCAGCACGGAAGGAATCAATGTTAGATGGGAGCGTGGACAAAGATTCTCTTGACGGCCTGGGCCTGCTGTGATCTGGCCAATAATCAGGTGCGCCAGTAGGGCCAACAGTGGTGGCTCCTCGAAAGAGCGGAGTGTAGAAGAAAGGGTCCTCAGGAAGAAACTGGTCCGCAAGAAGATGCATCAAACCAATAGCAAACTTTCTACTAAATTTGAAGATGTGAGTGGTCATGCGTCTCTTCATCACTGCGTCTTGAGCAGACGCCGCCTTGGTCTTCTCTTCCAAGCTCTTTTTGAATGGGATAAACAACTGCCCCGGCGAAGTGAACCGCATCTTCTTGATGAAGCGGCGCGCTTCGCCCTCAATAGGTTTGAACGGAAGTCTCCTCCTAATGTCAAACTCGACCCTAGCCCGCATAGCCAAGAATTCCTTCTCGAATTCCATCTCCTTATCGGACATGTCGCCGTTCTTCACTGCGCTCGAAGGAGCTTCCGGCATGTTCGTGGTTTTTGCGATAGTAAAAAAAAAACAAAACCAAGTAAACTAGGATGTGACCATGTAAAAGGGAGCGGACGTTGATTCTTTCTGTAGAAAAAAAACAGTGAGCTTGACAGACTATACTCGCCGAACGCCCTTTTGCGCAGCTTTGCTTGTTGAAAGGGTGCTCCACTTCGAACAGGAGATAGCAAGCGACAATCTACGGTCGTAAGCGCGTTGACATATCACTACAGCGCTTGACTCCATCACCTTGTTGAAAAGAAGGTCAGCCAAGAAGGAATAGCTCGGCAGGTCTATAGTACTCATGAGTGTAGTTGAGGCAAAATCCATTGTGTAAGTGTTAAAAACGTGAGAAAGAGAACAAAAAATTGACTGCAAAAGAAACTCTACTGAAGAAACTCAACCTGAGAGAAATTACATTAGACCAAAACTTACACACTCAGCGAGAAGGACACAAGTTGCATTATTCTTATCCGAAAAAGTATGAAGACAAGTGATAAAGCCGTACATTACATGCACAATAGACGATTCTCAAAAAAAGACCAGAAATCAGAGACATGACACTTTGATCATCAAATTCTATTATTACTCGGACTTTAAACTGACGAAGACAAACGTCGAAAGGACGTGATGACAATTATGAAGGAGCTACCATTCTGCACGCGGTTGAGGTGATGCATTCGAAACAAAATGAACAAATCGGTGGAAATACATCAACTTAGAATTCGAACATCTGGAATAGGAGCGTTAAAAACGAAAACAAAAACAAGTCTCCTTATTCTACAGGGATGCTTTCGTAGTCAAGGCCCTGAACCGCCCACGACATCTTGCTAGCCTGCATCGCCTCGAACTGCTCCTTGGATGGACGCTTATGCTCATGAGGACAATTCTCTTTTTCACAAAAGCCCCACATCCAGTCGAAGCAGGCATTGGGCAACTTGGCTTTGCCTTTCCCTTTCTTGCCATCCTTGCCCTCCTTCTTGCCTTTTCCCTTGGACTTGTCGTTATTTTTGTCGTTTCTATTGCCCTTACCATTACCGCCACGACTGTTATTGTAGTAGTTGTTGTTGTTGTTGTTATACGGGCCGCCCCACTTGGACGAGGATGCCTTCCACGCGCTGATCTCGCTCTTCAGATCTTCCAGTTCCTTTTTATTCGCCTCAAGCGCCTTAGCGAGCGTGGCTTGTGCATCTGCGGCGTGGCGCCACAACAAAGGGAAGGCCCCTGTGAACCTGTGATAGTGGGCAGAACAACAGTTGCTGAAAAACACCGGGAAGATGATGAGATGAGTAAAACAAATTTAGATTTGTCTTCGCAAGGAACAACGAATGATGAAAGACAATGACTCGAACGATTAGCAGGAATTACTCTGGCTACAAACTGGGATTTTCAGAAAGAAGACTGTTACCAAGCTTCCATCCTCATCCTGTATGCCATGACATCAGTCGGGACCAGTGGATTAGGCTCCACTTCCGAAGCGGACCCAAGAAGCGTCTGAATGAAAATGCGCATCTTATCAGCGTCACCCAGCTCAGCGCTCTTCACCATCAGAACGAGTTGATTGGCTTCGGCGAACGTGAGGACCGAGCCGTTTTCACCATTGAACGCCAACGCGTACAAAAATTTGTAGATTGTGGAGCAATCCCTCCCATCAATTCCTCCTTTCGCTGCCAAGTGCAATTGCTTCTTAAAAGTCTCCTTGTTTACCTTGCAGAATGCAAAGGGAAAGATGAAGGAAGGATGACAGGGCCGACTGATATTAAACAACGACGAAACGAAGGCTAGAGCTACAACATTATGAAAGACACCTCTTTATGGATGAAAAAGATGAAGAGAGCTGAGAACCAGCAAAAAAAACAAAGGAGAGAGAGGGAGAAGGATCAAATACCTTGCGACACAGTTCTAAATCTGGTTGCATGGTGATCTCGGTGATCTGGCCAACGCAGACACCATGCGCCATCACCTCGGCCGCTGTGCCCATAGCACGTGTGTCTTGAGCACGGGCCATCTGCTGGGCCAAGTCATTGACTTGGAGTTGGATATTGATGGCCTGTTGCTGCTGCCCAGCGGCGGCCACGATGCCAAGGCCTCCTGCTGCGGCAGCACCCGCAGCTTGATTTTGTACATTGCCACCTGCAGCCCCCTGAGGGGCTGCTCCACCTGCACCTGCCGGTGGAGGAGGTGGATTCCCTGCTCCGGGTACAGCTGCCTGACCTGCGTTCGCCATTTTGACGGATTTTTTTTTTTTAAGGATACCGGAGTCACGTGGACAGGCGTGGAAGAAAGAAAAGCGAATGCAAACTATGAGGACTTCATGATCATGACAAGAAAATACTCGGACGGACTTAGAGGAAAAGATGATTATTCAAAATTTTCACCGAGTAAATTAATCGACTACACTTCTTTTCTTTTTCCCGAAGGTTCTTGGGAGCAATTTTTAAGTCGCAATCTTTTAGACTTCCCTTTTTTTTCCTGATCTCTCTCACCTACGACTCTTTAAGAACAGTGATATTGGGAAGGTCACGGGGCGACTTCGCTGTGCAGAGAAATGAAATGATTTTACTTCGAACGCCTATCGTGGAATCGTTAATGTTCAAAAGGCCTGTATGAGAAAAGCAGGCTTACATAGAATAGGAGAAGGACCTTCATGTTCTGAAATGGGGATGAGAAAAATTTCAAGTGCAGAATTCAAGGTTTTCATAGTCAATGTCCTCCAGAGCTGCAGCTTCGTGAGCTTCTAAGGCCTGAGGGGCGACCTGGCTATTCTTGATCCAGTTTATGGAATTCGTCCAATGTGCTGGGCGTGCATTCTTCTTACTGTTACGAGCGTAGTAAAACAACATCGTAGTATCCGACCACCTCGCGTGGTGGATGATCTGTTCCGGCATGATCTCATTAGAGAATAGGTGCACAGCACACCCAACCCGACAACTATGGGTGGCGAAGGCCGCCTGCTCGGCCTGCGAGAGCTTCAGATTACGAACCAGGGTCTTGATAGCCCACAGAGTATCCATGCCGCCTGCAGTAAACGTCTTCGTACACTCGCGTAGGACAGGATTATGGATTAGGCAAACTCGGTCCCTTTTACCAGCAGGAGCTGCATCACAACATGCACAAAAGATGCGCGTAACCCTCGCGCATTTTATTCCACCTTTCTGTTTGAAGAGTGAAAAATCAAGGACAAGAGAGTTGTCGGCGACGTCAAACCGCAAACCCACATAGTTGGTCGCAGCTGGTCCATATGCAACAGCTGCGGCCTCGCTCTTCCTGAGTGCACCGAAGAATGACACTAGAAGGATAACAGGGAGTCTCGCCTGCAAAGAAAGATGGTTGGAACCTGGAGGAAGCTTGCTGATCATCGCAAGCGTGAGTGCTTGTTTCTGGGTTCTGTCCCCGAAGACACCCTTGCGACGAAGGCGAGCAATAACCTCTCTGGTGCGGAGGCCGATGTAATCCTCAAGCTGAGGAGAGGCAGCTAAAACATCGCTTACGATCTCAGGCACGGAGGAGTACTCCGCAGCAACGGCTATCCCGATGAAGGTGTAGAGAGATGCTTCAGATGCCGGCCACGCACAAAGGGCTGTCCTCTTGATGATCATCTCATATGATCGCAACCTACTATTGGCAACGGCGTTGCTCTTCTTATTGATGAGAAGGTTCTCAAGGCTGCCCAAGGCAGCACCTAGGAGACCTGAGTCAGACGCAATTTCGCAGGCTATTCGCCTCTTGGCCGTCATGACTTCTCGCGGTTTTCTGATTACTATACCTGAAGAAGTAACTGAAGTTGAACCAGAGGAAGATGATGACCCTGTGGTGCACCTAGCCGGTGGTTGAAAGTACGGCAAGGCTCGCGCCGCTGCCGCTGGGGTCTGTTGCCACGGCAGCCTCTTATTGCCGCTAATGGCCATCTTTGGGCCGGGTGCCCAAATGTTCGTCAGAGCTCTTTCAAAACGAGCCTGTTCTGACTTTTCCGCTACGATGGCTTTCTCAGCCTCGGCTTTTTTCTTAGCTGCAAGCGCAGCGATCATATTTTTGAATGTGGAAGAGGAAAAAATGTGATGATTAATACAAATGACGGATTAGAAATAGCTCGGAATCGAAATCAAAATGGAAAATGACGCTTCCTCAAGAAACTGCACGCAGGCAACTTAGGGTGGAGAGTGGTGGGAGAAAATTAAACTTTGGACTCGGACTGAAGTGGACTGATGGAGTACTTTTGGAGAGCTGCCCTAGGACTGTGGACTGGACTTTATTATAGATATTTTAAGTAAGCCGATTTGCAGTGCCTTTTCCTATCGATGGTCTTTCTTTTAACACTTTCTTCTCTCCTTGTTACTCCTGCTCTCTCGCTCTTGAATTCCTCTTTTATATAGCAAGGAGGCGATGTGGACGAGGGACGAGAGAGAGAACACGAGAATCTTATTGGCTCGCACACGGGCGAAGAGCCGTGCTCGCGATATGGTTTATTTGTCAAGTTCAGATTAAATAAATAATGCAGTAATGACAAGTCATTCCTGCATGCATTTATTTTATCCGAACCTGACATCAAACTGTAGAACCAGTTCCCAAAAGCCGCGCCATGTGGATTGGCGCCCGACACAAGGATCACACCGATGACGGAAAGACTGAACAGAACGACCACCCAATGGTACTTTGCGCCTACCCCTTCGCGGAGGAACGACAGGCCAGCCGAAACCCCACGACTGAGGCGGAGCGCAAGGTACCAATAGTGTCGAGACGACGGCAAGATCCCTGTGTGGCGACAACCCTGGAAAGGAAAGGCCAAATCGAGACCTTCGAGACAATGGACATTGGACGCGACTGTCGGGTCTAACTCTGACTAGGAACTAGGACTGAAGAAGCCATGAAGACAAGCCTGAAGGACACAAGGCGGACGTGAGAAATCGCTGGACATGGACCGGACTGACAAAAAGCTCGCGAAAGGGGGGGTTTGCTAAGCCCCTGCTCCAACAAGTACTCTTAGGACGTGGACAAACTGAAGTGGAATGGGACACCGGACTGGACAGAAAATTAAACTTTGGGCTCGGACTGAAGTGGACTGATGGAGTACTTTTGGAGAGCTGCCCTAGGACTGTGGACTGGACTTTATTATAGATATTTTAAATAAGCCGATTTGCAGTGCCTTTTCCTATCGATGGTCTTTCTTTTAACACTTTCTTCTCTCCTTGTTACTCCTGCTCTCTCGCTCTTGAATTCCTCTTTTATATAGCAAGGAGGCGATGTGGACGAGGGACGAGAGAGAGAACACGAGAATCTTATTGGCTCGCACACGGGCGAAGAGCCGTGCTCGCGATATGGTTTATTTGTCAAGTTCAGATTAAATAAATAATGCAGTAATGACAAGTCATTCCTGCATGCATTTAATCATTTTTAAGGATATTTTCTTAACTAGATTTATCTGTCCATCCACAGGGGGGGGCCTCCCTCCCTGGTACATATATCAGTTTTTCAAACTCCTAAAGAGATAACTTTTAAACTACTGAAGAGTTAAAAGTAGAAGAAATCCACATGACATCGAAACAAGAACAACATCTATGTATATATCATAACTTTTCCTCACAAGAACATGATCAACACATTAACTTTCACACCTTCTAGACCCTGCTGCTCTACACCTCAAATTCCACTCCTGGCAATTCTAGAACCGTTTGGTCAGAGTTGTAAACGGCGTATTCCCACAACGCCTGAGGCATGATTCTTCCACTGTCATAGCCTTCAGCGAGTAGCTTCCAGAAGTCCGCCTCGTGGTCGGCGCATGAGAAGTCCTTGCAATTGCCTAGACGGACTGGGATTAGAAGGATGATCATGACCTGGAGATATCTTGCTCTAATATTTTGACAACCTTCTCAACGGGTTATACTTCTACCTCCCTCCATAATTTCACTCTGAAAACCTTTCCTTTCGTTTTTCCCTTCTCCTTCGTGACTGTTCGTTGTTTGTGGATGGCGTCTGCCTTTGATTCCGCAAGATAGATGGCGCCACCTAGGATACCCGTACAACCTCTTCGCAATTTACCTTCGCTTTCAATTTTTGCAGCTGCCTCTGCGAATTAGAAAAATTCAGAAAACACAAATTGTTTCTCTATATATCTCTAGGAGTAAAGTGGCATGGAGGCAGTGCCATACCTTCTTCTATCTTGAATGCTATCTTTGTTGACTTCATTGAAAAAGGGCACTTCTTCGCACTTACGTAGTACAGTACCTAGAAGGCAGAGTACTACCTGGAGTGCGCATTGTCTTCATGCCCATCTTCAATCCTCGTTCATAAAAGCTAGTAGCATGGTACATCACTTTGCAACCCGATTCTAACAATCTTGCTTCCCGTTGCGCCCAATTATCCCGGGATTTGTCGATTTTGCCGCGACGACGAAAGGCAGTCACCTCCCCTTCGTGACGCATGCGCTGACTCGAAGAATACATTGTTGTTGGAGATGTTCTTGTTTCGCTTGATGAAGAAGAGGCTCTTGGAGAACTGTTTGAAGAAGAACTAGCGGAAATGGGGGAGAGTAACCACTCAAACATGATTCTTCTACTGCGGTGATCATGATGAGGAGCTTTTATTCTGTGGCAAGCATCCAATCGCAGCCTATGAAAGCGCAGGAATTGTTACGGTTACCAGTCGCTCCAAAACAAATCGTGAAGTTCGTGGGTCGCCTTTTCCGTTTCTTCTTATACGTGGATTTAGAGGATTTAGAAGGATCATTCATCTAACATCAAGACGAGGAGCGTGACGAGGAGCAGTTATAGATACGGATCTCTTAGAAATGAATAAGGGCGATGAAAACATCGAACAACTTCTAGGATGATAATACACGAGAAGAACGGAACAATGAAAGAAGGGATATCAATACTATTCATCTATTTCAAAAGTTGTAGTCGTACCTAATAGTACGTGGTATTGACTTTGACGCCTGGCATTCACCTGTGATGTGAGTGTTTTTCTATTGTGGGCAGCTCAAAGCCTGGTGGCGTTCTTTACCTGCATTTCTTAATAGGCTGGTAGTCAATGATAAAGCCACCGACACGCTAACAACAGTTTAGAGACAAAGACGCTGCACAAACAGAGAAATAAATCAGTCAGTCAGTAATTTGGCTTCGTCTGGCTCGCCGTAGACACCAGAAGTTGGCTTCGGACTTTCTGCCTGTCACCGTGGTCCTTCGATTGTGATTTTCATTTTTACATATCGGATCTTTACATATCATATTTGCGTCAGACGGTATGATCGATGTGCTCCGGTTCGTCCGCCCGTCTTTCCGTCCTAGGAGCTTTGCCGCAACAAATGAAGTCCTTTGTTCGCCTGTGGCCACGTACCGAGTGAATTTCGATAGAATAGGCATAGAAAAAGCATCCCTGTTCAGGTTATCAACCATGGTTTATGAGAAGGCCAATGCAGCCATTGAAGTGATGGACGAATTCTTCACTTTGCCATCGGGCGAAATCATCGATTTTTCATCTTTTGTCTAGGTAGACTTATGTCAAAAACATCATCATAGTCATTCAGTATAGGAATAGGTGAGCGTGAAGCAAGATACGAACCCGAGAAATTGTACAAGCTCAAAACATCAATGCTAATGGAACATTATCAGCGGATACTTGAATTTACCTCTGTTTTCTCAACTACAGTTCTTGTCCTTTCCTCGTACAATAAACAGGTCGAGGAAGTAGTTCTATCATCATATTCATTGATGTTCGTTTTTGAAGGTCACAGTGAGTAGCGCAATATTTGTTCTCAGGTCCTTCTATTGTCACGAAAGGTTCTACTTCGCAACATGTTGTTATCACCGCACATGATAAAAGTCCCCAACTCCCCTAGCAAACTCTACCTTCCCCGTCAGTACAATCTCCTCCAAGTCCGGAGCCAGATCCGGACACTCTCTTAGTACCTGTCCCAAATTTCTCCCCACTACCTTCGGGTCATTCTCATAGACGCCACAGCCGATGTCGCACAAAATGAGCTTCCTTACAGCAAGAGCTTGCGGAATACAAAACCCTTGATTATACGCATTCACACTTTGCAACAACGTCTGGAATTTTTTTCGGATACCGCTTTCATACTCGTTTTTATCAGAGGGAGCGTCGTGTGGCTGCCCACTTACAAATCGATTGCGATTGTACATCGTCATCGTGAAAACGGTCACAGTGCGCGTCTCCCGTAAAAAACTGTAGTCTTGAGCGGCACGAAAAAATTCGACAAAAGGAGAAACTATCACATCGAAATGCCCCAGAGGAGACGCGTGTCCTGTCGCGTGCGCCAAGCTTTGATACAACGTAGACTGCACACAAAGTGCTTCTTCTAGAGCATGTCTGCCACCTGTCGTGAAGCCTCCTCCGGGTTGGAACCGGTTTCCAGGATTCACTACTCCAGTGTGATACTGCTCTGTTGCGTCTAGGCGTTGAATCAAATCAGTTACCTGTTTGTTGCGACGATGTTGTGGGGATAAAAGAATAGGAAATGTTTGATCGACTATAGCTCCTGTTGGATTCAGAAAGAATAAGTGCGCATCCCTTGTTGTGAAGAGAAAGTAGAACCTAAAGAACTTAACAGGTAGGTGACGATGCAAAAAAGTTACGTAAACAATAAATATAGACGCACTTACATCAAATAGAACAACAATCCCAGATCGAAAAACCTCTTAGAAGCAGTACATCTTCTCCAGCGTATGTGACACGTAGTGGTTGCGACCTGCTTCTTCCACCATCAATGCGGGGAACTGTCTGTGGATTCCAGAGTTGCGTCGCCTGGACAGAGCGCTCAGCATCGAGATCAATGCGGGAACCTTCTTGCTGTCTCTGATAATTGTAAAATGCGTACCCATTCAGTCTCACTGCTGCTGCAGTGGCTACTGCTAGATCAATACGTTTTTTTCGATGGTCGGAGTCGTTACTTTGTCGGAGCCATTGAAATGGTGATGCTCGAGCTCCATAAGTGCGAATTTGTTCAGCACGTAACCCCCCGCTCCAAGGTGCTTGAGACCAGATGGGCAGATGAAATTGCTGGCGTTGAAAAGCATGCCTGACGGATGAACCTCCGAAGCCGATGAAAAAGTTCGATCCACGAACATCCTCACACAAGCGGCTGACACGTTCATCGAAGGTTGGCGGTGGAGGTGGACTCGGTCGACGACATTGTTGCTTAGCTTGCTTGTTACTGTTAGCGTCAGCATTCCCATTGTGTCCGCCGCTTTTTTTGTGATTCCCAGTCTCAAAATTAGAGCTTCCAGACACTCCTCCTGCCTTGCGATTCGCGCCACAACAGGCTTGGTGGGTCGTACTCGTAGCGTTGCCCATGGTGATATCGTTCGCAGGAGAGTCGTCCCTTTTCTTGTTCTGGCCTTTTTGTTCTTTTTGATGAGAAAATGTGGCAGAAGGAGCTTCACTTGATGATGCTTCAGAAGATGTTGATGGTCGTTTTGAGACTTCTGCTTGCGTTTGACTTATCTTGTTGCTGGAACAAAGTGACGCGGCCGCTGCAGCCTTGTTTGTACTTTCTAATGAAGTTGTAGCAGTAGTGGTAGAGTCGTTCTTTGATTCAGAAGCCTGAGTACAAGCACCACTGTGGTTGGAGGATGAAGATGCTGGTGGAAGTGGAGTCGTGCGTATCTTTGAAGGTTCCACACCAGTGGAAGTCGTCTTCCCTTTCTTCCGTTTACCTTTTGACTTTTCCTGTTGCTGCAATGCTTTTCTTTTTTGCTTTTCTTGTTGCTTTGCGAGTCTACCAGCTTCTTGCTTTTGTTGTTCGCTTTGATTCAGATTTGTAGTCTTTCCTTCTGTAGTACCTTGGTCAATGCCTCCTTCTAAAGCTTCCTCGTCTTGGTCACCAGGATCACTGTCGTCGATGGTCGAAGAGGTCTCAAGTAGGCAATCTGAATCTTTTTCATCTATGACCACTGATATTGGTTCCGCAGTCTGACGCTGGTGTTCAACATCAACGAAAGGTATAGTACTATTTCTAGGCTTCCCAGAGCCGACTAAGATGAAATAAGCCAAAGCCGCGCTGTCTTGGTCGATGTCTCCTACTGCAGTTGTACTGCTCGTTCCTGCTTCAACATCAGTAAACACTTGCTCTGGAGTTGTTGTACCAGCAAAAATCTTCCGCTCTGTATTAAAAGCACTCGACGTGTCATCTCCCGATCCACATCCAACAGGTCGTGCATGTGCAGCTAAGACCGTTTCCATAGGCGGTTCGTGGTGGCTCGCTGCGCTTGCGCTTGCTTCAGGGAGTTCGCATATAATGATCTTTCTCTCCGGGCCCTCGTCCAGAGCTCCTTCTTCGCGTACTTTTAATTCAGTTATATTCTCCTTGTGAAATTCGTGTTCCTTGCTTTGCTTGAGTACGTCGAGCGCAGATTTTGATGTCCACGTTGGGTCATCCTTTATGGCTCCAGTGATGCCCGTAGAATAAGTAGCCTCGTCTGTAGTTCTTGTATCTGTGTTTGCTTGGACGTGGCCTAATGGAATCTCCATGGAATGCCTCGTGCCTTGTGCTCGTGCCGCTGAGGGAACCGCACCTATACCTAAGGGAAGATTCAAGTTCCCAGGACTTGAACCTGTGCAACTCTTGCTATTCACGTTTCCTCGATGTAAGCTCACAGCGCCTGAAACTGTACCAGGTGGTATACTTTTCAATTTTTCTCTTCCACTTCTCTTGACAGGCTGGCGTCCACCTGTGCAAGATCCAGTTGAAGATGCATTGCCCATCGCCTCCGGAAGCTCATGATGATCGTTATTGCATCCAGATTCTAGGTCGATGAGCGGCTGCATAGCATCGTCCCAAGCCTCTTGTTCCTTATTTTTGTGGCCGCTGCTTGTTCCGTTTACTCTGCATTCAGTTGTAGTACTTCTTGTCCCCAAACAGTAGGAGAAAAAGGCTTCTTTGATTCGTAACCCAAAGCCTCCGAATGCTAGTACTACGTTAAGAAGTGATGCAAATAGTTGCCTCGTTCCTTGTTCGGTCACAGTTTTTACTGAGGTTGCTACATAGCTCCCACCATCGTTGCTCCCGATGCTGTCGTTGTTTGTTTCTTCTCCAAAAAACGTGGAATTTTTCTTCCCTGTCTTACAACGTCGATGCGTCATATGCGGTAATTACTTCACCAAGATTGTATTCGGGCGTCGGAAAGGAAAAAAGATCAGCATAAGTACATTTGCTATGCTCAATTTATCAGAAAACAAGAATTTTTCACAAACAATCATTCACAAACTGTTGAAGTAATCGAGTCAGTATATGGATCACCTGCTTTCATCTACTTTCTACTTAGAGAGGAAATTTTCAGGGACAGGAACAAAAAAGAATGTTGTGCTATCAGATCTATCTACGATAATTACGAGGGAAACGAGGAGACAGCACCTTGATTGTAGTTCTATCTATCAATACGATCCACATCTACTCAACAATCTTTTCGTATTCAAATTCATTCGGAAGGTGTCATTAAGCGATTCAAGTTTCCAGCTACAAAACTAGTCGCAGTACATCCTGAGGTCTTCTAGTCTACTTCTCTTACAATTTCTAAAACCGATTTCACCTTACCTGAAATTGTTGATCTCGAATTATCAATGTTCGGAGATGTAAGGGGACGGCGGCGCTGGAGGGTGAGTTTGCTTGTAGTTCTAAGATTTAGTCGTCATTATCGTGTGTCTCAATATGGCTATGGCTGCACAATACCGATACAACTTCAATTATTTGTGTCTTCTTCTGCAGCACGTCAAAAAGCACAAACATAATCAATTGGAAAAATTGTTTGACTTTTGATAGATTTGAAGATTTTTATTCTGTTGGATAAGCGAGCGATCCTTGGAAAGCGTCAGATTTCTTTGATAGGAGAGAGACAGTTGTTGGTAAGATGAGAAGCGATAAAAGTAACGACGTCAATGACGAAATCAGCTTTGTCCTTTTTTCTCCGTCTCCTTCAACCATGAAGAAGTGGTCTTACAACATTTTGACGTTGTTGTTCCTTAGGCAGATGCGGGACAATGCCAATGCAGCATTGCGGCATTTACGATTCTCATCAATCATGAATTTTGAAGGTAAAAAAGCCAATGATAATTTGAAAGAATCATACAACTATACTATCTTACACAATGAATCGCAAGAATGTCGGTCCGTCTCAATAAAAAAGCGAACAAGATATGTGTACCTACTGCTAGTACAAGGAATGGACAGGTATCTTCAGAACAGCCAGATACCCAAAAATCACCACGAGATTCTAGGAATGAGAGGAATAATTAAAATCTTTTGTGGAGCTAACATTTTTCAAAAGTACATGAGATGATATCCAGCAGTACTAACGAGAAAGTTTTTGTTGTTTGTTTGTTTGTTTTGATGCGCTCCGGGCGACGCGTACGATCCCGCCGGATTTCTTTGTGCTCTGTGTGTGTTGTGCTATGGTCGTTATTGCGATCGACTATGGTATGTCTGGTCGCCACAGTCCCCGCCGGCTGCGGCTTTTGTGGCATGCCGGGCGCGGTGTGCTGCAGGCGGCGGCGACTGCGCGTAGGTAGCGCCTGGCGGTGAGGCGCGGCCGGGTTTGGTTGACGTTTTTACGGCCAGCGTGCTCTGCTCTTCGCGTTCTCGTTTTGTCTTCGTTCTCCTTGTCTATATTCTTTCTTGTCTCCTCCTTGCTCGTTCTTTGTTCGCCGCCACCTATCTCGGCCCCCGTCCTATCGTAGCGGGCAGCGATGGGTTTACCACAGTGGCCGCTACTCGTTTCCCCTTTTCTTCACTGGAGGCGTGGCGGCTGCGCTCGCAAGAACGCACCGCCGAAGCTGGTCGCGAAGTCGCGAAGGTATGGGATGAGCTGCTTCGAGTTCGACGCAGCCGCCCCAACATTCGCCGGAACCCCGTGAGTCTCTACTAGATCCGGGAGCACAGGGCACCCTAGTAGGTGCTGCGTGCTTGCCGCAAGGCCAGGGTAAAACGGGCAGCCAACGTCCTCCCCGGTGACTCCGCTCGCCAAGCGTCCCACCCAGTCTCGCCGCTCGTCTTCCCGCGAGCATGCTACGCCTCGCAGGAGGTCCTCGCCGCCGCTGCCTGTGTCTGTTACGGTCTTGGCCGTCTTGCTCCCTGTGCGTGCTGCTCCGCTTATCTGGCGCGACTTGGCTACGCGAAGCGCCCGCGCTGCCTCCGTGCGGTGCTGCCGGTGGCAATTTGCCTGCCCCGTATCGGCAGGGAAGTCCGCAGAGCTTGTTTCCATTTGTACAATTCTTAGCAACTTTGCTCATAAACACAAACCAAAAAGTACATTTTTCATACCCACTACCACCATGATATGCTTGATATTTACATCACGAACAGCAACAACAAATGAATTCATTAGCCAGGACGACTAAGCCCTTCCACATGTTCAAGGACTACGTACAACTTGTGTTCAGCCTACCTGCTTGTCTACTCTTCGCCCAGTATCTTCACTTGATCGTAGTTATACACGACGTAGACACCAGAGTTCTGCTGTACGGAGTCCTTTGTTAAAGAAATCCATGCATCAGAAATCCATCTCGAATATTACTGTGGATCTACTCAGATGGATTTCTGAATTACAAGAAGAGTCCCTCTTAACTTTCCCCTATTCTGAAGCGCGATAAACTGATAACTTCCGGCGCCAAACGTGGATCTCGTCTCTACGGCACCCAGACGGACCTGGCAGCGAAAGACTACCTGAGAGCCATTTTGAGATGCTGACCGAGCTCCACTGGCTGTTGTAGCGAAGTAAATGCCTGGACCAGAACAGCCGTTAGTCCCACGTAGGAACTTACCGCTGCAACGATTAGCGCCGGAGGAGGTATTACATTCTCATTGTTCAAACGCGGCTGGCTTTGAGTGATCATTCTCAAAGTTGCATTCCCCTTCAGTTATCCTCAGTGAACAAATCGAGAGGAGTCCACCGCTCGGGATCTGACCAGCATCTCACAGCAGCACGGGATAGGGATAGATATCTCACACGAGCAAAGTAGGACATTACACTTCTAGTACGCGAAATAACCACAATCCCCCAGGATAGAGGTGTGTATGTGTGTATGTATGTATGGTACACTGAAACAGGGGGAGGCCAAAAGGTACAAGCCTACAAAAATACAGGGGGCCCAGCTTTTCCGGTCCATGTATCCGAAAAAACTAGGAGATCCGAAACAACTGTAAGCAGCTAACCACCTTAATCCGAATCGCGGCAGCCGCGCTCGCACTTGTGGCATGGTAGAGCACTTGGACGTTGGTGTCCAACCGCTTATGACGGGCTACGCGATCATACCGTAGTTCGTCACTGCGTCCAGTGTCCACTGATGCTGGCATCTTCTTGTTCTTCTTGATGGAAGAAAGTCCAGTAAGAATGGAGATGATGTGATCGTCCTCCTTATTAAATAGTCAGGGGCAAGAACAATAGACTCAATGTTACAACAGTGAGAGGAGTGTTCTTGGGAAAAAAACAGCAGGTGCGTAGCAAGCAAAATGATCGGATTCGGAAAAAACTGTAAATACTATCTTTCAAATGGTGTCCTGTATTTTTTGCTGGGGGCGGGAAGATGCTTACTTTCAAATTCGTGGGGCTGGATGATTTTTCAATACTGCGCATTGGGTTGGTGACTTTTCTTGACCGACACCGGAGACGGAAACAGATAAATATCATCCTCGCAACAGTGCTTGCGCGATCTTCACTAAAATCATGATGCATCACTGTGTACGTAATTAGGTAAGCAAGAACATCAATCAAGAGAGAGAGAGATCATGAGATTTAAATCATATTTTGAATCGCGTGCGACGTGTGCCATCTTTCTTCATTTTAGATTTTCATTTCTCAAAAGCAAACACAAATTTTGAAAAAATAATCACCTCTGCTCTACAGATCGATGTTGAGCAAAACCCAAGTATAGAGTAGGCGCACTACTCGCCATCTTGATGTGGCAGACCTAGACTCTTCTTTTTTTCCCTTGCTCCCGAAGGCGGCACCACCCTGGAGTATGCTGCGCGCAGTGGATAGCATACTCCAGTGTCCCGAATCCCGATATCGTGGAGGGAGCCAGATCAAGACTAAGTAGTACAAATATGAAATTCTGAGAAAGTGCTGTTCGATTGCAGACTCGAAAAATAACAGCATTATTACTTTCCAAGATGCTCTGCATAGCAGCGAATCTTCGAGAGGTACCACAGCGATGGTATGATCCTCTCCACGAGGAATATAGTTGACATGAACGTGTCCCCATCCGAGACCCTTCACGAAATTCGTATGGTCCTGGCACACCATCAGCTTTTTCGCCGTGTCAGCTTTTTTGCCCGTCAGCTCTTAAAATGGGATCTCCTAGTCCGCCGCGAGGTCGATTTAGATTTTCCAATGGTATTTCATGCAGAGTCTCTCCTTCACAATGCAATACAATTAATCTCGCTTTTTTTTTTTTTGTAGTGCGAGCGAGTTCCGATAAGTCAGAACCTACCGGCGTATTTTCCGCGTGGATACCGGCATAGGGGGGAGTTCAGACAGACTGCCAGTGCAGACTGCCAAAGGGCGTCGTAGTTTTCCGTCACGATGATACCACAGATTCCTGGCACCTTCTTCACCTCTTGCCTCCGTCTCTTCTTCTTCCTCGACCAGCGAAACGAAAAAATTCTTGTTCAGATTTCACCGAAAAGGAGATACTCTTCTGGATCCCCAATCACCGTATTTCAACATCAAACTGGAGAGGCTTGATGGCTTTTTGTTCAAGGTTGCTCCAGATCCGCAGCAACTTTGTCCGTGTAATACAAGGAATGAGGAGACTATCGAATATCAAGCCTCATAGATACGAATACATTGATTATCTACGATATCGCAGACATCGACAACCATGTCAATGCCCTCGGGAGAGATTTACTTTGAATTATTCACAACGAACGCAATTCCGATAAGTACATGTTTTGAACTCACACATCATGGTAAGACATTCTACAAACTCCTTGCTACAAATATCGAGATTAGAAGGCCCCCTAGGCCACGCATTCCAATCAGCAAAAATAGAAGCAGCTTTTTCTACTTTTATTCAGACCAATATCATGATTTTGATGTTTTTGAAACCCTCCAAAAATATCGTTTCATCCGACTAACTATTCTATTTCTTATTCTTCGACCAGCAGGTCGAATCTTCTTCTGCTTCTTTTTCATTAACAAATCTTGTCATACGAGCTTCGGGAAGAAGGACCAGAGGTTCTTGCTCTTCATCTTCAGCATGCCTCCCTTGAAAGGTTTGCCTTTCACCGCCTCTGATACATTCTTAATCATGTCTTCCTTGAAAGGTCTCTCCTTCTCCGATAAGTTCGACTTGATCGCTGTTGTAAACAGCGTATTCTGGATTCGGACACACGGTTGTCAACACCGAGTCATACCCCTCGTCATATAGCTTTCGAAACGTCAAACTTTTGTCGACTAGGTTTTAGAGGGGGAGATTTTTGGATCGTAACAGCAAACAGAGATTTCTCAGAAAATCGTTCTTCAGCATCGCACCTTCTAGTTGTACCTTGCCTCAGAAGACACTCAAGCACAATATGACTTGGAATGCACCACCATATCATGCAAATAAAAAACCACCTAGATCGAGAAAAGCAAGTCTCTGTCCTTAAGCAGAAACATTTTTCGTCACACCGAGTTTGACTCGGCAGCGGTAGACGACGCCCGTCTCACTCTTTCTTACGGTACGTTGCTTGTGCTCTGCTTCGCCCTTGCTTCGCGCGAAATAAATCGCGCCACCACAGGTGCTGAGGGTTGTTTACAGCGATGTTGTGATTACAACGAAGTACTGTGACGTTCTGAAACAAGCAACGAGTAAGAGAAAATCAAGTTCTTTACGGTTACGACCTAGCTCATCGTTATAATTTCGAAAACAACCTCAACAAGCAACCATCTGTAATTCGAGAAGGTTGAAATCAATATGCGAAAATTGCCGGTACACAACCATAACTGAATCTCCTGACCTATTTACCCTGTTTTCCCTCGTAGCAGTGTCTTCGAGACGTTGATCTTGGCGGTAAACTTAGAAGAGCTACCGCATCAGAAACCTCAACAGCATTCTGCACCTTAGCTTTCTTTCCGCAATCACTACAGTACAACATCAAGTAGAGCCTACAACTACAAAACCAAGTGCTTCGTCATAGGTAGTATGCTGAGGATGTGCACCACCGTTTTAAAATTATAGCCTTAACATGAGCCTGATCAGTCGCATGCCACAGTTCCGTTGTACCCGCGTCAGCTATTCTTGTTTGTCGCTTTTTTTAGAGGTAGGTTTTTGGTGCTTGCTTACCCCGCTTTTTATGCCTTTCTCATCCTAAGGGAAAGAGGCATAAAAAGCGGTAAGAAAAGCACCTTTAACCTACCCTTAATTTTTCCATGTCTCAGATTCGAAATCGATGCTTGAGGATTTCTTGAAAGGCACTACCTCACCCTCACCAGAGAGACGACGATAATTATTGCTGCCAGCTCTCACGCCACGAACAGAAGGTAGAATGTTTCTGCTTGTTGAGGTGCTCGTGTTTTAGAAGAAGAGAAACGATGTTGATAGACGTCTGGACGATATCCCTGTTCGGGGAAACCAACGAACAAGGCACCGGTGAGGAAACGAGCAATAGAAAAATAACAACAGAGTCATTCATTCATTTACCTGTTCGCGAGGTGTTGTCTCGAGTGAGGGGACTCATTTGCGAGGCGAAAATTCAGGGTTTGAATGCAGTGGGGACATTTTTCTTAGTGTTATTTGGTATTGCTTGGTATCATAAAGCACGGCGCTCTCGTCTTCGTCAATCGTGTTATGGCCCACGGGTCCTCGAAACCCACGTGGGGAACGCGCAGCAACAGCAGCAGTCGCCATAATGGTCGATTTTTTCGAATACTGTGTTCTTTTTCACGTCGGTAACAAGTTCTGGCTTGCTTCAAGAATTGGAGGGTCGTGTACAACTTACATAAAATCTTATAGAAGACTGAGACTCAATTATTCATCAACATGAAAGAATCAGGAAGTACCGACATGGATACACCCTCTCTATATAAAAACGTACAACAACGAGGTGGAAAACAACAAAACGAGCCAATTCGAACAAACAGCGAGGGATCCTCGTATGAGAAATTGAGTTTCTTTAAACACCAACTACAACTAGAATCACGGTCTAGAAAAAGTCGTATTACAATTTCGTCTCACTAATTTTCTTCTCCTGGGTAGAATCAGTTTGTCCACTTTTAGAAATGATCATTCTACTTTTAGACACACGATCGGGTGCAGATTGGGCAGAAATGATCCTAGACCGAAAGATAAGTAGCCATAGCAGTGACTCTTCGGGACATGAAACTTGGTGATTTGGCCAGAGAGATTTCTGATTTGCCGGCTGTACCATTAGAGTTCCACTCAACCGATGCTAATTGCGGTATTACAGTGCAGGTGGGGCTTTTCTTGCTCCACCTTTTGACACCGCGGCTGACGTCATTTGGGCTTTCAAAGCGAGCCTGAAGCTGATTCCTTCATCTAAGTACTTCACTGATAGATTTATACGAGAAAAATCCTTGGCTCGCCTTTGTCAATTCCAAGATGTGTTGTTTGTCTGGCTTTGCAACAAGGTCGAGGTTGTACATCTACATGTTCATTAAAATCATAATACTTGATGCGCAACCGCAATGGATACTTCCTGAATACAGTGTTTTTGATGGTGGCCCTGAATCATTAGATTTTTTCAAAATTGTGTGCACTAGAGTTTTAGCTATATTCTTGAGAAAAGGATAGTACTTACGAAGAAAATCGATGGATTTAGATCAGCACATGGTAAAATCACAATAAGCAAGTCACGTTTTCGTCCTCTATCAGACATCACTATGCATTCATTATCATCTAGTAACATGACAGACTACATATTCAAGAATAGGATTACCTATACAACACACGGCCGCTAAACATTCTGTGCCCCCTCTTCATCTGGAGGCGGCTTGCCTCGACAACAGAGGAGGTCGAGAAAGGAGGACTTTTTCCGTTTCGGTTGAGCTGCGCCACCCAGTGACCCGTCCGCATTGCGCCAGTTGCCTGTGTTGTTTCCCTTCTTCCTTGCAGCCGCGGCAGCTGGCGTGGCGTTGGTGTTAGATAAGATCGAGAGATAGAGGAAATTGACATAGTGCATCGATTGACTTACCAGAGAGAATCTTCCAGCACAAGAGGCTGTATCTGCTTACCGAAATAGGGTAAAAACGATGGTGGAATAGAAGTAGCTCGACGACTCGTCCTATAATCAGTCCAACTTACCTACCTACGACACCTACGACAATCAAAAAAATGTAAATGATCCTTCATAATTGTGGTGGAGCCGACCTAACTAGAAAAAAGACAGACCAGAGGAAGATATAAAAGAGAAAAGGGTAACTATCAACAACACAATGATCCTTCATAATGTTATTCCTCTGTCCTGCACCTCTGCCCCCATTTGTTCCTGGCACAGCCACAGGAACAACTGACTTAACACATTCGTGTTCTTCTTCAAATCGGTGTTTCAAGCATAGCTGCTTACCACATTTCCCACAGTCGAAGCGATTTGTAAGGTTCAACTTCTGTCGACAAACAGCACATCGGTCTGCTTGCTCGTTAGAGGATGGAGATATCACGACACATCTTGTACTCAATTACAATTAGAGTCTACAACACATATTGATCTATCTACTCGCCCTCTTATTGTCATCGGAGGATGTTTGTACCTTCGTCATCACCCAGCATGGTCAAGTAAGTACTTACGTCTATCTCTTCAATACTTTTTGTACCAGTATAGTCGCTCTATCTACAAATCCATAATTTTTGGCGAGCCAGGGCATTCTTTAGCATGTGCATCCCAAGCATCTTGTATGGAACCCGACGTAGACACCCGTAAGCCCTTCTTGCATTTAGGACAGACCTGATTTGTATTTAGGACGGACCTGGTTTGCATTTAGGATAGATCTGATTTGTATTTAGCCCCTATGTTCGCTCGTCCAGCTATCAATCTGCTAAAGACAATGATACCTATTAAGAAGCATAATCACTTACAGTATTAGTAGGAAGCCTACCTAAAAAGTGAAGCCTCCTAAAAATGTTATCGCGTACCACAATCGTGAAATCTTTTTCCCCTGCCTTCGGACAGGCATGGGCTGCATAGGATCTGTGCTCCAAGCAGAAAACTTGAGAGCAAGCATCGCATTTGAAGGGTAGGAAATCCAGTTTGTTGCACCCGGGAAAGGCACAATGCTCACCGCCGTAAACTTCCATGCTGACTTGGGTCGTGGATCGCCTCAGTAGGTACGAGGAGAGGCTGAACTTGCAGTCTCGCAGGAATCTTCCCCAAGCTAGCTTCAACAACGCAGGTGTCAATCTTCTTCTTCCAGACGCAATGTCGTGGAACAGATTCTTGGGTTCAGCTCTTTCTTACCACGGAGGAGCGTGGTGGAAGCGAGCAGAGATGTCCTTACATGTTGAGTATTATAACGCAATCAATGCTTGCTTACACTGGAAAGTCTAAGTGTAACGCAATGCTTTACAGTATTTCATCTTTGCGAACTCCACTAAATACTTCGTCTAAAAGTAATCGATCGTGCTGTTCCTGTTTGCTCATTGAATGCAACCTTCTCACTCAAAGCAACTCGATTCACCTCTCCTATTTTTCTGACGTGCTAGTTTCTATCTCGCCTGACTATCACTCTCCATCGGTCTCCCCTGTTTCAGTTACTCCCTGTAGTTGCGTGTACGGCGGACAAACACAAAAAGAAGATATGGCCACACAGCGTCCTCCGCTTGTTTCGCTTGGTGCAGCTCCTTGCGAAAACGAAAAGCGCAAGAGAGCCTTTTCGCGGCTGAGAATGAAAAGTAAAAGAAGTGAATGCATCTTTTTTGAAACAAGTGATTTGTTGAAGGGATAGACAGCGTCTTTGTTGAAGATGCCATGGACCACGAGGTCCATATGCTTGACAATCTTCAGCAATGATTTATTTTCTGCGCGAAGATCATCTGGATATACCTCTTGGATTCTTAGTGGTTGTTCTTGTATACGCGTATAAGTGTTATTTTTGTGTGTTGTTATTGTTGTAGTAATATTACTTACAACAGCTATTGTTCATGTTGTTTTTGTTCTTGAGTGTATTCGAGTGTTCGAATGAATGTGAATGGATTTGTAGACAATTATCCGTTAGGGGTTGATCCTTTCCGTAAACTCTGCTCCATGCTGCAAGGCGTACAGGCATGGGCGAGTTAGATGTTATTGATGTGACCATATTTCTAAGGGCTAAATAGTGATAAGATATGAAGATGCGAACGAGACGAAATATTCGTTCTACTTTAGATATGGAAGCACCTAGTACTTCTCTGCTTTCGTCCATAATTTCAAGAGCAATACCTTAAAAAATGCAGTTCTTCATGTTGTAGTATCCAAGTATAGATTAAGCACATGATGGATGAAGCGCAATCCCCTAAGTGCAGTTCTTCGTCAGACGAAGTTCTTCTTCTTGATGTTGGAGTATCTCTGTCTTCGTAGACACTAAAAGTGAAGTTCTTCGTCAGACGAAGTTCTTCTTTTTGACTACAATGTAGTATCTCTACTTTCTGAATACTACCGTTCTTAGCGTCCACGCGAATCACGACGGGAGCGGGAGCGAGATCGAGATCCCCTACCGGGGCCGCCAGCCATCACGACTTCAACCTTCGCACGATCACCTGACATCATGTTTTTATGGTCGTATGGGAGTATTCAACATAAAGACGTTAACTATAGCAGGTAGTTGTAGCAGAAGGTGCGAGAAAATTGAAAAAATACCATCATCTCTAGCCGTAATAGACTGCGTCTACCCTTTGCACACAAAGGTCAGCCAAATTCATCAAATGCCTTTCATTAACGCTAAGAGGAACCATCTTTGGAGTGACACTATCGTTATCACACGTTACTTAGTGCCATCACTGAAACTGAATAAGAGGCTGAGTCTAAAAAGAAGTACCATCTCTAGCCGTAAAGGTTTGGCCGTCCAGCTCCTTGACTGCTGCACGCGCGTCGCTCTCGTTATCGAAGCCACCAATGCCGATGTCTTAGAAATAAAAAGTAAAAGAAGAGTGTATCATTCCCATGATGTGCTTATATATTCAACAAGTCGAAAATATAAAGGAGCCAAGGTCATCATGGTCATGTAGTTGATGTTGTAGGATTATGTTCTAGGGCGATGGATGTGGATATGCTTCTGCCATAAATGTCACGGTCAACATCGGTGAATTTAACGTTGCCAGCTCTGCGCAGAAAGTCTTTCACATCTTGCCACGAAGCAGTCGGCGGAATACCAACCACCTCAACTTTGAAATACCTTTTGGAGTTTGGAAATGAGAGTTCTCAAGACCTTCTTCTACTTAACACGAATCAAGCTACGACTCCCGATGCTCAACCACTATCTAAGACTGTAGAGGACTAAGTAAATCCTAAAAAATTTCAGTACCTTAGATACTTAGTCAAAAAAACTACTTACATATTCTCATTAAGTAAGAGGACTAAAGTACATATTCTCATGAAATAAGACGACTAAGTAAGTAAATGCTAGTAAATTTTAAAAAAAATTTGAGTACGAATCCCTGAGTCCTCCTGCTTTGGCAGAACCTTTACCGCCACCTCGTTTGCCACCGCGGGATCGGGAATCGCGACGACGCGAGTCACGTCGTCTGCGTGAGTCACCACGACGTCCCTTACCTTTTTCTGGCGGGTTACTGAACTCCACACGAAGGCGGCGGTCGCCTACGGCGTAGCCGTTCCTGGTGTTAAATGTGTGATCCCGTTAACAGGCTGGGTAGAACAAACTGTCGTAAACATATTAGGTAGCGCACAACATAGGTAGCGCAACAAAACATGTGGTAGCGTTAACAGGCTGGGTAGAACAAACGGCACAACATAGGTAGCACAACATCGGTATTAAATGTGGTAGCGTTAACACAAACTGTAGTAGTAGTAGTTTACACATTCTACGGGTATCATGTCCTGCTACAATACAATTTATCTCGCACAAAGTTCAGTGCGCATAGGTAGAGAATCATGTTACCAACTTATTCAGCACGGGTAAGCACCAGATGTTATTGGGTTAAGCATGGGTCACGATTAGAATTGAGCTTGGGAGGTCCAGATTACGATACCTTCCATCCTTAGCGTCTTCTGCATCACGAGAGTCACTGTATTCTACGAAGGCCATGGTGTCGCCAGCTCTTGTTCGCCGCACGCAGCAACGGGAGAGACGTCCGTATTTGGAGAAAGTAGATTAGAGAAGTGGAAGAAATACGGGGGAAAAACTAAGAACAAGCCAATTATACATAAAATTTCTTGTGGAAGAAGTAGGAGTAATGCTATAGGGTATTTGTGGGACGAGTCGCGTTCTTGTAGGGGGAGAGAGATAATCTAGATATGGGAGTAATGTTGAGAGATAGACAGCGAGTTTAGAGAGAGAGAGAGAGAAAGGATTTTTTCTCCATCGAGGATCATGTGAAAGGGGGAGTAATCGCGTAAGGAGAGAGAGGAAGATAGAGAGAAGTAGGCGGAACACAGAGAGAAGCAAGTAGGGAAGAGAGATGGAGACTTTCTGTGAGATTATCGCAGCTTTGTATGTTGACCTTGAGAAGTACAAGATCGCTGGTAACTAACAATTCGCCAGCCCAGTAGAGGGGGCACACTCCTCTACAATCTACTCATGCGTTACCTACGCTCTTCTTCTAGTCACTCTTACTTACTCTTTTGACAAGTGACCTCGTCTCTTAAATGTCCTCCAACTCTTCTTCCTTCGTGTCATCCGGAAGGTTGAAAACGGCAAGTTTTCCCGACATCTTTTTCCTAAGACACGCTTAAAGCGATCCAATGTGTGTTATGTGAATGATCAATACTATTCAATAGCGCCTGTTCGATGTTGAGTAGGAATGGATTACTGGGTTTTTTTACCACGACCTTGTTTCAGAGAAGTAGCTAGTATCTGACCACGAACCTTCGAGAGGACTGCTTATTATATAGTACCAATGAGTCTTTGGAGCTCCCCCTCATACAAGAATTCGTTCTTGGTTCTTCCATTATAATTGTTATCCAGTCAGATGAATGTTAGTGGTAGAGGCGATCCTCTTAGTTGTACAGCTGCTTGGTGTCAGCAGGAGTTGTTGTTGTCTTGATTGCTATACTGCCAAGAAAGACGATGAATCTCCACAGCATTTTTCAGAAGATTTTAAATTTTCTGGCTCACGGCGTCCACAACGGGCCAGGGCTTCATCTCCAATTTTCTCATATCATAAGCGGAGGCAGACTTTCCCACAGTTATCCCCGGTCTAAGTCCAGCTGAATCCAGCACATTTTGATCACGTCGAAAGACCTCTACCAGCTCCAAAGATCAGAAGAGGATCCTAAACAAAGATTAGACACTGAAGTCAGAAGGGGTTTGAACTTTGAAGTTGAACTTTGAAGTTGACCGAGCCGACACATGGAGGATCCTGACAACAGAACTCAAAAGAGCGCACGTCAAAAGCAATTTTGAAGTAGAAGCTGAACTACTACTTCTACACACTACAAGAACCCTCGTTCGAGGTACAAGAAACTTCTTTTGACGGTACCCTTACAAGTACCAAAGCTCTTGTACTTGCTAGTAGCGTCAAAAGAAGTTTCTGATTCTGTAACTAAGGTACAAATAAAGTATTTCAATTTCTGTTTTGTACTTGCTACAAAAGTGTCGTTTCAAGGTACAGTTTTGATACTCGAACGAGCGTTCTTGAAGCACAAGAACACTCGTTTCTCAAGCATCTGACATCCACGTGGAGCAAACTGTTTCAAGACTTTTGCACTACGCGACTGCTGGCTAGCAGCTACGTCTATGCCAAGGAGGCATGCGCGTGACAGCTCAAGTATGTGCGCACCATGTGGCGTCCCAAGTAGGCCTGTGCTGAGGCATGTACGCATCATGATGACATTTGCTGGGGCACGTGCTGAGGCATGACAGCTCAATTATGTGCTGAGGCATGTGCCCACCATGATGCTGATGGCGTCCCAAGAAGTAGACCTAGAACTAGTCTATGATCTACAAGTCATCAAGTAGCCCTACTAGAGAATCTTTATGCGAATGAAGTGTAGGAAAAGAAGACCATGCTGGCTTCTGCGATATTGAAGATATGCCCCTAAGCAAGGCTAGTAAAGCGTATGAGTAATTCTTATGTTCTTGAGTAATCATTTCGATCATAGATCAGTGCCACCAGAGTATAGGAATAATTGCTGCTCCGAATGGTAAGTTCTACGAACATCGAAGACTTACCCAAAATGACAGAAACGAGGACTGAGTGGAAAGAAGTCGAAAATTGAGTACCAGTTCTACTAGGTCCTCAGAAGTTTCACTATCCTTGTCGATACTGTCCTCTTCGCACCTCAAAAACAGAGCGTCCCTCACTCATGTTTGCATATGCACCGCCTGGCTGCATCTGAGGTTGCATTTGTTGGGGTTGCATTTGGGGTTGCTGGATCACCGGCTGTTGCTGCTGCTGCGGCACCATCCCTCCGTGTTGTGGTACCATTCCTCCTTGTTGCGGCACCATCCCTCCTTGTTGTGGTACCATGCCTCCCTGCTGCTGCTGCGGCACCATGCCTCCTTGTTGCGGCACCATCCCTCCTTGTTGCGGCACCATCCCTCCTTGCTGCGGCACCATCCCTCCTTGTTGTGGTACCATGCCTCCCTGCTGCTGCTGGGGCACCATCCCTCCTTGTTGTGGTACCATGCCTCCCTGCTGCTGCTGGGGCACCATCCCTCCTTGTTGTGGTACCATGTTGGGCTGCATTCCCGTCGGTATCAGTCGCTCCGTCTCTGCGTAACAACCGCCACCTCCAGCACTAATTGCGCCATTGTTGTTGCAAGATTTAGAGCCAGTTGCATCTGACCAGGAGAATAACTAAAACTAAAAACGTGAACCTGGATAGAACTCCACCAGGCAAAAACTACTCAAGCAGTTACTTATCTATTACTTCTGTAACTCGGTCCTCACAAAGCCATTGTCCCATACGAAGATCCTTTCTAAAATTTTATCCATCTGTCACTATGGCCATAATCATAGTCCCATACGAAGGGCCTTGCATTTGCACTTGTGACGGCGGCCCTTGAATCCCCGCAAAGGGGTCCGAAACCAACCCCATCTGGGGATTCAGGTTGTTCACAATCGTCGTATTGAAAACTTGTGGACTCCAGTTCCGATTAGAGCTCGTCAAAGCCATTCTAATAAGATGGGAGTATGTTGTTCACTACTAGTACTACAAGTACTAGTACCACCGTAAATTAAAGAAAAAGACGATTGCTTCTTGGGTTTGTCAGAATAGAAGGAAACTGAGAAAAAGGAGCTGTGACCATGAAATACTTTGAGCCTCTTAATCTGAGCCATGGCCACTTGAGGACGCATTACCAAGGGTGGCGTTCCGTAGATGTACACCGGCACTTCAGTCACCGCATCGTTGGCGCAGGTTACCTGTCCGCGAACCTCCAATGTGTACTCGACCTACATCTTAGAGTGGAAAGTAGCTGAAAATGCTTGGAAATGAACTAGTACTCCAAGAATGTATACTCGACTTGCACCTTAATCATGAGACCGTCTGGGCAGGCGTAAGCTCCGCCTGTGCCTTTTTTGCGAAAGATTGGAGAGGCTTGCAAAGCTCTGAAGAAGCCAAGGCCCACACAGCAGCCTACCAGACGCCGACAGCCTACCTACCTACTTAAACTGCCTAGGTAAATAGCTACTTTAACCCGGTAAAAAATTTAAAATCTGAATATATATCTTTTGCTACATTACCCTTTTTATGTTGGTCATATGTACTCGACTTGCACCTTAATCATGAGACCGCCAACGCAAGTCGGCACTACGTCTGGGCAGGCGTAAGCTCCGCCTGTGCCTGATTGACGGTGTCCGCTATAAGTCGTGCGGCTATTGGCATGGCTGCCAGGATTATTTTCACGGATTAGAACCTCATGGATGGAAGCGAGAGTGTCTTTTGTGACGTACAACACACTAGTTCTAGTACACAAGACGACAAGACAATACTACCGTGCTTACTACAGGCCTAACCAAAATGTTGTGACACCAATACTACTCCACCCAGTACACATGCTTACCTAACCAAAATATTGACACCAATACTACTCCACCCAGCACACACGCTTAGTACTTCCATTCTCCTTAAGTACGGATTCGCTTGAGGACGACGCATGGCGCCTGCGCTTCCTGGTAGAAGTATTAGACCTGCGCAAAGTCCATCCCCAGACGCATCTCGGTCCCCCCGTTTACTCACAGTTGAAAAGCGAAGGGACTAAGATCGATACTCGTCTGAAAGATGGATTTAAACTTATTGAGTGAGCCCTAATACTAGGAGAAAGGTCTCCTGCTTCATCTCGCCTGCTCGACAGCCAGTCTTACTGTCTTTACAGATCTCGGTCTTCTGCGTAAAAGACAGATGTCCGTTTCCCTTACGCAAGGTGAGTACGTTAGAGGAGCGAAGATGAACTCGTCCTGTAGTATATTGCTAGCATGAAAGCATTCTAGTTCAATTTTTCAATTTTTTCAACTCTTGTAGTATGCAGCTATTTAGAAGCTGTCGAAAAAATTATCCATCTATCCTAATGGAAGATGTAGTTTAGTATATTAGTCCTGATTCACTTGCGAGTGATGTAGTTCTAGCTCCCGTACCGAAATTGTTTTCTTTGTTCCTATAGTCAATGGTCAACATGGTGTAAAAATCTTCCCAGCATCTTCTTAACTGTCCGGCAAAGGGTGAGGTCCAAGGGTGTGAGATCCTTTTCGCCCAGAGAGTTATCGAAGTCGGCTACCAGTGCTACTGATTCACCCTGTCGAAAGGAATCTTGTGCCATTCGCGCAGTGACACGGACGAGACCTTGGTTTTTTGTAAGAACTGTAAAACGAATTATGTGAGTGCCATTCGCGCAGTGACACGGACGAGACCTTGGTTTTTTGTAAGAACTGTAAAACGAATTATGTGAGTGCCATTCGCGCAGTGACACGGACGAGACCTTGGTTTTTTGTAAGAACTGTAAAACGAATTATGTGAGTGCCATTCGCGCAGTGACACGGACGAGACCTTGGTTTTTTGTAAGAACTGTAAAACGAATTATGTGAGTGCCATTCGCGCAGTGACACGGACGAGACCTTGGTTTTTTGTAAGAATTGTGAAACGAATTGTGTGAACGAATTATTATGCCGCAGAATGAAACGCGTTGTGAATTGATAAAAAACACCATGATCTGGAAACACCAGACGTCTTATAGGTGTGCATGTTGTTGTTATTTTGAAGAACAACACCTCCAAGTAGTTGTAGTCCTCAGTCACACTGATCATAAAAGTTGTTACCTCTACTACAGCAGGAACAGCAACTGCATCCGCATAGCGCAACTGCGGTTTCTGCGGTTTTTGAGAGGCTCTGAGCTGGAGGGCAGCGGTTCACCACTATCATTAGCACTACTCACTCCAATTCCTGTTGTCTCCCTAAAACTGTAGATAATTATGAAAAAACTGAAATAACGACTTTCGAGGAGACTGGAGAATAATCTACTCACATAAGTTAGTACTCGGCTATTGTCCTGTTGGTTACTTGCATATTTTGAGTGTGCGGGAACTAGCCTCCACAGAGGCCTATCTTTTCCCTAGAAGAAACAAATCAATCGAGAGTGTGTCAAGCGTGACGCAAACAAGGATACCATACTTCAGTACTACTAACACACGATATGTTGACCCTTAACATGAACTCTTGAGAGCACTTGACTTTGTCCACGCCCGAGCTGAATAGGCCTCCTCGTGTATGCTCGCCTACGAATTCCACAAAAGCCTTGACTTTGTACTTGCATTCGCCAGGGATTAGAAGAGTATTGAAATTTGTTTCTTTCCAGTAGCTGCAAGTGAATAGAAGTATTTAGTAGAATTTCAATTATTTTCATTGCAAGGGATAAGAGCTGGTAGATGAAGTATCCCTAATCCTATAGACGAAGTGAAATTTTTGTATTTTTAATCACATTCACTTCATGGCATCTCTAATCCTAAAAGAACATTGTAAATTCTTGATCATAAAAAATGGTATTTCTGGTTGTGCCTGCCAGGCCCATGGTATTTGGGATCTGTACCGACTCGACAGCTACCAGGAAGAAACCCAGGTAGCTGGCATTGAATATTAGAATCACAAACACCTAAATCATGGATGGATTCTGGGTCGAAGCATTCTGATACCTTTTAACCTTAACCCTAACCAGCCGTAGCACTTGCGAGCATAATTCTTGCGAGTCGTGAGAGTCACTTGAGTAAAAAGAGAAAGTCTATCACTATGTAAGACAGAATAACGAGTGGCTGTTGATGACAACTTTTGGCTACCACCTGCATGGCCTGTCTATCATAAGGAAAGGGTAAGTGTATTGTCCGCGGCCTGCGGTGATAGCGATGCCCTCTTGCACAGGTATCTGCACTTTGAAGAAGTCATGCCTCCCATCGTGATTTTCGATCTCCTGTTATGTAGTTTCGAAAATTGAAATCATGTAGCGGACTTCTTTTTCTTGATCTATCTCGAGTATCTACGTATAAGACGTTTCGAATACTTGTTGAGACCCGTTACTTTGTATATGACATTTTTATATCTATATGCTCTTATCAGTTCTTACTTTCGATCGCATGCGCCAAGAGTTGATTTTGTAACTGTACCTCTTCTTCCTCCCACTTATCTGGTTCTCTTTCATTTCGTCTTCTTCGTGTCGTGACAGTTCTCCATTCCACTTTTTCGTAGCCGGAGAGTTTCAAATTCACAGACCTAATCTCCACTGCGTGAGAGTCGACCGCTAAATGGATCTTGCCAGTGGATTAGAAGTTGGACCTGGGGGTTGGACCTGGAGAGTGGAGAGTTGTGTGAGGAGAGACTAGTCCTGACAACCTGAAGAGTAGTCATAGTGAAGAGAGATTGTTGACAACACTTGGACTTGACCGGTTGTGGTGAGGAGAGACTAGTCCTGACAAGTAATGTTGGAGTGATGCGGATGGAGATCATGCCCCCTTGGTGTAGTAATTCTTCTAATTGGTTAGATTAGGAAAGGCTGATTCGGATGCATTCCCCTATCCTGCCAGGAATCCACTATAGTCGGTCGCCATAAGTCAAAGTGTCATTAGAGCAGATACAACAATGTTCAAGGATGATTATGAGCGACCCACCTTTAGATGTACCTCCGACCAACTTACTAAAGATGAAAAAAATCTTTGCGAGTACAATAGTACTAGAGGTTCAAGTAGTTAAAAAAGAAATTCTAACAGATCATACGCTAAGTTAAAAATGGTTGTTCCTCCATCCCTTTGTAGACTCAACAATAAATATTGAATATGAACACATTCCATTGGCCTTAATATCACCCGGATAATAGGTGTAGGAGTCCAACTCCACGAAAACACCTGCTTCCTTCGACTGAGCCGATCCTCCCATGATGATGATTCGTTGACTAGAAACTTACACTTAGTACCTTGCCGATGGCGTCAAGTATTGGATAGGAGTAACGGTAGCAGTGGTCGTCGAAGTGGTGGTAGTTATCTCATCTAGTACGGGGTATACCCAACAGAGATCATCATCATTATCGAATTTGTTGCCATAGTACAGTGTAAGCTACAGCATGGATGTAACGAAAGAAGATAGTGAATTTAATACTTAGAAGATAACAAGTTCGGTAAGTACCTCTGTCCATGTGTATGATCTACAACAATAGTCTAGGACCGATACGGTGAGTTCTTTCCTGACTTGGAGAACCACTTGATCGGCACAGAGCACGCATCAGGATCACTTAGAGGATCCCGCCTTTATGATCACCAACCTCTAAAGGTAGCTTCCCACGCCTTCCTATGTATTACCGAAGCAGCAAGTGTTCGACGCCGGCGCATGCTGATCAGGCTTCTTATGAAGATCTTGACCTTTCCGGTAAATGATCTTTCACCTACATCTCTTTAGCGCCAGTTCATCTTGTAGAACCTTCGCAAAAGGGTTTCAGCGGAACACAAGTTCTCGTCTTACTTCTCATGTAGTTTCTTCCTATGGAAACCTTTGGTCTTCTTCTTTTTTGGTTTCTCTTCATGTTTTGGAAAAGCTGTGGTGAAGCGGCATTTTTGGTCGTTAATAGGTGTCGTAGTCAAGGGTGTCTTGGTGGTAGTGTCTAAGACAATATGAAATTCAAATCTTTTCTGTAGCATTCAACGACGTTTTCAACGCTGGTTCCTCTCTCTCCAACTGCCAGAAAAAAACTTCATCGTCCTTGGACCTAGGCTCCACTATGATCAAATACTCTTCAATCAAAGCCGTGGTGAGCCGGTCTATTGCGTCAACATTTTTGGATGCTACCTTGGTGGTGCAGTCTATCTCATTCTTGTCGTTTGCCACTCTTGTGTTTGTGCTCCCTCCACCACTTGAAGATTTATTCGCTATTGCGTTTGCGTGCGCATCTACTATGTCCCTGTCAACAGCCCCACAAATAGCTTCGACATCCTTCTTTCTGGAGGCCATGATCTCCCCTACGCGTTCGTTGCATTCCACCACCTTCCCCTGGATCGGGCTTTTCAACACAAACTTTTCTCCATTCAGATGCACTTCACAAATTTTGTCACCTTTCCGGAGAAAATGGCTGCCCTTCTTTTTCTTCTTGCCTTGTACGGTTTGCATAGGAGGATAGAAGATCCGGAGGGACTCGATTTTGGGACGAGTGGGGTTCGCGGAGTTGGAAGATGAAGATGTGGGTCCTGTAGTACTTGAAGATGTCGTAGAAGTTGTGGTCGTTGGTATATCATTCGTATTGCTCGTCGTCGCTGCATTTGTTGATTCTGCTATACCAATACTAGCACAGGTTATTTTCATCTCTGCACGAGCCTCCTTTTTCACCTGCTCTAGCCAGTAGTCAAACGCTTGCGGCAACAAGCTGAGCATCTGTAAGCCATTGTCGTGACGCCGAACGAGACATCCAGGTACACGAGAATAGCGGTGAGTGTGGTTCGGCTTCGGACGACCCATTTTGTTGTGATTTACTCCTAATAGCTGGTAAGCAGGAGATAAGAGCCAAGAACTACAGGCATTAATTGTTTACTCCTAATAGATAATTGAAGAGGTGCTTACAACTCTAAAAATACGTCAAATCAGGTCACGTAGTAGCAGTTGATCGAAGCAGTTCCAAAGAATACGATATACCAATAGTTGAAGTCACGTACTAGAAGTGGGCAGCCGTACTCATTTGTCGCTGGTGAAGCAGGTGACTAATGAATGCTCTATTTCGTAATTGTGGTTGGAAAGGTACTTGCCTGGATGGTTCTTCATTAACCAGAGAATAAGGACGCGGAGGAGATCAGATAGTGAGGTCAATCGAGGACCCGGATCGCTGTATGTGAGGACATCAGTAATATCATAGACGAGCTTTATTTTCCCTGGATCCAGATCTTGGACAATCTGGACAAGATCCCGTGTTCAGAGGAAAACAGACACAACCAATCAATAGGTGACCTGTGACAGGCGACAGGTCCGTCGGAGGTCTCAATTCCGGTTGTATATTTTCATAATTGATTGTCATCTGACCATTTCTTTTGCGAGGTGGTTTTGTGCGTTGAAATTCAATTTCCATATGCATTTTGCTTTTGGCGTTTTTTCATAGTGCTGACATGATCAGTTAACAAACCCAATAATGTGGTCCGTGTATTTCTTTGAGGTCCAAATGGTGTCCAAATTCTCCAAAAGTAAGTGCGAATTCCAGCGAGAATCATTTTGTACAACAAGTAACATGAATTACAGTGTTTTCAAGTTCAACACAATTACAAAGATACAATTTCCCAAAACAATTTTTTTGCCTCAGCAGCGAAATGTGTTGTATCAATTTGTCAATGACTATTTTTAGTCAAGAGATGAACAACAACAAAAGTACACATCCTATCCCAATTTCTAGATGATTTGAAAGTCAACAATTTAAGACCGAAAAAGTTTTGATATACCCGAAAACATATTGGATATGCTCGATTCAGACGGGGAGGCTCGTTGTCGCGAATACAAAGGCCGCTCTATGCTCGATCCGCTTGCGTTTCTGCGCTTAGAACTGCGCGAGTGAGAACTGAACATCGTCAGAGCCTAACGTAAATTGCAATGTTCTTCGCCTAGTCAGAGCCTAACGTAAATTGCAATGTTCTTGGCCATTAGGCCTAGTTGTATTTTGAGAAAAAAGTTCAACAAAATTCAAACTTTCCAACATAAGATACTGCGAGAGAATATCTCCCGCACTGGATCCGGGACTTGCACCGTAGCTCGTTCGCAGATTACTTGGTGGTGGAGAGGCCATGGACTGCATAATAGGGGCTGGGCCACGTGAGGCTCTAGCCGTTGCTGCGGACGATGTGCTGGGGCCACGCCGGTTAGAGATTTTAGTTTTGGTTTGCCTCCTTTACTAGTTTTGCTCCAAGAAGATATGATATTATATATGAGTGTTTTGGAGATCTACAGTTTTTCTACTATACTGTGATTCCAGAACAATAGGTGGAGAATCATCTGTAGTTAGACCTCACAAGAAACTCTTCATAACTATCGTCGCCGTCGTTCTCGACGCTGCTGTTGTGCGCGATCCACCAGCCACACCACTAGTAGTCACAAACGATGAGCTCGGGAGTGGCCTGGTCCGACTACCAACTTCTAATTGATGGACGTGATCCGAAGGAGGTGAGTACATTTTACTTCCCCCGTGGGTCGCAGGGCCTCCGAAGCCACCAGGACTACTACTCGTCTGAGGTGGTGGAGAAGCGCGCACGTAACTAGGCCGAACAATAGTCGTGCTGGAGGCGCTGGGACTTAGAGGTCGTGGTGATGGCCTTCGTCTGGAGGTGCTGCTCGATCCAAATCTACTGAATGATAATGCTGTTCCTAGTATCCGGTTGTATGACTCTATTTATGAAAACGCCAACCCGAACAGACCCTCTACTCACTAACTAATCTATCCAGTCTTCGAAAAAAAAGCATAAGAGTCCTGACCATAAATCCGCTGAATGTCTCGCAGCAGTGACTCCCTGGTTCATCGAACTCGAGGACGAACTATTTCCAAAGTAATTTTGAATCGGTTCTTGCAATGACGTAGTTGTCCTGGGATACTGCACAGTGCCGTTGCTGTCCTTGGATACTCCACTAGACGGCGCGCTACTCCGCGGACCTGGAGCATCGTAAGCAACGCGACGTAGTTGCGATTGTGGCATCGTGGAGGCTGATTCGCGACTCCTAACTCTCTTAGAAGTCCTATGTATAATGTAGCATCCTTCCTCGTGCCATTACCTTGGCCTTTGTTTCCCAAAAGAAAGCCGAGGATCATGCTTGCCTTATAACTCTTGTGGTGGTTATTGTCCTGTTGAGAAAGAAAGCCAAGGATCAAAGGTACTAGTTAACTGAACTCGTGTGTTGGTGGTTCATGCTTGCCTGTCTTGTAGTGGTCGTTGCCTTAACTCTTGTGTTCGCGACCGGTTGCACTACAGGATCCAAAGTCATGGGATCCAAAGTCATGCTCATCATATCCTGTGCTGGAGCAGTCGAAGGAGATGCAACGGAGCCTGAAGAGGACGTCGGCGATGGCGTTGCGGACACTATTCTGAAGACTTGTGGGCCACCTCCGCCAGTCGAATTTATAGTGCCTCCAGTTGAATTTGTACTGCTTCCTTGTCCCAGGTTAGCAGCTGCAGAAGGGAGGAGTTCTTGCTGCCCTTGATGTCCTGAAGGCCCTACTCCTGGCGGTCCCACAAATTGCTCTACCGTAGTCGCAGATGGACGAGAAGCTGCGCTTGAAGACGATCGAGCAGCAGAGGGACTGGAATTGGAAGCCGTTCGAGCTTGTGGGGTAAACAAAGGTGGCGGTCGATTACTTGACGACGACACTGCTGAGACGCTTCCTTTTGACGACGTCGACATCATTTCCCTACTCTCCATTTTCTCCTTGAAGCCCCTCAATGTTACGTTCTCCGCAGTCAACATCTTCACTTTCTTCTCGAGGTCTGCATTTTGGCGTCCAGAATTCAACAACCCAGCCTCCGCCTCGTCTAAGCGTAGGGTAAGTGTGTGGCACGTTCGTTGGAGCTTGTCTGAGCTTAGAGTCGAAGAGAATTGTGGCGTAGGTGGTGCGGGTGTGTTTGTCTACTCATCTATACTTTGGCATTGCTTCATTGCGTATTTTGCAAACGATTTCTACCAAGATGAAGATATATCATGATCACTAGTGGACTATCACCTCAACACCAAGGACTGTATCGTTGCTTACAGCTACTTAATCGTAGATGCCCATTCCACACGGCCTACATCATAACAAAAAGGCTCCCAGGTCGGTGCAATCTGCTTTTGTGCTTTCTCTCACGGTTTTCTGCACTACGGCTTCATCGTCGAACGGAGTCGAGGCTGTCGAGGCTGTGTTGGACAACATCATGTCCTGCATTTCGGTCTGAACGGTCTCTAAAAAAGCGGCCATTGCTGTCGCCTCCAGCAAGTCTGGGCTGTTCGGATCCTCGATTAAGATATCCGCATCTTGGTCGAGTTCTGGGGAGTGAATGTCGAAAGTTTGGTGCGCAAGATTAGAGATGTCACGTCATGTGGAAACCTCGTGTTTCCTGAATTCTTTCTTTTGGTATCCTATTTCAGGTGCGAGGAACCATAGCCTTAATCGTACTCGCACCTCTACTCGAAGAGCTGCTGCTGCGTGGTGAATCAAAGCCTCCAACTACAGCACCATTTTTGCTAGATGTATTCGAAGGTAGTTCTACAACTTTCTTCTCCGCCAGCAGGTCCGCACATCGTTTTTCTAGTGCTGCTATAGTCCTCCTCTGCTCATTTTCCCGGCGTCGCGCGTCTGCTTCGAATGCGTGTGCTTTTCGACTAGTTTTTAGAGTGCCATGTGGAAAACGTCGACACGACAGAACCATCTTCGTAGTTCCAGCAGCTTGAGTTTTAGACACAGACGACCAGAAGTAGTTGTACCAGTTGAATTCCACCTTAGAAATAAATTCAAAACTTCTGAATCAAACAAGCAAAAGCCTTACCAATTCACTTCTCAAGCCGTCGACTGTCTTCTGGTGCTCCGCTTCGAGCAGCTCGAGCTGGATTTTCTTCTCATTTTCCTTCATTTCCAGCTCAAATTTTACGAAGCTCAGCTCTTCTTCCAGTGCGGTGATGCGGGAAGCTGTCGTGGTTGCAAAGAGCATAGAGAGGGTTGAAAGAGATCTCAACGCAGACGACGTGAAACAAACGAAACAGAAACAAAAGACAGAGAAACGAATTCCTGTTAATATAAAACAAAATATGAAAGAACTCCATAAGAATTTAAAAACTCCCAATACCGTCATCGTTGAGGCTGCAAGCTACGTGGAAAAAAGCAAAGATGCCTCTGTCTATACATAGTACAAGGAAGAAGGAGAAATGTTGAATCACAAGAGGTACAAGAAAACTCCCAATAGATACCATCACCGTCCCCCGCTGCAAAGTCTTCGACGTCGAACCGTCCCCCATCAAAGCCAGCATTTACTTCGTCGAAATCTACCAGGTTTCGGACTGTAGTGCGCGCTACTGGCTTTAGGGGCTCCAAGGGCCCCCCACGCACTACTATTGGCTGCATCGCGGATCCTCTACCGGGAAATGAAAGGAGAGAAGATGTTGAGTGGAATACATCAAAGTGAAGAAAATAGGAGTCTACTGGATATTGGCATGCAGATGCAACATGTTTTCTTGCACTTTAGAAGTAGCACCCTTCTACTACGACCTTAATAGAACAAGTAGCATCATTTTTCTTCTGATACTGTTACATACTGATAGCCATAAAAACAATTCTGCCATCGAATTCTCGTCTGCACCGTAAAAAAGGTCCTGCTCGATACCATCTGAATCGTGCTGTCCCATCTCTTTCATGTCCAGACTTGACTGTGCAGAACTAGAATTGACGATATGCCCGGTCCGCAGACGGGTTTAACTCAAAATGGTTTCCTTTTTCTTTTTGTTTTGACTACTCTTTTCCTACACACGTGCCTTGGTCTATCGACCTGACACACTTCGTTCGTTTCTACCCTTATCAATGAAGTACTTTTCATCTTGAAGAATCGTGCACAATTTGATTCTCATGCCATACTAGTACTATACTCGCGTTCCTCGCTATTGTCTAGAGTGAATCTACTCCCCACATCTTTTCACGTTTTTCATTGCGGAATCAGAACACAAAAGGACCGACTTGCACTAATTCTACGTGCCGCATACTTTTCAGCTGCCGTAGGCTAAGAAAGCTCCTGTTGGGTTGTGTGGGTGAGACTTACACATCCCCTCTGTGAAGAGAGGTCATATCCAAGAATCAAAAGGTTTCTTTGTGGGTACGTGCTAGAACAAACATTTAGAAGTCGAATGGTCTTTGCGCGTTTTTTCGTCATCTTCTTCTCCAATAGACAAACAAATTCAAACAAGCTGTTCCCAGGCCAAAGAAATGTTCAAACATAAGTCAAAACAAATTTCAAATCAATGTGGATATCTTCAAGTGAAAGAAGTGTGGTACGTTGTAATGTCATAGACTTAGCCAGCACTACTGAAAAGGGTCGAGGGGAGCTTAGCCGTCCTTCTAGATAAAATACAAATATAAATGACTGTTTTTTGCTCTGGCGCGTTTACACGACTGGTGCAAGAACTGCAACGATGGAAATCGAAATCACACTTCACCTACAAGTAGCGCCTCATTAGCCTTGCTCCCTCTGTAAACGACGTAGCCGCGGTTGAACGCGCTAAACTTGCTCCCTCTGTAACCGACGCAATAATGAAGCATTGTCGTAGTCATCTCTTGCTGGAGGTACTGGTGCCTCTACCGTTCCTGAGCTAATCTTTATTCTTTTACTAGAAGTAGTTGCTGCAGCTGCATCGTCTACCTGCATTGGTTCTGGACCATTGTTGTCGTCGCCCTCATGGTTTGCACTTGCAGGTATTGATCGCCTTCGGGAGCTTGGGTCGTGGAAAGAATTGTTATTGATGTAGTTTCCCTGCTTACCTGTGCTGTGGTTTAGTACCACTCTAGACGCCCCTCCTGAACAAGACATAGTAGAAGTAGAAGTTGACCCTGAGGCAGATGTTGTTGACGCCTCAGTTGTTGACGCATCAGCACCGTTTATTTTGGCTTGTTGTAGACCGGCTCTTATTCTTTCAGCAACTGCTTTCTCTGCCTCTCCTAGCCTTGGGACATCAAAGAAATCCTCAACGGCCACCTTGGAGGATGCCGAAGACGCTTCCTCTGACGCTGCTGATGAGGCTGAGGTGGGGGAGGCTTTGTTGGCGCTTTTGTTCGGGAGGTTGTTCCTTTCTTCTTCACCTGCAGTTGCTGCTGAGGATTCTGTTCCTCTTTCTGTGGGCTTCGCTGTTGCGGAAGTTTTTTCGTTTCTGCTTACTACAGCCCCACCAGCACCTAAGGAGGGTGACGAGCTACTACTTGACGCCTCACCACCTCCTGCACCAAGCCTTTGGCCAAACAAGTACTGCAAGTACAATCCTACTGCATCTGGATACTTCGCGCAGATCTTCGCCAGATTACCACTGTCGCCATGGTACTTCGCAAACAGCTTTGCCACAACGGACAAACCTATGGCTTCGTTATCGTTGGAGTCTCTTATCCCGTGTAAGACCTTCCGAACATACGCCGTCTGCGCATCTTCTGCTCTTCGAGGTGTGTCGGAGTCATCTGTTGTCGGGCGAGGGGGGAGTTGGAAATTGTGAAAATTGTTGAGAAGTCAAATTCATTGAGTACTATCTATGGTAAAGAGAACAAAACTTCTACTTCTACAAAGGGAAAGAAGCGACTACAAAAACTCATCTGGATTTTTTAGCTAACCATCATGTTCATACTAATAAAGAAGTCAGTAGTACCACTGTCACTCGAATCCGCGTCGGAATCTGAGCTGCTCGACGTTGACGCCATGTCGGCAAACGGAAACACCGCAGCGTTCACAGTATCGCTTGTTCTTGAACCTGTGAGTTAGGGAGTTTATGGAGTTTAACTGAGTTGATGTATTGGTTATGTCTATTCATGATCACACAGGAGAACTGAGTTCTTACTGCTTTCTCTGTTTGTCTCTACCCACTTGTTGTTACAAAGAAACAGCTAATCATAACGTTGCTAATCATAGCGTTAACGAACGTAGCTGAAAATAAAACTATAACCCTATAAACCCTAAAAGAAAGTGCAGGTACCTCCATATTCCTCTTTTTTCAGAATATCTTCTGACACTCCAAAGGACTGCATTTTAGTGGTAGTAGAGGGATGAGCCAAGAAGTTCGAGACGTGCTCAAACAACGCTTGTTCTTCTGCCATCTTTTCGGAGGTTTCGGGCAACGTTGATGAAGAAGAAGAGGATGACGAACTCGTGGAGGAACTCGTAACTACAGCTGTATTCCCAACTACAGCGGTTTTGATGCGGTCTACAGTACTTGGACTCCTAGATGATGCTGGCTCTAGTACTTGTTTCTGGGGAAATTCCTCTGAACGCAGTGTGGATCCGACACTGCGCGGAGATGAAGGCATACCGCGTATTCTCTTACAGCCTAAAAAAACTACTAGGAAATGTAAAGGTATGCGTGTTGTACTTCTTCAAGTCAAGTTTAAATATCACTCCGCACAAGAACTTGGGCTTTGCGACCACTGCTGGGTTCTAGTATAGGTTCTTCACAAATGATGATGGTGAAACTTGAACTTTTACACTTAAATGCTCTTCTTACAAAGACAGTGTTAATCATGAATACCTGGCTTGACAATAATAATCGAATGAAAAAGGTAATCTAGAACTCCTTCATTAAAGATAAAGATTAAGATGTTTGTACTTCTACAAAGAAACTGGGACTAGGTGGATTTCTTGTGCGCAACTTGCTAAACAAGAAAAATTTGAACCAAAACGACCCTGTTGAAACTGAGAATTGTAGACCGGAGATGATTTGCATTCAAGATATGGTGCAAGCACCTCTATCTGTTGAAGTCACAACTACACTGAATTGTTGATCTGAAGTACAAGGGTTAAAATTTCAATTTGCAGATAATATATTCTTTTTCGATCTATAATTTTCGCGTTCCTTAGCATTGACACCCAAAAAAACTTAATACTTTTTTCATTCTCAAAAGGGTTGAGAACACGATCTTTCTTCGATCATTTTGGGATTTTTGCCAGTTTGCTTAATAGACGACAAGTGGAACGAAGTGGTCTCTCACGCTGATCTCTTTTCTTACTTGTGCATTTCAATTTCATTTTCCGATTCGAATCGAGATAGAACACTGCATTTCGTCTCTCATGATCATGGTTGTGCTCAGTCTTATTAAAAAGTAGATGGGGTAGGGTGTAACATCTACGGCTTATACATTGACTTTAGGTACAGGCTCGCTTGAAAGATGCTCGTTTTGGAGGTGGGTCATCTTGTGTTCAATACCTACGGGTTTCGAGGATCAATTCTTTATGGGTCTTGTATAGGCCGCTATCGCTTTTCTATCGGTGTGGATTCGACGGGTCTTGTGTGGGTCTTGTGTCGTAGTAGTTGTAGTCATATTTGTTAATAAGTACGTAGATTCTTAGAGTTCGTTGTCTGTCGATCACTGAGTCCTCTAATGCCCTTCAGTTAGAGCTCTGCTTCATGTTTTCTGCATCAGATAAGTCATTTACAAGATTTCTTTGGTGTACATGAAATGAAGATAGATTTGATCTTGAACTTGATCATATTTGTGATTAGTAACTATGGTTCTGTGTTTACTGTTCTGAGCGTCTTTTCATGAATGGGCATAAGATTGTGGTCAACGTGTAATTCATTTGTTCTTGCAAGGAAGTTTTTTTAGAAGCGTCTAGTATCTATCTGATTATGTTCTTGGATGGAGATGACTTTTTTAGCGGCTATTTCCTTAACATTATGTTGGTTCTTGATATTCAGTCGTGGAAGCTATGCGTGTGCGATATTAATACGTGTATCTGTATCATGTTCAGAGTCCGTGAAGATGAAATTGTTATGTTGGTATGTGATAGCAATGATAGATGTGTGGTGATCTGTACGTTTACGACAATTTAAATTTCTAGCGGTGTCCTGATCATGATCAGTACCCTAGGTAGTTATAAGTCATCATGTCATGTTCTTGTACAAGAAACATCAGGAAAGGAAGTCGCCAATAACTCCTCGACAGCGGCGTTCGTCCATGACATTTCAAAAGAACCTCCCCTTCCATCCAAGGACCTTAACAGAGGTCAAAGATTTTCCCAGTACTAGTCCCTCCAACAATAGAATCAACCTAATGGAATTCTGAAGATGATTGAGCTCAGTTGTCCTAGAATGAGATTTCTGTTCTCATTAAGCTCACCTTGGGACACCTGCGGCATCGTTTAACAGGGTTCAGGGTTTAGGGTAGTTCTCTCTTACTCCCTCCAGTTCCTCCTAGTTGTTTGGCGCGCACCCTACATAGTGAACAAAACCCCTGTTAGAGCGAACTCTTCCCTTGCTGTCGTGTTGTGGCTCGTTCTTGTCTAGTAGCCTCATCTAGGTCGATCCTCAAGACTCTCTGTGGCCCATCATCAGTGGGACTTGGACGATCCGTGTGGACCTGTGATTACAAGTGGTTCAGAGAGTGAGGCCCCACGACCTACTCAAAAAGGTGTACTATCAATGAATAAGTCTCGTAAACATCATCCAGCCTCGTCTTAGTACCCATGATTCGAAAAAGCCTAAACATCATCCAGCCTCATCTTACCAATGAAAAGCAAAAGGAAAGTGTATCATAGTACGCATCCGAGAGCCTCATCTTCTGAGTCGGTGCTTGGTAGCAGCTCTTCCTTACGACGACGGCTAGGGTGGCCAACTGGAGCATTGAGGCCCATCAAGTAGCCCATGTTGGCCATGCACGTGCGGACTCTGGGTCCGATCCACCACTCAAATGCGCTAGGCCAAGGTGGTTGCCGCTTCTCGATCGTGATCGCGGAAGTATGAAAGTGCGAAAGAGGAGGAGGAGAAGGAGGAGAAGGAGGAGAAGGAGGAGAAGGAGGAGAAGGAGGAGGAGATAGTCGACGCATACTCGTTGCAGAGCCATCCTGCGCTGTCATGATGACATAACAATAAGCAACGCTCTGCCACCACTATGGAGATTCTCTATTGTCGTTGTTCCATAATCTTCCCTTTCCCCTCTGCTTTTGTGCAGACGACCAGAAGCATCGACTTGAATGTGAATGGGACGATTTTCGTATCTGAAAAGGACCAAGAGGCACAACGTCAAATCGTACAGGGGGAACCAGAGCTTAGAAGTGTTTTCATTGACATTCTTTGTGTTCAAGCCGAAACTCATCACTGTTCAGTGAAGGCATAAATCAGCTGAGATAATTGTTTCGTCGTGAACATCGAAGATATTAGGAGTTACTATCAATATCAGCTATAGGGTCCTCGTTCTCAAACTCATTCATCTGAATTTGAATCAAGTGATTACATCTTCAATTGACGCAGTGAAAATATGATAGAAGAAGTTCTACATTATTCGTTTCATAAAATACAGAAACGGCGTGTAACCGAGGCGATAGAAGCGGAACAGGTGTCCAAAGAACTCCAGTGCTGCGCAGATGGCACAGACTCCTGTGAGCCAAGGTACTCGAAATCCGGAGAAGGCGATGTAGAGGTGGGCGGGAACGGTGAAGAATAGGATAGTCGAGATTAGAGGAGGAAGAAGCGGCCATAGACGAGGAGGTGGTCCGCGTCAAAGGTATGGGGATGCTTTCAGAAGAGTCTGTAAAGAAAGTACTTCTAAGTAGGCGTCAAAGGTACTAAATAGGTATGGGGCGGGATGCAGGGATGGCAAGATGAGTAGAGGCAGAACCATGTGAAAGGGCTCAATTTGAATACTACTGTTGTATTACTATTTTTTAAGCAATGTGATTAGAAGCGATGACAATGTATGATCGGATCGTGTAGGTGTAGAGAACTTAGCAAATATGGCAATAGCACCTTCATCAGTGCTGTACAGTAAGACTCTCTTCCTGATTCACTTGCCATAAAAGCAGCTCCACCAGGGAAAAGCTGTACTGGAGAGCCCGTAGATTTTCGGTATCGTCGGTGACGTATGACCTGCTTGTAGAGAGTTATCTTAGGTGATATAGGACCTGATTGTAGTGGAGAGGTATCGTGAACTTCAAGCTTCTTGGTGACAAACTACAGAAAAGTCTGACGAAAGTGAAAATGTACTAATTTCGGAAGAAAGTGAAAATGTGATGTACTAATTTCGGAAGAAAGTGAAAATGTAAAAATTTGGTGACTACAACATCTTCAAACAGTCTGAAAGTCATGAACTACGTTTGAATTCGAGTAGGGACACTGAAGATGAAGCAGTAGAAGCAGTAGAAGCAGAAGTAGTACCATGGACTCGTCCAATCTGTGCTTGCGAAATGGAAATTGGCCAGCGTGTGCGTTAGCTCCAGGAAGTGAAAGAAAAGTAGGAAACCAATCCAGAAGAAGCCGTCTACGACTGAGGTTAGAAGAAGCAGAGCGCCAGTGCAGAAGAATTTGTGTATTGAACTACCTAGATACAACTACTCTCTTAACCAGATCGGGTCTTCCACAGGCACAAAGAGGACCAAAAACTGGAGGAACGCCAGTCCCAAAATGCCCATGAAAAACGAGTTCACAGCGACGCAGCTACGCCCACAGGCGCCACACGAACCAAGATTATCCTCAAATTCCGCCTCATCCACATGTTTCTCTGCTTCCCTGAGAAAGAGGTTAGAAATCTTTCATAATTGACATCTTCTTCTTCTATTTCTATGAAACTTCCAGCCAAGCTCTACAGCAAGCGTAGGTACGTGCAGTGACATCAAAGTGTCTACTAACGATAATGATGTGGTATAATATGCACTCCAACCAAAAGATATCGAAGCTATTACATATAGGAAGCCTCGGCTTCAGTGTACTTCGAACTTGCATGTATACTCGGTATCTACGAATGGGTATAGGAGCCTCTTCGCTCTTAACTTCTCGATGCTTTACGCCATCCTCTTCCTGCTTTTCGCCCTCCTCTTCCTTCTTTACGTCTTCCTCTTCCTGCTTTTCGCCCTTCTCTTCCTTCTTTACGTCTTCCTCTTTTTTCTTTACGTCTTCCGCTTCCTGCTTTTCGCCCTCCTCTTCCTCTTCCTTCTTTACGCCCTTGTTCTTCTTTTCGCCCTCCTCTTCCTGCTTTACGTCTTCCTCTCCCTGCTTTACGTCTTCCTCTTCCTTCTTTACGTCCCCCTCTTCCTTCTTTACGTCCTCCTCTTCCTGCTTTACGCCCTCCTCTTCCTGCTTTTCGCTCCCCTCTTCCTGCTTTTCGCTCCCCTCTTGTTCTTTTTCGGCCTCCTGCTCTTCGTCTTAGAGGTCTTGGTCTAGTTTCTTCTTCATAGCACATCATAGCAGGGTGCTGACAATGTAAAAAAAGTCATCTCTGTTGAGTGAACAATTTCAAGTTCCTTACTTTGAATATAAGTAATCTCGTAACCGTCACCATCCTCAGGCGACGCTTGTCCGCAACACTGAGAGGCAGCTGCTTGAAGCTCAGCTTCTGAATTTTGATCCTCCTCCTTTCCTTCCTCCCCGTCGCCCCCCTGCGCCTCTGGAGCTGGACTCGTATTCTCAGCCGAAGAAATGTCCGAGTTAGGGTCCTTGTGGCCATCGTCGCTTTTCGTAGATGCACTATGATTAGAAGGAAATCAATTTACATTTACATAGAACTGGAAGTTTATTCTGATACACCCAATCTAGTAGAATGATGCGTTGATCCATTCTAAAATTGTGCGTAACTTCAGTGCCTTCTGTCTTGTCACCAGCACTAGCAGCTATGCCTCCACCTTCTCCACCAACAGGAGTTGACACGGTTTTAGGCTCGTCTTCGTTCGCGACGGCTGCACCAGTTTTAGACTCGTCTTCGTTCGCGACGGCAACTCCCTCTCGAATCGCAGTGCCAGGAGTCGCTTCTGAGGTTCCTTGACGCGACTGAGCGCCTCTTGCGGTTGGCTCTTGCGCAGGCTGATCCACGTTGTTCTTAGAGCTATACTAGGTTGTTTCTCAGCAAAAAAAATGCACTCCAAATAGAAGTACAAGATACATATTTAATATGGTAGATCTCGATACAGTTAAGAATATGGAATGTGTCTGAAGAAAGCTATTAAGAATCAATTCTCGTTAGATCACCTTAAATTAGAAACTACAAGAAACGAATTTTCACACGCCACAGCCTTAATTTGTCCCTGCGGCGACTGTCCGTCCACCCGCTCCACGCTCGCGGGAAAACCTTGTATGTTTTCATGGAAAGTTAATATGTTTGTGTTTTGTGACTGACATTTTCATGTCCTTTGATCAGTCTCTGACTCTGACTTTATTGAAGAAGTGAAAACAAAAAGGTCAGACTTATAGATACCAGTTTGTTCGACGTTATTGTCAGCTTGTGGCTGCTGCTCCACGGGCGGTTGTTGAACCGGCGGCCTACTTCCTGGAAGCTGCAGTCGCGGGACAACAGCACGCACACTTGATTGTGGGGAAGCTCTATTTTGTCCCGTGGTTGGGACTGCAGCTTCCTGTTGATCCTTGCTGTCTTGCACTGCAGCCTCCGCGTCATTAGACGCAGCCTCTGCGTCCTCAGCTGCAGATAACGCTTTGCTAGCCTCATGCTCTGCGTCCTTAGCCTCATGCTCTGCTTTCTCAGCTTTCTCCTGTGCTCTCTCAGCCTTATGCTCTGCGTCCTTAGCCTCATGCTCTGCTCTCTCAGCCTTCTGCTCTGCTTTCTCAGCCTTATGCTCTGCTTTCTCAGCCTTGTTTTCTACTTCATCAATCCGGTGCTTTAGTTGGTCAGCAAGAGCCTCTGCGTTCGCCCCACCAGTGGTTGCTGAGTGCCCCCCGTTACCAGTCGACGCGGTGGTCTGAGAGATGAACGATGAGGTGCGACTCTGGCCATTTTCTGAGGTATCTGCATCGTCGGCGAGGAAAGCTGTGGCAGATGAGTTAGAGCGAGAAGATGCAACTGGACTTCTTGCTTCCAAGGACGAAGTGATGTTCCCCAATGTAGCACAGAACCATTGGGGAACGTCACTTCGTCCTTGGAAGCAATGGTAGTAGCTACTAGAAGCTAGGTACTCGAAAAACTAAAATAACCGAGTTGGAGAAATAATAATTTCACACAGCCCATTCTTGATCTCGTTTTCAGTGGGAGCATAGTGGGGGAAGGGGGGATCCAAATGAACTGTACAAATGAACCTTCATGATCGGTCTTGTTGGAGCATCAACTTTACAGATCCAAGGACGAAGTGTTGTTCCCCAATGGTTCTAAGATTTCCCTGGGCGAGGTAGTAAGGATCTTAATCCTTTCGAATGAGGTGCTTAAGAATGAAACTGAGCACACCCACTAAATCAAGTTGAAACCAATCCATAAGAGACGCTGTCCGCGAAGTCGAGTCGGACAGAGTTGCTGTCGGCGAAAGAGGCCCACCTCTATAGTTCGTCGATACGAGTTTGATATTAGAGCTCAGTCAGCATGATTAACGACCGCGAGCTCCTGAATTTACAAACTCAGTACCGACCACTGTCGGTTGTAACCGTAATCAATCACAACCTCACGAATCACTAGGGCTGTGGATTGGTACAATGACGAATCTTCACAACATTATTTGTTAGTAAGTTGTCTAATTAAAAAAACTAAAAGTGACTTTCTGAAACCCATAACTGGTGCCACCCGTGCCGGTGCGCCGAATACTCGTCCCCCAATGAGCACATCTACTGCAGGCTGCCCAAGCGTGTGGAGGAGCGCCTCCCGGACGAATAAGAACGAAACCATTTTTTTCTTACTTATTCATCATACACCTTGGTTGTACACTTACGGAATTCCGCATATCAATTTGTTACTAAGAACTTCAACACGACAACATGTTCGTGATAAAATGAGAATTATTGAATGGCCATGAGAATTATCTGCTAGAAAATTCGTGCGAGTCATTGGGAGACAGAGATGAGCGGGAGACTGCAAGATAGGGTAAATGTCAGTCATTCTTGGGGGTCCTCACAACGCTCTGGATGCCTGTCTACCGATCTTAATGAGCAGCCTGCTGGCTCACTGCATCAGCACCGATTCTTGTACATTTAATGATCGTCACGTTACCGACTTCGACAGAAGCCCGACTATCAAATAATCGCCAGTTTACGACCGACTTCGACAGAAGACCGATTAGGGTCTTATACATTGACTAACCCATGATCACTATAAATCCGCCGATCTTCGAAAGAGAACCAACTAGAAATCGAACAGCAAAATTGGAAAACTGATGAGAGAAGCACTCAAAGTCCAGCAGCTGCATCCTCTGCCATTTGTATTGTGATGGTAACCTTTTCTTTCTTTTCCTCGCAAAGTAACGTAACAATTCTCTAATCCGTTGATTGTTCCGAAGAAATCCCTTATCGGTTTCATTCATCTTCGTTGTCGTGAAAAAGATATTTATAGGATAGAAGAAAACTGTAGTGGAAGTCCACTCTTCTGTAGACAACATCAATTGTTTTCACGTCATCGTCCTTGAGCGCGTCTCAAACAGTCAATCTGTCGTGTAAAAAAACAGCTTCCACCATGAAGTCTGCAGGCTCAATGTTCATTGACTTTTGTTCAAAAAGTAAGAGATGAAGTCAACTCTGGAGGAAGATCATACACACACTCAAGGAAGATCATACAATCTGTATCATATCTGGAGAGATCACAGCCTCTTCTTCTACTTGTTTAATACGGCGCCGCTCTCGCTGGTGGTCTCCTGGGGCCCATATCTGCGTCTGGGATCGGAGGAGCATTCTTTCCCTTCTTGCCTCCGCATGTATTAGCGAGGGAAGATGTCATAGTACTTAATATTAAGAATAAGAACTACAGCTTTTGTTCATTTGAAATTTAATTAGGACGAGAGCGGGTGGGAATGTAAGCTTGTTGTTAGAACTTGTTATGTACAACCACTAAGACGAACTCCTAGAACTAAATAAAGAACGTCTCTGTCGACGACTCACTCACTCGCAAGTCCTCAGTTGACTACTGCTCGGTATCAGTCAGGACATTGCTCAGCCGCAAGACTGACATCTTCACAGAAAGAATCCTCTAATAACTCTAAGTCTAAGAATATCTTCACAAAAACGATCTTCTAATAACTCTACGTCTAAGAATATCTTCACAAAAACTGCCATAACCTTCGAGAACATATCTCCGCCTTTCTTTCCGCCTCCGCCTTTCTTGCCTCCTTTTTTGCCGCCTTTCTTCCCTCCAGCTCCCTTGATGAAGATACCCAAGGCTTGATAGATCATCTTTCTTGCCTGCAAACCGCCAAAACCCTTCAGTCTTTGGGCATCGTCTAGATCCGACTGATCTACAACCTGCGGCTCAAACGTAGCTCCCTCAAGCAGCTCCACTGAGTGTGTCACACGATCCGGAAGGGATTAGAAAAGAGTCTAGGAGGTGGAACAAGGGAGGACATGGAGCCTGGGAGTCTAGGAGGGAGAACCATCTAGTAAATTTTCAAGTGTTTCGGTTTCCTTGAGATGACAATTTTGTTCTCTTCTTTGAGAGGAGATTTAAGAAAAAGTCTTGAGTTCGTCCTTTGAGATAAAAGACCATGTAGTCCTTGTCCATGAGCAAGTAGGTACCAGTGAAGGACGAGAAAATACAAGCAGAAATAGACCATTCGTCCTTTTTCATAAAAGTGGTATCGTGTTTCGACGCACTCAGATTCGTCCACGTCTGCGAGACCTTCAATTGGCGAGACGATTTCTTCTCCTGCTCCAAACTGTCCCTGGACGAAACCGAACAAGAACGCATCCCTCAGCAATCGCTTGTTGGTACTGGCTTTTGGCGGCAGCTTCTTCTTCAAATCTCCCAAATGGCCAAACAAGCAGTTGTGTGTTGGCGCATTACGTTGCCGCTCTTCCTCAGTCATCATATCGGCTAAGGGCTTCAAGATACGCAGCAGTCGCGGTTCGTCGATGAAAGGCAGCAAAACCACACCTTGCCAGGCAAAGCGCTTTCCGTTCAAATCTAGACCGAAATCTGTCGGGAAAAAGTCCGCGATCGGAGAAGTATGGTCGTCCATCAAGCTCAACATCGCCCGTGGAATTCCTGCTACACGTGCGGAAACTGGAGGCAATACAGCCATCAACTGCTGCACGGGTTGAAACCCTTGACCCAAAGCGAAATAGTTCTCGCTACTACACTTCAAACCGGACATACCTTTTTTTCGGGAGGTAGGTTTAGAATAGAATATCCAGATTAGAATTGTGTGCAACTAGTAAGGCTCCTGTTTATTAGTATGGTAGGATGCCCAGAGCAGTATTCCGTTTCCCAAACTGTCGATGGGACTTTGAATACCAGGCTTCCTGAAAAGGGCCCTGTAGGTACAACATGCAAAAAAAGCAAATCCTGCAAAAAAACAAAGTACCTATCAGATCCGATCCGAAGGGGGCATAGTGGTACGGATAAAACCATGTCCAACTGACGACGCCTTGGTAATAGTATTTCAGGACCTGGATTTAAATGAGTGGAAGAAATGATTGCGGTTGGGCGAAGGCTACAATTGAGATGTTTTACTTCGATAATCTGACTCCTACGAGTAGTATCTAGTAGTTCGTTGTACACACATATGAAGTAAAAAAATGCAATACATAGCACGAGCTTGCCAAGAAAGCGATTCTCCAAGAGAAAAAAATAGTGGTATAATAGATCAAATACCCAGCACAGTCCTTCGATATAGCTCTTTCGGATACGCTGAAGGAAATCTACCAGATCCTCCTGTTGGACCATAAATTTTTCCTGGTAGTATCGTTTTTTCCAATGCGCACCCTCTCCTACTCGAATGGTATCTGCTTGCGCTTTTCCTAGGTCCTTCTTAGCGTCAACACGATTCCGCACTAGTTTGCGAAATGCTTCCTCAGCCTTCTCTTCTGTTCTCTCGCTCTGTTTTGCTGGCTTGTTGTCCTTGTTATCCTTATCACCCTTCTTCTCCTCATCATCGCCTTCCTCATCGACATCCATAGCATCCTCTTCCTCCTCCTCGTTGTCGTCGTCATCTTCCTCACTACTGGATTCAGCTTCGTTGTCGAACATGGCTGCGAGTGATGCTGCTGCACTGGCGCCGGTGAGAGCAGGCTTACCCTTTGGGCTACCAGCTTCTTTAGCAGCCTTCTTCTTCATTGCCTTTTTAACGCCCTTCTTGACGCCTGCCTTCTTGGCGAGCTCGTCCTTCTTCTTTTCTTTGGCCGCTTCGGAAATTAGATGAGGTGGTGGTGGTGGGGTTTCATGTCAAGACCGGGGTCATTTTTTTTCACTCAAAAGCAGACGACAATGAATTTCATATTACATGATCTAAGAATCTACTTCTATGCTATAATACTCGAAGTTGTACTTCAAAAAGTTCTTCAAAAATCAAGATCAAGATTCTAACTACAACTACAAGTAGACTTCTCTATTTATAAAGGGAACAACATAACTTCTTTGCTTTCGCTTCTTCCCGCTTTTTTTTCGCTGCCTCCTTCTTCTCGTTTTCTAGCCTTTTTACGGCTTCTTCGTCCTCGTCATCCTCGACTGCGATATCCACGTCCTTCCCCTCTCTGGCTTCGTCGAACTCCTTCTTCTTCTGCGCTTCCCTGGCTAATCGATTCTTAAACACTTGATCCTCTACGGACCCCAGGTCCTCCAAAAACCGCTCTGTCGTATCGAGATTCAAGACGCCGGCGTCGGTGAGGTAGTCGCCCAGATCCTTCAGCTTCTCCTTGTACAGGATCATCATCTGGTTTTGTGGTCAGGTAAAGTTCAGAGTCAGGTAGAGTTAAGAGGCTCAAGGTCTCCAGTAGGATGGATTAGGATTAGGATCATTTTTCTACAACTATTGAAGGAACTTACAAGAAGTTGAGTTTTATCAGTATTTTGGAAGTTTGGAATTGGATCTTTCTCATCAGTCTTGGTAAGCAGAATCAGTTTTTCCGCACTCACGTTCCGAAAAACGTGTCTCAGTGCGATGAGGGATGTTTTTCATCATGTGATAAGTGTCGGAAATAAAATCTTAAAGAGAGAAAGTAAGCACTATGTCAATGCTTCCAATCAAATCTCAAAGAAAGTGAGTACCATATCAATGCTTCCATCGCGAATGCTGAGACTTGGCAAGTGCGGCAAGAAATCGTTTCCGACGAAAAAGCAGAAAAACACGAAGTCGTCCACACATCGTTCGAAACTATAGGGGAAGGGCAGCTTCTCCCGAAGTGGTTCGAATTCGAAGTACAGATACTGTCGCAGGACGCCAATGTTGATGAATTGAAACGGCTTCTGCTTCGTTTCCTGTACTTCCTCCTCCTCCTCGTCTGCAGCTTCCATTTCAAAGGGGTCTTTCTTCTTTTCTTCTTTAGGAAGCACTACTTCTCGAATAATATGGAAGTGCGTCTCATGACTCGCTAAAGCGAGATGGATCAAATCGGCATCAGATCCGTACAGCATATGGCGAGTGTTGGGGTCGTACCTATGTGATGCTCAGGTGTTCAGGACTGATTGGATAAAAAAATTTGTGAGGAGGATTGATTCATTGATAGGTTAGTTGACTGATTCCTGTGAGAAAACAAATAATGGAGATTCATGGAATTTACTTACAAAATTGAATCCTGATAAGAAAAGCAAAACTACCAATAGCAATAGTACCAATCAAAACTAAATAGCTATAAACAACATCAAAACCAAGAAAATATTACTCTGGCTGTGCTCTTTGAATTCGAATGAAATCCATCAATTTATGCTCTCCCTCTCCTGGGATCTGGCAATCCGAAAGGATAACGCGAAATTTCAGCTTTTGCCACAAAGGATCGTAGTTGGTTCGTTCGTGAATGTAATACTTCAATGCCTTCGTCAAATCCCACATAAACTTGGTTCCTGATGTAGTAGCCGTATATTGGATTTGGGAGGATTGGATTTGGGAGACATATGCTAATCGAAAATGGATGAAATTGAAATTCTTTTCAGAACGACTAAAAACAAAGGGTCGTCGTGCTGCCAAAAAATTAAAATCTTTACCAGGTGTAATGACATTCGAGTCAAAGGGTGCTGCCAATGCACTCTTTGGTGGCAACTTCTTTCCTTCGGCTTCCCACTCCTGTTTCAGCTTCTCCATCTCAGCCTCCTGTTCGTCTCTCTCCTGCGCCGCTCTAAAACGACGTGCGCGTTGCTGATTCATCTTCGCACGAGGCGCGCACCCGTCCACGGCCATGTATAAAAGTTTCTTCGGACGGACAATACGGATCAACCTTTTTTCATTGGTGGGTGGTTGTGGTAAGATGGGAGATTATTGGTTGCTTGAGGATACGGTTTGTGGTGTCTGCTTGCGGGTGTTTGTCGTAAAATGGGAGGACATTGGTTAGTTGAGGATATCGGGTGGTGGTAAGAAGATGGCAGAACAGGAATAGTTGTTGTTTGATTAGAGTTTCTTTGAAAATGAAGTACCAGATCAAGAAGTAACAATTGATATAAGACTAACCCCTGCATGCCTGTCGCCCTTGTAAGAAAGCAGTACATTTCGAAAAACTGAAATAACCGAGTAACTACTTGAAATAAGCACAGTTAAGCCTGAGCAAGGAAGAGCAGCCCTGTCAAACCTAGTTACCTCCCTTATGTCAGTCACTTACTCGGTTATTTTCAGTTTTCGAGTTGTAGATTACACCTCCGAGGACTCTTCAACGGGTCCGTTGCTTAGTGGAAATGCTAGCTTCGAATTCGGAAGTAAAAAAAAATGTACTTACTTTTAACGAGTACCTATCGATGTAAAGGAAGATCAACTCGAACATCTCGCCTTCGTTCTTTGGCGGTTTTCCCTCTTCCGGATGCGTACATGGATGGATAATCGCGTTCATGTCTAGGTAGAGACAGTCATATTCGCCGTTAGGGTTCTCCTCGTTGAGATCGGAGGGCACGAAACGACCATCGCGCTCTATCAACTCCTTCTCGACCGCATCCCGGATCACCTTCGGATACCGAGTGCACAACCAACGAAAAAACGTTGGCACACCCATCTTGACTTAGATACTTGTAGTTGATCTTTTTTAGGTTGTAAGAACTCTAACTGTAGTAACGGGTACCAAGGTTAGGTTAGGTGTGGGTCCACTAGATAAACCAGCAGACTTCAGCGGGTACCAACTATTATGTCTGTGAAATTTCTTGAAAGTCAAACTTCTGTTGACTTGATAGATGTGAAACTGTAGAACTACAGTTGCTACTAGTTTTTAGAACAAAAAAGTTAGAAGATGGATTGATACCTACAACAAATTAACAAATGGGGTGTCGTTAAGAACTTGCAAATACGAGCAGTGGTGGTGGTACCTAAATCAATCTGCTCACAACATAGATACTAAGTCGGTACCACACCGAAGGAAATACAAATCTAGATGGCTAGCTATCCCAGTCTAGCGTGCTGCGGTCACTAAAAGACCAAGCACAATTTCAATCAATTTTATGTCGCTTCTCAAATACTCCTCGTCCTGTTGAATGGATAATGGAAGATGAAAGTGATTTGGTGTTTCAGTCGTGGACCAAGAATCATCAAAGAACTAACAACTACTCTGAAACTACATTAAACAACTAGTGGAAGAAGGTCTTGTTGAACATCACGATTACTGTACATTGATTCAGTCATTTTTATTCATTTCATTTCATTCATTACTCGCAAAAAATCTGCGTTGACTCAACACAATGTGATGAATCCTCTTTCTACTTGTCAGAGCTGCATGCTCCTCAACGTTGAAAAAGATGTCAGAGGTCGAGGTGGGAGGGAAACGTGAGTTTCTTACCCACTGTACAGCAAAGGACTGTAAGGTCTTGTTAGGGGAGAAAAAGCATTCATTGGGGCTCTATGCTCTCGAAGCACATCTCAGACCGACACCGAGACTTATTTTTATGATTCGTCTTGTTGTAGAAGACTGTCCCTTGTTTAACAAGTGTCCTAGAATTTCGTGATCTATTTCTGCATTGTCGTGATATCGTGAAGAAGATGAACACTCGAACTCTTGATCCTACTCAGGTCTATTGATCCAGCACCCACGACCATATACATAGTGATCTTCCTAGGGATGCAAAATTATGACCTTGTATGATAGAAATTTCCTTGCATGATAGTACCCTCATTTCCGATTTCAAGTCTTGAACACGAGATATCTTTCTTGGATCCTTCTTTCATCAAAACACGGAATTTCGATTCTGTCATCTTATACTCTTTTTGAGGTTGGCACTGATGAAAACCTCAGTGGCTATGATTGATCTCGAAAGCGGTAAAAAGTCAAAACTGAAAACGAGCCAGGCGCCAAAGCGTGAATATTGATGTGTTCTCAAAATGCGCATGACAGCCTCTTTTTCTAGAGGCGATATTGTCAAATTGCGTGCTGACATTGATATGACATATTTCTTCATGGTGAGTGCGTCATCGCCTGAACTTGCGATGGTGCGGTAATTGAGTTGTGATACCTGGTTTTTAATGTGTTGATCTGATGTAATTGAGTTGTAAATCTGATGGAATTGTAATTGGGTTGTACAGCTACCTGGTGTGTTAATTGAGTTGTTGTGTTGAGTTGTCAGATTGAGGATCTAGTGAAAAAATTCAGGTGTTGTCCGAGTGTCTCGACATCAATCTGCTGGATATACTTCTGATTGTGATGTAATTGAGTTGTGTAATTGACTTGTTGTGTGGTTTGGTGTTGGAAGATAGAAATCAAGTACAAATTCATTGATACATAGTATGCTGTCTGTTGACTGTGTTACAATTTACAACTTCACAGTATGTTTAGCCGTATGCATTATAGTAGCTCTTCCTTGTGTGATGAGAAACGTGAAAAAACTCAATTGATAACATGTGAAAGCGAATGAGCCACAGGTGCTATCATGCCTTCTAATTCTTTGGGATACTTATACTACAGCTAATTATTTTGCGTGATATCAGTGGAAAATAGATCAGGAACATTCCTGTCGCACTTGCACTCTAGACCCTTCCTAACACGTAAACCGCTTCACTGTGGCAGCATCGTCACACCAGACGTGAGGACTGTCACTCCTGCGCTTCTATCACCTCCTCTGCGTTGTTCCTCCACTCGGTGCTCCTCCTGTTGTGTAGGTAGCAGTACTGATGACGGGTGGCTTAGTTGACGGCGGCGTAACGTGGTCTCCCACAACACGTGGACTTGACTTCTGATCGACATAGTCCGACACAGTAGTTGTCGTCCTAACATCCCCTCCCCTTCCAATGGGTTGTTGTGCGCCTCCACTGCTCGCGACTAAGGTTGATACTCCTCCTATCCTCGTGGTCTTTGCAGAGGGAACATGAGGAGCAGCAGATGAACCATAGTTCAGTATACGTTGTTCTCTAAAACAACGCCGCAACAAAAACTGCAAGAAGCGATCCGCATATTCCTGTGGCTCCACTGCAGAGATGTTTTGTTGAAAGAGGATCTTCTCCTTAAACAGATTCTCGGTGTATTTTTTCAAGCTGTAGACCTGCAAGATATCCACGATCCCCACGAAAACAAGCACATTCGATGTCCGTCCCCTGTAGCGATGAACGCCTTCAAGTGGCGCGTGCAGCCACAGGTTGTAGGCTGAGGCGGCTTCTGTTCTATCGGCTAAAGTTTTTCGACGAGAACTTTTCTGTTGTTTACTTGGTCTAGAAGATGAACTAGCAGTACTATTGATCAGGGTTGTCGCAGTTGTTGTTGTCCTGCTTTCTGGTACGGCAGGTAGAGCAGTAGGCGGCCCGACAGAATTTATCGTCTTACCATCCTCATTTGGTGATGTTCTGACCTCTCCTGCAGACCGCACGTCGCCACGTGCAGAACTACTAGGCCCTACCCCCACCGTCTTTCTCCTACTCAAGAAGGATGTTGCCACCGTCTGTCTCCGCTTATCTTTGCTAGAAGCTGTCGTGGTTTCAGAAATGTCTTCATCTAAGATCCCGAGTCGTTTTTTGGAAAACACTAGCACAGGAGGAGCCGATCGGAGCCGACGTCTTGCGCCTTTCCTATGTCCGTTCCTTGAGGCTCTATGAAACGATCCTCTACGTCGTTTCGTTGTGATTTGCTCTACTTGTTCAGCCATGTAGTTCTTATTTGGACTACTTCTAGCATGGTCTTGTTCTCGAGAACCCGTGGTCGCTACAATGCTGCTGCTCCCTAGAATAGTGCTTTCTCCTGAGAGAGACGTCCTTGCAGTAGTACCGACAGCAGTCGTACTTCTACCCGATCCCGATGGCGCATGGTTCAAATGGTTCAACACACTGCCTCCAACTACCTCCCTAGAACTAGTAGTACTAGGATCTTTACCAACGAAATGAAGGCCGAGAAGCAGTGAGTAATCCATGAGTCGATGCTTCGCGAGCCAACGTGCGTCATCCCGCAATGCTCTCGCTAGCGTTTGGTACGTCGTCAGGCTTTTCGACTTGAGTCCCTTCCAAGCTGGCTGCCCATATGGTGTGAAGGAGATACTCCTTGAACCATCTAGCAAGAAATTCTGGTCCTTCAAAGTTTTCCGGTACAGATCTTCAGAAAGTAGCGTCTTTCGGGTCGTTAATCTACTATTTGACGTTGAAGGGAGTGTAGTTGTTGATGCTGAGAAGATAGACGAGGACGAGGAAGATGAACCGCCAGAATTAGAGGAAACTGACGTCGCATATGAGGGTCTGCTACTTGGCGCAGGGGTTTTTTGGACACCAGTGAAAGAACTGATGTCTTCGAGGTCGATAGGAGGCGAATCCACTTGTTGGGCATAGGCCGATGTGGTCCTTGTTGTTGGGTCATTGATAAGGATTCCCCTTGATGCCCTGGATGATGATGAACCAGAAGGAGATGTCGAAAGTGTTATTGCACTAGTGCTACTAGAAGTACAACTAGCTGTTATCCTACTACTAGAAGTTGTACTACTTGGTGTCCCCCCAGCACCAGCAGCTTTGCTGTCGATTTTCTCAGCCGCTAGTTCAGTCCATCTATTGAAAAAGCTACCTTTTAAGTCGTATCGTTCGTGCAACACTCGACCACCAGCTAAAAATACGTTCTGCATCACCACTAGCCGTAATGTCGTACCCCGTAAGCTCGTCTCGATGGGGTGCGGTTGTAGTTCACGCTGATGTCCAGTATAGTCTAGATCTAGTCCTCCTAGTCCTCCGATGTTGTCAGGTGCAGGTGCATCAACGAAAACCAGCTTCAACAGCATGTAAAAGTGCGGAAGAAGCGTCTCTTGGCTCCGTTTGAGGATGACATCAGCTGTGTAATCTTGCAATAGACTGTTGGAAACCAGCAAGCGATGTTCCTCCTCCTTCACGCTCTTTACGCAAAATTGACCGGTCTGAGATGATGTGCACAGATGCTTCTAATCTACAAATTCAAATTGATTCCACAACACCCACGAAAGCGAATTTGTAAACAAATCATCAGTACCCTACTTAATTCAAATTGATTCCACAAGAACACTCACCAAAGCGTGAATACAAATAAATCATCAGTACCTTACTCGCGAAGAAGACTGAGTCGGACTTTCCTTCCCCTTTGTTGCCGCCTTCGAGATGCGCCATTTCCTCCACAAAGGTAGACGTACTCAATCCAAACGCCCTCCTAACTACATGCGTCAGCGCTGGACAGAAATTCACGGCCTGCACTGTGGACGATGGAAGATGATGCTGAGGACTTCTACTATTGTTACTGTCAGTAGTTCTTGGAGACGAGGTAGGCATACGAGGAGTCGATGATGAAAGTGGGAATGCACTGGTAGACGCTGATGCTCTACCCGCGCCAACAATGATCAACTCGCTTTCTACGTTGAAGGTGCACTTGGTGTGGCGCGGCTTCACAGTCTTGTCCTCTAGTGAGCCCAATGGGGGATCAGGTATCGCGAGCAATTGCCTCACAGCTCCAGAAATAGCAGCACATATGACCCTTTTCTTCGTGAGAGGAGGTGGTGGTGGTGGTGGAGCAGGAGGAGGCGCCTCGAGAGGCTGTGGGATCAAAGGTTCTTCTGGCGTGGAGGAAGAAGATGAGGATACTTGCGGAGGCGTGTCTTGCTTGGGTGTCGGAGATGGGCCAGCTTCTTTTGTTGCAGATGAAGCTCTCGACGCCGATATTTGAGCAGTTGACGATGTAGAAGATTCTGTGATCTCTTTCTCTTTACTTGCTGGCTCTAAACAAGCTCCAGGTCCATTTTCTAAACCACTGCTCGGTGCCGCCGTCTGATCGTGACAATTATCCTCAGAGACCGGAGCATGCGTCGTGCATTGGGAAGTCGGCTGCTCTGATTCGAAAATCTGGGTGTCTTGAGTTGATAAGTCCTTCAGTGTTACCTCTGTTAGTTTCTTTGCTGTTGGTGCGGTGCTGCTAGAACGGTCATCTACAACAAAACCTCTAGCAGTAGTTGTATTTTGATTATTTGTACAAGATGAAGTAGTCTGCTCCGAAGCGCGATTTAAGTAGTCTGCTCCGACCCATGAGTTTCCTCTCTTCTGACCCACAGCAGGAAGCGTTGCGCGTCTTTCCGTCAAAGACAAGGATTGTGAAATAGTACTTCTAGCCGCAGCTACCGCTGATGCACTACCACGTTGCACTGATTTTTGCGATGATGTGGAAGTTGAGGATTGCAGAAGCATTTTCCTCTCAAATAGCGAAACTCGCATTGAGAAAGCACGTTGACGAGCGCGAGCTTTTGCGCAAACCTGCGAAACTATGTTGGTCCAACTCGCGATGCACTCTTCGGTGTAACTATCCTTGTCGGAAGTAGATTGCTTATCTGGCTGCTGTCCTTTTGGCGCACTGAGCTGTGATTCCACTACAGTATCCGATGCCGATTCCTGTTGTTCCAGCTTATCTGTAACTTCCTGACTACAACAATGCTGGTCTTCCTGTTCTCCATCTTTTACAGGAGATGAAGGCTCTTCTACGCTCAGAAGATAGGCTGGTTCTGCAGAAGAATCGGCTTCGCCAGGACCGTTAGCCTCCGTCGGTCGTGGGTGGATACCCTCATCTTCTTGACCTTTCTGTATTTTGCTTTGACCTTTCTTTATCCTACAGTCGTCCTCCTCCTCAAGGCAATGCCCGTTCTCTAGTACGGCAATGCCAGAAGCAGCATTATCTTCTTCTGTATGTTCTCCCACTCTTGCAATGCTCTTTGCATCCTCAACTGCGGGGCCTACGGCTTCAACCACGTCATCCCTGCCTCCCTTTACTTCTTGTGGCGTCGTTCCTCCCTCTACTTCTTGCAGACTCGTTGTCTCCACTGGATGTTCCTCAAGTAGTTCTGGTTCGCGCACAGAGACTGCCTGTTCATCATCAACGACAGAGGAAAAAACGAATACTGAGCGTTCATCGACAGCAGAAATAGAAAGAGCCGGGTCGGCTGCCGAGGGGTCCTCCTGAGGTGATTGGTCAACACTGCTTTCTTTAGCATCAGCTTCTGCTTCTTCCAGTGGTGGCTCGGCTATTCTTTGAGCATCGTCGGCGTCGCCTACTTCCACCCCTTCTACTTGTTCTGTGTTAATACCTACAAGAATCTCCTTACGCACCTCCTCTTCATGCATCTTCTCTACAGAATCAGAAGGAGATCCTGCTAAAACTCCCTCATCCTTCTGATCTGCTCCTTCTGGTACCACGACATCCCCTTCCACCGATGTTGAGTGAACTACCTCATGAGGCGTTTCTTCTGCAGCAATAGAGGTCTCGGCAATATCTGCTTCGAGTAGAGACACTACGAGTTCCTCTTGGCCACCATCCTCATTGAGATCCGAATCGTCAATGCCAGAGGACTGCTGATGCTCAATCTCTTCCACCACTAGTTGTGAAGTAGAGTGCTGACGCTCGACAATATCGTCTTCCAACTGTTGTAGAGGACTGAAATTAGTGGTGGTCTCTGTAACTTCATCTACTTGTTCTTCAAAATCTCCATGCTGGAGATGGCGATTTATTATGCCTGCAGCATTGCAGAAGGAATCGTCCTGCGCGGCTGCGGCTTCCGCTTCAACAAAGCTCCCACTAGTTCTACCGGCGACTCCGGCATCACCAACTACGACAGCCTCGCTCGCTCTTGCGCCTCCTGACTCGGCTGACTCGGCTTCCGGACCACTGACAATCAGCGCACCATCATCCTCTAGCAGCTCTAACGCGGCTGGATCCGCAGAAATCCTCCTGCCACTTCCCCTTGCCGAACGCTGTTCAGACCTTTCTGAGCCACGTCTAGAAGACCCGCTACGTTGCCTAGAGCGTCTACTACTAGTACCCGATCTCCTTCTACGGCTTTTTCTAGAGGACGCAGAACCAGCCCCAGAGTCAAAACCCCCTCCAGCTCCATGAGTAGGACTAGGAACTCTAAGGAACTTGTTTTTCTCATGTAGAGATGTCTCTTTGCGATCTGCTGGGGGAGGTGGATGTGGTGAGGATGGTTCCTCAGCACACCCATGCTGACTATTCTTTGCTGAGTTTGTTGCGGTATTCTCCAGTTCCTTCACGCGTGCTTGCTCCTTCAACAACGAACTGACTTGTGACCGCAGAAAGGTTAGAAGCGGTCGTTCGAAGTTGGGATTGAACTGGATTGCACCGTCTACTTGATTAAATGCAACAGCGTACCTAGTACTACCTGTTGTATTTGTAATAACTAAGGTTGTAATTATAACCCTGATTCACCTTTTAACAACGTCACACTAGTACAGGCACGAAGATTATTTAATTATTCTTGTAACTACAATTTCGATTCATTTCTTCGAAATTTTGAGGACCAAGATTCATCCATAACACGCTGTTCTCAGTCTGCAGCAGGTCATTGTGCTCCTGGAGTGCGTCGCTTTGCTCGCGTAGAGCATCGCTTTGCTGTCGGAGAACGCGATTTTCATGTTGGAGAAAGCAACAACCTGGACACAAAGACTCGGTGTCTGGTGCTGATGACGTCATGATGACTCGTCTGCATCACATTCACAACTGAAGACATCACGAAGCGAACGAGTAAGCGTCATTCTTGTGCTTCTTTCATTCAATATGGCAAATGAAGGCAAGACCAAGATATGCGAGCACGATGGAACAAGTCTTATTTCTTTTACTACACTGTGCCCTAACCAGTTTGTATCGTGTCCCTATAGAGATCAAAATTGCGACGAAACTGAAAAATACCTGAGAAAATGACTTCTTCATTTTCTTCCTCCCCTGTCGCTGCTATTTTCGTGTTTCAGATTCGTTCCGGATCAGTAGAATTCATATTCAGTTTTTTAAAAATACAGGCTGCTTCCCCTTGTACTTCTAACTGATAAGTTCATGAATACAACTCTCATCGCACTTGTTTTTCTCGCTAGTACACAGAGTTTCAACTACCTCCGCTGCTGCGTTTACACTCTCACGCGACATCACATGCTGTAATGAAAGAACGAAAAAGGAGAAACAGGACAAAGATCTACTTCACCCATTTTTATTGTGATTCAGTCATCGAAGGAAACATCTGCCAGATTTGAATCTGAATCCTCATCTCCCATGTCGGCAGTGACGTAGCTAAGTGTTTGTACACTCACATTTGTGCGAGACAATGCATTCCTTGAGGCTATGTGGTTCATAAATATCATACGACAACATTTTTCATAATGTATAATGTTACATCATGGATTTGCAGCTACATCTTCGCCGTATCATCTGCATGTAGAAGTGTATACAAGGTTTTGCGCGCTCATGCGCGATAGATAGTCATCTCCTGTGTGCATTATCTGTTGGATGGTTGAAGAAATTAACCTAACGTCTTTCTTCTTGATGTGCACACAAATCAAAGCACATACTTATGTGATTCTTATAGCATTTGAATGTCATGCGTGCATGCCTGATGTCGTTGCCGTCTTTCTGGATGACCGTAGGAACTGACCCTGATATGCCGTTCCCAATGGCGAGCTAAATACTAGACTTCACGTTAACATTGATGACGACTACTTACCAAGCACGACTACCAAGTTGCTGAGAGTGAGTGAATGAATGTACCCACTCCAAGGGTATAGAAGAAGACCACTACTCTACTACTTCCGTTTGCAACCTAGACTTTGTGAAGAGCCTAAGACCTTTCTCGACAACCGTATGAACCAAAGAGGCTGATAAAATGATGCTGCTTGAATACAAGGATTCTTCAGACTGGTCGATGTTAAAAAAAAAAAAACTGAAATTTTGCACGTAGCCAGTGACATTCATTGATTCGTTCATTCATTCATAGACGAACCGCGTGACGTTTTTTGTTGTTACTCGGCATTCGTGGATAGACGAACCACGTGACAACTTATAAGCTGCCCATTTTAATAGAACCCCGTTAGACCAGCAAGGCGTCCTCCTGTTTCGGAGCGAGTCTGCAGTAAGAAATCAGCATTCGGATGAGCCCGAAGAGAACGAAGAGGACGCCGAACGAGTTCCACATGATCGCGCGCCAACCAAAAGCCCAAGGAAATACGAGCCCTATCGAGCATTCGCGGACGTACACGGAGAGGGTAATGATGAACGCCAGAAGCACGATGCCCGCTAACGATCCGAGAACAGAGATCATGATCCGGGTTCCGCATCCCTTGCGGAATTCACCCCAGTGAAGATCAGTGACGCAGCGAGAGCAGCGAAAGATCAGCATCATCACCAAGAAGCCCGCCATAGCAAGCAACTTCAGCAGCGTCATCGCAAAAGCAATGCGGAGAGCACCTCCGGCTCGGAGATTCAGATACGAAGCAAGTCCCGCACCGAGCCACTCACGAAGTTTTTCATCGCGCCGTTCCGAAGATGTTGCATTAACAAAAACTTCCTCGGCCTTAAAAGATGCATTAGAAATGATAATCGCCAGTAGCTCTGTGAAGAAAAGCCAATAGAGAATCATCTCCAAACGCGCAGTCCAGTCTAAAAATCGCCGGCTTCTCAGCTTCACATCGGCCTCGTCCACTGCCAGCATCAGCGGTTCCTGCTGGATATACACCTGCTGCTGTTGCTGCATCATTGTAGGAGCAGTTGCCGCCATATACTGCTGCGGCTGTGCTTGCATCGGATCATACTGCTGCTGCTGTGCCTGCATTGGATCGCACTGCTGCTGCTGCTGCGGCTGTGCTTGCATCGGATCATACTGCTGCTGCTGCTGCTGCAGCATCAACATAGGATCATCTTGCGGTGCCATGTTGGGATAAGCGCCTTGATGAAAACCTATCTAGAGGTATATTATGACTGTACCTAATGATCAGATCATAGGTGTTGTTCTTATAAAAAAGTGTTGTTTTTGTAGATACGTAAATGTCGTGCAGTAGAGGTGGTCCTCTAGTCTACCTATGCCAACAAGTCCTTGAAAAATGTGATGCAGCCGTACAACCTGTACAGCACTTCCTTGAGTCCTCTGATTGGTTCTTGTAAAAACAAGAATGAGCGTGAGAAAAGTCGCTCGAGTATGTTGATCTGTTGTCACATTGGCCTAGGAAGAGGAACTTTTCTCTCATTAAATTGGGGAACTTTTCTCTCATTAAATTGGGGAACTTTTCTCTCATTAAATTGGGGAACTTCACGTCAAATTGGCGAACTTCACGTCAAATTGGCCTAGGAAGAGAGACTCCCCGAAGATTCATAACGTTGATCTTTGGGGTCTCATGGATTGATGATGCTCATGATAATCCACGAGGATTGATCAAGGAGGCTTCTTCGTTATCTACTTCACTCGGAAGTTTTTACTTCTCTCAGCGACCTTGTTTTGATTAATACTTCTTAGTTGCACTTAGTCCAAACTGTGAAGGTGAATGAAGATCTTTTTCTAGTAACAGATCTCTCATTTTTGGATCTCATTGCAAAAATCTTCGCTGCTCCGTCTATCTTGGTTTTTTTTTGTTCCTTGCTTGGAGGGACTAACCTAGGGTGTGTGATGAGGGAAAAACTAACCCGGAAATTCTTTCTTTATGTGCTTTATCAAGCGTCCCTTGATGACAGACCCAGACCGTATTTGTATTTTTAGACTTGTTACTAGGCGAAAATAAACATTTCATATTTTTACTGTAGTGGACAGTCATTCACGCGGGTGTGTACAATACCAGACACGCAGAACCTGAGTCCTCATCCTCTATTTCGCATTCGCCAGTTGTAACGTAGCTTTGTGCATCCACCTCCTTTGCTTCCACGATGACGATAGTCGTGAAAAACCTCTACGTCTTCTGGTCTTCCTTTAAATCTATGATCACACATGTTTATGATGCTACATTGATTTGCAGCTACATGAGTTCCGAAGATGCGGCATTTTATGCGTACAAAGTTTTTGGTGCTTATGCGGAATCGAAAGTAGCATGTGTCTGTCGTGTGCATTTCCTTATAATAGGGTTTGACAAATCATGCATTCATTCAGGCGGCAGCGGCTCGACATTGAATATGAAATTTGGGATGTCTGTAGACATTTGTGACTTGTTGTCAGAGAGAAAGTATAAATCAATGCAGGACTTTCTTGATCTTGGTCCTCCCTTTAGCATTCATTTTCATCATACGAGTTGCCAAAAATTCGCTATATCTTATCAATAGCGACAAATCTAAAAAAAAAAAATCATGCACATCATGTGAAGATTTCTTGTATAACTCAAAACTGCAGCGCTAGTCCTTCAAGCTGCTGCTGCTGCTGCTTCTGTCGTCGCTAGTGGTACTTCTACGACAGTTTCTCTTTCTCTTGTTGCTTAGCCTCCCACTAAACTTTCGACTATCAGCAGTGAACCTTGTACTGTCACAACATGACTGTAGTCGGCGACGGCATCCCACTCCCAGTGAACGATGAACCTCCTACCGTCAGTCAAAAGGCATCGTCGATCCTCTGGTTCCATCAGTGTAGGCACCACCTCGTCTGACCAGTTTCTGCAATCCCATCTCGTCTGCAAACGCTTCACTCTATGTGAGGCCTTCCGCGCTCGCGTCGAAGGTCCCAGGGGTGGCACATGACCCTGCAGGCGAACCTAAAAAAGCCCCATACTCCGGTACCTGTGTTAGCACTGCTGAGCGCCTCCGTATTCGGAACAACCACATTATCAATAAGAGCCTGTCCGTCAGGTGCGAACGGAGCTGAGAAACCCAAAGTCAATACTATAAAAATTCTCATGAAGAACGTGAGGACAAATAAGAGAAAAAACAGACCGATCAGAAGGAATGGCAAGGCGCATACCCACCATTTAAGAAAAAAAATAAACAAATCCCACAACATCTTTTGTGGAAAAACCTAGTCATGCGAGGTAGGGCTCATAAATTCGTTCCACGTTCTTGCAAGAAAATACAACAGCTATATAAGCACTAAGATGGAGGAACGAGGATAAAAACCAGAAAGTATGGCAACCTTTTGTCGAATTAAACCTGCAATTTGTAGAAGGATGGGGAAACTTTTTTTGAGAAAAGCTTCACAAAAAGCTTCACAAAAAGCTTAATGTTGATCTTCGAAATCTTTTTAGTCGTCCAACTCTGAAGATCTTTTCTTTCTAAAGAGATCGATCAGAAGCATTTTTGGATCTCGACTATCGCAATAAATATATCGCTGCTCTATGATATTCCTTCCTTGACATAAAGTATCACAGACTGAGGCTAGAGACAGTTCGATTTGGACCGTTCGATCATGGTCACAAACATCTTTTCAGTCGCTTTCCAAAAAGTGACAGAAATGATCTCTCCAAACTTCTACAGAGATTGCTGGAGTCAGAGGAGTTTTTTCTCCCAAACTCTGATAGTATCCAAATTGTACATCCTAAAAATCATATGGTGGTTCATTTACTTGGGTGCATACAAGTTCACCATTTACTTGGGTGTATACTCGATGACTTTCCAACGACCTGCGTGAGTTTGTCAAGGTCAAAATGTCGTTTTTCCTATTCATGCCACACGGAGCATCGTCGCATGTAGTGCCTTTTCATTTGTGAGTAAAAATAACAAGACAGACATTTGAGACTTTGAAAGAAAATTTGAGGTTTCTGGCCTTCGTTTTTCCGTTCATGCTACTTCAACCTGCATTGTCGAGAATTCCCTAGGTTTGTGAGTTCCAGTCGTGTCAAAACCAGGTATAACTATGTAAAGGGTTGTATGTGCCAGTACTACTCCTCTAAGGTGCTGCGGCGGCTGTCGTCGCTACTGGCGAAGCAGCTGTCGTTGCTGCTCCACCTCCCCCTCCAGGTGCAGCTCCTGTGGTCGCTGCTTCTCCTCCTGTGCCTGCAGGTGCTGTCGTCTCAGCTCCGCCTGAACCTGGTGGTAGAGTAGTTGGCCCCACCACTGAGCCAGGTGGTGGTATGACTGTCACTGGTGTCGTCTCGCCGGTGAGTCCCGCACTCGCATCACCGGCACTTGCAAGTTATGAAAGAAAAAAAATGATGACTCGGAAGGTAAGTCGAGATCAATAGACAGGGTTAGCCGTTAGGTACTAAGAGACAAAGAAAAAGAAATATCAAACGATTCAAGCTTCTTCCTCTAAACGTAGACCTCTGTCTTCGCATTTTATTTACCGAACTACAACTAAAGCTCAGCACTCAATGGTCACTGACTCTAAACGGAATTCCAAAGCTCTCCCCTTTCCCTTCGTTTTCCCCTGTTCTCTCAAGGGGTCGCCTCTTCGATCTCAGTGACTCCAAGCTAAATGGTGACCATTGAAAGTTGAGTCGTAATACAACTACTTATATATAAATAATCGCATTGGCCTTAGAATTCAAGAAACTTATTCTCCCTAAGAGTTAGAAAACTGTCTTGTATCTTTTGCGGAAAGTCACTTATTCCGTCCTGATCTGCTTCTGGGAGGACATGTTATATATAAATAATATGAATAATCACTTCACGACCACGACCTCCACCATACAGGCTCCGTGTCTGTAAACATGTGCGCTTTTACCGTTTTATACCTCTCCACGTCATACCACAGTGGTGGGACAGCCAACGCCTTCGATTGCACCTTGTCCATGACGGTGTACATGTCCACCAGGAATGATATGAAAGAGAGATGAGGGACGTTCCTGTAAGGGAACCGAGCAGCGTTGTAACTAGTAGTCTATAAAAGTCTATAAAAGTCTGTCGCTAGTAGTCTATAAAAGTCTGTCGGTACTATGTCTACTAGCGTCAGGCTTTATCCATCTCGGCCCCCTCATCTTGAACCCTTTGCCCTTGTATTTCATGAGAATTTACAGGAAGAAAGGGGATCAAGATGCCGAGAAAGATGGATAAAAGCTGACCGCAAGTCTACGCTTACAAATCTTCTTCGCCAAAATATCAAATCAAAGTAGTCTTTTAAGTAGTCAAAGACATTCACATACACCATGATCATCCCACCATAAGATTCTCCGTTTCCTCGACCGCTTCACCCATCGGGCCTTCATTTGAACTCATAGACAAGGCTGTATAGATCGCCTGGTCCTCTAGATCTGTCCAGTTGGCTCTAATATAAAACTGCTCTTCACGGATTCGATTTAGGCCAGCTCGGAGCTGGTCCATGAGATCGACGAGGGTTAGAAGATGGGAGAAGATGATGATGTGGGTCGAACTCGAAATTTGTAAAAATTAGAGGTGCAGCTAGTAAGATGAAGAGGATTAGAGGACTCGTGAGGATCTAATTGGTGGAAAAATCTATTCAGGGAGAAACACTATATCAAGGAAGCTCAGAGATGATGCAGACGAAACGGTGGCGAAGGAAAAAAGCTAGGCATACAGTGCTGGCCAAGGAAAAACAAATAAAGCTACTAGGCATATAAGTACAAGAACTAGAGGTGGAACTACAAAGCAACAACTACATGATTCACAAAGCAACATGGCATAAGCTCAGAGTATCTTTCAAGCTCTCTATCATTTCCGCCATCTTCGACAAAGCAGGCTTGGTGCTGTTCAGCAATTTCCGAAACTCGTTGGCTTGCTCATGAACTGTTTCGCGAGTGTCGTTCATCGCCTTCCGCAATCGTGCAGTGACATTGTTGCCGGACACGCCATTCACTTCGTGGTAAATTTCTAAGGCTACCTGGAGGTTTGTGTAGTTGGAGGTTTGTGTTGTGCAGGGTGCGGTTCACTTGTGGTCTCTTCCCTCGTCAGTACCTTATCGTCTCTGTGACATTGAGGGAGTAGACGAGTTCGTCCTGTAGCCAAAGAAACAAAACGGAGCCTATAAATTCATTCCGGGAAATTTCTCCTATCCAGAAAGTCAAAATCCTTCCTCTCCTTAGAATACCTTCCTCCTATCCAACACGTCCTGCGCGATGTCGATGACTTCTTGTTTCTCCATTTTGATTTTATCCGACTCTTGTTGTATCCTCTCACATTCGGCTAGCTCCAGTGTTTTTTCCTCCTCTAACCTGGTTTGGTTTGCCTCAGACTCCTGCTCAAAAGCGGCCCAGTGCGTAGCACAGGCTTCGGCAGTTAGATCAGAGGTGGAGGACAGGCTCATAGGACCGACCGACTAGCAAAAAATAATCGTCCAACCGGAGACTTCTTTCTTCAATCAGAAAAAAAGATTAAATTCAAATCAATTCTAATTCATTCATTCATTTGCGAACCACGTGACAACTCAAGAAAGCTGCCTGATTCCGTTGCGACCCGAGTAGATACGCGGCAAAGAACCGATAGCGCTATGGCATGAGTAACGCCGACATTCTAATTCAATCATCATAACTTCTCAGCTTCCTGCACTGATATGACAGCTGTTTCAGCCGCTGCGACGGCTTTCTTGGACTCCTGAACTATGGTCTCTGCTTGGTAGACTTGGTCCTGTAGTTGCGCTATTTCCTTGTCGTATTCAGTCTTGATCTGTTCACAAATAGCCTCCTCACCTGCTGCCTGGCCTAAAATCATCTGCAGCTGCTCGAACAAGGCTGCGGTTGAGGTTGAATTAACCGACTCATGTACTAAATCCTGGTGTTGAAATAAATTTGACATAGATTTTTATAGTTGGATGCTCAAAACGTGAACTATGAGTTCTTGGAGTGCGCTACGTATTGTAATTTTGAAGCGTAGTACATCGCGAGGATCCTGTCGTGTTGCTTGCGGTAGTCCCCGTATCATCTCCGGTCACTTGTGTGGTTCTTCTAGACGATTTTTCCCTTGCGACGCCTCTACCACGACCTCTTTTACCTTTCTTGAGCAGCTTTATCCTATGACCTCCATGCCTCGATGTTGTCACTGCTTCTGTAAGTGCAGCAGTTGTTAGGAGGTATACCACTCCTATGATGCTCCGTCTCCATGTCTTCGTTGGAAAAAGCATCCTTGGGATGCTGCGGCAGCGTGCCGACCGCCGCTCCGTTACAGTATCTTCACTAGGTGTTATCTTCCATGTTGATCTTCAACAAATTTTACTACAGTTCCTTGAACTAGATTTCTCTGAACCGACGTTTCATTATGTTTCTAAATCTTCAAATCATGGGAGTTGTGAATTTCTTAGTTCGAGTCTCTGATGATTGTTGACAGTCCGCACGTTCCGTCCATGCCTCCTTTTTTTTTCTCTCACTTTTTCTCCATTTCTGTCCTCTTTTTTCGTGAAGCATCATGACCCTATCACCGTGGCAGCATGCCTCACCATACTGTTCAAGTTCAAGTTGATGAGTCGGTTTCTAGGCAGAAACACTCGTACTCCATGTTGGGCTTTTGTTCAGTATAATCTGAAAGAGGAAAGGACTGACGTTCTTTGAGAAAGGCATCTACTAGCGGAGCACAAAGCGAAAAAAGCATCATGTTCCACGCGATCCCCAAACGGAGAGACTTCTTTACACACATGAAGAGTATTGACTTTTTCAGCACGCAAGTAGGAAAAAGCGTACCTGTAGTAGCCCAAAAAAATCTGTAAAAGTAACTGCACACTAAGAACTCATCATTGGAAACTCCTTCAACATTCACTGTAAACCCCACATCCCCCTTCACACAGCCATCTCCATAGCGACCTTCGGATGTGGGTTGTACCCTACGAGAGTGAAGTCGTCGAAGACGAAAGAGTCGATGTCTGTTTTTTCCGGATTCAGTTTCAGCAATGGAAAGGGTCGTGGCAATCGATCCACCTGCTGTTGCATCAGGGGTTCTACATGGTTGCTATAAACGTGGGAGAGATTAGAGGCAGGTAGGGTTAGGCGTTACTGATTTTTGTATGAAGCCTCTGCAAAACTACCATAACCATGACAACTACAACTAGTTCTAGTAGTTGAGTACCACATTATAATTTTTTACGGTACTTTTGCTAGTAGTGGCTCACAAGATATAGATTTAATGTCATGAGGCTATTGAAAATTTAAGCCATAGTATTTCCCATCGAGTGCACGAATTCACCCGGCTTCAGACCCGTGCATTGCGCGATCATGTAGGTCAGTGCTGCATAACTCGCAATATTGAAAGGTACACCAAGACCCATGTCGCAGGAGCGTTGGTATCTAGAAAATTTTTGTGGACGTTATTTTTATGCAGGTGAATTACACATCAATGGATAGAAAACAAAAGAGCAGAAGCCTACGTAGTTTTGGATTCGGGTAAAAGTGAGTTCCTCAATGGAATGCGTCTCTAATGGATAAATCGGCGAAAAACAACAAAGTTGTCAAAGTCTTTCTTACAATAAGCAGCTCAATTCCCCTTTCGCGACGTAAAACTGTGCGAACATGTGGCATGGTGGCAAGGCCATTTCGTGAAGGGCTGCTGGGTTCCAAGCTGTAATAATCATCCTTCTGTCTGACGGGTTGGTCTTCAACGTTTGAATCAACTCTGCGACTTGGTCGACGCCTTTACCTGTTTGGACATTTGGAGTAGCATACCCGCAGACCGCAGTCATTGGGATGGTGGAGATGTGTGGATGTCGGAGCAAGTGCTTATTCCCTCAGTACTGGAGAACAAAGTAGGGAGACGCTGAAACTTGCCACGTTGCTTGATCAAACAAGTTCTTAAAAACCAGTGTAATCCGTGTGCATATCCTTATATTCTGCTCCAAAATGCCGCCACTGAAATCCGTAGACCGGTCCCAAGTCGCCAACTTCTCTATGGCCTAGTCCACGCTTGGATATTAGAAAGATGGTTTTCACTGGGTACTAGCCCATAAGCAGCTGTACTTGTAGTTGTAGAGGCTACATCACTTACGGAGGAAGTAGAAAAGGAATCAAAATCAACATCAGGTCTACTAGATTTATCAAGTCCATTTACAGCAACATACTGACGCTAGTATAACTACTACTCTGACAAACGAACATGACTACTTTTATCTTCTGCGTACTTGTTTCCACATTCTTATTCTTTGTCATAAATCCAAGAATTCTCGGCTGCCATTTCCGTCCCAGATTTTGATGCCTTTCTCACTCAAATGGTTGCCATTTGTGTCGCCGCGCAAGAACCACAAGAGCTCCTCTAGCACACCCCTCCAAAAAACGCGTTTCGTCGTCAGCAATGGGAAAACGCCATCCCGCAAAGAAAACCGCATCTGGCATCCAAATTTGGGAGAATTAGAAAGAGGCTTGATAGAAAAGGGACACTCCTTCTTGAGTACGCGAGTTGTATCTACACTTGTTTATCCTGACTTCTATCTAGGTTATCAAAAGTGCGAGGATTGTCGTCTGGCAAGAAAGCTACTTGCCTAGTTCAGTGGGCACTGGTCTGCTAGCATTCGTATTCACTGGAGGTGGAGGGGGAAGGGCAAGGTACTATTATAAAGTTAGTGGTCCAACAACAGTTGAGGTTTTCATAAAGTAGGTTCCCACTCCGGTTCGGTCCGACTGGAAGTCGCCTGTCTTGATGATATCTTTGATCATTTCTAGATACTGCCGTTCCTCATGCTCCATGTTTGATGGCGATGATGGGATGGCAGAAGAGCTACTGGAGGCCCCTGCACCAGCATCCTCCGCGTTTGGGATGCGCGCATACCGGACGAAGTCAAACCTGAAATAAGAAAACAAGGCACGTCAGCGCTGGGAACTAGTGGAACTAATATTTTGTTTCATGGGATAAGCCTAAGGTTTAGAGGCAAAAGCGAACCGGCTGTTTTATTTAGTGCTTTGAGCGCCGCTGGACCTAAACCGCGACCCTATAAAAAGGGAAGAAGCCAGTCAAGATCTGCGGCACAACCTCGCATTTATATAAAGGAGAAAAAAGCACGCCCCTGGGTAAATATTAGATCCCCAGCGCCCGTCTACTCCTTCCCCACTTGACTAGTGAAATGATCTCCGTAAGCCAACGCGAAAGCCTAGCTCTCGACAAGGTAATCTTCGCGACTGAGGCCGAGCCAGTTAGAAGCTATAAGAGCTCCCACGTAGACAAAACTTCAGAACTTCCTCCGTCAAAGTCAGCGTCGCTAGCGCCGAAAGCGTCAAGCTCTTGAAGCGCGGCTTGCTTCTCCCACTTGATATACGCAGGGGCTGCCCACACGGTGTCCGGATTCGCCTCCCGTAGAGCGGCCACATTAGTTAGGGCCAATGCCTCATCTCTGAGAGCTGCGCCATCCCAGGTGTCCCAAATTCTGCAGAATCGGGGAGCAGCGACTGAGCACATAGAGGCGGGAGCCTCGCAGTCCAAGCTTTCCCGTCGTCGGTCCCTCTGTAGTACTTCTCCGAAAGTGAATCCATGGCAGGAAACTGATCGCGCCCCCTAAGCGCCGCTTCTGCGCTCTGGAACTAATGCGGGGCCTTGCCGAACTTAGACGCAACGACACAGAAGCCAGTGCGGTCCTCGGCCAAGCTCAAAAGACTGGCTTGCCATTAAAAAGAAGGGGGGCCCTGTGGGTTCCTCTCTGTGACATGCACCGACCACACACAGAAACTGAACGAAGGGGAAAAGCCCCGCGCGCTTTCTCTTTCACTTTTCGCCGAGCTTCCTTTTTCGAGTGTGGAAGCCTGCGGGCACCCACAGTCGCGCAATTCCTCCACCTGTAACAAGCGCGACGGCAGTCGACTAGGCAGCGCAGAAAGCTTTACCGTCGCCAGGTTTTCTGCTGGTTTTACCTCCTCAAGACAAGGCAAGGGCCTTGCTCACACGCTTCTGGCATCGTTCGCGCGACAAAATTAGCGCGGGGGGAGGTGCTACGAGCAACACACCGGGCACAGAATGAAGCGCCAGAAAATCGGGGAGAGTTGACCCCTGAACTGACTGACTGACCCGCTTGCCGTCGCTTGTGGTGAAAGGCTTAAAGAAACAAATACAAACCGCGACCCCAGGCGGTGCCTACTAACTGGCGGGCCGCTCCACAGGCGGGGCCGCTCGTCGGGCGTGCGGTGTTTCTTGCCGCTAGTCTAAAGGCGAGCGCCCGCGAGAAGAGTCACGCGGAGGATATTGCCGCCATTAGAGGGCTTGCCGCTCAGCTGCGTGTCGTCTACACAACACGAGAGAAAAGGGCTGGCCTGAGTGACTGGCCAGACTTGGCAATGCAGCAAAAAAGCAAACCCTACGCGACCCGAAAGCGCGCAATCGTTTGCGGCCAGGCCCCGGCGCGCTGCGTGACAGAAGAGGCCCGCCCTTTCATCACAGACATTAAGCACCCAGCCCCCCCCCCACTGCGCTCGAAAAGTCCAGTGCGCCCGACCTGAAGAGGCTGCGCTGCTCTGAGGTCCAGGAAGCGCATGGCTTTGCGCAGCTCTAGAAGCAGAACCGTCAGGCGGAGCAGTACCAGAGGGACTGCCCTCCGGAGCAGTGCCAAAGCTGTACGACTCAGGGAAACCAAAAGCCCAGACCCTCTCCACATTGGCCCGCGTGTCTGGACTGTACGCCCCTCGAGGTCCCTCGATCTCCTCACCTCCCTCCGCCGTGCCTTCTGGAGTGCAGTCGCCTGCCGCTGCGAACTTCATTGCGCCACGCATCACTTAGGCGCCCTCCGTGCCGCAAGTTGTCGACTCACATGCTCAGCCCGTCAGCCCAGGTCCAACGGCACGGCTTTGAACGGGAACAGCCCTGGCCAATATCCAAGGCCAGCAGTTGGCGAGTAACATTCCTGGAGTGCTGTGCCAGCATTCCATGCGGGGGCAGTGCTTAGTTCTGAGTAGGGCACACTGTGGGCCCTTTGCACAAGTCCCCAGATAACCACACGCCTTCTGTGATCGCAAACCGCCTCGACGCGCGTGCGCCGAAGTGGCAGCGTGTACCCCTTCAACATGCACCAAGATCAGACCAAGACAAGCGGCCTCACTTCGTCGCTCAGGTGTGAGATATGTCAGACGCGCCCCCGCTATGTGTAATGGACTGGCGAGCCTCGCCCAGGTGTCTCACCCTTTTGCTGGCCTGTCCAAAACATACAAGCCCGCCGGGCAGCCGTCTGCAGCTCCAGCCGGGGCGCGTCTGCACAAGTTAAGGCCCCCAGCCGGTCTCAGACTCATCGCGGCCCCTATTCGCGGAAGCCAGCGACCACTCCCAGAACCGTCAGCCATCTGTCCAACGCGAACGGCTGACCCCTATCCACAGAACCGCCGCGCATTTTTCCCCAACCATAGACAGCGGCGCCCGCTCATCTGATACAGCGCCAGCATGCAGTGCCACAGCATTTAGAACACCGCCCAGGCTCTGGAACACCGTGCCCGATGTCGTTGCTCAGCGGGTGGCCCCGGTTTTTGCCCCGTTGAGATCTGACAAGACCGCCACGGAGGAAAGCGCAGCCGCCGACATTTCACCCAGCAACGTGCCCGGTGGGCACCCACCCAAAGCGCAATGAAACCAGCAGCACAAAGGCAGACCGGTCAGCGCGCGGCGGCTGTTGTTCCTATCACGGTTAGCGACCAGCGACTTCGCTCAGGTTGTAGCGCCGCGGCTTTGGTCCGACGTTCCAGGCCGTGCCCAGCGGGCGCAACGTGGTGCCTTGAGCGGTCCCTCGACCAGGCGAGTCTCCCCGTAGTCCTTCGGTGGTTTCTTCACTCCTGGCAGCGTCTGCCCCTCCTTCAACACCCACGCAGACAGGCAGGCGCGTGCGCCAGTTGCGCTGGCTGCTGCCCTGCTTTATCAATGAAGGGCGTCGGCCGGCCAGCCTTCACAATGTGCGCGCAAATTCAAAGACCCGCCGCCCCGAGCGCCGCCCAGGGCCCAGCCGGTTCTGGAGCACTTCGAAAGGATCAGGGCTGACGACGCACCCCGGAACCTTCATCGGGGCCGCCCGTCAGGCGCCTCCTTCAAAAAATGCGGCCCGAAGAGCTGCGGGGACCCTCTATCCGTCGCTCTGCATGTGGTTCCGCGGCCACGTTATCACTGGCAGGAGCGTCCCACGCCTCTGCGCAACCGAGCGGCGGCGAAAGCGATTGCAGCGGCCCCCGACGTTTTGGTAAAAAAACTAAACTTGGTAAAACTAAAGAAAAGCAGGATCGAAAGTAGAAACTTCAAGTTGAAGTACGGTATATCCTCAAACGCTTTAGTTTTGCTCACTTCGACCGGTGAAAATTTGTTCAAATCGACTGCAGGAAAAAACACATCGCACTCAAACTGCTTGCCAACACGCGTGAGATAGATGCTGCTGTATACCTCCATACCCTCGGTGAAAACGCGTTCGCCGCCAATCACGAAAACCTACAGAGAGAGGTACATGGTAGAAGTTGAGTGACTCTTAATATAATCAAGATTGATATAAGGACGGGACGAACATTTTGATTAAGTCTGTCAATCTCAAAAAAAGGCACTGACAGGAACCCCTAGTACAAGCATTCGTCTATAACTCATCTCAGCAAATAAAAACGTGAATCCCGGTTACATGAAGACGAAACCTGCGTCCAGAATTAGCAAATTAGCATAAGTACCTGTTCCACGCCATCTTCTCCCTCACAGTGCACTAATGCTTCGTCAAGGCTACCTCGAACGACCACATCATCGCTCCCTTCGACAGAACTAGTGTTGCTCGTCAAGACAACATTCAGGCGACCGGGAAGGGGACGGAACCTGAACAGGGAAAGAAGACATCCTTGGCTTATTACCTTAGGGTTTAGGGTTCATTTCTTAAGAACCTTATCCTATAAGATCAAGATCTCATGCCTGATAGATTGATTGGTAGAAACCATGATCAATAAGTGGAACCTGCTGGACATGTTTCCATACGATAGAAAGACATACAGCTCTACTAGTCTTCCTCTTACTGTTTCGGTATGCTCTCCCATGTTTTTCGACCCATCACTACAGCATTCCTTTTGTCCGGTGTGTTCGTTTTCAGGGTCACGGCCTTGAACCTGGCCATATCCTCTGGTAGCTTTTTCCATGGTAGCTTTCCTTCGAACCCGATGCCACGATTAGGGCATTGAGCAACGATGCAGTTGACAGGCTTCTTGGGACCGGTCATTTTTCTTGATTGAGTGGTTCTAAAACATTAAGTTGTAGGCGCTAGAAGAAGTGGCTACGACTACTTTCTTGGTCTCTTTCTTCTATTCTATATATTTTTCGAAGACACTATTTCACTTGAAAATCATCTACATCATTGGACATACATCTACAAACTTTCATCACAAGAATGAGAGGTGATTCCAGTAAGCATAAATCGATCTTAAAAACCTATTCCTCGTCAACTTTGCTGGTGTCTGTCTTTTCAGTATCACATGCTTCGTTGTAGCAGTTCATTTTTCATTTTCTGTCAGCGATGCTTAACCGAGTTTTTTTCTACAGCATTTTCACGGGAACACGAAGGCCGTTTTACTTGTCTCGGGGATGCGAGTAGGATCTATGAAAAGTCCCGCGCAAAACCAAAGACACGCTTGAAGCGATCCATTGGCATTCGTTCGCAAAATGTATGGGCGCATTAAGTTGACTTATACATTGTGTGAAACTTCTGTTGGGTAAAATGCGTGAGGGTGTTTGATTTTTCCAGAAGCATGATGACTTCCAGCGTGTCACTAATTGGTCACCAATTGTCGTACAGGAAGAGGAAGTAACTCACAAGATTTCCTTAGACCATGACCAATCGTGAATACTATTATTGAATGTTGACTTACTATGATCATGAAGTTGTTTCTCGTCAAAACTCCAACTTTTTCTCAGAACTCCAACTTTTTCCCAAAATAATCTTCATCTTCAGATTTGAAGGAAAACGGCTTGTCCATCCACCTTATAGAGAAAGGCTGATCCCACCTTATAGAAAAACCAGCTACGACACAACTTCCACCTTCAACTCCGCCAAGGTGTCTGGCGGTGCTTCTCCGCGGTCGAATTTCTCTTGTAGAATTTGCAACTCCATGGCATCCGTCGTTGACATGAGGAGTTTTTTGTAGACTAGTTTTTGACTGGCTGAGAGCATTTCCCGTCTCTGATTCACTTCCTCTTCCCTGGTCAACCGTGTTGGCGCTAGTCGGTCAAAGAGGTGTCGATCTTTCTCCTCAAATAATTGGCGAGCCTCTTCGCGCTCCTGCGAAAGATAGATGGAAGAGAAAGATAGATGGAAGAGAAAGATAGATGGAAGAGAAAGATAGATGGAAGAGAAAGATAGATGGAAGAGAAAGAAGTAGCCTATGTTTTTAACGGTAGAAATCAAGTCAAAAGCTAGGAGTACCGTCTGTGTTATCTTCTGGAAGTCGAGGATTTTCAGCGGCGTGTCTCGCATCAGATATATGACAAATTGCCTGTAATACTCGCCGGCACCTGTTGTAGTTTGTGGAGTTTTTTGTTTGAAAGGGAAAGGCTTATGGAGTTTTTTGTTTGAAAGGGAAAGGCTTGTGGAGTTTTTTGTTTGAAAGGGAAAGGCTTGTGGAGTTTTTTGTTTGAAAGGGAAAGGAAAGAACAAATGATTGAAATTTTCATTTCATCAAGATGTAGTTCTTGCTCGTCCTAATCATTCTATATACTCGACAGCACTTCAAATTATATCTCTATCAGTGAGTAAATCTCCATAACAAGTGTGTGGAATCTGCATAATACATATCTCATTCTCTCGCAGCGTTAGCCTCTGCAGTTTCTTGCATTTCGCAAGGGGCTCGAGATCGACCAAATCCCTTATCTTGTTCTTTGTAAGAACGATTGCTTCGAGGTTTGGGAGACCTTAAAGTAAGATGGTGTGGTAAGGTGCAAGATTGACAATGAGGATGATGCTTTGGTGCTCTTACCTAGTAGAATCAAAATTGTTGTCCGTCTGAAGCTTTTGTGGCAAAAATCAAATAAAGCACAATCAAAAACGTCACAATCAAAAACAGTACGAACAAACGCTTCCGGCGCTATCCTCTGAATGCTGTTGTTGGCGAACAAGAGTGTTCTTACTCGCTTCAGTGCTGGAAAGGGATGGATCTTTATCAGGTTGTTATCGGAGAAATCGAAGCACTCATATTGATCCTTCGTAATACCCAAATTTTCGATAACTTCGACATGGTTCCTGTTTTTGAGTGGGTTTGGCGGATGATAGGAGTTCATTATTATTTGAGTATCATTTGATGATGAGAAGCAGTTCGCATTTATTCACAGCTGTACGCGTTCCTTCCAAGCTGATGAAAGCATAGAACAACAAGGAGTAAGAGGGAAGATATATCTTGACTATCTCACCAGCCCATTATCCAATCACGATGAGATACTCACGACCGTTCTTCCCTCTTACGACCCTTACTTATTATTCTGCCTCAAAGAGCATCAAGACAGTCAAAACAAAAAACTCTTACCCCCTCAGTGTGAGCTGTCGCTCCTTCGCCGGATTCACACTCTGATCCGACCTCTCTACCAGATCGAGTGTTATCTTCATCTCGTCGAACGAAACGGCGTAATCAGGGATGCAAAACCAGAACCAGGGATTTGAAGAAAAAAAACGCCGACAGTGACTGCCCGAAAGAGAAAAATCAAGTACTTTCTGCTGTTGGTATTGGTTTGCTACCTAGAATGACGCTGAAACAGTGACACTGACCATAAAAGATAGAAGATCACTGCAGTAGTTGTATATCTTCTACATCAAGGACTTGTTCTTCTCCCGCGACCTGTTTTGAGAAAAATGAAATAAGTTCGATGGAGAAAAAAAATGCATCGACATTCAAACCATCTATCTTTGGATGCTAAGAACGCACAACAACATTCATAGCGAAAAGGATTTGATTAGCAACCATTAGATTTGCATTCCTTGCACACTGACTAAATCTCGGATCGTCAACAAGAACCGACACTTGACGTCTCCTAGATCGTCAACATCAAGAATTGGAAACGATTCGGTGAGGATAGGATAGGAGTGGGCTCACTTGTGAAGGAGTGAGCGTGACCATGTCATGGATATGATATGATCGTTCAAAACAACTGTACGTGATCGTGTTGTATATTATTCTCCAAATTCACATTTGAAGACAGGTTGCAGATTCAGATTGCATGAAAGAGAACCTTTGACAGGAGGTAGTATGGAAGAACCCGCTGAGTTGTACGCTTCAACTTTGAGACAAAGACACAGAGACTCTGTGAGGAAGATGCGTGGAGCTGGCAGTGCCCACACATATTTTCGAAGTAGAAGGTCCTCTGACCCACTTGATCACCGTCAAATTGCAGATACGCTGACGACTACAGTTCGAAGCCGTTTTCCAAAGTCAAGTTTTTCACTGAGCTGGCTGGCGCTCCAACCACCACGAAAGCTTGAAATTGTACACGGATTGATGTGAGCACTTCACCGATTGTGTCATGAGATTTTACAAGGATTTTTACTCGCACAAAATTCTGACCTTGATGATATACACCCCCATCAATGGATCACTTTGTTCAGTGAGTGAGTCAGGGATACCATGTGATAAAAACTAGTCAACGCCGTCTGCCAGTAAGTATCTGAGTAAAAAAACCAATTTTAATTTCGATATGTCATTTCTAATTTCGGTAAGTCAAGGTCAGGACCTTCAAGTAGTTATAAACTCATAGGTAAATTGTGTGTCAGATTCTTCCGAACTTCGTCGATTTTTGAAAAAGAGTAGATTGATGTGTGTCAGATCACCTTCGCCTTTGGAAGCCTGTGTGTTAAAAGTACTTAACCGAGTGGGATGAACTGCATTCACATCCGAAGGGAAAAGCCTTCCATTACTCGTCTGAATCGTCTTCGGCTGCCTCTTCAGAACTCGTGTCATCCGCGGGTGGAGCCTCCTGTTTTCGCTTAGCAACCTGGTTTCCTCCAGATCCAGCTTCACGCTCATATACAGCATTACGCTTTCGTCCTGCTCCTCCTCCAGTGGTCGTTCCTTCCTCTACTTCGTAGTGTTCCTCGTCCTCCCCCTCCACGACCTTGCAAGGCCTCAACACTCGAATAGCTTGGACAGTCTGTGCAAAAATCACGACTCCAACGCCTAACAAGACCAAAGTGACTAAGAAAAAGACCGAGTTTCGCTCGGAGTCTAGCCAGTCGGAGACTTCTTGACGACGTAATGTGGCCAACTTTTGGAACTCAGCGACTTCTGTGGCTGTCATATATTGGAGGTAAGTTTTTGGTGTTCGTTTACTCCGTTCGTTATGCCTTTCCCCCTTCAGGATGTCATGTATGTGCCCCTGATGACACTGTCCATAGTGCCCATAGAGACTAATCCTGGTAGCAATTCAGGGCCAGAGGCAAAACGAACGCGATAACAGGGTACCCCGTTCGTTATGCCTTTCCCCTTCAGGAAGGCAAAACGAACGCTAACAAGAACGCCTTTGATGACGCGAATCTACTCGGCAGTCTGCCTAAGACTTCCCAGACGAACAAGACCACATCTAGCCTTCTACCCTTAAATATAGCGCAGTTGTTTCTTTTCTTCCGCAGGTGGCTGTCGCAGCGCACCTGCTACGAGTCCGAGAGCAGAATCGAAGTCCTTTTCTCCGATGTAGACGCGAGTCCGCGGAGTCAAGTCCATGTACTTTGCTACTGTTAGAGGTTACGGAAAAATTTCTACACTCTTCAGAACAAATTCCTGGCCTGAATTACACTCTTCAGAACAAATTCCTGGCCTCGTCTCTACTAGGAAACGGGCCAAGGATGGTAGTGGGGAATGTAATTCGGAAACCCTTAATACTGCTATTCTTGACGATGTTCCTGTTCCGGCTCTAGCTCTTCTCTGGTCAAGCAGTTGCGGAGTTCTTGCTGGATGTATCGTAGTTCGTCTGGTGGTTTTCTCACTTGCAGAAGAGGTGGTGCTTGCTCCTGCTCGTCTGGTGGTTTTCTTACTATGACCATCTTGCATCTCCAGAAATGAAGTCGCAGATCGTAGATCACCATTATCTTGTGGCAGCGACAATGCTGAAGTAGAGTTCTTCTCACTTGTGGTGTTAGTCGAATTTGCTTCACTCTTGTTGGTTGTACTAACCGAAACCGAAATATCACTTTTGTTGGTAGAATTTTTCTCTGCCTCTGCTGCTTGCGGTGTAGCCTCTTGATCTCCACCTACTTTCGCATCTGGTGCTTCAGTTGTTGTAGCGTCCGTTGCTTCGCTTTTGTCCTCCTCAGCGTCCGTTGCTTCGCTTTTGTCCTTCTTAGTGTTCGTTGCTTCGCTTTTGTCCTTCTTAGTGTTCGTTGCTTCGCTTGCATCTGCCGCCTCACTGTTGTCCTCCTTAGCTGCTATACCACTGCTGTCGCTTCCACTAGAACCTTCACCATCTGCTTCAGCTCCGTCGAGTGGGACAATGAATCCAACTCCAGTATCAGGAATGGTATCCTTTTCTATTTCGTCAACAGTAGGGACTCCAGTTGCATCAATCTGCATCGCTTCCGTCTCCGGATCAATGTCCCCCTTTTCAAACGCGACATCGTAAAGCTCCCTGTTTAGGTAGCGACTTAGAAGCATGATGTTGATCTTTTGAGTGTGACATAAAGATGTCTAGAGAGCAGAGTATCATGATAGTAGTCATTTAAAAATGATGTCTTGATTACACGCGAACTCCGTCTAACTCAGATTTAGAAATTTCAGATTATTAAAATATGACGAAGAACTACACTACACACACAACTGAACTACACATAACTCAAAGATCTTTGGTTCTTGAACGATGTCGTTCACCGCAAGCCTTTCTTCTGCACCTTTTCCACCGGGAGCCGTGAGCACTACTGAAAATTCCTCCATCCCGTCGAAGGTCACTAGGCCTCTCGCACTCCTCCTCTCGTGCTCTAGCAGGTGATGGCGGTGCAATTTTGGAGAAACTCTTCTTCCACTTCTTGCTTCTATGGTGGTCTCGTCTAGACCACTTCTTCTCATGACTCCATGGTTTCTTTCTTCTTTGAACATTCTATGCTGGTTTCTTTCTTCTATGGTGTTCTCGTCTTCTAGAACAAGGTCGTAGTGGACGAGTCTTCTGGGTGTAGTAGATCTGCTTCCTGTGGTCGTACTACTGGCCTCTATCAAGAAAGCCTGGTCATCATCATTCGTGTAAGTAACTTTTTGCCTCCTATGATCATCTACTTCCCCAAGTAACTTTTTGCCATCGCCCACTTCCACCGAGGACGACGAGGAGAATATTCCTGGCGCAGCTTCGGGATTGCCGTAGACTATTTTTGACACTTGTGCACCGTCATAGACGAAGAACATACTGCCGTCTGACGCAACTTCTACTACTTTTGCCGGCTCACCTCCTGTACTAGTACTCACGTCTGTATTGCCAACTTCACTCGTGACTGAAGATGATGCGTCATCTGCAGAAGCTTCTGTAGCATCTCCTGCCTCAGGCGTCTCGCTTGCCTCAGCCGTCTCGGTTGCTGCTTTCTTCATATCGGCCGCATAAATGTTCAGGCTTTTTTGCATTGCCAGAATCATCTGTAGGCCAATATCGCCTGACAGTTTTGAGACGTCTTCGGAGTTTAATCGCAACCTCATGCGTAATTCTCCACCATCTTCATCGTCAGAAATACTGCCAGCGATGTGGCCGCGAGATGTGATTGTGACAGTTGTACTCGTGGCAGTGGTACTCGTCAGGGTAGTCGTGTTTGTGAGTCAATTAGAGCACAAAGAGAATGCAACCCATTCACCAAATTGCAGGAGTGCCTGCCATGAGCCTCTTGTTACAACAGTAGGAACCTAGTTCGAGTATGAGTCTGAATATAAGTTAGCCCAGAACTTCCCCTCGGAGCTGTCAGGGTCTTAGTCACGTCGATCAAGTCTTACCCTTAATACTAGCCTACCGCTGGGACGATGCGTAATTGCCAACGAACATGAATACTAAGTGGATTCCTCACTCGACCTTCGAGGTGAACGAACGTTAGTACCAACGTGAACTTCTATATTCGAAGATCACTGCAGTGCCTAGTACGTTACTAGTAGAAGATCACTACAGTACTTGTTACTATTTACCTTGTACTCATACCCAGCATTGATCCATCATAATGGTACTGGTGATCGTGGAATGATCTTTGTAGTCTTGTTCATCGTGCTCTTTCTCAACCCTAAAGTACTCCCCGTGTGCTAGTCCTCCAAAGGCTCCTCCGGTGATCCCAAACAAGAGTGACGACGTCTTCAGCAGAGGACCAAGAAGACTAAAAAAAAGTGGTGCTGCTGTGAGCATAGATGATGAAGATGACGATGATGATATAGACGACCACCTCCATCCGCGTCTACTTGGCAACAAAGAGGGGGTTCTTATTGTTGTCATGGTCTTTCCTCTACTACTAATTGTCTCGACCAAAGAAGCGCTTGTACTTCTATGTTTCTTTTGCAGTGACGATGCTGCTCATGCCCATTTCAATTAATCTCGCATAAAATTCAGTGCAGGCTCCCACGGTGTTCATGCCCACTAGTCCACTTTCAGACTTCAGGTGGTCTCGCTTCATTTTTTTTTGTAGCCTGGGGCTGCTAGAAGAGTGGCTTCAGCCTGGACGCTAGGTGCGACAGCTTGGCGAAAGAATGGCGCAGAACTACTCGATAGCGTAGACTGCAACCGAAGCGCGGCTGAAGTCCATTACAAAGAAAAGTTGTGTTGTATCTTCGGCCAGAGTCTTGTTATGTTGCATGCCCACTAGTCCATTGCGAAGAACAGTTGTGTTGTAGAAGCAGTAGAAACATCCTTCGTTCAGTGGTCGTGCTTAACAGCGTCTGAGTAGAAGAAGCACGATCCTTGTTCATAGCAAGACCAACTGGTTCATGGCAAGACTGCAATCTTCGGATGACGGACCATAACATTCATTCTTTGGAGTATTTTTCCTTCAAATCAATCTAGTAATAAATGCAAAGGCACAGACCACAAGGCGCCCTAGCATGCGAAAACTATTCCTTCTTTATCTATGAAGAAAAGTTCTAACATCCTGCTGTTCTAGGATAGTTGTTCTAGGACGGCTCGAAACTTCTATCCTGCCATGATACTTGTTGTAGGACGACTCCAATTCACTTTAGAATGGAAAATGGGAAAAGAGGGGCTCATTTCCCTCTACTTCTTAGCCTAGAGCTGCCCTGCCTCTGTTGTTCTTTCATGCTTTTCTGTATTCCTGTTTTGCCTACTCGTAGCAGCCTAGAAGGAGAATCAGAACCAACGTCGGTAAAATAAGCCTCTTAAAGTCATAGGTGTTAATCAAGATCAAGCTCGCCCATTCACTAGACAACAACAAACAACAACAAATGTCTATATAAACTATCTTTTCTTCGTCCACAGGACTATGACTTCTCACCCCTTTTTCTATAAGACGACTACAACATAGGACGACTAAACTACAACATCATGACCACGAGTGCACTTATTATTTCATCCATGATCGCTACAAATGCCAAGGCTAGGAAGATCAATATAAGAACATCTCCCCAATTACAATGACAGACATTCTTCTCCGCCAACCGCAATACGTTTCTCCAAACCCTAGTGGGTTAAATATAATCTACAGTTCTATCACGGATACCGTACGCTTGCTCCTACGCGATACGGACACAGAAATGAATCCGAGCAGGTCTCGTCGTCTTCCTTCACAAGCAAAAACGGCCTGGAAAGTAACGTCCGCGAAACTTTTCTTAGAGGTGAAGTTTAGGTGAGTGACGTAAGGGTAAAGATGGAGGGAGGTGAAGTTAGTTAGAGGTGAAGTTAAAGATGGGCGGGGAAGGTGAAGTTAGTTAGAGGTGAAGTTAGTTAGAGGTGAAGTTAGTTAGAGGTGAAGTTAGTTAGAGGTGAAGTTAGTTAGAGGTGAAGGTAGTTAGAGGTGAAGTTAGTTAGAGGTGAAGTTAGTTAGAGGTGAAGGTAGTTAGAGGTGAAGGTAGGAGACGTAAGTGTGAAGTGTGTGACTACTTGGACTCTCTTTGTTCCCTTGGAGCGCGTAATGGAAAGCGATGGAAAGAAATGTCAAGCTAGAGTTTTGTCATGGAAAGTATAATGGAAAATAAAAACTTCTCCTCCCAAAACTGTACTACCAGTACCATGTAAATCTACTGTCAACTACGCCCTAACTTCCGCAAAGTTGTCATACCAAGACAGCCATCTACAACTGAATCCGCTTCCTTGAAGGCGAAACGCTTCTGCGACGGCTCAAAAGACGTGCAGTACAACGCTGCTAGATGAGTCATCTCCTGACTTGGTACGAAAAAGTGGAAGGAAATTAGAGGTATCAACAAAAACTCTAGACTTCTAACAAACTCTAAGTACAGCTGAGTTGTCCAATCCAAATCGACTAACATCATCATCAGTTTTAGACCAAGGGCCTCGATTTTTATTCTTATTCGGAAAATGTACTTTGGATCATCATAATCATTACAACCAAATTATATCCCATTTTTTCATAAGAGAACCTTCGTCTCCGCCTGTTCCTCCTCGTCGGTCAATTTACAGTCTGTTAGAGCTGTCCGTAATTCATCCTTCAAGTGCATCCTTGAAAAGTACTATGGGAGAGTATTATTCCCTTAGGTGGATACTCCTCCATACGTAGCTCCAAGGATACATCCAAAGATGTATTAGGTACAACCTTAAGTCTGGTGATATGAAATGACTCGGATTGTCCACCATGTCGTCTCCCTTGCGCGCTTTCACACACATCCGCTTTGCTGTTGGAGAGTTTTTCGCAGCCTTGTTCACGCTCAAAACTCGACCCGGCGATTGAGATTGTCTTGCTGATGATCTTACTTGCTCTTGCTCACCCACTCCTCCGACAGGTCCTCCAACCTCGCGCCAACCAGATGGAAGTGTTTTGAACACCAATACGTGATACTTCCATTGCCAAAAGTTAGAGGCAGTATTAAGGCTAATCAAGAATCGCTACGGCGACGTCCAAGGAGTTGTACTCTAGAAATTCTATGCACTGCCACGCAAAGAAACTAAAAGAAACGAGAGCATTTAAAAACATACACATTTGGAAAGTCTAGAAGAGCAGTTGTCCTTTCTTCTTCGTGCAATTGTTTGACCACATTCTTATGCCTTAAACAAGAGAACCCTTGGCTTCCCAACGCAGGAGCCAACCATCGCCAAAGTGACGATCCATCTAGGTGTTCGGATGCCACGGTGGCCATCGTCAGACCCTATGCAGAGCATCGCTATAGGATTTTCAGGCATCGGAATCATACCAAAAGAGAAAACATGCTTGTAGTTTTGCTCCTTATCAGTGCAATCGGGGCCACGCTGGATCCTAGAACCAACTGCGGCAAGCAGAAGGTTGTTGTTGCTGTTTTGCTCTTCTACTTCGTTATTCTGTCCACGTGAAGATGAAGTGCTCGAAATCTTTCGCGCCCATTCCTGTGGCGCCTTTTCTCGGACGCCCACACAATAGTCGTTCCCTTTCGGCACATAGAAAGAAAAAGCTTCTTTGTCCCACGTTAAGCCGTATTTCAGATTCACCTGCGTATTTTCCCTGCTCGCCCCTCCAGGCTCCACCAGCTGGGCATAGACGTGACTAGATGAGACAAGATTAACGCGAAGCCAGTCTACCTTGTCAACATCATCAACATTTTTTAGGGAAGAAGGAGAAGATTCACCTGAAGTTCCGGTCCCTATCTTCGGAGGATTTTTGTAGGCCCACACAGTCAAATCCGTGATATTCCAACCGACCGAACAACCCTGCAAAAACGGCGCCAAGGTATGCTTTGCTGCATTCGGGAAACGCTCAAGACCAGAGTTCGACGTACATCCCTCGTACAGAGATGGGGCGATCCATAAGCGTTTTTCGGAAGCAAATTTATCGATAATAGCCGCTTCCAGCGTCTGTGCTGGCCGTTGTGAGTCACCACGAATGAGTACCCGATTGTCAGTGTTGACAGCATATGGCAGAGACCTCTCTATGACTCGCCCTGCTGAACTGGCATCACTATGTTGACCTTCACTAGCATCAGTGTCAGCTGTATACACATACAACGCAAACTCATCAGCGGGATGCCGCCTTATGCTTCGGTAAAACTTCGCTAACATGGTGTCGTCATTTACGAATGTACCCACATTACCCCACAGATTCACACCAATGATAGAGATGGGGAGTTGAAGCGCAGTGGCTTCGTCTTGGGTAGTGCTGCTGGGGCCACTGTGCTCCACGCCTAGCCCTATTGCTTTTTCCACACTCTCTCTCTTCTGCTTCATCTTCGAAGACACTACTGTCAAATAACGGTATTTCCGAACCACGTAAAGCAACCGCTTGAATGTAAACGGGACCTTTCTACCGTTGTTGGTATTCGTGGCAACGGTGCTGACCATTGTCTCCAGGGCCGTCTCAACACCCTCATTCACTAGCACAACCGGCACACGCAATAGGTCGAACGCCAAAGCGCTTTTCTTGACTTTTACGTGGTGAAATCTTAAACCGGTATAGGGTTCCGCTGAAAAATCGTAGTCGTAGTCCACTAGATGAAATCTCAGGTTCGCAATGCCATCTTTTGCCTGTCGTTCGCTGGCTAGTTGGGGAGGTGCCAGTTCGTACTCTTTCGACAGAACGACATTACGATGGTAAATCAAGGCATTCAAGACTCGTTTCGTATGGTTACGAGCGTGCATGACCCAAGTATTGAATCTGCCTTTTCCGATAGAAGGTCTGTAAAGGCCTGGACTGTTTTCGATCATTCGAGTGTGCTCTTCATCCCCGCACAGCAACGGCCTACAATCTCCGAACAAAAGATTATTCCTCGAAAAACGCCAATGCAGGTCGTCATCCTCACAACACCACCCGAAGTAGCGGTTCGAAAACCCATTCAATTTTCTCCAATGCGAACGGTGTGCAGTAACAATAGCGCCAGCAAAAGAGATGTAGGGTCGACTCCAACCATAACGGTCAATCTCCGTCGACAGCCCAGTCGGCACGTGGCAATTTCCGTAGTCGACTCGGAGGTCCGGTAGATAGTCGATGTCATGTACTGTGACGCACTCCAATAGGTGGGAAAGATTATGCTTTTCATCTTCATGGGAAGAGTCCCACCCCTCTTCCTTCAATTCTTCTGGCATCTTCTCCGCACAGTCAACACACACGTCGTACATCCCACCAGACAAGGCCAAACCTGCGTTGAACAGAAAGCCACGGTTGAAAGGCAAATCGTCGAACTGCTCCACGAAATAGACATCCATCTGATAAATGGACCTTGGAGCCGCACCATGGACAATCCACCAGCGAATGTATTGCTTGAAGATCTCCAAATGCGTATGTCTGTCTCGAAACGGAACGATGATCGTCCCTCGGGCTGGCAAATTTTTAGCTGGACGAGCTCTTTGTAGCTTAGTGGCCTGATATTCTTCTGTCTTTGGAGACGCCTCGGCAAGTTTCCTGTGCTCGGTGACCTGATGGACATCTGTCTTTGGAGATGCCTCGACTGGTTTCCTGTGCTCGGAGACAGTTGGAGGCACGAGTCCCAATTCGGAATAAGGGAATCGCTGAAGCAATTCGTCTGGTGTCTTCGCTGCGGCAGCACTAAGGCTTCTAGCAGACGGACTTCCAGCAGACGCTCCCATGCCCGACGTTGCTTTACCAAATAGTAGTCGGGGAGGTGGTTCCACTCTATAGTCGACACAAGTCTCGCACTCGCAAAAAGTCGCGCCGAAGCCACAAGTGTTTTTCGGTCCACAACATGGCTCAAAACTGAATGCGTCACAGGTGAATAAGGTGGACGAATCTTCTAGCTGCCTCTTAGAGGATGGAGGCGGCTTCCCGGTGTGCCCCAACAACTGCACAAACAGCTGATACTCGTCAGACACTGCATTGTGGCAGAACGACGCGGCACACGACGTCACCCAGCAATGCAAGAGTAGGCACGCACCTAGGGTTCTTCGACTCCTGAAAGTCGCGGACGGGTCGTTCCTAGGTGGAGACATTTTGAAGATGATCATGGACGACAACACCATTATTTGAGACACTAGCTACAAAGCGAGCCGTTCAATATGCTTCAGACTGAAGAAGACCAAAATCTTGATACTCTCTCAAACAAGAAAAGTATGTCCATACTATAAGCAACGGCTCTATAGACTCTATAGAGCCGTTCAAAATGCTTTTTTTTCTCAACAAGTAGGAAAGTCATCAAAAAAGCAGTTGCCGCAACTATCTACAACTGTCTCTGTGAAAGTGAAAGGCAATCGCAACATAGAATCTCTCAAACCAACTCTCACTAATTTGTCCCTCAAGAGTCCTCCCTCAGGCTACCCACACACACTGTCCAGCAGGCCCCGAGGCCTCCAAGATGGAGACGATGCCACGCATCTAAGATGGTGGTAATGGTCTCACCCAGCAGTAAGGCGATGGCTTATATACGAATTTTTCACGACAGCGTTGTTTTTAGGATATATTAAAGTTGTGCGTTTCAATTCCAGTTCAAATCTCTGTCCTCAATTTAGAATTCAGAAGACCACAAAAATGCAAAACCCTTCTCAATCCGTCCAAGCTGCCAAACATTGTTTACACCAATTGACTACTTCAACTCCAGTAGCCTGCATCGCCAAGCACGACGACGTCAGTTGTGTGCATAGCCTCTGCTTCTGTCGCTTGATGTCCATAGGTACGGCCGCGTACTGCGCTTCGCGTCCCCACTCTTCGAACGAAAAGGCAGGGGAATGAACGCTTCTCATCTAGTACTCACGGTTTTAATCAGGTGGGAATCGTCAACTGATGACTCCAATATGCGAGATAATTATATCAAAAACCCCTTGCAGCTAGCAATATTCCCATAAAAAATATCATCCTTATGCTCTTGAAGTAAAAAATGTAGAAGAACTCATTAAGTGAGTCTGAGTACCCATAATACTTAATTACTGTGAGTTATACTTCTAACTTAAAAAGTACAACTGAATTACCTATTATTCATCTCGAAGTATTAGAATAGAAGCGGAAGCCATACTACCAGATCGTGCTCACTGTCCAACCCATTGCCATCAAAAGCCACAAAACTGGCTTCCACATGCCTCCTCGTCCTCTCATTGCTGAATTCGCCATTGCGTTCTCCACTTGCTCGGTGTCTTGGGCTGCTACGGATGCAGCTTTCCCTGTAACATTTCTCACTGCATTTGCATCGTTACTTGCTGAATTTCCACTGACATTCACACATGCTGCGCCTACATCTGTCGAAGTTGTTGTGCTTCTTCTTTTCATTCTCGCTGCAGACAGGAATGCTGTCGGTGCTTTCCACAGGTCATTGCTTGCGTCCGAAGCAAGATACTCTGCAAGCCTTCTCAACTTCTCAGACAAGGATTTGTCCTTTCTCCTAGTGCCATGTAATCCAAGAAGAGAGCCACGATGGCCTACTATGCGTGTTCTGGAGACTTCAAGATTCGGATTAGAAACAAACGGACTCGCATAAACCTCCCACATAGGGAAAATTAGGGGAAATTAGGGAGCCATAATATCCCCTAACTTTCCCTACATTTTGACCTCCTCCACAAGCGACGTGTCCGTTTGTTCATAATCGGCCTCGAAGGGTGCAGCATCTGCTCGTTGTAGAGCCGTTGTGGAGCAGACGGTCGGAGGAGGAGACTCGCGCTCGCTTGGCTAGAAGTAAACCCTCGTAACCCGGTCCGCTGTTGTGGTATAGTCGCCGGGGATGAGCTGCATGCTGATCTCGTACACGATCGTAACCCTACTCTACTACAGACTGAGTTGTAGGTGCTCCACGCTGCACTAGATGACATGAGCTTTTCTTGCTGATTACCCAATAGCAAATGAGACAGGCGTGGTGGACTTACTTTGAGAGACATTCTAACGCACGGAAGCCCTACGAGAACTGCTATTTCAGGTACTGTACTACTACGAGGAAAAAACGGATACTGTTCTACTAACGACGGATTCTAACGCACGGATACTGTACTACTACGAGAACTGCTATTTCAGGTACCTAGCAAGCACTTACAGTATAAGGAAAGCGCCAGGAATGTTGGTGGACTTGAATATATTTCAAAAAAAATTGATTGAAAAAGTTCATCGTTAAACACCTCGTTTCCTCAGAAACACTCTCTCATGAGGCACTCGTGTCTTCGACTCTGCATGCGTTCGCAAACGCATCCTTAGTCGGTGTGCGTATCCACCAAAAGGGTCCCACACTGATCGAGACCTCTTGCGCAAGCAAGCACAAACCAACACTTTCGTAAAAAGCTGTTCGAAAACCACCGTATTAGTTTGTTACATCATAAGAACTTTGCCATATTGGGGAGGGTAGGTCACATTGCATCTTCATGATTTCGGATTAAAAATGGGGTAGATCTTCACGTCGGGTTTCAAAATGATATCTTGTCTTTGATAATGCTTACCACCTCACATTTGTCTCCGAGCAGAACTTCATCCCAGAGGTCAAAGAAATCATCAAGTAATTCACAGAAGAAATTATCATCTATCGATCGCAGTACTAAAAGTTCAGTGTGACTGAAACCTATGCCGTGCTGTGACTGTGTGTAGCAATCTTGAGGATAAAGGAAAAGGACGAGACGACGCCTCGCTATTATTCAATCCGCCACAGCTGTTCCACAGATCTCAAAGTGTAAGCACAATGCTAGACCACCATTCTAGGACTCCAAAGTGTCTCTCCTAGTGTTTCGGAACATCTTGTCTTCGTTCCCATCAAGGAAGCTACCTGCTCCTCCTCTAGAAGATCGCCAACTACCTCCTCCTCCTCTAGAAGATCGCTCCCTGTGGTCTATACCTCCTGCTCTATGCTGATGTCCACTACCTCTTATCTTCTGGACATGCTGTCTGGAAGATCCAGATCCATTTCCCTGTGGTCTACACCTCTCCGCTTCCATCATCCGTCTTCCTCTTCCGTCTACTTCCTCTTCCCTCTAATTTCCTTAGATCGCATCCCTTCCTGCCTTCTTCATCTGCACACCTGCACGGATGATCTCATCGACCAACAACAGCTGTTGCGCCAACACTGGTGCCAAGTTGAACATCTGCTTTTTGACGCGATAGTTGTCCCAGATACCCTCATCCTTGGGTGACAAAACGTCGCCGTTGGTAACGTCAATGCCGACCGGGACCTCTCCGCCACTCTGATCCTGCGCGGCGAGGAGGTTAAGCAGCTTTTCTTGCACGTCGAGACCTAGGGTTAGGAGTGGTTGTTCCTAGCTTCTTTGGGGTATGTAAGTGTGTATTTTTTAGGTAACAGGAATTCTGCTTGCTGGTAGCTTCTTTGGGGTAAGTAAGTGTGTATTTTTTAGGTGGTAACAGGAATTGATCTACTGTTTATAAAATGTCTTGAACAGAATGAAGATGCAGTAGACGTAGAAGAATGATTTGTGATTAAATAGAGCAAAAAAAATCTTTATCTCATTACCTGAGTTCTCAATCAGAATCTTCGGGATAATCAGCAAGCTCTTGGCAAAAATCTCGACTCCCAGTCGCGCCTTTCCAGAGACTGTTTTCTTATATTCCTCCAGGTGCGCGTGGGCAGCGACTTCAAAAGCGCCAGCACCAGGTATCACGGCCTCGTCTTCAAGCGCATTGACTATGGACTTCAACCCATCCCTCAACGCATCCTTCATCTGATGCAAAGTGTGCTCGTTCGGTCCGGTCACGAGGACGGTAGCGATTAGAAGGGGAGAGCGGACACTTCGTTGTTGGGATGACGCTATAATCATATGCAAGAAAAGCGAAGTCTAGATAGACAGGCGTGTGAATAGCTGTTAGCTTTTGGAGAGAAGAACCACGAACAAATAGAGGGTGCACGCAAGACCAAGAGGAGTTCTGCGTGGAAGGGACTAGGTCGAAAGACTACATACACGTGCTGAAAGCGACTTACCACCAATGAATCCAACCAAAATTCCAAAACATAAACATGAATGCGGGTTTTTCGGCTTTTCGACGAAAGTGAACTTGTCGTCTTCGATCTGGTGCTCGTAGACCACACCTGCGTAACCCAAGTCGCTCTCATCTAAATCTTCAACGCTGTTCACAGCGTTACCACCGCACGCGAGGATCAGACTGTTTTTTTGATTTTGTAGGGAGAATGAAAGGGTTGTAGCAATTTTGAGAGTGAGAGGAGGAATTTGACAAAAAATTAACAGCGTTACCACCGCACGCGAGGATCAGGCTACAAGTAGAAGTTCAAGAGCATCAACTTCAACCCTATCGACAATAAAAACACAAAACTACGTACTAATTACCGTTCCATATTCCTCCTCTTGGCTCTTCGCAAAGCGATAATTCCTTCACGGGCGAAGGATTCTAGACTGGGTCCGTCGATTCCCTTCTGGTTGATAATCACGAAACTTTTCGGAGGACTGCTAGGGTTCTCGTCACAGACTTTGCGCTTTAGTTCGATAACCTTTTTCACCTTTTCATCGGTGAAAGTGCGCTCACTCTCAACAAGCTTGTCGCGTTGGTCGGCACTGTTGTAGAAGAAACCGCTGTTGACCTGGGAAAAGGTGATAAATGATGTTGTGAGTGATGTTGTGAGTGATGTTGTGAGTGATGTTGTGAGTGATGTTGTGAGTGATGTTGTGAGTGATGTTGTGAGTGATGTTGTGAGTGATGTTGTGAGTGATGTTGTGAGTGATGTTGTGAGTGATGTTGTGAGTGATGTTGTGAGTGATGTTGTGAGTGATGTTGAGTATCCATGTACATCAGTGGACCACGAGGGTTAGGGCTATAAGTCTTAAAGAAGGTCGTGTGAACAAATATTGGTCGCGGCGAGATCCAAACAAAAACTCGTCAGCAAAATCTTTAGTTGTACCTCCGTCTTCTCGTATTCGAAGGACACATTGCATGTCAGGATGTAACAGTTCTCCAATCGCACAGGCATATCGGGGTGACGGCTGCCGTGATCCAAAACCATACCACGAACTAAACGCGTTTCGCTAACAAGTTTGTGCTTCATAGTAAGAATCTCGATCATATGGAGATCGATGGGCTCTTCACTGACGTGACGGCGGTCAACGCAGCAGACAGACTCGACGCAGATGTCGACTAAACGCTCGGCGATGTCCTGCGAGAGGGTGGTGGAGGCATATTTGAGAGATTATTGGAGGACTATCTCTGAGATGATTAGTTGCTATTTGAGAGATGATTGTGGTGTTACTTCTCAAGCTGTGCTTATATGTGTTATCATCAAAAGAGTGATCTAAAAAATACCTCCGGCACTTTCGTCTTCAAACTCGTCCTGGCAATATGCGTCAAAACTTCCTTATCCACACCCTGCAGCGGCGTCTTAAATTTGTCCAGAAACGACAACACTTCGGTACGTGCCAAGTCAAAACCCTCAACAATCATACGCGGATGGAGACCCTCGCTCAAATACTGCTCTGACAATTTCATCAGTTCACCGGTGAAAAGGACGTTGGAAGTCGTTCCATCTCCTGTCATCTCATCCTGTGCAGTGGCGGCACGGGCGATCATACAGGCCGTTGGATGCTGAATCTGCATCTCATTCAGGAGAGCGCAGCCGTCCTGTTGTGAAAGAGTGGGTAATGAAGAATGATGATCATAATGGTAATCAAAATCTCAAAATCTTTGTCGATCATTGAACGAACAAGCCTCAGAAACTTGAGTGGAAATACCTTCGTGATCTTAATCTGTCCAGCGCCACCGACAAGCATCTTCAGGGTTCCTCGAGGTCCGAGGTTGGACTTCATGATATCCTGCAGACTTTTGGCAGCATTACAGTTCACCGCCAAGGCCTGTGTGGCCTTGAGCACATCAGCTTTGCTGTTCACCACAGTCACCATTTTGTTGAAAAATAAGGGAGGTTGTAGTAAGTTTGTTATATTACGTCGCTACTTTGAAGTAGTTAAATACGACCTAATCACCGTTGTGTAGTTGTCGCTAATCTCCTAAATAAGAGAGTTGATTGCAAAGTATTAAGTGGATATTGGATGAAACCAAGTCTAGCGAGTACTTCTTCTATGTTGAGTAACCACTCAAGTTCGGCTCCACCCCATCTGCTTGGTTGTTGATGTGGTCGCAACGTTGTTGTAGAGCAGAGACATTAGACAAGAACTCTTGTGATCATGACAGTGCCTCGAAAAGAGACCTCGTACATAATTGGTGAGATGACCTTGCAGCATTGCATTTCGCGTGACATAGTAGTACGACATGCATTTCACACATGCCACATTACAAGTGAGAACTTGACAGCATATTCTTGGTGGAAATTTTTGGCACGAATTACATGATTAAATTTGTGTTGAGCTGGTTGGATTTGTGTCGAGCTTCTTATGATTTCACTTTCCGTGCTGAAGTAGTAGATTCTTGTGGAACTTGGTGAAAAAAGCACACCCTTACTCTGGAGCTTGCTGAGTGGTAGCATTTTTTCAATATGGAAAGCATTTCTCTGGATTTACCAGATCGGAGCATCATCCTCTCGTACTATCTTTACGCTCAGAAAGGCCAGTACGAGGGTCGTTGGGACTTCTTTATGACAGGAGTTTTACATGACGAGCTTTATGTCTATGAAAACGTCGTGAAGATCTTCGTCTTGCCAATTTGATTGACATGGGTGACTTACCTTCGGAAGGAAGGTTGATCCTAATCTTCACCTAGAAACTCTAATTCTATAAATTGTAGCGACTGAGTGACTTCTCTATGACAAAAAAACCGTTCTTAGACGCTGAATCATGCACATTTATATGCCACCGAGAATCATGCACACTGACATCACAAACTGCTAAACTCAAAAGTCAATGCTAAGTAGGCTACTTATTTCTTGCTCCACCCTTGATTGATTAAGCGTCGAAGGTATGTCAGCCGGTTGTTTATCACTCCACGTGTTAACAGCTGCCGAACTGCCTCCTCCTTTTCGTCCTCGATGCTTAGTTGCTGGCACATCTTCTGCAAGAGGTTCAATTCTTTTCGACTCGGTGCCCCAGACATGGCTAGATAGCGAACTAGAGCTCTCTCGGTAGAAAGACTATCGGTCTGCTCTTTCAGCTGCTTTTGGTTGTTAGATGGGGAAAGAAGATTTCGCTGGGCTTCTATCCAAATAGGAAAACGGGACGTCCATACGAGATTGAAGGATTTCAGTACGTTCTTCATCCACAAGACCATCTCGAAGCAAACTTTGCGTATTGAGACTCCGTAAGTTCCTCAGATTCTGTCAATGCAAACCGCCCTCCTATCGGAACCATGGCTGTGAGGGGTAAGATTTGCTCATAGGCGTTCAGTTGCGAAGGGCCGCTACCGTGCTGTTGCACGCCTACCTGACCATTGCTCGAAGATAGCTGCTAGATCATGAAAAGGCAAAGAGGAGATGCGGAGGAGGGAAAAAGGACGTAGAGAGCCAAAAGAGAGACTCGACGCTGAAAAAAAAATCAACTAAATTTTTCTATCTCAATATCTATCAACAGCGACAAGTGATTTCATCACAGACAATCCCATAATGCCTATCGCCGTCGAGCCCTGCTCCGCCATCAGCCTCATGTAGTTTTTCCAGTATAACAAGCTGTACATACTCGACGAATAGACCGGATTCAAAGCAGGATTAGCGAGCGGATTAGCGAGTGGGTTGGCAAGTGGATTAGCGCCCAATGGTGCTGTTGGATTTAACAGCGGATTCGCACCACCCATTGTCGTCCTCGTCGCACCTAACATCGTCGCACCATTTGTCGCAGCAGCAGTGCCGTTCAACATAGAATTCGTTGTGGTAGCTGCGGTTGCACCAGGATTGAGAAGCGGGTTGGAAACAGCTGGGGCAGCTGCTCCAAAGGCACCATTCCCTGCGGCAGCTGCTCCAACGCCGATGCTTCCACCTCCACCTGCACCTCCACCAGTCATCGCCATATAATTATTTCCACCACGAGGACCTCTAGCACTATTGATATCAACAGTCGGGAAAGCGTGCTCGTCTTTCAGCAGTGAAGGAGTCAGCTGCGCTAGCACGCTGAAGTTGATATCTGGATTGTTCGCCAACTCAGGTGGCAAAGTATCTGTCACTTCGCCAGTATCGCGGAAAACGTACGCGGGCTGAACCGTTCCAGGTATGCGCAAAACACGCCATTTCTCGATGGAATGAAGGGACGGGGGAGACAATGCTATTATTTGTCATCATTTTTGATTACAATCGAGAAAGACACAGTTCACTGTATTTTCGCTAGTACTAATCACCAAAATTTGCTCGATATTTTTGAATCAAGAACAGCAGCGGTCAAAATTTTTGAATCACTATAACGTACGCGGGCTGGACCGTTCCAGGTATCATGATTGCTCAATCACATCACGAGTTTGAATCTTCTCTGTTTCCATAAAACTCCGCAATCACGCATTCGTCTAACAGCAGTTGGCCAGAGTGAATCTGGCTTAAGACGTCCACGCGATACTGATTGCCACTAGGTGGTGGCGTCGCCAAGTCGTACAGCGCCTTGCTTCTGGGAGACGCTGGCTGTTGCTGATGTTCTTCTCTGGGGTCTTGACCATGTTCTTGACTATGCTCTTGACCATGTTGTCCGTGTTGTTCATGAGCTGCACCATGTCGTTGGCCATGCACGCTCGCAGTTCCAGCGGCGCCAAGAGAGTAATTTGTTGTCTGAAGTGTAGCAGGATCGAGAGTGGCACCAGTACTAGTTGTGGTATCATAATGCTGGGCTAAAATATTTTGATGCATTAACGCTGTACTTGTCGCACCGTGTTGTACTTGGTGCTGGTGCATCTGTTGTGGCAACAGACTAGATCCATGACCGCCGCCAAGCAAGTGTCCTCCATACTGGTGCAAAACGGCATTGTATGCTGCAGCACTGTGAGCAGATCCTCCGAGTGCAGCAGCGCTGTAGGGCCACGGAAAAGCTCCCTGCTCTGCAGAAACACCCGAAAGACTTCCACCATGAGCATTTACATGTTGTTGATAAGCCGTAGCAGGTGATGTATGCGCGTTAGGATGAAGATACGCAGGACTGTAAGCACTAGTCGCTGCCCAGGAGTTGTGTTGGTCTGCTTCCCTTCCTGGGTGAAAACTGTTCTCAAGCGCCGTGCTCACATCCGAAGCAGTCATCCCTGATGCTGTAGCTGTTGCGTTGTCGGCTATTACATTGAAGTTGTTGTTGGTCTTGGCAGTCGTCTCTCCGTCATTCGCCACAACCTGCTGTCCCTCTGCCGCATCTCCCTCGTCAGCCTCGTTCTCGCTTCCTGCTACCTCAGATGTCTCTTCATTTCCGTCTACTTTGGCTGTCGTCTTCTTACTTTTGCTCCAGGGTTCAGATGAAATTAGAGCAACTCAAGTACCAGTACTTGAAATGGCGTAGAAAAAGATAAAAGTAGAAGAAAAAATTCAAACAAATCTACTACAACTCAAGCAAATAGATCTTCTCATTCTTCATAACCACAATGCAGCGACATCGCCTTGAAATGAAACCAGACCTTTCCTGTCCTTTTCCTTCTTCCCCTTGTGGTCCACACGATCAAGGACTCCTCTGTTAGCGCTCACCCTAACCCATCTCGAAGTCCGTCCTGCGACTGTTTTCCCATTGGCAACGTTTCTAGGATGCTTCAGAAGATGGATTAGGGAAGGCCTTAACTCTGGCACTGGTTTCCACATGATAAGTCTCCTCCTCATCATCTTCGCTTTCAATATCGATCCATGCTGTTCGTTCCCTACTAGCACGTTTCTCAAATAGCCAAGACCGTCCACGACTAAGCTTTTCGTAGGAGCTCTTTGGCTTATCGTATGGAGAAAAAGCGCTCTGCCTCTTATCGTATGGAGATAAAAGCGAAGGTGTCTTGGACTCACGAGAAGATAGAGTCGTTTTTATCTTTGTCTCCCAAGGAGTTTTTGTCCCCCAAGGTGTCTTCTCTAAAACTTTCTTTTCATAGGACGTTTTTTGTCCTTTACTAGACTCTTTCTTAGCAGACAACTCATCTAACTGTTCTGCGCTATCCTCTGGGTCTGATTCTGCCGCTTCTGCCGCATCTGATGCCTCTCGTCCGCGAATGTCCCGCCTTTCCGCCAATGTCCTAGGAGGGTCCAATTTGGTCAACACACACTCATCCTTCTTAGGCACTCGTTCCCACACGAGACGCTTGCTGCGCTTCTGCAAACCTGCTGTTTCTTTCGCGGTAGTAGTGGACGAAGAAGCACCAGACGCACTTGTAGAACAACGAGCGACGTCTAGATATGATCGTGCTGGTGGAGCTTCGGATTCTCTTTGTTTCGTAACAGAAGATGCGAAGACAAGATCAGGCTCACGATCTGTAGAAGAAGTTTTAGAAGAGGTATTATCCTTCCTTTCCCACTTGCCAACCACTTCCTTGATTTCCCACTTCGTCTTGCCTGAACCCTTGCAGCTTGACTTATCTGCTTTTGCTTCTTTCTTGTCCCGCTTTTTTTCCTCCAGCCAAATGTCCCACTCCGACTGGGTCCATTCTTCCTCCTTCCACTTTCTCCTATTCCTGCCCCCACGTTTTCTTCTTGGCTTTATGGCTTTTTAGAAGATGAGAGGAGTGGTCTACTCTAAACCCTAAACCCATAAGCACAATATACATTTCAACCTGGACCTTGTAATCACCATAAGCACAATACACATTTCAACCTGGACCTTGTAATCATCTTCGCGTCTGCTCTAAGAACAATCACACTAGTAAAAAAACTTCTTTGCACATAAGTTTCATAGTCTGCTTCGTTGCCGTAGCTGCTTCCGCCGTAATCCTCGTCCCTCTCCCTTCTTACTTTCGCCCTAGTACTCGAGTCTTTAGAGGTGTATACCACATTGACCTCCATGTTGTGAACATTGACCCGTCTGTCCGCGATACAGATACGCATTCTCGAAGTACGCAACGCGCAACACTGTAGTTCCTCTTGAAGCTACCAGCAAGCTCACACAAGTGAGCTACAGTGGTGCTACCTTACTGTTACAAAGTTATTACACAAGTCACTGAAAAACAAAACCTTGTACTTTCTTAACCTTACCTTGGTCTGTACTTTTCCTAGCCTCCTCTCCGCTCTTGCGAGTCTCCTTCCAGTCTGTAGTTTCCCACGCGTCCTCTCCGCCCTTTCTCCCAAGATCAGGGTCACAAGGTGCATTCTCTCGACCACCTTGACAAGTCTCCACGTCATATTTCAAATTGACGACCGCAAACGTTCCTTCCTCTTGCTCTGGTTCCTCCGGAGACCGGCCAGCAGATCCAGCAGACGCACTAGAGGGCGACACACGACTCGGAGAAACTGTCGTGCTGACGTATCATGAAGGGAATGTTAATTTTTACGCTCAATTACGGCACGCAATGGAACATACTGCGCTTCACAAAACTACAATGAAAAAGCGAATACTTGTATGTAACATACTGGTGATGAGACACTTATAGTGGTGATTACAAATCCATGTCTTGGCTAACTCTTTTTCACCGTGAAGTCTATAGAGACCAGGCATAAAGTGGTTCCGCTGATTATGCTTTTTTCCGGTGTCGAGAGAGCGTCCTCATTGTCCCTCCTGTCCTCGTGCTTCGTCACAGTCGGAGAGTTATCTTCTTTGATGCTCTCTTTGGGCGTCGGAGTCATATCTTAGACAGAAGAGAGAAGACAGAAGAGAGAAGACAGAAGAGAGAAGACAGAAGAGAGAAGACAGAAGAGAGAAGACAGAAGAGAGAAGACAGAAGAGAGAAGAGAAGAAGACGATATTTATTAGAAGAGGTAGAACTCGAGGTTAGACGAATGAACTCAACACCAACAACAAATTTACAGGCATAACTCCCTTGTTGTGCTTTCTGGTGCTTTATCGTATCGTAGCAACCGGCACGCTTAGCATCTTGTCTCGCAGAAGGCGACCACGACTGCGACCTACCTGTAGCGAAAGAGAGAACGCTCTCATTCCCGTCAGACTCCATCTTGTTCCTTAAGAAGTTCAGTTTCAGGATGTTAAGGTTTTTCAGGAAACGTTCCGCTTGAGGTCTTTCAGACTTTCAGTTGTAGTTGTTACAAGTTCTTCTCTTTAGTACACGGACTAGATGTTGAACAAAATACAAAAGAGTTCCGGAACTAGTAGTTGTTACAAGTACAAGATGTTGAACAAATAGAAAGTGACTGCAATACTAAAAACAAGGACGAAGCCTTCACTCAGAACCCAATTTACTAATGACTCTCTGTCTCTATACAGCTTGTCGAACTCTACTTGCTCCACATTCAACTACTGCGTCAAGGTCAACACAAGATGTGACAGCTTTGTAAGAACGTCCCACCACACTCAAGAAGAGGCAGATCGTAGCCGCGACAGCTTTGTAAGAACGTCCCACCACACTCAAGAAGAGGCAGATCGTAGCCTTGTACCTCCGCGAAGTAGATTTCCATCCGTATACCGATGTTTGGCAGCACTGTTTGTTTCTATCCAGATCTCTGTGTTTTCGAAACCTCTGTGGATAAAGGCTGGCATCTGCTTCACGATGAAAAGACACTTAGCAGATGCACTTGAACACCCAACAGCTTTTCTACACTTATTGTGACGATACAACTAGCAGTACAAGTACCCAGCAACTACACCACCTCGGCTGTAGGATTGCACAGGTAATTGTACCCCGTCACTTCTCGCAGAATACATGGGTATACCATAGTAGCAGTTGTTCCCCATGTGATCTTGTTAGTCTTGTTATGATGTCGTCATACATAACAACTAATTCTCGTGGCTTAGCTTGCTCTGACCTGAGAGCGTCGCTCGTCACTATTCTGTCGTGTTCTGTGCTGATGTGGTCTGCGTCGAGTCTAAGGTCTATCTTCATCGCATTCTATGTACTCCTAGCTATATCCAGATTCCTAGTCGTCGTCCTACAATAAATTCATTGATAATTATCTAATCCAACGTCAAATAGTTCATTTATATTCATTCCATTGAGTAAGTATATATATTGCGCCAATAAGTTGTTACAGGTTCTTGTGCTCAATATGGTGTGATGCCCTTAGTGCATCGTACCGCTTCCTAGTAAATTGCTCAATGTGGTGTAATGCCCTTAATGCATCGTACCGCTTCCTAGTAAATTGCTCAATATGGTGTGATGCCCTTAGTGCATCGTACCGCTTCCTGGTAAATTTTTTAATTTTAGCGGAGTTGTAGTACTTTGATGTTCGTTTGTTTGTTTGTTTTGATGTTCGTTTCCAATCCATATTTCGAGTACAATCTATCGATACAATCTAAATCTATTATGTCCACGTCGTTAGATGTCGTTCGATGTCGTTCAAGTTATATTATGTATGCAGTTCTAGTGATGATTTGATTTGTTGACTTCGATATTCTATTTCATTGGTTCATGGTTTCGTTTACTATCTCAGCTTAGTAGACTACTCGGTTTCAAATTCTATCAATTGGAATAGATCATTTATTTGTAACAAGCTCTTAGTCAGTACGAGTCCACTTCTAGTAAGTACGAGTACACTTCTAACAAGCTCTTAGTCAGTACGAGTACACTTCTAGTCAGCCCAATATCATCTTGATCTTCTTGGAAATCACTTTTCACTCCTCGAGAAGTAATAATTTGAAGAGGTACTGCTCCTCTTCCCTCTTCGCTTGTTGTATCTTCCTATCTTAAATTCTTGACTGTGAATGTCCACCCTCATTTGGTAGCTCCTCTCATGTGCTAGCTCCTCCACAGCTTAACAAACCCCATCAGCCTCCTCCACAGCTTAACAACCCCCATCAGTCTCCTCCACCTATATCTCCGCCCAACAATCTCCACCAAATCAAGTCGCTCCTAACAACAACAATTCATGTCTGGATCAAGTGCTGCTGGGTCAATATTAGAGAAGCGGGTCTAAATTTCTATATTAGATTCGATGTGGGGTATTCCTGTGATAAGCAATAGTATGATTCGATGTGGGGTATTCCTGTGATAAGCAATAGTATGAAAAGTGAGCATGTAGACCTTAGAATTTATTCTTGTGATAAGCAATAGTATGCAAAGTGAGCATGTAGACGTTAGGATTCCAAGAAGCATAGTGAGATTCTAAAGATGAAGAAATTTGTTGAAGATGCTGCGCCAGGACGAGTCAACTCCTGTGTATCAACAAAACTAGATTGATAGCCATAACAACGTCTTTTCTCTCCGGTCGGACTACCCCACTTGGGTCCTGGAAAAATGGATGTTGGAGTACGAGTAAATGCTATGTATAAAGTATACAGTATAAGACTTGTAGAGGACCTTAGCATATCAAGAAAAGCCAGGAGAGTATCTTTTCCAGAGTATATAAAAGTAACTTATACAACGAAGAAAACGCAACAGGGTAGCCTTTTTTCTTGTCCAAGAACGACCTGAATCTTTAGTACAAGCAACTCTTCTGTAAAGATCAAAATACCTCTGATTACAACTCTGTAAAAACAAGTCCTCAGATTACAACTCGGTAAAGAAAATGCCTCTGAATACAACTCTGTAAAGAAAATACCTCTGCTCCTGCTAAGCTTCCTCCTGCTTGTGGTTCTGCTCCGCCGCCTGGTGCTCCCCCACCTTGTACATCCGCGTTGTTGTTTGCTCCATCTGGTGGACCCTGTTTACAGGTTGTTAGGGTTGTTAAACTTGCACTACAGTTCGACGACGAAGGCCCCCGCCCTGATGTATATGTGGAAATACAACATAGCACATAGGTGCCAAAATAGCTATAAATGTATGTAGAAAGAGTGCTCCATGGATGTCCCTGATTTAGAATGAATGATCTTTGAGCTTGAAGGTCACGTTGAATGAACAAGGGGAAGAGAACTGAGGAAAACTTTGAAGAAAGTTACGTCGAACACCATGTTGCACATACATAGTTAGACGTGATAAGCGAGGGCTCAGTGAACAAACTACCACATGAGAAATCTACACGAGACAACATGGCAAATATCGAGGGGAAGTCACGTTGTTGTTTCCAAGGCACGTCAGTGCGGTTGACATAGAGGGGAAGGAACTGAGGTTGTGAAGAAAGGCCGTCTCTGTAGTGTACTACTACTACTACTTCCTCCAGAAGGGCGTTGTACTGGAGCAAAAGCAAAACTTTGACAAATGGGAATGTGAAATTACACTTTAGGTTTAATAAGAAAGAGGGTGCTGGGAAGCTACTAGGTTATAAGTTGAGACGTAAAAGTGGGACAATGGAGACGGGAACATGAACGAGGTTAAATGGGGGACGATACTGCGTAAAAGTGGAACAGAGGAGATGCGAACTTCGCGGGGATAAGCTTGGGACGGAGCTTTGGAGTTAGGCCAAAATTTTGCATTGACACTGAGCACGTAGACGTAGGCTGCTTATAACTAGTAAGGCTTGTATCATAAATTGGATGATCCGTATGATGCATCCCCTCACTCAGAGACACGAGACATAGCACTATGTTGAAGAGAAAACCAATATTGTGGCTGAAAAACAGCACCAACACTATTGTAGATGAAGAACAACACCAGCGCTATGGATGAATTGTTGCAGATCTAAGGAAAAAACACACAAGAAAAAGGATGCGGTAGAGGTGAGAGGTATGATCAAAAGCGAAATACCTGCCTTCCTTCTCCTGATGGGTTGCCTCCTCCTGACGGGTTGCCTCCTCCTGACGGGTCGTTGCTTTGGCCCTTGTTGTTTCCTGATCCTCTATTCTTTTCGTAGTCTGCCAGAATTTTCTCGCGCTCCGCATCAATCAGGTTCTGGTTTAACTGCTGTTTTTCCGCCTCTAGTTAGAGTGGTCATCATAATGGGAGGATGCCTCAGCGTCACGGCCTCACAATGTGACTGTTCGTCTCAAATGATCATACACAATCATTGGCAAGGCAGTCGTGGTCTGTTTTTAAATCAAATACAAATGAAGATCTATCATCATAATCTAATGCTTTTTCATTCTAACTATAATTATCAAGAGCCGCCTCAGGCTATGGCCCACTTCTGCATGGCAAAATAAAAATAATCGTGACTAGTCCACTGTTTAATCGATACTACACCGAGCTTCGTAGCCAGTAGGTAACACAAAGAAAAAACGAGTGTATTCTTGAATAACGCGCTTCGATAAGTGTACAGGCCAACGTCTGAACCACTGAGCCAACTGCTCACGCTTGTTTGTCCTATGATTGTGGTAGAGCCGACCTAACTAGAAAAAAGAAAGACCAGAGAAAGATAGAAAAGAGAAAAGGGTAACTATCATCAATGATGTTCATTCATTCATTCATTCATTTACCTGGTCTTGAGGTATCTTTTGACTTAGATCAAAAGGTTTTGCATCACATGTACCTATCAATTTTCAGTTCTAGATCCCTTTTTGGTTTTTTCTTTTTACTTATTCTTTCGTTATAAGAAATAAGCCTGAGAGCCTTAAAGGGCTTTGTCTTTCGCGATATTGTCCAACACATCCCTCCTAGCTAGCTGGTTCTGCGCTATGTCGCGCTCAGCCTGTGCTTTCGCCACCTCGTGTATGAGTTCTAGGTCGGGACCTCCTCCTACAGCTGCGAGGTGCGAGACAGGTGACGTCGGAGGAGGAGACAACACCACTGGTGACGCCGGAGGAGACAACACCACTGGTGACGCCGGAGGAGACAACACCACTGGTGACGCCGGAGGAGACAACACCACTGGTGACGCCGGAGGAGGATACCACCCTGGTGTTAGAGGTAGGATTTTGGTGCTATCTTCGGAACCTGTCAGCTCTGCCTCTCTAGAAGTACCTTAACAAAGTAGGCAAAGCTAACGCTAGAACACATTTGCTCGAGACTTGTGTTAGTTCTCTTATCTCCTCTCATCTCCCACCATCAACTTCTTCTACGACCTTCTTCCATCTTCGTCATCAACATACGATAAGAGCACCGATCATCTTTCTCACGAACACCTATCCGAAGATAATTGAAGTGAAATAACCGAGGAGCCTTAATGGTGGCGGCTGATACGACAGTGTTGGCTGCGGATACGCCGGAGCTACTCCTGTTGGCATCGCCACTGGAGGAACGCCTGGCTGAGGATACGGGGAAGCTACTCCTGTTGGCATCGCTACTGGAGGAGCGCCACCCGCTAACGGATAATAAGGTGGCGGAACGGGAAGGCCTGCACCGACGCCTGCTTGGAGCTCTACACCTCCGTATGGGTTCATCCTCCCTCCATTTACGTTCATTTTCACTCCCACGCCACTGCTACCCGTACTAGGCATAGGCTCTGCATCATGTTGCGGAGCGAGGACCTGTTGCGGAGCGGGAAGACGGAGGATAGACGATGATGACTATGATTATCAGTATCATGATTCAACTATCATGTAGCGATAATTATGAGTATCATGTAGCGATTTAATATCTACGGAAATGTATCATCATACTTACAGACATAGATACCAAAAAAACTTACTGTAGTTTCCAGGAGAGCTTCCATATTTCAGCAACTAGTACCACCTGAGGCGGCCCCGCCGATAGAGATTATTGATACTACCATTATATCTTGCAAATTTATTAAGAAAAGGTCAATATAGTAATTCGACTCTCGCAGTCTCCTTCTTGGGATCACTCTGAGGAAAAGTCTTCAGGAACATGTTTTGAGCTCTAATTGTAGTAGTACCTGCGTAGGATGTGAGTCTCCGAGTCTTGGCTTGTCGACCACAGGTGGAGGCGTACCTACAATGTCGAACGCTTGCTTTAGAGCTACCGCGTTGGCATCTTCCTCTTTGAGAGCAATACTAGTAACCTTGGAAGGAGCTTCTTTTTCAAGTAGAAAAATAGCAGCCAAGGATGTTGCTGAGGATGCTCTAGCCGCGGTAGCCATAATTGCTGTAGCAGCTTGTCGAATTCGTCCTTCATCTTCGGGGTAAGCATCGCCCAATGCGCCGCTACCACGGGATCCTTCAGGATTGATCCGTCTGGCAAGCCGTTTCCCTGCAGTATCTCGTTCCGATTATGTGGCTCAATACCCGCTAGATATTGCCCGGTGATCGAGGAAAACTTTCGGCCATATTCTTGTCGGATTTGCTCTGCCGAAAAAGGATTAGAGGTGGCTGCACCATTCACATAATGCTACATCACAAGAACATCATTCCTCAGCGGAGAACTACATGAGAAGAGAACTCCATGATCCTTGAAGTACTACGTAGTATTTTCTACTGGAGAGCAAAAGATCGAGCATCCTTAACCTAGCTATAATTGTCTACTTGTTAGCAAAAGACGACCTGTTGATGTTGATGGGGGAAACAACTAATGTGGTAGCCCTTAAGAGGTGGCAAATTTTTGGCCTCTCTGTTTTTTTTTTCTTCCGCCAACTCTACCTGGGCTCGTCTTATATTGGCGTTCTCCTTCCTCAGCAGTTGACAGTATTGCTCGTGCACGTGTCTGCTCGCTGCCTTGTAGTTCTGCCTGAAATCGCGGAACATCGGGATGTCTGACAGCCACGGGAAGGGGTCCTCTCCGTCGCCGACAGAGGGTGGTATTTTGAGAGGGCCATCGTCAGCAGTATCGTGCTGCACTCCTGCTGGAGGCTGCTGGTGAACTCCTGCTGGAGGCTGCTGGTGGACTCCTGCTGGAAGCTGCTGGTGAACCGGATTTGCGGCTTGAGATGCAGAATCTTGAGGCGCCGTAGCTGGAGACACCGCAGGCTGCGGCGCAGCAGCCTGTGGCGCGGCAGCAGGGACCGCAGCAGCAGGAGACGCAGCAGCTGGAGACACTGCAGGCTGAGGCGCATCAGCTTGAGACTCAGGTAGAGGCCCCGCGACACTCGGAGACGCAGCAGCTGGAGGACCACCACCTTCACCTTCAGGCACAGCATCTTCAGGCGCATCACCTTCACCTGCGAGCGAACCAGCATCAGAACCAGCAGCTGGAGACGCACCGGCCCCAGGCGCACCATGTTCATCCACAGGCGCAGCCCCTTGAGATCCATCATCTTGACGAGCACCATCTTGAAGCGCAGAATCTTCACCTTCAGGCTGGTCACCTGCTGGCGGGTCTCCTGTGCTCTGCTCTTGTGAAAATGCCGACTGGTGGTCCGCGGCCTCCGAAAGCTTAGCGCTCTCCTCCGAAAGTTCCCTAGCTCCAATGGTTGTATCCAAAAACGACTTGGGCGTCTCTGCAAGGCCAGCCTGTTATCGAGTGGATGCAGTTGAATGAAATTTTTCGTTTTCGAGTGGGGTGTCTACTCTCTGTACTAACTTACTAGGTGTACAAAAACCAAGTCAAGGTCTTTTGTTCATGATGGAGTTCAACAAGTCCAAAAGTTCTTCCACCTTATGGTATGGTATGTTGCCCGCATCAGTATTCCGAAACTGTCCATATTTCACCTTATTTCACTTGAAAAACAACACACAATACGAATAGAAAGGAGTGGAAATACCATCGTCAAAGCTTGAGACCCAGACTCGTCTGCAAAAGGGGCGGCTGAGACCTCATGAGTTCCTTCTTTATAAGCCTCTGCGTAAGAAGCGTCCACATCATCGTCCTCGCCATGCAGCAAGCTTTCGAAACGAGCATCAATCGGTGTAATGTTTGTATCTGACAAGAAAGTGGGACGAGATAGGACAGGGACACCGAAAACCTTTTTCAACTCATCCTCGAAAGCATCTAATACGAGTGAGAGAGGAACTAGAGCAGGTCATGATGATACCCTAAGAATCTGAATTTTGTAAAAAAGCTTCAAAGCAGAGGACTCAGTGCCTGTTATAGATGTACACCAATCAAAACAGCTTACCAGTCATCAAAACATCATAATACATGTGGTGGAGCAACCTACCTAGGAAAGATAGAAAAAGGTGAAGGTATATACAATAGGACTAACAAAAACATCGAAAGTGGCAGGTGAAGGTATATACAATAGGACTAACAAAAACATCGAAAGTACCACTGCCATCTTCACCTGGTCGTTTGTGTAGAAAGCCTCGATATGTCACCCGCTCAGCTCTGGCCACCAAGATGGCGATTAGAGGAGCTTTCGGCAATATAAAGCTTATGACATATTCTCGATGTTGGTGCGAATACAGCTTGACCTCTAGTAAAGAAACTTCTAAAAACCGAACAAAATCATGTAACTGGAATGAATAATACGGGTGGAGCCAAGCTAACTAGGAAAAGAAAAAGGAAGGATAGTAGGTAAATGAATAATCTACGAGAGCCTGCCATAAGTTGAGTGCACACAGAAAGACCGCAACCATTTTCGGCCAACAAGCTAGACACATCCAGGAGGATAGGAAGTGCCGATTCGAACCCTTGCCCTTCTTCATCTCCTTCCCAGAAAACGACATCTTCATTGTTTGATCTTGAAGAAGATACTCATAGAGGATATTGCGGAATGAAGATGATCATTGATTTATCCACTTCTCGACGTTGAATAGCGCAGCAGCTTTTTAGCATGACCACAAATTGCAAACTTATGAAGGAGGAAAAATGTGATTTTCACATCCAAATCCAGCAATTATAATACAGCAGTGTTGTGCCAGGAATGGCTTCATTTTGGGAGGCACGCTTCATTTTGGGAGGAGATACACACATCGATCATCATCTCGTATATCACTTAGTGGTAAAAAAGGGATCTGACATCTCGCTAAGTGGTAAAAAAGGGAGAGAACAATAGAAAAGAGTGCTCACTGAGACAGTCAAGCGACAGCAAAGCACTCCCTGTAGTAAGTTGGTTTGGAAGTGTGTCATAGTGACGCATGCTAAGATCAAATTAAGTACTGCAGGCGACAATGACAGTTGACTCGACAGAATTACTCGCCAATCTCCAGAATTACTCACTCCAATGAGCTTCGGAGTTACTCACTCGAAAGGCTGAATCACTCAACCGATCTAGGTATTCACTCAACAGATCAGCGTCCTCACTCAACAGATCAACATGTGGACTCACTCACAGAGATTCTCTGCTCCCCACTCGACAGAACTACTCACTCAACAGAATCAGAATTACTCGCTCAACAGAAATAGGAGCATTCACTCGAGAAGTTTATGCTCTCGCCAAATGCACTGTTTATGTCTCCAGACGAACGCACCACTCAAGAAAGAGAAGCGCTCTTGACAGACAGACAAAGAGACCAACAGAATCTAAATTTTGTTCCATGCCATCCGGGTCTCAGACACGTCAAGCTTGAAAGGATTACAGCGTGGTAAAAGTTTCCACGAGCTCGTCGGAGCTGAAGCATGTAGTTGCAAAATAGAATCGTCTTGACATGTCTAGCGCAGAGTCTTAAACTTGCACCATGATGTTGCCAGCATGGCACGTCTTCCTTTCTATAACGCCGCGTGTTGACTACTTGATAGTACTACTATCTACATCACTTTTTCACAGACGACGAGTACGTATAGAGTTACACATGCAACAGTGACGACAACCTTTCCTAGCAGAAACAACAGTTTTTGCTTCGTGTTTTTCGACCATCTTATATTTCAAACTTTCTCTTGTTAAACTAGGTCAAACTTCAATATCTCGTCGAACAACTATTTCAGACCTTCTCTTGTTGAACCAACTATTTTAAAGCATAGCTATCTTTGGATTAAAGCACACCTGTCTTTGGATTCCACGGTTCCTTTAGATTCCACGGCATCTCCTCAACGCCTCTCTTGGCACCTATCCCGGAAAGAGCGTCACTCCATACTCTTGGTCCACAACTAAATCTTCACCCTTTCCGCCGCATGCTTAGACGTCTACCTATGGGGCCACTCAGTCAGGACCTAGAAGATCGAAGAGTCTTGTTGCATTCCTCTCTTAACTTTTCATCATTGGCTCTTTGACGTCGTTTGGTTCGAGCGGTAACAGTACGTTCAAGTCGAGATGTGGCTGCTTATTAGCAGTCCGCATCACTCCCACAGCGGGAGTACTTTCTACGCCAAAGTTCATTTCCACACCGAATACTTTCGTTGGGTCATCCACCAGCCACCATCCAGCCTTCCTCTCATTCTCTTTGCCACCAGGCTTTTTCTTCTTCGTGCTGGTGGATGGGAATTAGAGGACAAGAAATCGGCTAAAGTAAGTGCGCTGTACTAGGTTCTCTTTCTGTTCAAGCGCTGTACTAGGTTCTCTTTCTGATCAAGCGCTGTACTAGGTTCTCTTTCTCTTCAAGGAGAACACTACAGGCGGGAGTGGAAAACGTGTTTTCGCGTTTATCACGAAAAACATCTCAAGGTTCAAGGGTCCCCGAACTTGTGGCCAAGCCACGTTGCCGGGACGAATCAGGCCCGAGTAGAGCCATGAACATCTCCGAGCAAGTCATAACTATGAAAAACTAGCTGCTTCAGTTTTTGCAGTCGGATCCAATCTTCTGGCAAGCTGATTTCGTCACTCATCGCCGCCTCCAGGACCGCACTGGCAACTCCTGCTGTCCGTTCTTCCCTGGTAAGAGCACGCTGTTGTTCGCAAGCATGGTTATTAGAGGTGCCCGCGCTCTTGACTTCTACTATCAAAAGCTTGGTTTTTTAGGGTTACATCTTCTCATTTGTTCCCCACTTCAAGTTTCATTTCCACTTCAATCATATGCTACTACCTCTCCAACTTCTTATGTCATTTATATGATGGCACCAGAACTGCCCATAAATTTCTCTTCCCCACACACCTTCGAAAGACCAAGAGTGTCAGCGCCATTCGGATTTTCCACCTGTTCTCTTGGCACACTGCGTTGGTACCGATTCACCGTGGACCATAGTGTAATGCGTGGAGTCATGGTACTCTTTTTTGCCACCAGGGTTATGAAGGAAGGAATTCTGTTTCCAGTGTCCTAATATGCTCTTTGCGGCAGTAGATCTCTCTCAACTGCAAGTAGTACCACGTCGACAATGAGTCTGTCATGTCATGTGTCTCCAATCTGACCTGCCAGATGATGAGTCTGTGTATTGTATCTGTGTAAGTTGTTGAAACAATAACAGCGTTACTCTCATCATAACAACCGTTTCTTCCTCGTCCTCGTCTTTTGTGCCATCCACTTTTCCGTCATTTTTTTCAGCAACTCTTGTCGAATCCACGGATTCATCTTCTGCGTCAGGCAAACGAGCAGTAGATAGAGGCCACATGTCGCGAGACTTTGCGATTTTCTTTAAGCACTGCTCACATTCGTCGAAAACAGCTTTCAGAGTGTCGAGACCAGGTTTTTTGCTGATTAACTCTGCAAGGGCTTTCACTTTCGCGCGATACCTGACTGTTGCACGCATCTGCTGTCGACGTCGCCGGCTTTTACTTAGATAGAGAAATTCAGATCGATCATACACCATGGTTGTTAGACCTTTTTATACTTGAGTGAGCAAGAGCATACAGAAAAGACTTCACTACTATCGCTGAATGGTGTAGAAGTAGTATGTGATATCGTCAGTAGACCGAGAGGATAATGATTCTTCGCTACTATCGCTGAATGGGCGTCAAGTAGACCGAGAGGATAATGATTTAACACAATCTTGTAGTCTTTCATAGTTTTTCTTCGTTGGAGCTCTGCGCAGCCTGGAGGCTTCCTACGTGCTTCGCCTGCAAGGTCTCGTGACGTAGAAACTCTGCGAAAGCTGTAGATTAGAAGACATTGAGTAGGAACTCTGCGAAAGCTGTATGTTGGAAGTGTAGTTTACAGAAGATACTCGCTTTATAATAGGTAGATTCGATCAATGTGGTCCTGCTTCTTGTACTCCACAACGAATCATAATTATCACACTGCGCTCGTCGAACTTGGTCTTTCCGAAGCAGATAATTGCGCCAAGCCGCAAACTTGCCAGTAGCGAATGAGCCCTGTAAAAACGCCGAGGTCGCGCACAACGTCAAAGTATGGCCGTCAGAATGTTAGAGAGGTAATGTGTAGTTTTTAGCGTCTTCTTACGTTATGAGCACATCATTGTCCTTCGTACTTCTACGCCCTAGAATCATACAGTACAGCAAACGACGAAGGATCCAAAACCACAAGAGACCTGTAATACGGTCCTTAACCACAAGAGACCTGTAATACGGTCCTTAACCTCTCCTTAACCACAAGAGACCTGCAGAACTGGGCGGTCCATCAACGGCTCGACTACCGCAGGCAAGGATCGATAGTCTCCGCTACGTCCTATGGTACTTACGTCCGATGTCACTCCACTACCCAACTGCGCGCTGTCGTTGCCTCCCCAACTATAGAGCAGACCATACACGGTGAGTGCACACGAATGTCGCTCTCCGAGAGACAAAACCACCACGCCTTTGCCGTCTAGAAACGAGACGCGTCTTGGGACGCTCTGATGCGAACCACCTGCTGAACCGAGACCAAGCTGCCCATAGCGGTTCGAACCCCACAGGTAAACGACCAAATCCTTGCTGGCTGTTTCCACTTGACCTAAGCGACTTTGAGTTTGAGTGTGGGTGACCTTCCTAGAAGCTGATTGTGGTTCAGGTTCGTCTCCTTCCTCTACTAATTTGGCAATAATGCCTGTGTGAGCCCCACCAGCAGCGATCGTACGCGCAAATATCGACGAAGCTGGTCCACCTGGTGAGGTTGGATGGCCTGTCTCACTTTGCTGGTGCGTTACTGATGCTATTGTTAGAAAAAGAGCGAGGGTTCACTTGTTTATGATTTGTAGGTATAGCAGCTATGATGCTTGCCGATTATACTAGAAACGAACCAGTACCTGTAGCGTCGAGAAGGCCCAGCCTGAAATTCGAAATCTGTAAATCTATTAAAGCTGCCTTTCAAACACGACACCGATTCCACATCAACAATCTAACAAATAATCCAAAACCAAATGGTATCAGCCCATAAGTCTCCTAGTCCACCTGGTTGGTGACCTGGTTGAGAAGAGCCAAACTGTACTGGCAGTGGCACCCCATTCCTACCCATCCGACCAAGACGTCCTTCATCCGTGTGACCGCAAGTGTATGGGACACCGCCGGAAACAAAGGAGAAGTGGGCTCGTCCAGCACTCATTTGAGTCACGGCGTTGGATGTTGCACGACTGATGTCTCGTGCGCCTCCAGAGACGACAAAAGTGTTCTTGTTGGACACACTACCACCCGAAGAAGATGAAGTAGAAATTTGATGATGTAGTACTGAAGTTAAAGCGCAGCCTTCAGTGGTCACTGACTCTGAACGGAAGGGACCCCCTTCAAAGCTCTCCCCTTTCCCTTCGTTTTCCCCTGTTCTCTCAAGGGGTCGCCTCTTCGATCTCAGTGACAGTTGAGCCTTAATGAAGAATGTTGAGTCGTGTCTCGTACGGAAGAATGTTGAGTCGTGTCTCGTGGTGATCTTCTACTCGCGACTGTAGTCGACGTTCGGGTAGCTCTCGTTGACCTTGATGTGGCGTTTCTAGAAGAGGATATAGCAGAAAATACGCCCGCCTTCGAAGATGACTTTTTTACACTTGCTCCTGTAGGGGAACATGTCGCTGTGCTTGTGCTAGAACCTACTGCAGCAATGGTGACTTTTTTGAGACTGGTTCTTCTCTTCACCCCCTTGTTTTCAACGACGACAGCTTCAGTTCCTAGTAGGGTTGTGCGCAACTCCCTAGCCGCTGGAGACAAGAGGTCTTGACCTGCAACAACAGTCTTCCTGTCTGGAGTAGCAGTGTCACGTGGGGAAGGCGAGAGAACACTGGCATTGGCGCCACCAGCACCACAAGCACTACGACCAGCATCCACACCAGCATTAGTAGCACCACTACAACTACCACCAGCTGTAGTAGCCGCACCACCACCAGAACCTCCAGAGCCTACCGTTGTAGATGCACCACATGTAGCACTACCACCAGCTGTAGTAGCCGCACCACCAGTCCCAGTCCCTCCTCCGGACGGCAAGACAGGTAAGAGGATTCTTTTCGGCACGTAGACGTCTTCGTTATTACCGTGTCCCAGCGTACCAGATGAACCGCGACCCCAGGAGTAGATGCCTTCGCCAGTCTCCACATTCTTCGTCTCCCTTGCGGAAGCTAGAAGCAAGAAGCAGCTGGACTCGCCACAGGCGATACGACGGACACAGCAGTCCTGAGGTAAACCACGCACTTGTTCAGCGGATGAGACGCGACTCCAGGACTGCAGGGTTTGCTTCGCGACGACACCTCCAGACGAGGCTGAGTTCACTGGTGCTCCACCGCTAGAAGTAGCACAACCTGGTGCCAGCACAGAGGTATGTGCCGTAGTGCTCGCACCCACAACGGCACTTGACAATGATGAGGTTCCTCCTGGAACTGAAGATACTATAGGCACTGTTGGAAGCGGCAAATCGCCGAAGAAGTAGACCGAACCGATAGCGTCTAAGACTAATGAATGCGCTCCGCCACACGCGACTTCGATCACAGCGGCATGCGCAACGGAAAGAACCGGGCCAAGGCCAACTATGTTCTTTTCTTTGACATTTTCGGTTTTAGAACAAGAAAGTATGAAAAAGTGAGTTCTGATTCTGAGCGTAGTACACTCTGATTCTGAGCGTAGTCCACTCTGATTCTGAGCGTAGTCCACTCTGATTCTGATCGTAGTACACTCTGATTCTGATCGTAGTACACACTTCATAAGTAGAGATACGAAAAGTTTTGGAAGCTGTATACGATGTCGCAATTACTACTTCTAGGTAAGATTAAGTGGTCTTTAACTACAAGCATAATATTGTTTCATAATATTCTCAATCGCAGCGCCAACAAGACTCGAACTTGTAGCTCCACCACCTCCGTTCTTGGTATAAGTTCCAGACTTGTTCTTGTTCCTCCGACCAGACACCACAGAAGGTCCACCTTCCCCTCCTCCAGTCTACTTAGAGCTGCTCACAAAATTGTTCACATTCTCAGCGCACAGCCTCAGAATCCAAGAAGGAAACTGAGACCAGTACTCTGTGTGGAGATGAATCATTGACAGCCTTACCAGTCCCTCCTTCGCCTCCACCTCCGACTTTGTTCTCAGAAGCTCCGACTTTGTCCCCAAGCCCAACATCGCCGCCAAATAAATGGTCGAAACATGGTGCTCTAGCGCCACATGCCGCTTTGGAATCATCGCCAAAACTGTGGACGCGACCGCCATTACAACAAGCCAGGGAGTGTCGCTTGCCGCTGGCTATGTGGACTACGGTACGAGGCACAGCTGGACCGCGTAAAGCTTCAAAGGCATCTGAAAGTGGAGAGGCATCTGAAAGTGGAGCAGTGCAATCCACAAATAAGCATTTTTTACATCAAGATATCTCTATAACCCATCAGTTGGTGGAAGGAATCTCGACATAAGCAACATTGACAACCCATCACGTCAGCGGAATAAGCCAAGCTTCTAAGTACATAAGCAACATTGACAACCCATCACATCAGCGGAATAAGCCAAGAAGCTTCTAAGTAAAACCCAGTTACTTAATATGATTAGCATTCATCCAAACCAACTATCATTCACGAATCGCATGCCCATGCGCTTGGATCCTTGTTCTTTGGCCCTAGAACAAGTGCTTGTAGACTCAGGGAAGGCACTAAGATAGTACCACAGGCAAAGAAGCTATTGCCCAAGCCCTCGCCAAAAGGCACGAGAGATGCGCCCTCTCGATCCGCGACAAAGATTGGCACTTCAAAACTGACCTTGTCGAAGGCTGGGTCTCGACTGGAGACGTAATGAGAAATCTGCAAAGTTTTGCTGGGATAATCCACCGCCGACGCCTCCACAATCAAACGCCGGGTCGCGACAGTCGTGCAAGGAGATTGTGGTGATGCTCCGTTTTTCAGGTTAGAGGAGGCCCACCAGTGGCACCACCAGTTTGCATGAAAACGGTGAAGGATCGAATTTCATGTCTTGATCTTAGTGTCTAGGTGTGATGAATGCGCACCGCGTACATATCTGAGGAGCCACCGCCTGAGAGATTCTCTCTTCTTCTGAGAGAAGTATGCACCAAGTTACACGACCATACAGCTCGTAACTTCCGGCTCAAAATGTATCACTTCTGGTCGTACCCTAATCGTCCCCAACGTCGTTCGCACGGAGATGACCACACTGTGGGTCGGGTTTCTTAGCAGCTGAATTTCGTAATAGTCCGCCAATCCCGGTGCTGGCATTACGAGCAACGACGCTCGTGGGACGCGGAACAATGCTGGGGCTGTGGTTGTAAATGCTGGTGTGGTCGTACATGGTGTTGAGGCTGGTGATGTGGCAATGGAGTATGAAGGACGAGAGATGGAAGGAAGCGGATACTTATTTGGAGTTTGAACCTCATTTTATCACCAGTCAGAATATCCGACGTATCAGTACATACGACGTATGAGTAGATGCCTTCACCATACTATATTTCCTGGATCCAGTGGTGCAGCAGAAGTTGCCGAAGGGTAGACCCAAATTTCGTCACAGCCACTACGGTATTGCTGAGTCCCCGTGTTCGTGGGGACCCGAGGAGAAACGGGAGAGCCGGATGGCGAACTCATCTTCGCGAGAACTTCGAAAAGAAGTACTTGTCACTGAACCACTTAGATGAAATCGTCGATATCATAGTGCACACTAGGGTGGAATGGATGCTCCAAGTTTTCAGCAGGACTGAGACTAACTCAGAAAAATGCAACTCTTCAAAATAATTCTAATTGACTGAGTGATTGAAAAATGTCGAATTCCAGTGAGCATTGGGGAAGTGACTGGGTCTTAGTTCTCTCAAAAGCCAGATCTGATTTTTCGTACAGATTCTGAATTCTGCCTTACGTGTTTGGATATTTTCCTTCGGGGGCTAATGGATTTCTCAAGTGACAGACTATCACTACACCATGAAGATGCCTGTCCACCAGTCTGGGTTCTTCTCCGGAATAACACTACGGCCACCACATACACACGTTCTTCTTAACTCCTCCTCTTCCCCGTTAGAGTAGCCGCAGCTCCAGCAGGTTCCAGTTTCCGAAAATTGTTAATTTTTGGAAAAGCTGTTGTTGGCGGTTTTTCCATGACCGAATATAGCCCTTCCTAATGAGGGGCCCTAGAACGATCTTGGGAAAAGATGATGTTTTTAGTCGTCGTGATCTCCAAGCATCGACAACAAGGCTACCACAACGAAGAATCCGAAACAAGTTTCCGAAAGCCGCTGTTTAAGTCTAAGCACTGACTTCTAGGTAAGGATATAAGATTAAGATTTAGCTAACTAAGCCGTTAAAATTTAAATATTGTTCTACTTACGTCGTCAACATGTCAGAGGTAAATAACCTATGGGGACTGCTACAATCATTGGCTGTCGTGTCGCTTTCGAAGAACCACAAGCTCTATATTCAACCCTAGAAGGACGAGAGGACGCCGGAAGATTGATAGTACTCATCAACATTTAGAATGCATTTTTGTCTTGATATAGGAATGCGCTCTGAGAACATTTTTTTTTGATTTCTAGCAGTTCTAATTGGGAGGACATCAAAAGAGATCAACATATGAGGACAACAACAAACCTAGTTCTTCTCCTAGGTTCGTTTAGTCTTCTAAATCTAGTCGTATTCAAACAATCGAAGGTTCACGAGTGGATTTGCTTATTTCAAAGTAACTTTATCTACCGAGAAGAATTAAGTCTATAAATGCAACGAACAGGAAAAAAAACTAGGTATGCAACAACTTTAGCTTCTTGTTATTTGTAAAACATGTGTGTGATGAAATGACACGCGCTTTCTTCCCGTCCTTCTACGGATAAACTTTGCTGAGAAATCATTGACACAGTCAACCTCAAACCCGAGGCTGCATATTTACGAATCGGGTATGCAGCCTCAAGCCAGCAAGTCGGAGACAGGTCAGTCTACTTCTAAAAAGAAACTTCGCGTGCTTTAGCTTTAATGAATGCATATTTGTACTTTATCAATCGGATACTAGGACAAGGAGCTTAGAAGAAATCATTAAGAAGGAATATTAGGCCATGGGCAGCACACAGCTACGCAACGACGCAGCACAAGCACAATACGACAGCAAGATTCTTCGATCAACCATTCCCTGACTCCTTTTCTCCAGTTATTGAAGATTTAGTCCACCGGCACCCCATAAAAAACTATCAGAGAATCACTGTTGACAGGATCTTCACACTAAGCTTTTGTTAATGCAACTAACAATTCTATCATAGCTTGTTTTAGGATATTATCATCCTCGATGCTAGGATAAATCGGTGAGGCGGGAGAGGGAGTTCGGGAGTTTTGTTATGAATCCTCTTGCAGGCTGTGGTTACTCGTTCTTGTAACCAGAACTAGTTAAAAGTAGTCGTGGCATTGAGTTGTCGCTTATATATTTTTGCAGTGTTTTAGTTATAGCAAATCGTATGACTTTTATGAACAAGATTCAGGAGGCATATACAAAGAGCTCCGAAGTAGAGACTGAACAATCATTTTAAGAACGACTCAACATGTTATAAGATGAAGATGGAAATTGCGCAGCGCAGTTTATTGCTGCGCGCACTGGACGTTTCCGCCTCCGCCACCCATGCTGCCGCGACGCTCATCGTCGTCATCCTCTTCGTAGGCAGAGGCATGTTCCTTCTCACTAGCCTGCGGGTCTGCCTCGGTCAAAAAGTGCGTTTCTATATGGTCGTCGGCGTCCTCATCCGGGACCTGCATCGGGTCTGGACCGGGCAGGAGCGTGCGCAGAGTCTGTGGTGGTCATCGTCATTTTTAAAAAAAAAAAATTTGATGTTTCAGTGGTCATGATCGTGATGTATGGTCTGATACACGCAGGAATAGATGGCAATATCGTGCATTCACCAAGCTGATTGGACGTGAAAGTACCTTAGCCGCATCCTCGCTGATGGTCTTGGGGAAGATGATTTCGAATTCGATGAAGAGATTTCCTTTCATCATAGGGTTCTTGAAAACGGGCATACCCTCTCCCTTGACGCACTTTCTCATACGATTGCCTGCTGCGACCTCCGGATCAGGAATAACGAAAAGCTTGGTACCTAGCAGCATTTTGGTGCGAGGTTAGTTTTGTTCGGTTGGAAGCGGGTGTGCTGAGACTCGTCAACGTGCTACTTTTTCTAGGAACATCAACAATAGAATGTCAAAATTCTTCAAAGTACCTGACTTCTTCTTCTTCTTTGAGAGCATCTCATCTCGCGTGAGGTCTCGGAAGATAGCCTTGTTTGTCGCTGTATCCAACACAAAACCGTTGAAATTCTTGGCGAGACAGACCTGTTTGATGTTTAGAGAAACAAGTTAATACTACAAAAAACTAGTTAGATGAATTCAAGGTCATCATGTTCCTGATGAAGAAGCAGGCAGTGTAGTACCTCCTTCAGCTTATTTGCGTCGGAATATGTGCACGTCGCAACATCCGTTCCTGCCGCATCCGTGTCGTCAAAAACAAGCCACTCTGCGCTTTCGTTCTTCGGTGGCGCGAGGACCTCTCCTGGTGCGCTTTTTATGAGCAGCTTTCTGCCGTCCAAATGGGTCAATTCCATGGAGAAGCCCGTTAAGGCCTCCAACAGCGTGATCTGTCTGTGGATCGTCAAGTCCGCCTTGTTCCTCTTGAATTCCGGGTGTTCCTTCTCTTGCAAAACAAACTGAACATCGCCAGCGTCGTAACCTAGTATTGTGTATTGTATTCAATATTCATTCATTCATTCATTCATTGGGCCTTAATAAACATATTAGTGATTTGTGGATTCGGTTTGATGTACAACTCTGTCAATTTCCCATCGTCCAGTAATTATGGTCAACCTAATATTAGTAATTATGGTGGAAACATGGGAAACTAACGGGTGGTAAGCGTAAGAGCAGGTGGTAATTTGCTCCACCATTAGAAATTAATTATAGCGATGAAATTATCCTTGAGACAGAAATGGAAACAGAATCTGGATTCGTTTCAGGCCCAGGTAATTGTATTAAGCTCGAGCAAAGCCCATTGATACCCAACTTCAGAATCTACTATCTAAATGGTTATGGGTCATCACAGCAGCTAAGCAGGGTCCAACCCAGGACCTTGATTAGCCTACTAAGATTTCCCTATCTACATCTCGAAGATTCATCAGCAGTGAGTAATTGGGCTTCGCTTGAGCTTGACGTGTTCACTACTTGAGCTAGAAAAATAGTATCAAGTCTATTCAATAGTGCTTAATAGATCCTCTGAGATGTGAAAGACGGTTATCCGAATACTTGACGCGAATTCGTGATGTGTATCATCAAGTATCGCAACAAATTCCAACAAGTCAAATCAAGTTATTCTAATGTTCTAGTAACAGAGCAGTACCTGGCTGCTCATCTGCTTTGTTGTAGAAGACGACTTTGTGTGAGTCTGGTGCTCCTCTTTCCACGTACACCTCCAAAACTTCTTTTTCCTTTTTTGTCTTGTACGATTTTCCCATGCCATTGCATTTGGAACATTGCTGCTGGATCTGCTGAATCATGTTTCCCATTCGCACTACCTGCACTACCACACCCCTACCGTCGCATGCATCGCACTCCTTTACCTATAGGCGAAAGGGATTTTCAGGGACGCCGTTTTAGGGATGAAGAGAAACTAGTACAATAGTCGAGAAGTAGACTCTTACTTTCAATCTGCGGTAACAATAAGGAAGCGCATCTTCTTTCACTTCAGCAGGAACTAATATCGACCACAATTTATGTTTTTGGTCCAAATTTCTACCCCATGCTTTTCGTCGATGACCGTCCTGTTCACTGCGAGCTTCTTGGTATAACCGACGTACATTTGTTCCAGTGTCACGTCCATCGCGTGAGTGACGTCTTTACCTGTGAAGGAAGTTTGCATTATCGCGTTTAGGTGGTTGGAGAGAAAATACTATTACAAATTTGAAATTACCAAAATAAATTACAGGAGTCTTGCGAAAAAACTTAAACACCAGACAAAGTGAACAACTCCATTCCTGTGATTTAAAATCCCAGAATCATCGCGATCTTCACAAGAAACACCACAGGCGTCTGCATTATACCTTTCTTCTTCTGGCTTCCACCATTGCCACCTTTTCTTCCTCTACCTCCACCGAAGACCATATCGAAAATGTCGGTCGGGTCGCCGCCGCCCCCACCAGACTCCACACCCTCTTCACCATATTGGTCGTACAGTTTTCTCTTGTTCTCATCGGACAATACCTCGTACGCCTTCGTGATGCTCTTGAACTGCTCCGGGTCACCACCTTGAGTGAATTGTTGTTATACTAGTGGAGCTATAAAAATGATCAGAAAGTCCTTACCCTTCTCTAGATATCAGAGTAGAAAATACCAGATGATCAGAAAGTCCTTATCCTTCTCTAGATCGATGGAGTACCCTTATCCTTCTCTAGATGATCAGAAAGACCTTATCCTTCCAGATATTTAAGACCCAAGACCATCACACTTCCAGATGATCAGAAAGTCCTATTATCCTTCTCTAGATGATCAGAAAGTCCTATACCCTTATCCGGGTGATGCTTAATCGCGAGTTTGCGGTATGCCTTCTTGATTTCCGCACCGGAAGCGGTTTTTTCGACTTCAAGCAGTTTGTAGAACCCTTCGGTGTCGACTTCCTTGCCCTTGCCTCGGCCTTTGCCTCCCCCCATACCCGGGAAGTCATCCCCACCAGGGAAGCCCCCAGGCATACCAGGAAAACCACCAAAAAACATTTTTTCTAGTTTTTGTTGCTTCTGTAAGAAGAAAAGGTGATGATATTATACCCAGTCACAATTAAAAGATTGTGGTTTTCGGAATGGTCGCGGAGTTGTGATGGTGCAAATTATGACGTTGGTACAAATAAGAATGTTGTCGTGATCATGCAAGAAAGCAAGAAAGATGGTGGTCGAAAGATAGGATTACTATTCGAATTACACACTTTCGTGTCCTGCTTAGCACCAGAGTTCGTTGGCCCAAGATATTCTTGCGAAAAGAGAAATGCACGCAGGTCATGCACACAGTCAGGGAAATCCTTCAAAACTTCACAATACAACTTTCTTATACTATATTAGAGCTACCGCGCTCGCATCCCCGAGAACCTCCCTGGTCCCTTTTTCTCCTTGAAAAAAGGGCCAAGGATGATGTTGAGGATGGTCCAGCGGTAGCCTTAACTATAGGGTTAATAGCAATAAATGACGACAATTTCAACAATCTAGGTGACATCTAATTCAGAGGGACCTCAGGAGCTCAAAAATTTCTTTTCAACAATCTAGGTGACATCTAATTCAGAGGGACCTCAGGAGCTCGAAAATTTCTTTTCAACAATCTAGGTGACATCTAATTCAGAGGGACCCCAGGAGCTCAAAAATTTCTTTTCAACAATCTAGGTGACATCTAATTTAGAGGGACCTCTGTCGTTTGGATCTTCATTTGTCACGTGTATCCTTTCATGGACTCAAGAGAATAGTGTCATTCAATAGCTGTTGCGCACAAACATCTCGTGCCTGAGCTTGCAATTCATTTCATTCAGAGGAAGGAGAACACTTTTTCATTCTTCTATGACAAAGCAGGTCACACTTGCAACGAGCCTCGGAGAATAGAGAACACTTTTTTCATTCCATCACGGCTGTGCTACACCTACAGCGAGCCTCTGTGGGCTGTGCGGAGACAAAGACTTACCTCTCTCCACAGGAGATAAAGGCACTCTTTGATCCTCTTGTTTTCAAGAAAGTAGAAAGAGAAACAGCACAGTAAATCAATGATTTTTCTTGCTTGGTCACAAGAAGCTGCGGAAAGTCCTTCCGCTCCTCTTGGATGATCAGTTTGAATAATCTTGTTCGGAGGGTGGGAAGCAAACAACCCAAACCCAATATTCGGATACTCATTCAGATGAAATGATCAAAAATTCTCGAAAAAAAGACTTAGACAAATTCTTTGTGCATTATACAACATTTCGTCTTGGAGGAAGATTCGAAGATACTAGATATTTCAGTAGCGGTCGTTGTTGAAGGCGCATTGTATCTCGGTTATCAAAATAGTTCTTTGATTTTAAAGCGTTGTATACATAGATAGGGTCGTCAAAAAAGAAAAAAAAGAGATGAAATAAGTTCGCCCGACTGAGTAGATGGTTGTAATTCATTGTTTGTCGATGAAAAAAGTATAGAGTACTATAAAAAGGACTTCTTAATACCGTTCTTGCAGGATGCATCAAATCATCAGACGTACGGTATTAATAACGTTTCTTAGCACATTTGTGTCTTCGTGAGAATAACGGTTAGTGTACTTCCTTGCGCAGAAGATAACTCTTGAATTGCAACAGCTCCTGCATAGGTTTTTGCAGGAATTCTCTGTCAATTAGGAATCTCTAGGGAGCGTAGTAGGGGCAGTAATTGGGCAAAATGAACAGCTCTACTGTAGTAACACATAACATCAAATACATCGAGAAACACGAATTATCAATGCATTTCATCATCATCCGAGTTATCTTACTAGCCCACCCTGATTGTACAATTTTGAATAAGGCCTATGTTGCAGTTTTGAGCAGCACTAATCACAATGCCTGATCGTTTTCTAAAAATAGTATGAATGTGAGATTCTACAGAACGAAAATACGAAAAAGATTATGATTCAGTAGACCTCGATTTGGTATATAGTACAGAATCTTGTGTCCCTGTGAAACCCCGTACCCAGTGGAAGCTCCGCCCTTAGCCTCACTCCTCTACCTCCTGTTCCACCTCTGGGCCTCCTAAAGCCCCACCAGCTAACGAAGACGAACTCTTCTCAGCCTGCATCAGCGAAGTCACCGCTACTTCAGCGCTCTGCTCTGTGCAATGAAAGAGACCCTTGAGGATTGAAAATGAGGAGCTGATGTTGATGATGGGAACATATTCCTCTCTTGATCGTCAGTGAATCATCTAAGCCAATTGTATTGGTCTCTTGAAGATCGTCAGTCAATTCCCCAATAACGTAAATAAATTGAATGAAGAAAACTGAAATGAGTAAAATGTGACACACTGATAATTGCTAAAAGACAGAATAGGTAGTAGTAGTCGTCAATCTTGTTTTTGAGGGTAAAATGACACATCACTGAAGATCTCATAAACAGTTGTGGTGGTAGCTCCTTCGCCAAGCGGGAGGAACCCTTGCGCGCTCCCACCGGCGTCTACTGCATTTCTCCGCTCTTCGGCTGGATGTTAGAAGGAGCTAAAAAGTTGCTGAAAAGCTTCAATCTGTATTTAGTAGCTCTGCTTCTAAGCGATTTCAGTGCAAATCTCTGTTTTTAAGACAGACTCCTGAATGCAAGTAGCAACACTTCTTTCCTGTACTTGTTCTACCAGTTCTTGATGGGGATGATGACCGTTCTAGCAGTTCTAGCAGCTCCCGGGGGAGCTGCTTGTTCTAGCACTTAAATGCCCCATCATAATGCAACAAAAACGCTTGTTTCCGAAATTCCTCCTGATCCTGGTACGCTAGCTTCTCCTGCCCTGTCATTCCCGGTCTCACAGGGTTGGGCGGAAAGTGCGCATCCAGCATCGGACTCGGCAATCCCCTTAGCCAAGGGTGAGACAAATGCTGCTCGGCGTTCACCCTGTTTTTGTGTGGGAAATGAAAATGCTGCTCGGGGGCGTTTACTCTGAGGTTGAGAGGGGGCCGGGTGTGATCAGGTGGGAAAGGCCAATCATGGAATGGAATGAGTAGGGTAGAAGTGAAGAAGATTCTTGGGGAACTGAAGTGAAGAATGTTTTTAGATGTTGAATTTTCAATAGGAAAAGAGTACAAGGGCCTCGGAAGATGAGATGTATAACACGCAATAGATAGATAGATGTACCCACTCACGGGGTATAAGATAGTTAATTAGTTGCATCAGCGTCTCCTCTTTTTCTCTACTTTTCATTACTCCAAAAATACTCTTACCTCTCCGACGGACTCAACTGCAGCATAGGTATGAGGAAGCTCGCTAAATTCCTCGCCTCCATAATGTTGACGTTGTATTTCTGGTTCAGCACCTCTTCTATACCCCAGTAGCGCAAAGTTTTGATATGTCTTAAGTCTCCAGCGCGATTGAAGTACGTTCTACCGTTGCGACCCTTCTGTATCATCTCAGTTGGGATTTTACCCAACAATTCAACACAGAGAGCGAGGTGATCTGGCAAAAGATAAGTGCAGTTGACACAAAAATTTCCTGGGAGGTTTCTCCAAAACAACGTTTTCTCCTCTGTTGTAAGACAGTTCCTGCAAGCTCTAATTTTTGTGGTGGAGCCCAACCTTCCTGCAAACAAAAATCGCAATCTATTACCTTCATCCCTCGGGTATTCGTCACTCGGCTTTGGGTCGAATAGGTAGTCACCTGTCAAAAGCTCGAAGGTCATGCACGCCAGACTCCAAATATCGGAGGAAGTATCGTAGCCGGAACCTATCATGACCTCTGGACTACGATATTGCCTGGTCTGTATATCATCCGAGAAATGCGTATGTGTCCAACAAGCATTGCCGAGGTCGACGACTTTGTATCTGGAGAGTGGTGGTAGGATTGGAGGTATTGGTTTGTGTGAGTAGTTTGATTTTGAGAGCTACGTGCTAGATTTGTTCAAAAAAGTTTCCAAAAAGACTTTCATAAAGCCTTTGATTCGGAAGCTGTTGTACTATGCATGCTCTTCAAGTAGATGATAGGTTAGGTTAGGTCGTGGTGTCTGTCAATCTGTCTTAGTCGTAGAATCTCGTTTGCTAGACTAGAATGCATCTTCTGAGTCTGAGAAAACTCGAGTACAACTAGACTACTAAGCCTTCTTTAATACGCCTCATTCTTCCTGTGGATGCTAGGTTAGCCCAATCAAAGTAGAAACATATCACAACAATTGTTATGGATCTTGCACATTGGGCCCAATCAAAGTAGAAACATATAACAAAAATCAGTACACAACATCGTCATGCAGGAAGAGATCTAATCCCTTCACCAGTTCGCATTTTTCTCTAATTTCCTCTGGATCCGGGGTTGACAAGTGTTTATCTGTAGTGGTGATGAGAGAGAAGAGCTTACTTAAATCTGTGTTTGTAAGGAGCGACGAGAAAAGAAAAGAATTATGTCTAAGTACATTTATTCATAGAAGTGGGGAACAACCTGTCATAAATGAAAAGCTGTACCCGCGCAAACAAGATTCTTCGATAAACAGCTATCTCCTACAGAGTCTAGTGCAACTGCTGTGTATTGAAGAATTATTGATCCTACTCCGATATATTGAAGAATATATCATACTACTTTCACAGTTATTGCTACTACTTTCGCAAGTGGTATTATATATCTAGTACTACTACTAGAATGATCGATACCATTCCTCTTATCTTTCGGCACCTTCTTTGTATCTGCAGCTGGTTTAGGCTGACAAAGCTGTGCTAAATGATGATGATAAGGTGCTCTGACCATCAAGTTTTCCGCTTCCGCGTAGCTGGACAAGAGCGTCGGATCAGACCTACTCGGCTTCAGCATCCCCTTCACATACGGTGGTGGCTCCAGGATCTTCCTTTCTACGGGGAAATGAAAGGAGGGGTTTTAGATTAGGACCAGTTCAAATTCTACGCCAGCTACTTACATCAAGAAGTCTCAACATCCTCACTTCTGACATAAGTTTGTGCATTTGCTTCTTCTGCTTTCTTCTCCTTCGCCCTTAGCCTTCGCTTTTGACTCTTGCTCAGGTTCTTGTATGACAGCGAGTCGTTCTCGAGGAAGAGCTTTGTTTTGTTTTTCCGAATCATATCTGCCGCTATCAGCGGCTGCCCCGTCTTGTCGACTGGAATGCCGTGCGGGCATTGGACTCCAGATTAGGAGAAAAAGAAAGAGCTGACCTAATCTAAGGTCTGCTTCCGAAAGGATGATAAATAATTCACTTCAGATAGTTCTAATTTTTTCCTACCTCTTTGTTTTCTGTGCTACCTCTTTAGTTTCCTACCTCTCACTGTCTTTCTTCTTTACGCTGTCACTCTATCGACTTTATTCGCACTATAATAGAGTTGGACTCGGGATTAGAATAGGAGATCTTTGCTGTAAAACTCCATCTTGAGGATGTAGTAGTGAAAGCAAGAAACAGAAAGAGACAAAGAAAGATAAGTTTAAGGTCAACATAAAAGACCGACATAAAAGACGTTTCCTAGATTGATCAAATCCGCCTATAAATACTGAAGTAACATCTCTTCATACAGCACATTCTCTGGCTTCAAGTCCGTGTGGATAATCCCACATACTCGGTGCAGATAATCCAACCCGATCAACGTGTGTGCCGTTATTTTTCGAACTAAGTCAATCGGGACGCCCTTGAACTGATACCTGGTATTGATACGTTGTTCTTGGTTGTAGACGTTTATTGGTATTATAGTGTCCGAGTCATAATTTTCGAAACTACCGTTTTGATTTTTTTTGAAAATTATATTTGGTTTTGTAGTGTGAGGAGCAATATTCATCGGAGCTTTCTCTACGCCTACTAGGCAACTAAATCGCTAAAAAAATGTTGGAACCGAGATGATTGACTCGTTCACTTTTTATAAAGCTCTGTTGTTGATTCGCTGATCTCTCTGTCAAACAAAGAGTACCTCTTAATAACTGCCAGGACGTTTGGTCCCATAGGCTCGAAGACCATACAGACGTGCCTCCCGTTTGGTCCATGGTGCTCAAAATAGTCGATCAATTGTACCACACCAGTGTGCCCTTCCCCAAATTGATGCCCCAAGCAATCCGCTATGGACTGCATGCTGTTGGGAAGAGGCAGAGGAAAAAACTAAAAGCAAGCAGTCTGATATTGACTGCATGCCGTTGGGAAGAGAAGTTGACTACACATAGGAGATATTAGCGCTAAAGAACGATTTGCGCAGCACTGATTGTTCAGGATTTCTTCTCGAAACTACGCTACAATGTCAGTTGTCTTAAGGGTGTAGCCGTAACCAGTTTTTATGAAGAGCTGCATCAAGAACCACTAAACAGCAAACATAAAAAATACGAGTGTCCCCATCCTTTGTCTGATGCGTGTTTTGCTGCATCCGCAAGTAGTTCTATCTCGTCGAACGCTGCTTCCGTATAATGAGCCGCACTCTTTTGGACTTTCATGGCTAAGAAACTTTGGATCTCCGAATCCTGCACGAGCCACACAGTACTGAAATGCCCCCATCCTAACTTGGCGATCACCTATATATGGGTGGAGCCAAACTAACTAGGAAAAGTAAAGGAATGAATGTAGGTGAAGGTGTTGTCAACGAAGATATTGATATTCCTATTGGGTGACGGAACTGGAGGTAGAACTACCGAATAGTTATCACATTCGTCGGGATGATCTTTTTAGCAACTACAGCTAAGTGTTCTCGGTAAGTAGAGACTTCGACTTCTTGTTGTTCGTTTTCCTTCGTCATAAATCACAATTGCGTTAGGGGAGGTTTCCACACTATCACTACATCCTCGATTAAATTCCTTGCAGTTGGCTTAGTGGTTTAGGCGTTGGCCTGTTCACTTATCACAAAGTCAAAAAATCGCCAAGAACGAAAAAAAGTTGAATACCTTGTACTTCCCATTGTAGATCTCTCCCACCTTAACCTGGTGATAACCGCCCTTTCGGTAGCCGTCTGTGCCTTCGTCATCGGTCTCCGGAGTATCTCCATTTTCACCGCTCTCATTTTCATCAGACTTAGAGACGTAGAGATTAGCCTCCATCCTTCCGTTCTTGCAGTTGTCACGAATTAAGCGACAGATGCAGTGTCCGGTAAGTGCTGCGTTGGTCACTACTTAAGCAAGAACTACTGAGGCACTTATAAGGGACCCTTCGCTTAAGCGCTGCCCCTTAAATGCCTCGGTCACCACTTAAGCAACGCTTAGCGAAGCACCTAAGGGACCCCTTGCTTAAGCGGTGCCGCTTAAGTGCCCCCGCCACTACTTAAGCGAGAATTGCTGAGGCACTGAAAGGACACCACACTTAAGTAGCGTCCCCTTAAGTGTTTTTTTAGCAGTTTTCGCGCTTAAGTGCAGAGCTTACCAGATGAAATTTATTCTAGCAATACTCTCCTTCTTCACTGTGAATAAGATAGCACCAGCATTAAGAGGATCCATATTGAGTAACATATCACCTACTCCACCTTGAATAGCATAGCACCTATAAGAGGATCGCATCTACCTTCCAGTGGTGCACCTAGTTACATCCCCGCCCTTCGTTCTACTCCACCTTGAATAACTTAGCATAAGAGGGTCAAAAATAGCAAAATTTTCATTGATTCATAACAGCATCTGCATTTTCGTTCTCCTCCGCATCGCCGTCTTCGTCTTCTGACGTCTCCGCCTCCCTCATCCCCCTTGGGGCTTCCTCCACCGCCTCCGATTCCGCTCCTAAGTATTTAATCAGTTGGATTTAAATATGATGATCATCTTCAATTGAGTTCTTAAGGATAGAAATATTCACTTTGAGACATCAGCTTTGATCAAAAAGTGGAGTTTCAGTTCACTTCAAAATTGGAATATTCGTTTAAGGCCCTCGTAACCACCAGTGGAAGTAGTACAACATAATGATCCTCTTGTATGTGGTGCACGATCTAGACGACAGTCAGTCTTAACTACCACCTGTTGTTTTTAGCAGTTTCACAGTTCTAATCTACATTTTTACCATCTTTTTTGGTTCCACAAGAAAATCGAAAATGATTTGTACCTCTCCAACACAAATTTGTATTCTTCTTAAATTGCTTAGGTAATTATTTTTTCCTGTTCTACTACAATATAATGATCTTGTATTTGTCTTAACTGCTCTCTTGTTCTCCTACAACATAATGATCTCGTACTTATTTGTCTACCATCTTCATCTCCAGTTTCACCCTCAAGCGGGGCATCTTTGCGACGCGCTGGGGCCTGCGCACGTTCCTTCTTTCGGTACTTCCGCTGATTTGGTTTCTTCTTCATCGCTAGAGGATGATCCTTCTAAGAAGAGGGGACGAGAAGTATATGAAGTATTTCTCTTCGATGCTGCTGGAAAGAAGTAGTTAAGGTTATTGCCTTGTCCTCCAGAAGAAGAGGTATTTGTTCTCTTCGAAGCAGGAAAGAAGTAGTGTGTCCCTTGTAACCTGAGCAATCTTCTTTCAGAGTCTTGGCCCTGAACGGTCTATCACGATGCGGTGAATGACCTCCACACCAATTCCTGGCTGAGAAGTACACCAATCCTTTGTTCTTTTCGTTGTCCTTCTGCTCGTCTCTACTACCCCTTTATGCAAAGTACTTGCTGCTTCCCCCCGATGCGACGCGATTTTTGTTGCGGTCACTACTTTTGCTATCACCACACCACCTCGTCTTCCTTCACCAGGTCTACTTTGCAACTTCTAGGAAGCCCATGAAGCCCATGAGACACGGCTGCCATCTTCTTTTGATTCCCCTGAAGATGGACAGGTCAAAGTCATGAAAGTAGTCATCAAAGTGGAGGCACAATGATCAATCTTCGTTTTACAGTACGGGTGGTGTCAAAAAATAGAAGTACCTATAATGCAAACAAGACTACTGTCTGAAAATCCTCTTCAACTAGACGTTGTTTTCGCAGCACATTTCAGTGGCACAATTATACATTTCGAAGTCGAATCTTGTTTATGCTAGGTCGTCAAAATTACTTTTTTGAACAAGAGTAGGACGTTTCCCTCAAGATGAGTCCTTCTCTTGCCGCCAACTGCTAATCTGGTGTTCCCTCCACCAGCTGCGCCAGCTCTCTTGTTCTACATTTCATCATACCACAACGTTCGACACCGCATCAAAATTCAAAAGTGCACTTGCACGGACTTTTGTTTCTTTCATGCTCATGTACAACCAGTTTTTTTCATGTTCATGTTACACAGCGAATACAACAGAGAATAAGACTTTCGGGTGTCAGTATTACATATATATTTGTAATATACACCCGCCATAATTATGTCACCACAAATATAACTACAACTCCTTGCAACTGCACAGAGTTAACAATGATGGTTAGCGGTTCTCTCTGACCACGCTGTGTGGAGTAGTTCTTTGGGCACGGTCTCAAAACTGCGGTTCGTAGTGCTAGCAGAACACTTCTTATTTTTTCTAAGCCCACATGCACTTCTTATTTTTGTAAACCCACACATGCACGACATCGGAGTCTGAGTACTAACACGACACTAAACACACACATACACATTGGAGTGTAGGTACTAGACCCGCTGGTGCCAGAGTCTCAAACTTCTTGCTCGGGTGGCTGGTGCCAATGTCGAGTCCACTGTTCTGGACTCATACGATTTTCCTATGCCACGGAGACAACCATAGGCTAAAGCAAGAGCAACTTCTTGACGGGCCAGAAAGTACAAGAAGGGTTTAGTAGACTATTTTTTGCATCAAGGTTACCGTAACCAGAAAGTTCAAGTTAATCATTTAAGTAGACTACTTCTTGCATCAGAAAACTGTTCTCATGATACGTCGGGACCACGTGGATGAGAAACACAAGTGCAAATACATGAAAAACTAACACAAGTAAACGTAGTTGAAGGAGCCGAAATAAAGATTGGATAGCAGTGTCGTTGAAGACAAGTTGTCTTCATTCTCTTGTTGTGCGGGATACTATAATCTGTTTCGCGAGAGAAGAGTATTATCGTGGAAATTTACTCTTGGCACCTTGCTCGCCTCAGGAGGGCGCCTTCGATGCGGCGTCTCTCCTTTGTGGTTTCTCGCCACCGACTCTGCCCTTTTGGAAATTCAGCGGGGCCTTGCGCATCCTAAATCGCTCAGTGAGCTATTTTTTGGCACCGTTTCTATTTGCGATGAAGTGGGGCTGATGGGCGGCAACCAGTTTCGGCTGGAAAGCCGTTCGAAAAGCACGTGGATATCGCGGAAAGAAATCTTGGTGCACTAGCCGTGCTTCGTCGAAGCGCAGGGCCCAGGGATTCACATGTGCTCCGGCTGCGCGGGGTCCCGCCCGGTGCCGGGGAAGCGAAGGCGCCCACGGGTGTCCGGGGTGGTTGATTGCGCCGCCGGAGACTCCGCCAAGCAATGGCACCCCTCCTCAGAGGGGCGGGGCAAAAAACCCGAGCGGCACCCGCCGCTCGCAAATGGGTCGCCGGGTTCGAGGGGAACGCGCGGGCTTCGACGGGCCGGGCCTCGGCGCGGCACCCTGCATGCCGCGGCGCCCCCGGGGTGACGGGGTGCCGCACTTTCTGCTGGAGCACCGCCTCCCCCGCGTCCACGCGGAACCCTCTTGCGCAGCACGCTGAAGCGCGTGGCAGCCAGGTATTGCGTGTCCAGGCATTGCGCTGCCGGGGGAGGCGTTGCCAAGCGTTGCGCTTTCAGGCGCGGCGGCGCGGTCTGGCGTCGAATTGTCAGGCACGACGCTGTCAGGCGCGTGCGTCACGCAAAGCGCTGTAAGGCGCGGCATTGTCGGGCGCGGCAGTGCCGGGCGCGGCATTGTCAGGCGCGGCGCTGTCAGGCGCGGCGCTGCCACGCACAGCGCGGCCGGGCATGTGCCGTAGGGCTACGCTCGCCCCCCTAGCGGGAGTAGAGAAAGCCCCGACCGCGCGCCTTCAATCGGGAGTGGAGAAAGCCCCGACCGGGTTCCGCGTATCCTCCTCGGCTTTTGCCGTGTGAAGTCCGCACAAGTCCGGGGCTGTTGGGGAGAAAGCAAGCGGAAGGCGGTCCGCGAGTGTCGTCGGCTCTTCGCGGCCTGGCTGCCAAGCTGCCGGACCATGGAGCCAGCGGGCGCGCGGGCGTGGTCTCTCAATCTTGCTCCAAAGGCTGCGACCCTTCAAGCGTTCGGCTCAGAAACTCGCCAGGGACCGGGGCCCTTTGGTCGCGATAAGCAAGGGAGCGGATTCCAGTGGGCCCCCCACCGAGTCCCCCCCGGGTTTACTTGGCCACCGCGCTGGAGAATGGAGGCCGTGGAACCTAGTGCGGGCCTGCGTCGGTCCCAAGGTGAACAGATTTCGGAAAAGTAGCGCGCCCCCTATTAGCTTTCCCGCAGGCTGCTGGGGAGGGCAGCAAAAGGCATCGCTTACATCGCCCCCATAGGGACCTGCGAGAAACTAGCGTGGGAAAGTGACGCGCCATTTTTCCCATTAGTTTCACACGAGACAGCGGCCCCTCGCTTCCATTCAGCCTAAGTAGCGAGGGGGCGGCGACTTTAGCACTTGGCGCGAAGCTCCCGCCTGGGTTCTCCTTGGCCGTTGCTCGTCAGCAAGCAGAGCCCGGCGCCCTCAATGGAGAAAGAGCGAGAAACTTCCTGCCATTAGGTCCAATGGGGGTCGGGCTCTCTCGCTTTCATCTGCCACGCGCCAAGGATTTCCGTGTGCCTTCTGGGAGCATAAAACTCGCAAGGCCCAAAAAGCGCGCGGCATTTAATTGCCAAAAGTTTCAGACCCGTGAAAAGTCACCCGGTGTTGCCATTCTGTCTCCTTTGCTCCTGCAAGTCTGAAACTATGATAGGGGGACGCCTGTCGACGTATCGCGGGCTGGCTGCTGGGGGGCTCGGCGCTGCCCGTCTGTCGTCGAGCTATCCCGGGCCAGCTGCCCATCAGCTCTGCACTGCGCGCACCTTGATGGCTTGCCGCGGACTACCTGCGAGGCAGCTCCGCGCCGCGTGTCTGTTGTCGACTTATTGCGGCGGGGCTGCTAGACGGCTCCCACTGGCCGCCGATCAAGGACTTGCCGCAGTCCTTTCCAGTGCGAGGCTGGCAAAGCATCCACCGCCCAAGCCACCCCGCCCTGCCAAGGCCTTCGCGATGTAGCGAGCCACACGCAGGACCGAGGCGGCAAGGGATGCCCGCTCGGTGTCCCGGGACCGCCGCCCAGCCGTAGCGAAATCGGTAACCAGATGCCAGAGAAGCACAGAAAAGAAGAGAAGGCAAGACGCGAAACCGATGGCAAAAGGGACGGCACAAGAGCAAACCGCGGCCGCGCCTTGGGCAGGATCGGGGGGAACAAATGAAGAAAAGAGGGGGCAAAGACATCCAAAAGGGAACCGAAGCAGCGCTGCCCCATGGCAGTTTCGCTTAAGAGTTTCGCGGGGGGGACTACGATGACGCGCAAGCGTCTCCCAAGATATCATAACAGGACCGCGGCGCAGAGGTGGCCGACCCGTGGCATTCTATAGAATGAGACGCGAGGAGGCGCGAGAAACAAACGAGGGAAAGCAGCCGACGCGAAACCGATAAGCAGACGCCAGAAAAGCACAGAAAAGAAGAGAAGGCAGAACGCGAAACCGATAGCACAGCGGACGGCTCAAGAGCAAAACGCGGCCACGCCTTGAGCAAGACCGGGGGAGGCAAACGGGGAGAAAGGGGCAGAGAAATCGACAAGGGAACCGGGGCACCGCTGTCCCTTAGCGGTTTCGCCTAAGAGTTTCGCGGGGATCCACTTGAAACCGATACCCGCATGAAGTTCGAAACTGCTAAGGGACAGAACTTAGGCAAGCCGAAACCGCTAAGGAACTTGCAAAACGGCCGGCAGCTTTTTGCGTTTTGTCTTCGCTTTTTTGGCCTTTTTCCCGCGTTTGTGTTTTGTGTTGTGGCCACTCCCCATCTGTGAGGCCTCGCCTTCTGTCTCGCTTTTTGGCGGGTTTGCTCCCTAAGTGCTCAAAAGCCGAAGCCGATGGATAAGCGACCCAGGCGAAACCGATAACGGCACCCGGAAAACCTTCGCCGCCCTGGAGGTTTTGGACGTGTTTCGCCACCCACCACAGTGAGAGCACAGGCCACAAGCGCGCAACCCTCCGGGGATACTATGCACCCCGCCACCGCGTCGCTTTGTCGCGGTGCGCAGGTGCGTCGCTAATTTGCTCCGCTTGCACATCGGCGCGGCGACTGAACAGAGGAGACAGCCGGACAAGCAGAACGACGCAGCAGACAGAACGACCAACGGAGCGAACAGAGCGACAAAACAGACAAGACGACCAAGCAAGGAGGACGACAGAAGAGACAGAAACAAGACCGAACAGCCAGAACGACGGGACAGACAAGGCGACGGAACAGACAAGACGACGGGACAGACAGAACGACAGAACAGACAGAACGACAGCCAAACAGGTGGAACGACTTAGCAGAAGAGACGGGGGAACGCCCTCAGGCCGCTGGGCGGTGCGTGGCCATGCTTCAGCCACAGCCACCACGGCGCGCCCTCGAATCACAAGGAGGCGAGAACGGAGCGAAGAAGGGAGCCAGAGGAAGACGACAGCCGCGAGAGCTCTTCAGAGAGCCCAGCCCTGCGAGCTCTGCGCGGGTTGGCTCGCATGTCGCTGCTGTCTGCTCCTCTCTCTTCCCTTTCTCCTCCCCCGGTGATTCGAGGGCGCGCCGCGGTGGCTGCGGCTGGCGTGCGCCGTGTTGTGTCTCTCAAGCCGGGCGAGGTCTTTGGACTGGCTCCGCCCTGTGTTTGGGGGCGGCTGCTGGCGGCCGCGGCTGGGGTGCGCTTGGCGGTGTCGTGGTGCGGCTTTTTCTTAGCTTGACCGATGGCGCAGCCTTCAGGACTTGAGAGCAGGGAACACCGTGGGCGAATCTTCTGAGAGAGACCCACCCGAGGAATGGAACAAGCGGAAGCCAGCAAGAGCTCGCCCAAACTGGTCAAATTTGACAGATTTCACGCATGTCCGTCTATCATTTTGG